AGAAATTGAACGGAAGTCTCCATAATTTAATGCACGCGCTGATGAAAGTTACAGTGTGACCAGTAACCCCCCCCCCCCCAAAAAAAAATCCTCACCCAACAACAACATAGATTTCATTTCTGTTTACCGGTAATCATCAGAACTATTTACTCAGCATACGTTTTGTGTGTTTGTAGAGTTAGATATTTTATGCTCTTCCTTCATGTAGTGGACATCGAGCAACACGGGTAACATTAGTTGTTATAGACCTGAAGACATGCATACGTTATGCTTGGTTTATATGTGCACTTTCCTATGGGAGCCATGTGAGGACACTGGGCCAGCAAATCGTCCCCACCTGGCTCCCATACGAAAGTGCACATGTAAACAAAGCGTGACGTCATTATGTCTTAGGTCTATTACACAGAGTTGTAACCAAGTCATTTTTTTCCAAAGTCAATTCAAGTCCCTAGTCAAATTTTAGCAAATCAAGTCAAGTCCTAATTTTGTTCAGGTCAAGTCAAGTATCGAGTCATTTAAATAAAAACATTAGATGCACATACTATGTACGGAAACCAGTTTACGTGTTCGACGACAGAGCTGGGGTACAGATGGGAATGGGGTTTATCAAAGTGTGCATCATGTTAGGAGATTAAAAAAGTATATATACTTTTCAAACACCCTCTCTCAAACACCTTATTTTAATCTAAAAAGTCTAAAAACACATTTTCATATATTATTTTCAAACTTGTTCCATCATGTTGAATGTTTGAAGGACGTCTGACAAAATGTCCTTCCAAACGTTATCGTTTAATGCATGATGTGAATTCTTGTTGCTTTATGGCAGATTGGGGGTAGCAGCCGTTTTCTAGTCATTTTAAGCCCTAGTTGCATTTTGCACGCTTACGGTTAACGTGTAGTGTAGCGGTAGCCCGAGTGTACAATGTATGTGTAGCCTATGGTCTCTGTGGAATGACTGCTCTATAACAACGGATGGTACTCAGACTACGCACGGCACAAACTTCCCCTCGCATGCACAAGGTCGAATATGATACGTTGTCCATAACACGCACATAGTGCTAGTCAAGTACATGACATGTGGCAGGCTCAGAATGCCCAGCTATTGCGTGCTAATTCGCTATGTATGTACATTCATGTCAACCGACTAAGCTAGTGCGCACGAACACCTAGAGGTGTTTTTTTGTTAACTTTAAGAAACGTGTTAATGTCAGCAAGTCAACTTTTTTTTCCCAAGTGATGTCAAGTCTCAAGTTAAAAAATAGCGACTCGAGTCCGAGTCAGCGACTCAAGTCAACAATTCTGCTTTTACATGTAGTGTGTAGTGTGAGACATAATCCTGATTTTGAATATTTTCCTGGCATACATGTTTAAAGCACACACACACACGCGCAAACGTGTTCACACCGTCGATCGTGGACATCCTACTGTCCATCTTTTGTTTGTACTCTAACTTTTTAGGAAGACTCTCATATAGGTTTTGTACACATTCTGGGAATCGTGGACGATATTGTTCTCTTTTGTTCTCTGTAATTTTTCATCCACGGTGTGAATAGATGAACATGCCCACACATACATGTGGAAACGCCGGTAGTTGTGGACCCCCCCCCCCCCCCCCCCCCCCCCCCGTCCCTAATCCTCATTCCTTTGTTTGTACTTAGCAACAGCTCTAATTGGTTTTGTACACGAATTTCAATCGTGGACGTGCGGTCAATCGTGGAAGTATTGTTTGCGCCCCAATCCTTTAGTCCTAGGTCCATGATTGCCGGTGTTTACATTCTCTCACAGTCACTGTAAATGCATTACATTCACTGGCAGCATTAGAATGATTACAGAAACAAGACTTGGCACATGACACCTTGCGGAAAAAAGGGCAATTTTGATCAGCATGTGTAGAAATCAAGACATTCACATGTGTATGGTTACGATCAGACAAGGACCAAGTTCTTACTCAATGTCTAAAAACAAATATCTTTTGATTGCTCAAATACACGTTCACTGTACTTCCTAAATGGGAACTTGAGTATACATGTAGTATCTTTTCCCTACCATGGTCTAGTGATGATTGCTGGAATACTATCAATCTGATTTTGAAATTACGGCGACAATTCTGGTAGCCATTTACTGCGACGCTTCCATGTCTGAATGCCCATCACACATAAAAAAAATTGATTGCCCCAATAGCTTAACCAGTTCGCGCAGGGATTATTTTGACATCGACCGGACCCAGGCGCGGACTGTTTTTCACGAACCTCGATGCCAGACGGGTTCAGGCTGTCATCTGTGGGTAGCACACCCTGATATTTCTGGCCGTGCTCGCTGCGAGCGGGTTGCTGACAGATATTTCCGGCCTCACTTGTTGCATGTTTATCCGTCATCCGTTCCGAATACCGGAAAACCTGAAAACACTGCTCGGAGTTGTCACTTGCTTGGTGTGCATTGTAAGCAGCACCACTCTGATGTTGATATAAACTAGTAGCTTTGGCTCAAAATTTGATAGCTTCAGCTCAAATTTTGATGGCTTTATTTATGCAGTGTTGTAAATATGTGTAGACAAGGCCACAAAAAAATGGCTGCCAAGTCAGATATAAAAAAAAAAAAACATATTTCAGTGCTTCTCCGTAACTGAAAGACACTGTATCTGGATTCCTTTTTACCCAAACCTTTGAAGTATGGTTTTGAATTAACAATCTTAAACATTGAATTCTGGTGTTATCGGGACGAAAGTGCACCTTGCTTTAAATAACAAGACCCAACACAATTAGATCCAGGGATGTAGTCGAGTCCATCACAAGTCCAGTAACAAGAAACAGTGGATGATCAATAACAAAGGAATGCCTTTGTCAAAGCTCATTTGAATAGCTTGTGATTTGAATTAGGACTGGAGGACTTGTGATGGACTCGACTACATGTACATCTCCAATTGGATCCAGTTGAGATCATGAAAGAAAAATGACCAGTTTTGTCTAGGGGTTGGGTTTTGTTGGATTTAACAGGTTGCACGCAAAATACAGGCGAAGGTTACGGTTAAATATTTGGTCATGTTTCATATTCCAAACTGAATGGCATCACACAAAGGGATACACATTTAAAACATGTGTATCACTTCGTCATTCTCATCGAAAACAACTACATACATGTAGGTGCTTCGTAGATGGGTCATTCTATAAATTTGGGGTCCACTTTTTTTCCCGTCCCCGTTACATCTGACATCTATAATTGTATAATTCTGATGCACTCCTTAATGCAGTCATCCTCCAAGAGTGATTATGAATAGCAAACTACCTACCCAACAAATAAACAATCATTTGAAGTCATTCTTAATGATGCTTGAATGGCAAATTACAAAGTACCAAGGTAACAGGGACGGGAAAATGTCACACTTTGGACCCCAAATTTATAGAATGAACCAGATGCTCCTGTATTTCAAATGAAGGGCTGTCCATAAAGTACATACGCACGAAATACCAACTTTTTAGACCCACCTCCCCCCTGTACGCATAGTACGCATTCCATTTTTCTTTTTGACTTTTCAGAGTACCCTATTCTAGCATCATTTAACGTCACACATGTAATAAGCTTGCTGTAGTATGATGGCGCATCTGAAGTCTGAATTAAATGACAAAATGTTGACAAAATAACATCTGTCTGTGGTACTGGGAAGATAAATCAAAACCACGGGGGTGAAGGGCCAGTACAGTGTATGATGTAATGATTTTCAATACATAAAAGCTGGTCCTGGTACAAGGTATTAAATATAAGTACATTGATTTCACGATATTTATTGAAAGCAAATAATCACTTTGCGTACGTATCCCCCCCCCCCCCCCCCCCCCACCTATGGTGTACGCACATGTACTTTACAGCCAACCCCAGAGAGCAACTTTTTCTTAAGAACAATTGGGAAAGATTACCATATCTGGCCATCACTGATTCTTCCCTTCAATGACTTATCAGCCATCAGAAAGTGATAATATATGTCCTAAAAAGTCAAAATTAGCAGGGAAAATATTCAAGTTTTTACTTAAAAACACTTAGAAATTTTCGGACCAGTCTCATACTTGGTTTGTGCACAGGGTGAAAAGTGATGGCCAGATATGGGATTCTTTCCAACAATTAAATCAATGCAAAAAGTTTGACCAACTGGCATATTTACAAAAGAAGTTGAATAACAGCTTATACTGTCTTAGGCACATATTCTCTTGTTGGAGAAAAGTACAAATTCACTCTATTCTCTATTCGTTTGCAAATTCATCAAATCCGACTGAAACTAGGGACGAGATGATTGAGAGTGAAATTCATTCAATCGAATCGATGGAGATTTTACGAGAGTTTCTAAGTGAGTGACACTTTTTTAAGGTAAATGCATTTCAAAATGAAATTATAGTAATTTTTTTCACTCCACATCATCTGGTCCCCAGGTGAACTCTTTGAAAATTAAGAGTGTATATTTGAAATCCTCACATTTGATCTCGGGATCAAGTTTGAATCCGGATAAATGGTCTTTTGTTAAAATTTGTTCAAGTTTCTTTTCCATCTACAAACTCATCTTGTGCACTTTTCATGTGCAGGAAATCAAGACATTTAATGATGTAAATATGCCAACTTGGTCCATTATGAGCAAGTTCGGGCACCAACTATAGTAAACCTTCCTTGGTTCGACTAACTTCACTCGAACGAAGGATGGTTGGACAACTATAGTCGACTACTTGGAACCAGACGACGAGGCGTGGTTCCATCGCTGGTTCCAGTAGTCATGCACAACATCAAGTACAATGGGGAGCCAGGACCAAGTTTTGTGATTACATTTGACCATCATTTGACTAGAGGCATGCGCACGTTGCAATTAGCACGCAGGCATTGGTAATGTCACAAATCAACCACCAGTGATTAATGGTTCTCGCCCGAACTTGCTCTGTAGTTCCATAAAAACAGAACCTCAACTGGTAAAAGTCATGATTTCTGTCAACAAAAACCAATTCTGTTGCAACGAAATTACTCACCGGACTGAAGAAATCTTCAAAAAGAATTCTTAGATCTTGACATAAGCTGCTTTACACTGCTGGACAAGTAGCTGCTTTATCTACTAAGTTCTTTTGTAGGGGCCACGCACTTGATTTACTGGTTTTCCCCTGGTGGGTACGACTCAACTGCATTTATCCACGCCACTGGTGAAGTTGCGGTGGTCACTTGACATTATCCCGGATAAGGAATTCTCACAAGACTCCTTAACTTCCAATGAACTGACGAGCAATAGGATTTGTGTTCAATAGGTGAAACTTCCATGGTTCATAATTTAAAATTCTACGGACTGATCTTTTCAAAATGAGCCAATAATTTCCAAAATGCCCTGCCCCACCCCCCAAAAAATTGGATTCCTTGTCATTCTTTTAAATACTTCCATCCACCCAATAGAACTGCAAGTGTAAGTATAACTGATGCTGTGCATTTACTTTTTATGCAGTCAGGAATTTTAGAGGAGCCATTGTGATGATTGTCATGGTCAAACATTTATGTCTTATTTTGTATAGTTAAAATCCAATGTGTAACACCTCCCAGTCCAGGGTTGTTTGGATGAAGAAGAGTCTTGGAGATTCACATTCCATTCAAGAGGCCATCCGTGCATGCACAGTGCATACGCACAGTAATAGTCCCGCCTGGATGAGGGGTGTCATCAAAATCTCCAGTCTTGTAATTTTTTTTCTATTTCACAGGTTTGCATCTATTACTTGTTGCCCATGTTTGACGTATGTATTTTTGAAAATGCCCTAGAGTAACATTAACTTTTTAAGTTCTAATTTTCAGCTTGATGAATGGTTGTCAGAGCTGCTTAAAAGGTGCTGTCTGTGTAACTACTAACTGTGATAAAGACGGAATGTAATTCTGGTAACTTCCAAGGTATCATGTAGATATATCTGTTGGTATTGCTTTTGTGTGTTGACTACTAGCAACATGTTTATGAATCACAAATGTTGCTAGCTTTGCAAAAGAAATTCTGGATGTCTTTTAGCACACAGGCTGCAAGTAGTGAAAAAGTGTGAAGAATTGTATGTTTGCATGTATATGGTACCACAATGTTACAAATATTTTTTATTTTAGAGAGAGTAGGGTTCACATGAGGTAGACGTTTCAACACAAATTAATTTCATATCAGAACATGATGGGAAGACTGAAAGATTTGTCCAAAAAAGGAGTCCATAAAGGAAGGATACAACCATATGCTACGTTAAGCATTTCCAATGATGGTTTTACTGGACTTTTTGTAACCGGCCACTTCTGCTGTTTAGCCTAGGACTGTGATGGCTCTTTTTTGTTTGAACCGTTTTGATTGATTACATCCAATCACAAGAAGAAACTACGCTGCTACAGGTCACAAAATTGTAAGTCATGTTATTCAAAAGAGTATTTGAATCTTGAGCGAATGAATACAGCAAATGACCTCTTGTATATTTAAGCAAGGCCTTGATGTACGTGTATTTTTTAAGCGAAAGAGATCAATGCATACATATTATGTAGACCAGATATGTGAAGGATGAGTGTTCTCCAAATTGTAACACAAACCTACAAAAAAAAAAGTGTCGCAAGGCTTTGCGTAACTTCCTTCATGCTATGTTAATAGAAATTTTATGAACAATGTTGCCCTCAATCATTCAACAGATTCTAAAACACTCCCCCTTCAATATGTCATCCCACAGATGCCGCTCAGCTTAGAACCAAACTTTAATATGTTCAAATTTAGAAGTTGGAGAACAATCCTGGATTTGGAGCCAAATGTATTTCCTGTTTAGTCGAACCTTTGACAAATAGAATGCATAAAGCAAGTTAAAATAATTTATAGGCCCCATTTCCTTCTTTTTTTTGGAAAACAAATTCCTTATCCAGTTTTTGTCACTCAGAGTCGGAGAAAAAATCTTGAGCTAGGCTTGAAAAAATATGGATTCATATTGAGGGAACTGATTGCTCTTGAAATGTAAACTTTCATTTTTAGCATGTTTAGAACGATTTCAGTTTATAACAATTACTGTTTTCAGTTTCATAAACTGTTTTATGGAAGCTCTCTGATTCAACTCTGGTTTGCACTGCATTTCCAGCACATGAAAAAATGGAAAGCGCCCTCTTGTGCCCTGAATTAACACAATGTGCTGATTTCAAGTTGGAAAACTTTCAGTTTCAAATTTGATGTTTTTGCTAAACATGCTAAGACCTAAACACATAACAACTATATGTTTAGTTAGTTATGACTGTAGTCTCTTTACAAAGTACCGGTGCGGGTGTGCGGACCATCGGAGCAACATCAAATTCTAGCAAAACTCTGCACTGCATGCACGGCACAACGGCACAGCACAAGCTGTTTACCGCACAAAATAAAACCAACCGGTCGACCACGCGGAACTTGACCGAAGAGCGGACCGATAAACATCAAATTTTTAAACCTCATTTCCCCCATGAACCTCCCCAAATTCATGCCGCAAAACATATCCAGTTTCTGCTATAACAGTCATACTCTGAACTGCAAAAGTGTGTTACTATGCATTTGTTATTCTTGAGGCTTTTTTTTGCATTCTTACCTTCGTTAAAATCGGCAACATCACACACAAAAATCTGCAAATATGGCGACAGCATGCGTTCACGAAATTTACGTACTATCACTATTTATGAAACAAGTTGGACATTTTCTTCCTTGTAAGTAATAGTTTTTAATAAAAGTTTGTACAAAATAATTAAATATTTAAAAATAATTTATTTTCAAGTTTTCTTTCCTCCAAAATTACATCAATTTGGCTATTTGTATTGCGTAAATAAAACTTTACATTGAAAGAGGAGCATATCTGCGCTTGCGCAGTTGCTTGATACGAGACATGGCGCGCTCTTCGATAAAAAATATTGAACTACGATTTCTGTAGGCTAGGTCAGCATTCGTACTTATTAGAATGACTTATTTTCAATAGCATTTGGTGTTGATGAAGATTTGTTAAAGGTTCAAGTAGATCTCTAGTGTTGCCGAAAGAGCACGATCGCGAGGACGAACTGTCTGCGAGCGGGTCGCTGATTTCCGGCCTAACTCCCTGCGTGTTTATCTGTCATCCGTTCTGAATACCGCTCAACATTTGCGTGTATACACGGCCTCCAGACGCGATCTGGTTAAGGGAAAAGAAGAGTCTGAGAACCTGTCTTGCAGTGATTCCATTGAAACATTTGAACACGGGTTAACAGAGCACACTCGCAGTGTAGTAGCATAGGAAGATTGCTGGTCACAGCTAAAAATCGTCGGCTGCCTGGAAGAAGGTCGTAAGGCCAAGGGCGATAAATGGATCAAAAGGTCAAATTCAGATTTTTCGGATAATAGATAGAGCTTGGAAATTTCTGCCTCCATGATTTGATATACATATTGCCTCAAGGAGCTACGTGAGCTCATTCTGACGTAATTAACAGTAAACAAAAGACGGTAGGAGGATTTTCATTATTTGTGCCTGCCAAAAGGACGTTAACGTGTAATACTAATATGTAACAAAAAATGTTTGAAGCGCGCTAATATGTCCCACTCAAGTGGGTACGCAAAGCCAATTTTGTTCCCGGCAAAAGGACGTAAAGATTTAACATGTCGCTTAAGTGTACGTTTAAGGCTTGGGAAGTTTCCGGTAAAAGGTCGTAAGGCATAAAAATTGAAATAACTTCACAATAAAGTAATATTTTGACATAAAAATGCACAATATTATTTGAATTATTAACGAATGTCATCAGTCAAAATTTCAACCTTATGTGATTTTTAATCAAGAAATGGCAGCACAAAATCGTTCAACTCGATTATCTCCAAAAGTGCTTTTTGGGTGCCTGGCCTGGCCTGCTAACGTCCTTTTCCTTGTCACATGATGATATGTACTGCCTTTTTTTTTTTACTCAACTACTGAACTAGCAAAGAGGTGTCTGTATTATCACTGCACATGCAGACAAAATGAAGTGATGTAAACTGTACCACCAGTTATTGACTCGGTGAACTTTCCAACAATGATTTCACCTGATTTTTTTTTTAAACTACAGAAATTGCATCTTGATGTCTAAGTTTATAAAGCACATTAAATTGGCAACATGAGCGAGTTCAGAGTTCATCACCAAGTCAGCGAGCTCATCAAACTTCTTGGGTAAGATCGGTTAAGGGTCAGGATAGTCCCATAAATGAGGTTCAAAACTGAGCCACGTAAATACATGCTAAATTTCTTGGAAACTTGTGTTTCCCGAATTTAAAATCTAGACAGTGTTTCACTTGATGTTCACTATGGAAGCTACTTAGCTGGTTAATTACCAGGGAAAATTAAAAGGTCAAACTCAAAGGGGCATGACCTTGAGAAAAATACTTCAGTCGTGTTTGGACAAACTCTGCAATTTTTGCCGTCTGCAGGCACAGAATTCAAATTTTTCCTGCTTTATTATTCAAGTAAGTAGCTTTGTAGCGAATATCAAGTGAAAAATAGAACAGTTTAGATTTCAAATTTAGGAAAGTTATTAGTTTGCATTGATGTGTGGATTACAATACTGAGGAAGTCCAGTATTTGAGCCTCATAATATGGGCCAATATTGGACTAGGGTCGGGATTTGTCAAATAGTTTTGCTGTAAGACCCTTCATCCCGGCTCTGTACAGAATTTGAAGTACTTTAACCCTATAAACGCCCTGAATTCTTCAAAATTCTTCCTCTTTGCCAAAGTGGAGGAATGTGGAGGATTGAGGTTACAATGCAAAAGTGCGTTAATGATTTTGTAGGATGCACTTTGTCAAGGTCTTGGGCCGGACGTTGTGTTGGTTTTTGCTTAGCTCTGCATAAGTAAAGGCCTGGATTATGCTTGAAATCCTCCGTACTGCTCCAGGATGTCACTGGCCAAGCCTCAAGATATTGACAGTCAATGCCGCAGGATTTTGCAGGATTCTGGCAGTGGTCACCCCTCCATGAGCATATTTAAGAAATAATGGAGGAATTTGCAGGATTGAGGCTATGCTATTTTTTTCATGAGGCCAAGTGGAGGATTTTGCAGGACTGAGGCTACATCCTAGCAAAAAGGCCAAGGGAGTAAGGGTTAAACAACAATAATGTTGTGTCCATAACAAGTCCATAAGTCTTGTCAAAAAGTGAATCACAAAACATTTTACAAAGTCTAGTCACAAATAACAGTAGATGAGTATTTACAAAGGAATACCTTTGAAATGGCTTGTAAAATGGACTTGATGACTTGTGATGAACTTGTGCTTGATTATTAAGGACTTGTAATTAACCTCAAGTATGGTATATATTTTAGCACTTACAAGTTAGATGCCTTATTTCCTTTGTAAAGTCTACCTGGTAGTGCAGGCCCAGAGCTTTATGTGGACCTACTCCTGAAGAACAGAACGCCGTATGTCACTACACAAGTGTCAGCTCACAGCGCCAAGCGCAAGATAGCTGAATTTTCCCAGACTCCCGTGGAGTTCCTGCAGAAATATGATGAGCTGAAATCCAAAAAGTGAGTCAATATGTGGGAGTTTAACGAAAATATCTCTCTCTCTCAAATTCAATTTCTGTAATTTGAATTTGTAAGGAAAACTGTTGGATTTGATGTGGATGATGTCATTTGCAGTTATCCTGTATGCCTTTCAGTGATATTTGTTTTATATTGTTCCAGTAATCGGGATCTAGATGCCTTTGTCTACCTCCTGTCCAAGTTGTCCGAAGACAAAGACACAGTGTCTGTCTTGCAACAGAATGCCCAGGCTCTGCAGATGCCCATGGACAGGGTGGTCCTGCCTCCGTCCGGATCCAAGATGTCAGAGCAGGAAGTGTCGGAGGTAAAATAAGGGAGGTCAACAAATAACCTTTAACTCTAACCGAACTCAACCATCAAAGTTCAACAGCCAGTTTTGTTTAAATCTGTTGGGATGGGTACAGTACCCCTAAACTGATGGTCTTTTACACTGGGTTTGGCATACCTCCAGAAACTAAGTCCAACAGTGTGTGTGTACAATTTCCCATGTGGGTGTTGGAATTTGCCAGAATGGGTATGGTTCCTAGTAAATTAGGCTGGGGAGTTAGGATTAAGGGACATTTTTGTGTGCAGAGGTTGAACAGCTTTTTTCTGAGCTGATTCTGGATTGTCTTAATCTTTGTGTTCTGTTTTTAACACTCCTTGTTGAACATCAACAGTGTTTGCAGCTGGAATGAGCCAGGTATGAATTCATCATGCAAGAATATTTTAGGCAAACATACTGGAATAAGTGTTTCAACACAGTGTGTGTTCCAGATTATAAGGAACAGAATTTTAATCATTCTCTTAGAACTATGTTACCCATGAGTTTATAAATAAAATGAAGACTACGCCATAGCTGAAGATGATATTTAAAGGCATGTAGGCACATGTAATAAGAAAATTCTTGCTCAAAGTAAAGACAGGACTGGCACCAAATACCCTGTGAAATTATTCCGACGGATATATGGTGTCATTTGGATGAAAACTAACATTGAAGACGGTTTCAAAATAGGGTACCGGCAGGCACAGTGTTTTATGTGCGTTAGCAACGGAATCCAGTTATGAGACCCCAAAACTTGTTTTCTCTGTTTCTCAAAATGTAAAGTATCCACTGAGCTGAAACTTGAACAAGTTAGTTGTTATGCTCCCTTCTTAAGATATTGCGTAATTTGTTGCTCCCCCCCCCCAAAAAAAAACCCCCAAAACCAAAATCTTCCTATCACCTTTAATTGCTACTAGCTGATGTGAATTATTTGTAATGCGTGCCATTTCTCACAATTTTGCAGTTGCGTAACCAGCTACTGAGTGTGGCCAGCAGTGGAGCAGCTAGCCAAGCCTCTGAGGTCTTCAAGAAAATGATGAGGGAGAAACAATCCAGGAAAAACTGTGAGTAGATACTACCATAGGCATTGTCATTGTCAAATGTATGCCACTGTCATTTATATTCATCCTCATATAATAGACTGTTCCGTTATGCCCCGCCCACTGTGTAGGTGGGTAACAACATGTGGGCCTCTCCAATGTCACACTGCATGCCAGACTGTTGTGGACGCATGTCGGACATTAAGCCAGCCTCAGGTCAACCCGCGATTTGCTTGCGTCACGACGGAACCGTCGGCATCAAGCAGAAAATAATGCTCAGGTCACAAAACTGAGAAATCGTGTGATTCTCTTGAAACAAGTGGCATTCTGATACAAAATAATTGCAACCATGCTCATGTCACCCACGACCCGATGATCCACCACGATTCCACATAGACAGTCATGTGACTTCTTTTAACAATAAGGGAATAATTATGTGCTGGGCTGGTTCGGCTCGAGCCATAATCAGCGCACATTTCCCTGATACGGTCTTAAATGTACTTGTATTCCCATTCACAAATACCTTTGAGTCAAAAAGTTGACACTAGTCAAAAATTATACATTTCCAATGATTTTGTTGAACACTTTTACTTCATTTTTTTTTAAACATCCCTCTAGCTATGGTATAGAATATAGTTACACTTAGGTCGCAAAAAATGAGCGACTGCAATGTTCCCGACGGTCGTAGCTCAGACGCAGCTTGATCCTGAAAAGTCAGTCGCTGACTGATCTGTGTCATCGCAAGGTGGACCTGAGGGCAGCTTTAGTCACAACTGTGTCAAAGTACCTCTGGGTGGTCCTAATAATGGATCAATCTATTGTATCATAAGAGACGAAGAAAGTTATTTGAAATTTTTTCTGAATACTTACACCTCTTTGTGTCCATAACTGTTAATAATCAGACACGCTACTTGAAAGTTGTATTATCATTGCTACTTTTATTAAAAAAAAAAAAATGTTGTCTTTATCATTGTTTCCTTTGCAGTATCCTTGAAGCTTCCTGAGCTGTCTTCCTGGGTACTTGAGAGGCCTAACCTGACTGGTGACTTCGTGTCAAGTCCAGGGACTTCTCAACCGGGTGTGGCTCTCGGGACACTACCCCTAGGGGTGCAAGAATTGGCCATTGTGCAGGACCTCCTCATGGTTATGACGGTGAGTATCATGGTATGTCATTCAAGTTTCCCCCCCCCCCCCACCCCCGCGAGGGACTTGTGACGAGTCCAGGGACATCTAAACCGGGGGCAAGGTGTGCAAGAAGTGGGTATTGTACAGGATCTCCTAATGGTTATGACAGGTAGTTTTCTCTTGCGTTTCAGTAAATGTCCCTTTTGGGCAGTTCCACGGTGTCGGACGTACATTTTGGACGGTTCAACAGTGTGCGTAATAAAAGTTATAATCATAAAGTGGATTTTAATTCTGATAAAATGTATCAGTTACGACAGTGATTTGAAAAAGAAAGTATTCTTCCAACTTTTGTCTGTGTAGTAGAAATCGGCTCGATACACCATGGTGTTACTGTTGACATACTCAGACAAATTGATATTTTTTTCAGTTGCAATTAACAGTCTAACTTTTGAATATTATTTTAATAAAATAAAGATAATAAGCCACAACATGATCTCCATGTTTCCATTGTGGCATTTAGACCATTTTGAAATTTTAGCATTGAGGTTTAGAATTCTGTGGGGTTTCCCTTTTATAAATAGGCCAAAACACTAATTTGGGAGTTGGAACACTTCTTACTTATGACACTTGAATGACAGCCTTGATCTGTCAACAGAGGGCGCGATAACAGTTCCAGTCTCCTAAAAGTTACAACAGTCCCCAATCCCTGAGAACTAGGTCTGTGGTTGATGAGAAAAAGTCATTGAGAACAACCGATAAGATTTGTATCAATGTGATATTACCTCCGACTTGGTGGTTGTCTCTTGTATTTTTTTATTGCATTTCAATACAGGGTACTGAGGGAAAGTACACGTTACTCCGCCCACCTCAAGACCAATCCTCTGGCCGCACCTTCGTTATTGACCAATCACTGGACGTCTCATTGCGTGAAGTGGCCAATCGCATCCTTCCTGTCTGTACTATGTACTCTGCCGTGGTGCGATTCATTGAGGACAAGTCATCCTTTGAGTATGGCATGGTTAACCATGCCCTGTGTGGGGCAATGAAGACTCTTATCAAAGTGAGTTTGTCTGCAAAATTATGCCACAATGTTTGCCCTTGTGATGTTATCATTATTATTGATGTGCTCTAATAAAACAAGTAATGACGCCCGAAATGCTACCTTCCTATTGGGAGCACAACTTTGTTTTACCATATTTTTTTGTCAGCCACACTTTTCCAATATACAGACAGAACTAGACACCCAAAGTTTTATAAGTCGTTAGAAAGCTCATTTTGTTCTGATTTCAACGAATTGAAAATTAAAACCCACTTTTTTGTCAAAGGTGGGGAGCTAATTTTTGTACGAGCACAGTTACATATGTTTGTGGATGTTGAATATCTGAGAAAACGAATCTGCAGGCCAAAATCCTGAACTGGACTCTACAGCAATCAGCACTAGTCTCGGTTCAAGACGTACTATGTGATACTCGTTACGTGATTTATCACCTCAAGATGCAATTTGAGCACTATGCATTTCGCATAATTCTGACCGACCATACTGACGTTTACGCTGGAATCGATTCTAATCAGAGTTAGGAATCGAATAAGATAAAGTACTTAAGAATCGAATATAGTGACAAATTGGTTGAAATTGCCCCCTCTTTAGTGGAATTAATTTCTTCTGCACGCTAGCCAAAAATGTAATAAATATGAAGGTCTTGGAACTAAGGCAAAAAAAAAATACTCGGTCTCTGGTCAGCGCGCGCGTCGATTTTAATCATGCACGTCAACCTTTTTTCTTTTTTTTTCAAATTAACATGGAAGCTACAACAGCACCCTCTATTGCCACACCTCAAATTTTTGTACCAAGGAACACCAAGGAATGGGGAAATTGCACCAAGGCAAATGATATAGGGCACCAATGCAAATTATGGAGGACACCAATGTATAATGACACAAAAAAACAAAATAGTACCCACCTTGTCTGTACAATTCAAGCTTGAACAAAAAAAAAAAACACGTCGCCGCATCAATTCCGGAACTTCGGTCTGACCAGAGACCGATTTTTATTTTTTTTTTGCCTAAGACTAGGTTTACACAGGCTTTGTGTATAACTTCCCTTAATCCTCATAAGCAAGGAATCAGCCATTTGATCAATCAATCAACCAACTTGGTTTTGAAAACTTTGGGTATTCATGTGAAGAGCGTCATAATCAAACTCAGATCTCGTATTCCATTCACATGTTGTTTATTCCACTTGTTTGATAAGGCATGATTCAAGTCTACTTCAGTGAGTTGTAAGTGCAGGAAAGCTTAACCCCAGCTCATAAAAAGGCTAACACGTTATTGGGTTGATTTTGTAGGAGTATTCCATCTTGACAGCTCAGCTGGAGCATCAGTTCAGACAGGGTCAGCTCCCTCTGCAGAGATTTTGGTTCTACATCCAGCCGTGCAAGCAGACAATGGAGATCTTAGCGTCAATTGCACAGGCCATTGACCGTGGGGCGTCAACAGGGGGCGCTGTGCTCAGCCTGCTGCACGAGAGGACTGTGACTATGATAGGGTGAGGGAAATACTTCAGCTCCCACTGTATGTGCGAACAAGAGAGGGCGCTTTTTTACCAGTTAAGAGAGCCCAGTGGCCGGGACACACCGTGTGCTGATTCAGGGAGTGTAGCGCAACGTATGCATGACTGAAAGTTCATTCTGAATGTGCACAAAGCCATGGCGTCTTTGCTAGAGTGCCAGGCGTCATCGGCAATGCATTCGAATGCCTCTCCCAGTGGTGTCCCCAAACTCTCCCTTTTTTCTTTAGAGGGTACTTGTGCATGGAGCCAATGTGACGCGTGACATGTGACTTGTCATAGTGACATGTGACCCGTCATGTGACCCATCATAGCTGTGACTTGCTGAGAGGAAAAATATCTCACAAGCATCTTTGTAAAGTGATTTCATTATATTGTACAGTTAACAGGAATACATTCAAATCACTAAAGTATTTCAAGTTGAGCACATGCAGTCCAGAGTAGTTGCTAAAAATTACAATCATGTGATCACAACATCCAATTTAGTAAACAAGTGTGGTTTACACTGTGCTCAGAATCTTGTTAACATTACTTTATTTTAGGATCTAGTGCAGATTTATTCATCTTTGGGACTTGTTCTTTTTGCGATTGCAGTCTTGGTTTTGGTTTTCCAGTGATTCTTTGACTGTAAACACTGGATTTTTTATGTGTGTTTTCATTTAAATTGATATTTATTTTCTTGTCATCCTATCAGTGATACACGAGCTCAGAACCTTTGCCTGTTCTTGACGCAGTCAGCTTGTGCACCGTACTTTGAAATTTTGGAGAAATGGATCTATAAGGGAATCATCAAGGATCCGTACTGTGAGGTATGTAGCGCCCATTTGGTGAATTTCTCCTGCCTTTTAGGAAACATGGGAGAGGTACCTTTTGTGTCAACAACTTTGGAACAGCTCAACGGTAGAATATGATTGAAGTGCAGATGTTTATTGAATACACATATACGGGGTTCCCAGCCACTCTGAAAATCAGGAAAAACCATGGAAATGAGTTTCCCTTTTTTTCCAGTCAGGGAAAGCTCATGGAATTTGGGAAAAACAGCAAAAATCAGGAACACTCCGGGAATTTGACAGTGGCCCAGTAGGGAAAGGTTTTCACCAGTGTGGCATGTGTGCATCTTTTGCCGTGTGTCCAAGTTGCGTCCATTGACTGACTGGCTATGGTGGCTTTTGACTATTTATGCAGTGTGAATATTATCAGTATCTTAGTTGCTTTGCGGCAATCACCTCTTGACTTCCCAGCAACCTTGTTAAAGTGCACATATTTCTCATGGAATTTTGGGAAACCAATTCAGGGAAATATCAAGGAAAAGTCATGGAATATAGTACTATATTGACCTGTAATTTGTCGAAAATTAAGTACTGGCAATTCCACCTGTGCTGCTTTTGTAGTTCATGATTGAGGAGCACGAAGCCTTACGAAAGGAGAAGCTGCAGCAAGAATACAATGACGCTTACTGGGAGCAACACTATACCATCTGTCGGGACAGGATACCAGTCTTCTTGGAGACGGTCGCTGATAAAATCCTGCGGACAGGGAAATACCTCAATGTCATCAGAGAGTGTGGTGAGAAACTGTGAAATGAAAGGTTTAGGGTTGGGTGGGAGGGGGGGACAGATTGTTTTTTTGTTGTTGAATCTTCAAAGGTTGATACAAAGTCGGACTGAGAAAATGTTAATGACCTATAATCAAAACGTGAGGTTAAGTTCACGTAAGGTATATGGGACTTTTTCCGATGAGATTGTGTGTCAGTAATAATTGAAGATAATTTTTGCTAATCTTATAATTGAAATTTTGAATTTTCAATCTTTCGACATGACTGAACCCTTCATTTTTTTCCGAGCTTGAAAGGTTTACCTGAAAAAAAAACTCGTGTTTTCCTGAAGGTTTTCTTGTTTCTTGGGTTTTTTTTAAGGGCGTGACCCCAAATGCCCGCATGCAGAGGAGATATTGTACACACTGAAGGAGCGGCAGTATGTTGAGCACATTGAACACGCCTATCAGTATGCAAGCAGGGTGCTACTGGATCACATTATAGACGATCGGGAACTGATGCCTAGACTCAGGTATGTCGAAATCATTTCATCCATTAAAGTGGGCACTGAATCTGCTTCTAGAAACGATGGAAGTTTAGAAATGGCCACAAATTAAGTTTGGAGAAAGTGCAATTACTTTTTACAACTTATGAATCCAATTCAACGGCCACAAATGTGGCCAAATGACCAGATTACAATAATATGTAAAATTACAAATATGTGCTTACATGGAAATTTCAAAATTGAAAAACTTTGTTAAGAAACCAATAACTACTACAACATTCAAAAAAATTGTACATGTATTGTGCGCTTGCATTGCTAATATTTTTCACGTAGCAAGTCTAGCAAGACAATTTGATGGAGTAGCATGCTAGGCCCAATGTTATAGCGCTGCTAAGCACACGTTTTTCTGCTTCCAGAGCCTCTGTCTGTTTCATGGAGACCGTGAGCAGTACGTTCACAAAATATTAGTCCACTTCAGTGGAAAAAGCTGCTTGAATTTAGCAAGGTAACAGAAGAAATCTCCATCCGCACTCAACCGTTAGCACATCCATGCCATGAAATAGTGCTTAAGGTTAGCACAATTGTCTGCTATAGTTAGCGCAACTTTTCTGCCAACTGTTCAGCAACGCCATGAAGTTGGCTCCTGATCAGAGTTTGAAATTTCGCTCACTAAATAAATTAAGGAAACTAGTACTCCAAGTTAACATTTTGAAACTCTTCATCAGGTCCATCAAGCGATACTTTCTGTTAGAGCAAGGAGATTTCTTTGTCCATCTGATGGACATAACCACGGAGGAGATGAAGAAACAGGTGGATGAGATCATCCCAAGCAGGCTGGAGTCGCTGTTGGAGCTAGCTCTACGGACGAGTCAGGCTAAATCAGATACCTTCAAAGATGACTTGAGGTGAGAATAGTGCCTTGTGTTGAGTAGACACAGTATTCAAGTGATTGTTTTTTTTTCCGAAGCAGGTTAGAGTTGCTGTTGGAGCTAGCCTTGCTGATTAGTCGGGTCTAAGATGAGAACTTTTCCAAGTCTTGGGTATAAGATTTTAGGCTTTGCATGGTGGAGTATCAGTATCGTTTTGGTTTGCGGTAACACCATGTGGTAATAACTACTGTCGCTCAGTAGATATGGAGTTCTGAAAAGAACTTGTCCTGCTTATCAACTTTTGCTAAGTAGTTTTAGTTCTGATAAGAGCAGTCCTGCTTTAAGTTCTAAAAGAACTTGTCTTTGGTCTCAACGTTTCGACTAGCCTGCTCTAGTCATCGTCAGGAGACTGCTTTGGTAGTCTTTGGTAGATACTCTGTCGTGGCGTTTTGAGCTTAAACAGTAATTATGTTTCTCCGTGTGTATTTTTTTCAGGGTGGCATTGCTTCCTTATGATCTCATCACACAGCTGCTGAGAATTATCTCCATCGAGTCAAGAGTTGAGAAATGTAAGCTTTTGAAAATAATTCTTATCCTTGGATGAACGTACAATTCAGTTTTATCACTCAAGCCATCCATCCTGATAGAGTCATCGTTCTGTTATAGCAAATAGATTCAAATCCCTCTGTAATGCAATTTCTGTTTTGTTTTTGATTTATTTTTCATGATTTTCCTTACAGCAATCATTCAGGAGATTGACCCTACTGAGATCAACATTTCTTGTCTGGAAGCATTCTCCTTTGATTACGTTGTCAGATGGCCTGAGTCGCTCATCCTCAGCAGAAAGGTAGGAGGAAAGATTCACAAGTCTTACAAGTCCTCGCAAGTCCTCACAAATTCTTGCAAGTTCTCACAATAAGTCCTCGCAAGTCCTCACAGTTACTTACAAGTCATCATAAGTCATCACAAGTCCTCACAATAACTCACAAGTCCTCACAATAACTCACAAGTCAACACAAGTCATCACAAGTCTACACAAGTCCTCAAAAGTCCTCACAATTACTCACAAGTCCTCACAAGTCATCACAAGTCCTCACAAGTCAACAAAAGGCAACATAAGTGCTCACAAGTCAACACAAGCCAACACAAGTCCCTTAGTCCCAAGTCAAGTCACAAGCTATCAATAAATTGTGACAAAAGCGCTCTTTGTTATCCCCCCCCCCTCCAAATAATTGCGACCAGACTTGGGATGCACTTGACTACAGCCCTAAATTTGGGTTTATATAATAATAATAATAACTTGGGGGCTAGCCATCCTTACTCGCAGCTGAGAAGCTGAATTGCGAAGTACACAGCTACAAATTGGTCAAGCCAAAGGCGCCTTAGGCTGCCGCCATATGACCCATGTCTGACCACAGAGCACAGCCAGAGATGATTTTTGCAGAGGGAGGATAACCAGAAAACCTGGAGAAAAACCCTCGTGGCACAGGAGAGAAACAACGAACAACTCTGCTCACATATGGTCCAAGCCGGGAATCAAACCCGGGCCACAGTACAGTGGTGAGAGGCGAGCATTTTACGCACTAGCCACCCTTGCCAGTATGCCACCGTATATAATTGATACCATAGTAAGCATTTTAAAGCAACTGCTTCATTCTGCCTCGATGCCTTAATTGTTGACAATCTGTAATCTATGAATCTTGCAGGCATTGACTCGCTACCAGATTCTGTTCAGACATCTGTTTTATTGCAAGCACGTGGAAAGAATCTTATGCAAGTAAGTACTGTGGTTCTTGGCACTATCTCCTTGCAGATGGACGCTCCGGCACACAGTGTGAAATTTGTTTGGTCACAAATTTTGTTTGTATGTTGTAATATTTTCCCATCCTCCAGTGCTGTTGTGAGAAGCCTCAGCCGCATCAGAATATCTCGTTTAGGGCTATTATCTATGTCTTTGCCCATTACACCTGCATTGGAACAATCTGACAATAGACATAGCCGTGGCTTTGAAGACCCATTTCGGACATGGCATCTAATTGCACCATGGGAAACTTTCACACAACCTCGAAAGCAATTACTTGTACAACTGCTTAAACTAAAAATTATGTCAAGAGTTTATAAAAAAGTTGTCAATTTTACAGCATAATTAGTCCTGCTCTTTGATGCCACTTTGTAATTAATAAATTCCTGTAATGATTTTGAATAAGGACAAAATAGTGTGTTGGAGCATTTTAAACGCCTGATTTGAACCGGTTAGTAGCATATTCTCAGATAATGGCTCGAGCCGAACCTCATTCATAAATTCCTTTTTGGTCAGAGCCTAAATTTTTTTTTTAAATTCACGAAATGTTAACAATTAATGTGTCGTTTAACAATTTTAATCAATGTCCATGCCACTTCTATGCTGTGCGTCGTGAGTGTGGTTTGCTTAACATCTCTTCCTTATATGGAGATTGTGTCAATGGTTCCGAAGCACCTGGTTGCTATCGGCAAGCGTGGCCTGTACTGCATTTATGTGGCACAGAGTGCAGCCCTTGTGATCTGTTATAAACGTCACTGACTGGTGTTTAAACAGTGGTTTAAGACCACCCACATGACAGGCTCTCGACCAATAGGAGTGGTTAAACTGTCTCAGGTATTTATGAATCACTTCTTATCTTTTCTTTCCGTTTTTAGTTTGTGGGTGTTGAACAAGGCAGCTAAGCAGTACACCCTCCACTCTTCCAGGTGGTACGCTGCAGCCTTCGCACTGCGCCAGAGAATGCTTCACCTTGTCCAGAATCTACAGTACTACATGATGTTTGAGGTCATTGAACCCAACTGGCAAATCATGGAGACTAAACTGAGACAGGTAGGCAAAAAAATAACTCAGTCGAAAAAGTACTTTGTATAACTCAACATTTTAACAGTCACTCGAGGTGGAGTAGCCTCTCGAGGTGGGCAGATGTTAACCTACATGGACCAGCTGTGTCGGGACACTGGGCTAGCCTCCACAGCCGAGATCAGGACGGCCATGGGAGACCGTGATATATGGCGTGCCTTGGTTGCAGTCCGACGAGAGTCGACTTGATGATGATGATGATCATGAACAGTCACTCCCAGAGACTGTGTAATTCTAATCGATTTAACTGTGCAGTGACCAATACAAATTTCACAATTATGTAAAACTGATTTTGTGTTGTTCTATTTTGTTGATTGATTCTTCAGGTGTCCACCATTGATGATGTACTCGATATCCACACCGACTTCCTGAACATGTGTCTGAAGGATTGCATGCTGACGGACCCAGAACTACTGAAGATTGTCAGCAAACTCATGCTAGTGTGTGTCACATTCGCCAACTGCATACAGGTAAGAATCCCAAAAACTCATTTTGTAGATTTGTGAAATAAGAATTGTAATTGAGTCAGTCGCAAGTCAACACAAGATATCATAAGTCATCATAAGTCACCTTGAGTCACCACGAGTCAGGACAAGTCATCTCTTCTTGATTCAGGTCACAAGCTATTCAAATGAACCATGGCAAAAGCATTCTTTTGTCTTGACCTGGCTAGTGTATTGACCAGTGATTTGACTTGTGATTGACTTGTGATTGACTTGCGATTGACTTGTGATTGACTTGGGATTGACTTACGATGGACTTGTGATGAACTTTTGATTGACTTGCGATTGACTTGCGATACTTGTGATTGACTTGGGATTGATTTGGGATTGACTAGGGATTGATTTGGGATTGACGTGTGATTGACTTGTGATTGACTTGGGATTGAATTGGGATTGACTTGGGATTGACTAGGGATTGACTTGGGATTGACTTACGATGGACTTGTGATTGACTTGTGATTGACTTGTGATTGACTTGTGATTGGCTTGGGATTGACTGGTGATGGACTTGAGATTGACTTGCGATTGACTTGCGATGGACTTGCGATGGACTTGTGATGGACTTGTGATTGACTTGTGATTGACTTGCGATGGACTTGTGATGGACTTGTGATGGACTTGTGATTGACTTGGGATTGACTTTAGATCGACTTACGTTGGACTAGTGATTGACTTGTGATTGACAGTTGTGATTGGCTTTGGATTAACTTGTAATTGACTTGGGATTGACTTGTGATTGGTTTGTGATGGACTTGTGATGGACTTATGATGGACTTGTAATGGTCTAGTGAGTGACTCATTAAAACTCTGCATTAAATAGATCAATTGTAAACATGACATGACAAGAAAAAGATTTCAAAGTTTCTTCCTTTGCACAGCGAATGACAGAGACAATGAACGTGGAGGGTGAGGCGAGTTTCCGAGTGGATACGACTGACCCTAAAGGAAAAGATAAAGACAAATCCGAGTCCAGGAAATACAGGACTGCAGCAAAGGTATGGTCATGGGAGTCAAGTCAAGTTAATGGGCTCCGTGCACAAGTACCCCCTCAAGGGTTACAAAGGGAGAGTTGGGGGAGACCACTGGGAGAGACATTCGAGTGCATTGTTGACGATGCCTTGCACTCACGCACAGACGCTACGGCTTTGTATACATTCAGAATAACATGAGTTGTGTGTACTTTGTGCCAGATGCGCACAAACAAAAACATTTGTTTAGGCCAAAAAAAAAGTCTCCGGTTTCTGGTATGCGCGCGCGTCGCCGTAGCCATGCGCGTCGGCAAAATGAAGAAGTTTTTTTTTTCAATGAAAGATGATGTCTCAAAACCGCCAAACTCACTGGTTTGACAGGAATCCTGCTGCTGCACAATTTTAACGTGTTTTGAGATGGGTTATAGTCGAGAATAAGCTTTATGTGGCCTCTCTGGACTCCCATATATTTGCACTAAGTTTGGTCGGGCACCATTTGCAGTCATCAGCCGACATTTGAAGCAAAAAAATCAGGGGAAAAAAAAGAAAAGCCGCGTCGCCGCACCACTTTTTGGGCAAGCTCCATACCAGAAACCGGAGACTTTTTTTTTTTGGCCTTATGGTGTAAATCGAGGATTTTCTTTTGTTTCTCTTCCCTTTTCCTCTGTTTATACTCTCAGCTCTCATTGGTTTTGTACACGTTTTTCAACCGAGGAGTCCTTGATGTGGTTCCTGTCCTCAATTCATTGATGATGTTGCACGCGTGCGTCCTCGATTTACACCATGCCTAGGGCACTTTTGAGGTGTCCTTGGTTTCATTACCAGAAATATATAAATAGCCTCCTCAAATTAACCATTTTATGAATCTAGTTAGAATGATGGAGAGAATTGAATTTTATATTGCAACTAGAGGGATAAATTAGCTACCCATCAAAGAAAATGGTATCCATTGATGTAACTCGATGTTTTCTTCTCGCTCTGTCACCAATATATAATTTATATCTGCCATTTCTGAATTGTATGATTATTATAATATTAATTCATTTGTTTGTTAATTATTGATGCACTGATGAATAAAAAATAAAAAAAATAAAAAAATATATATAAATAATAACCTTGAAGTTGAAGAGTTATTAATTTAAAAAAAGTGAATTGTTGAAGGGCACTGGAAATGCAACTTGAAACATTTCTTGTGTGATTGTCTCTATCAGGTGGCATCAGAACACGTCAACCTGCTGATTGGCAGTGAGGAATTCGCCAGCACCATCGCTAACTTTGACAGCAACTTCTCCACTCTACTGGTCAGCCTGCTGGATCAGCTGAGTCTCTTCAGTACGACAGACTGCGAACACAACATGACTAACATCATCCACAGACTGGACTTCAATGGGTTCTACACCGAGGGGTTGGAGAGGGTGGCTGCTGAGAGGCGGAGCAAAGAATTTGAGGGGGAGGCACAGGACCAAGGTATGCTGCAGTAAATTGAAATCTAGGATATTTCAAATACACTGGCACTATTCATAAAATGTATTTAAACTGATAAACACGCTCAAGAATTATTTACTCATCGAACAAGCTAATATATTGGCATACACCAATTTTAGTCTTGTTTATTATTATTATTATTTTATTTCTGGCATTGAAACCGAGGATTCCTCAAAAGCGCCTTAGTCACTGTTAACTCGTAAGCCTGAAGAAACCTGTGGAGAGAAGACAATGAGAGGAAATTACAGTTTTAGAGGTGGGAGAAAAACCCCAGACAAATATTCGGGGGAAACCCACGGAATCAGGTAGGGACTGAAAATCCAATCCACATGTAGACCTGGGCAGGAATCGAATCCGGACCATAGCGGTGAAAGGCGAGGAAAGAACTGCGGACTGCGACATCTTAGATCGTACTGTGCACAGCGTGCATTTACTGTGGGGTTACATCTTTTGCTTGCGTGCCTGCCACTTAGCTGGTACCGCACGTTTAGAGACTGCTAGTTATATGCTATGGAAACCGGTTAAGCCAATGTCATAACTACCCAGATGTATACGATTAAACACGTGATTCAGCCCTCGATTTCTAGCCCGCGATCCATGCTAGCCGCATATTCAACTTTACATTCCAAAGCATGGTGGGATTGTACTCTACATGCAAGTCTAACATATGGGAAAAGGGCTTTACTGCCCTCGGATTCTGCTGGGGACTTATGAGGCCTCCGACACCCGACCAGATTTTCTGATTTGTTTTACCCGATTGGCATTCAGATGGCCTCATATTATTTCATTCCTCTTTTTACCCTCTTGTTTCAAACCAGCAGGCGCATCAGGTAGTTCCCTGACCAGTGTCTCCAGTCTGTCGTCCAGGGCAAGATCTGACTCAGCTGGTACTAGTCACAGACCAGGGAGTAAAGGGACGTAGCCAAGAGGTGATCTGATGATGAACCGATGATGCAGAAAGCAAAAGAATAAACTATGTAAAAGGTGAGATGTTTACAACGAGAAGGGTCTGATAGTTGGTACATCCACTGTGCTAGATGTTTTGCTTGTACTGTATGTAATTGCTAGTTTTCCTAAAGTTACGAAAAGTTCCAGAAATATTTTGCATCTAAAGTGACACTTTATGTATTTTCTTAGACTTATGTTAATGGTACATAGGATTATTTGCTTGTGCATTTTTTTTTTCAAGCAACAAAATTTCGCAAAAGCGGAAGTTGGGTGGATAACAACTACCCTCTGGAAGATTTAGCTCAGCGGCAACTATACATTATGAGAAAACAGAGACAACGTCTGCACATTTTTGGGGGTTTTTGTAACTGGATTCCGTTACTAAAGCACTTAACAAGTTTTTAAAACTGCCTTCAATTATTGTTTTTTTGCTGAATGATATTATTTCAGACAGAGTACTTTGTACCATCCTTTTCTTCACTTTGATCGGTAGGTCCATTTCTGCATTTTTACCAATGATCCTACATGTACCGGTACGTGCCTTTAAGATTTGTTGCCCAGGCAAAATATGTAAATATTGTAAAATGCATTAATATTTACTGTGCATACCCTTCATTGTTCACTTAAAAAGGGCAATCTCGATAAGGTTTTTTTTCTTTCTTTCTTATCCATTTAGCCAACCAAACAACATTTAATTTAATGGGGTCCAAAAGTCAACATTAGATATTTGTATATATTTATAAAATCAGTTTCGTTTACGTGAAGACTCGCGGTTGAATTGTGAATAAAAAGCTAAACAAGATCCCTGCAGTAGATATCATACCACTCCTGTTAATATTTATCTACGTTCTGTGAATCGAATTTCATTTCTGTGCAAATTACAAAGTTGACTTCTTTTCTTATTTTTGTAAAAAGCTTTTTGCTCTTGTAGCAGTACTGCTGTAAGTGTATAAAATGTGATCACAATTACATAATATTACATGTGTTCTTTCTTTTTTGAAAAAAATATTAGGTTTGCGCCATTTTGAATTGTGATATGTTTTTATGCAGTGAAACGATAGTCGCAAATTTAATTTCCATAATGAGTTTAAACTGTACTTTTGAAAAAAGAACACACTTACTGAATTAAAATACTTGAATAATTGAAGTATGTATGAAAATTAATATGTAAGGATCGTTCACAGTGTTGTCCTGAAAATATGGACGTTTGTCTATTAAGTTGTTCTTTTTTTGGAGCAATATATTCACAACCTCATATTGATTTTTATTTGACATCTATCTCTGAAATCTCAGAAATCTCAGAAATGTAAGCACTTTTTATTTATCTCGTGGCCCCAAAATGTTCCGATGTACTGACTCTCCGAATTATGATAAAAAGCACCTTTAAAGGGAATGTACATCATTGGCTGTTGCTGTAATTTTCAGAAATGAACTATTTGAGGGGTTAGTATAATAGATCAAATATTGTTACACTGACATTTTTCGAAGTTTTGTGTTCGAAAAGGTTGGAAAAACCAAGAAAAACAAAAATGTTCAAGTAGTCTGGTTCCCTGACTCCACAAAAGGTAAAATGGATCAATTTATAGATGATTGAATATTGTAAGGCAAGGGAACCAGTCTAGCTGGCCTGCACCCATTCATGAACATGTAACCAATAGCAAACAAAATTTGGAATGAAAAAATGGTAAATTTGGAGCAGTAGTTGAAAAATAGTTAGGTTTTTCCAACGCTGGTCGGCCGACCACCGTTGGAAATGCATACAAAAATACCATTTTCTTGAAAATGACTTCACACCAGGTGCCATAATTTTACAGGATGCTTGAGACTGTCATTTACCTACATCCTAGTAAGTTATTTCGTAAAAACTTGGTAGTTTTATTTTTCGATGTTTGCAAGTGTTGTATATTCCCTTTAAGTGTTGACCAGTGCTATTTTTATGCCCTGACGTCTAGGATACAAGCCGTCTGCATTGTGATATTAATACATTAGTCGAGACTGCACAAGGTACAATATGTGTACTGTTAAACAAATAGCTGCTGTGCGCTGTGTGGTCCGTGGGAATTTTTCACAGAAGTTAATCAGTAACAATTGTCAACATTTTGGCGGGTAATGCCGGGTACTAATCACGAACAATGGAATAATCCTTTATACTATGCCTAAGGGATCATCTTGAATGTTTCTCTGTCTGGATGCAAGTTTTTTTTTTTATGCCAAGAACATCAAAAATTCATAACAGATTCTTGAACAGAGCCCCTGATCATATTTGTTGACAATTTAGGAATGCTTAATTAAAATGTGCGGTCAATTAAATTGATTGGCTAAGTTTTTATTAAAGAAAATAAAGGGTCAGAATTTTCCAAGTTGAAACAATTGTTGCGTTTGCAGTTCATGTTAAATGTATTTAGTTTTCCTCAAACGAAAGGGAAATCCCCTTCGTATCATTAGTTCAATCTATGTTTATGTTTTCTTTTAGTCTCATGCAAATCAGTATGTACATGTGTAATATATAGTCAGGGTAAGATTTGTCAGGATTTTCTTCATTTCAGAATTTTTTTAAATTTTTTTTCTTTTATTTTCAGATTCCAGGATTTTTTCTTCATTTTCCTTATTTCATGATTGTTTAAAGATTGTTTTTGATTTTAGGATTTTTACAGAATCCGTTTTGAATTCTGGAATTCCTGAGGTGTTTTACCGTAAAGGTGGTTTTATACCGACAAAGATTTATATAGAACAAAAGAAATTGGTATGTTAGGGTTGCCTTTTGGTAAGTTTATACAAACATATACCATAGACCCTACATGACCATAAAATCCTCTACCAATAATTTTGTGGATTTTTTTTATTTTCCTCTGAATTCGGCTCTGCATAGGTTCATGCCCCCCCCCCCTCAATTTGAAAATGGAAAGCAAGTAAACGTACAAGAAAGCCATATATTTTCTGTTGGACTTGGCCTAGCCAAGGTTTTCCTGCATATAATCTGATCAGTCTGAGACAATTATTAACTGCAACAGCTAGCCACTGTACTTTGCATCTGCTTCATCCGAGACAAAACGTTAATAGTTGACTTCAGCATTTGTTGTTGGGGCGTTTTCATGTCTTTGCCACGTCAGTACATGTCCAAGGTTCAAATACGTTCATTATTTGATTTCCTGTTGCGAACCTCAGAAATGGCAGATTATCTTTCAAATGTTTGCTGTAAACTCAAAAACATTTTCCATATTCTGTTCCAATGCTTTATATCACAGGTCATAGTTACAACCAATTAAGCGTGTGAATTACCAGATATATTTGAAGGGATCAACTTTGATTTATTTGCGTAGTAAATAAATTAAGCTTTTGAATTGATGAAAGGGTCCACGAAATGAATTTTACTTTAAGAACACTTTTTGTGCAACTTTCTTCTCCTAAACGTATGAAAATTATTTGACATCCCTTTTTGGTTAAATTTATTAAAAAGAGCACTTCTTTAACCCTAACTCCCTGGGCATTTTTGCTAGGATGCAACTTCAACTGCTTCCATGTAAAAGATTGCATACAGCCTCAATCCTCCAAAATCATCTGTTATTTCTTGAATGTGGTCCTTGGAGAGGTGACCACTACCTCAATTCTTCAAAATCCTCCAGCAATCACTGTCAATATGTTGAGGCAGAGCCAGTGACATCCTGGAGCAGTGCAGAGGATTGCAAGTATAATATAGGCCTAAATTTATGCGAGGTCAAAAATCAGTCACACATTTTTGGCCATATGCCTCGATCCCGTAAAATCCTCCACTTATGCAAGTAGGATTTGGCGGATTTTGGAAGGCTAGGGTTAAACATTTTAAATTATTTATGCTTTTTGGTGCAACTAATTAAGGGTGCTGTTGCTGTGATGTCATTTCAGGAAGACGCTGTTCAGTTTTTTTTTATTAGGGGTTTTCTGTTACCCAAACCCTAAAATTTGCTCATTTAAAACCTTTGTGAGAAATGTTTGCTCATTGGCTTACTGCCATTGACTGACACAACAACGAATTACCAAAGAAGAGGCAATTTACAACAGCAAAATATCCAAAATTCTGCCAACTTTTGGTGCTGAAACAGCTGTAACATTGAGGTTTCTGCCTAAAATGACATCACAATTTTGCTCCGGAAATTTGCATTAGCATAAAAAACAAACAAAAAAAGGCATCAAACACCATTGATAATTATTCATAAGATGGAATTTTGCGTCAGGGTGATGTAAATCAAATTAAGTGATTTTCCCTTCACCGACGTATATATACACTGTATACTCAGTGTGCTACCTCCCGAGTGAAAGTTGGAAAAAAATCACTCGGGTGGGACTCGAACCCATGACCTCCTGCTTTCTAGTGCAGATGTCTTACCACTCGACCACCGAGCTAACGGGATCGGTTGGCTGGTTCAAATCTAATGTACATAGCAGCGGGTACTGCATTAATTATTCACAAGATGGAATTTTGCGTCGGGGTGATGTAAATCATATTAGGTTTTGCCCTTCAACGATGTATATTGAAAATAAGATTAAATGTGCCACAAAGGTGCATTTTTAAGGACTGCATTAAAAAAATTACATTGCATGGGCCTTAAATTTAAAGCATTTTCACAGAAGGCATGTATTTTAAGCATTTTCACAAAGGGCTTTTCTTTAAACTGCTATCGATTTGTGTTTCGATTTGTTTTCGATGTGACTTTTTGCTTTATGTTTCTCGGTTCTGCACGGCTGTGTGCATTTACCATTACCCCAGGAGATACATATCCAGAGTGCTTCCTGTTTTTGTAATCAGTGCTTGGCCGGCAGTGTGCTGTTTTTATTTTGAACCGTACGTCATGTTTCCAGATGATTGCGGAGATAGTTATGATCCAGTGACAGATGGCTTGCGGCTATGTCTAAATGCGTCAGCTCCATACATGTTGAAAGACACAGTGTCTTGAAAAGTCATTTGAATTACTCTGAAGCTGGCTAAGAATATGATTAGCATAAACTGAAACCATTAGTGAAAGGTATTCTTTGGTCTGCTCTTTAAAATATTGCCATACATGTACTGAAACAATTAATAGCAATAAACAGGTATGAGAGTTTCAGACATTTGTCTGAAATCAGACTTTTTGAATCCAAAAGAAAGACATCACTGTAGAAAGAAATGAATATTTTAGACCTTTCATCCAATTTTCAGACCTTGTTTTGAAATTGACAATCCCTAAATAAACACCCAAAATATTATTGTATTTTTTTTGGGGGGGGGGGGGGAGGGAGGGGGATAATTCTGCAAATAAAAAAAATTCTGTGAAACTATAAGTTGTTTTCAATCTTGTTTACAAGATGTAATTAAGGATTGAAAGTGCGTTTTGAATATTTATCCAGTCTTGATTTATAACTCATTTTAAAGCGGGTGACAGAAATCATTTAACACTTCATGTTCGAAAGCTGGGGAGAGACGCGTATTCTACCTCAAACATGTACATGTGCATTCTAATCAGTTCAAAATTACGTGATGTCATTTTGAAGAGCAATGAAATAAGTACAATCCACACATGCAGGCATACTGATTGTCTTGTATTTTCATCATACCACTTACACACATTTAGCAAGTATTTTCACTTTTCTTTATATCACAATAACATTTGACTAGTCTGCGAGAATCCAATCATTTTATGTATTTAAGATTCCTTTTAAGCATTTATTACCACCTTCACGCAAGCACTGATTACACAATACGTTGGAAACATTTTACAACTCAACGACGCCATAATTACGTTTTGATTGTAGATACACATACACTCTCAAACTGCATACTTGATAATGAGAATATTCAATTTAAATAACACTGTTTCAAAACCACTATGTGGATATATTTGTGTAGGACTTGTCAAACTACAACAAAATTGGTTAATTATTTTATTGAATGCTAGGCAATTTAAAATAACACACCTTTTCAAAACCACTATGTGGATATTTTGCGTAGAACTAGTAAGCGAATAAATTGTGCTTGGATGGTCTTAAACATTCTTGCTTAATACCGGCCAAGCACATATTAATTTCCATTCATAAATACCTTTCGGTCAAAACAAGTCGAAAATTCACAATTTTCGAACGATTTTGACCTCATGTTTTGTAAAACACCCCTGTGACCATGTCTATGATATGTGCCTTGTGCTTGTAGTGCTAAAAATCTCTTTTTGTGGAGATCGGCGCACGCTCCGCGTACTGCGCGATGTGGCGCAGAATGCAGCGGTTCAGGTACTAAGTGTTTGAAATCAGCCTGTGTTTTATCAGCGGTTTAAAACCACCCATGTGACGGGCTCTTGACCAATAGGAATGGGTTAACTGTCTCAGGTATTTGTGAATGTTGAAATTGAAATCTTAAATAATTATTTTGTTGAATGCTAGGCACTGAAATTGTATAATCTACCACTTTTAAATTCTTCATAACATGTAGTGCTGTTAAACAGCTGGAAAAATAAAGAAATAATTTATCATGTTAGGCGTACATGTACTGTAATTTGTGTTCCCTTAAAGCAAATAAAAACAGCAGATGTTGTTGCCAAATCCAACAGATATTTTCCCGCTTAGTTATTACATCTTTGCTTGCCTTAATATTAGTTAGAATATATTCCTATTATAAGCAGATTTAACATTTATACATGTATAGCATTATATTTTAAAATAATATATTGCAATTTAATTGCAGAAGTATTTATAATGAAAGACAAATACAAGCACCACTGCTCAAGTTAATTATAGGGCAAGTCCAAGAAAAGGTCCCTTTTTGGCTTTTTGTCCTGTACGTACATGTAACACAATGATTTCTTTAATTACATAATCACACAAAAATAAGACTAATAACAAAAAATTCTTGTGGGTATTCTTTCTGCAGATGCCCAACATAGAATAAAAAACACGGAAATCCATGAATATCTTAGAGGGTTAAACTTTTGTTACGAGACATAATGTACGCAAATTCTTGTATTTGCCCTATAACCAACACTAATATCTCATTCCAATTACATTGCATAGTTCTTAAAATCACGCATTTGATGCCCACATCCATTCTACTACTACAGTTTTAAATTTTTAATTTATTTTAATTTATACTGCTAGAGGTTAACAGTTACAATACTGATTTACACACAATATTGTTTTTTTTTACAAATTAGTCTTAAAATTGCAATATTAGAGACCATAGTCCGAATCAGCTACATGTATCTGCTCATATTAATCTTCCTAGTCTTCTGCACTTTACGGCCCTTCAATTTTTGCTAAACAATTTTTGCCTATAAAGTTATATCACCTACACTTCAAATATCTTTGATTGCGGTAATCGTCAGTGGAGTGTACAGTCTATGTTATATCCCTGCACAATTCTTTTGTGTGATTCAGCTCAGGGCAAGCAGGCAGATTTGGTCACGCTTCACTGCTCTCCACAGTGCTGTTTTTTGTGCAGTGACTATGTGTGATACATACATGTAAACACTTCATATTCCTTTACCAGAAACAGACCTTCAGAGTTTTACATATTGCTATGAATATTGACTTCCCACCAGGAGGGTTCAATGTTTTTAGCTTGCAGATTATCCCAATTACTCATCAAATATCCGGATGCTGATCAGTCATATGAGCAGTGCTGTTATGTTTCTTGCTGCTAGGGTTCATAATAGTGAACAGCAATGTAATTTTATTTCCATTGTAATTTGTAGTACTGCGCAGCGTGTATTATTGCACTCTCTCGTGCCTATCTTCCTGCTAAACATTTGCGCCTGCTTGAAGCTTTTGTTTTGTAATCATTTTGTGTGATCCTTGAAAACAGAAAACTGTACATGGCGTTTGTCTCCATCTCGCAAGGAAGGATGAAGCCAAACTAGTACCAGACATGAAAATACATGTACATAGTGAGTTCAAACATCCAGCAAGCAAGCAATTTTGAAGGTTACATTTGGCCAAAAAAAAAATAATAGTTCTGCTTCTGGTTACCCTACCTACCCTATTTTGACAGCCCCTACCCTAATTTTTTGGGGGAAAAATGAGGGGAAATCCCGAAAATCATTAATTACTAACTTTTACCCTGGACTACACGCAGACATCTCCATATGATAGTACAAAAAAAAAAGAATTCCCTACCTTCCTACCCTTTTTTCAAATGCCATGCAATCGGAAGCAGAACTTTTTTTTTTTTGGCCTTATGCAAAGTTTTGAGCCAATATGTACATTTTTGTTCAGGTTGGAAAGTGATCTACATGTACAGGCATTTTCAAGTTCCCAGACAATTTTCTGACAGTGAAAATAATCGCATTACATTGATGCTACTGTGCATCATGCGGGTATCCCCAAAGGTTTCTAAACATTATTTCAAGGAATTTTAAGCAGACAGTGCTAGTATTAACAGTTTTTGGTTTATGTGGGCCAATTCCAGCGTTATGTAATGTCTGTGAAAGAGCTCTTAAGAACTGAGAGAGTAAACCTGAAAATATATTTTTCAAATCTCACATACATCATGAAAGGAGAGTTTTACAGACTAGGAGTTTTGGATCGTTTCTCTGAATCATAAATTATGTTATTTGGCTCTTTCAAGGACATTACACTTTCTTTCTGAACGATGGAATCGCTCTTACATGTATGTAAATTTTGGTCAAGTTTCTCCATCTTAGTAGAATGGGGGCCCCAAATATCTATGAATGGTCACACCGCAACCATGGACTCTCAGTGCACGAGGCATATCGACCACGTTTGACCAATAGGTGGCGACCGGACTGAATGCTTCCACCGACGTCAGCGCCTCATAATTACGCATCCCTCCGGCAACTAAGATGACTCCTTGTCTTTGTAGAGCCACAGCGGCAAAGAGATGTCTCTCTGTGTTACACATGGTCATCGATGGTAGACAGGTATCGGTGTCCGGATCGTAGACCTGCATCCCGTTACGACCGCAGCCGCCCAGAATGTACATGTAACCATTCAACATCAAGGCCGGGAAGTGACGGCTTGTGATCGGGACGGTTTCAATGATGGTCCACTGAGTTGTGACTGTGTCGAGACACTGAATATGACGGTAGGTCGTCGCTTGGGTGGCAAGACCCCCGACAACAAACAGCTTCTGTTGATGGGATGCGATGGCGGGACTGGTGACTGGTTCGGGGAGTTTAGTCACCGTCTGCCATTCGTTCCTGCAAGGACTGAAGCTCTCAACTTCGGAGACAAAGCCTAATCTCTGTTCGCCGCCAGCGACAAAGATCTGATCGCCGATCACGGCAGAGCCATGATGCTGACGTGTAAAGTTTAAGCCCGACATCGTACACCACCTGTTCTTCTCAACGTCGTAGCAGTAAACCAACTCCGAAAAGCTGGCCTTCAGCTTTCCTCCTATGATGTAGATACAGTTGTCAAGGCGAGTGACCGAAAATTCGCTCACTGGTTGGGGGATACTTGTGAGAGTCTCCCATTTTTTTAGAAGTGGATTCAAGAACCTGACGTCAGTGACACAGCTGTGATCGTCTCGATAACCTCCTACAACCACCATGACTTCAGCCATGGTAGACAATCTGGGCCTGGAATAGATGAGCCCCTGTGTTTGCCCTTCACTTTGAAGCTTTTTCTGGGTTTCCAAAGATTGGTGGACCAAAGTCAATGTTTTCAGGTTCTCTGTGATATCAGGATTTTCTGTTAGGGACTTCAGAAGTTTTGGAGTGAGGTAATGCAGACGGACACAACTAAGAAGCTTGCGCAGCTCCGAGGAATCTAGATCCTTATTCGATTCCATCCACTGGGCAACGCTGTGATACACCATCTCCTCTTTGGACACATTCAAAGCATCGTGAGACAGATACTCTGCAAGCTGATTGGACTTCAACTGAAGAAACTCTTCCTGCTTGCAGACATCTTCAAATCTGTCCAGACTGTACGCCAGCGCAGCCTGGTAAAGTCCCGATAAGGAGTGTTGGTCAGCGAACATCAGCACTCCTAGACAATTGGACGGATCAAGATTCTTCTCAATGAACTGGCAGCATGCCCCCACAACTTTCTCAAACTGGAGTCTGCTTGAAGCTTCCAGTAATGCCTGAGCATTTGCTGTGTCAATGATGATGATGGATGTGTAGGCGTACTCGATCAATAGTTCCATGATGTCGGGATCTATCTTGTCTAAATACACCTGCCCGTCGTCGCTCTCTCGCAAGTCGTTCGAGAACATGGCCAAGAAGTATTCACTACAGCATGCCAGGATAGCTCGATGGCAAGGAAAGCTTTGAGAACCAACATGAACTGTAGTGTCCGTTAGCTGACCCTGTTTCCGCATCTTGTTCAAGTTGGGTAGAATCTCTGCGGATTGGCTGGTATCTTGGAAGCGGACATTCATCATCTGTTGTTTGTTCTCTGCTCTAAAACTGGAGCGTTGTCCTCTTTCCATGTTTAGTCACTCACAGTACTGAAAGTAGACAACAAAATAATTGTTTGCTCAATTCAGAAAACTTGTCCCCCCCCCCCCTCCCCCTGGTGAAATTGTGCCTTTTTGTTTAAGTTGTTATTTTGTTAATGAATTGAAAACACCAGCTTTCCACAAAGTCCCTACTAATCTCCCTTAACCAGTTCGCGCCGGGATTATTTTGACATTGACCGGACTCAGGCGCAGGATTGTTTTTCACGAACCTCGATGCCAGACAAGTTCAGGCTGTCATCTGCGGGTAGCACACCCTGATATTTCCAGCCTTGCTCGCTGCGAGCGGGTCGCTGACAGATATTTCCGGCCTCATTCGTTGCGTGTATATCCGTCATCCGTTCCAAATAATGCAAAGCCTTTGTGTGTATACACGTAATCGGACGTGAACTGGTTAAAACTTTTCTTTAAATAAAAAAATCTTGTTTTTGTGTCTCCAATGCATAAAATATATGCCACTTGTTCATAAAAGCTGAAAAACATTGCGCACGATTGACGATGAAAACACAAATTAATTAATGAAAACAAAAACAACAAGAATGAATATCCATACAAAAATCGGAAAAATGTTGGAACCTGACGCCACTTCAGCGGTTGTGTACAAAGTCGATGGAGAGTCAAGACAATTTTATTTTAAAATGATAGTGGATATTTTGCCGGCGGTAATGACGGCAAACTAACATTTACTAAAGGTTTGCCGGCGGCAATCCATATCAACAGAGGGCGCTGTACTCTTTAAGATAGGGCTGAATTATAAGATGTATTAAATTCCCATCAAAAGTTGTGCAGCACGTTTGGTGTAGTGGTTAAGCAAAGGCTCTAGTGAGCGGGATGACTCGGGTTTGACCCCGATCCCCGCCACATTTTTAAAGTTTTTTTTCCCCATCCCTAAATAAATAAGAATATTCTTCTTTTATTATTTTAACATGTCTCAAACATTTTATTGCAGAGTATTACATTTTCTTTTTCAGATTTGTGGCTCTGGAGGATTTTTTTTAAAAGGGAAATAAAGTCCGAAATTATAAAATGGTCTGAATCCCATCTTGCGAATACGAGGTTACAGCGATATTAATATTGGCATGGAGCCAGACTAAAATTTGTCACCGAATAATGTTTAAGTACAAAAAAACAGTACCTGCGTATGTTCAGTGCATATCCGGCAAACTAACGTTTACTAAAGGTTTGCCGTCTCCGGCAAAATATCCACTGCCTTATTTTAAAGTATTTCCTAACAAAAGTAACATAAATTGGAAATCTTTCTCAGTCTCAGATTCATGTCTTATCATTATTTAATGACTGACCTTCATTGAGCATGTTGAGATGATATATGAAGAAAAAAGTGGCGTCGAGTTGCAACATTTGTTCCCAACAACATGATCAAACCATGGTGGAATAAGAACACATTCCTCCATGATCAAACTGGAACACGATCACTTCTCAAGACTTACCATGTCTACCTGATTTATTTGTTGAGAGTTCAATTAGCCTATCGTTTCCTCATGCTCGTCCGTTCCATTGTTAAATCCTTGCCAACCTTGGCCATGACTGCCGACCAATTTGCTGTCACAATACATCAGCTGGCGGCAAGGACATACTCATGCTGTGCGCATTGTGAACCCGTCTGCATTCAACAATGTACTACCGTCACTACTACATTTACTGACACAAATCATGCAAATCGACCGCAGCTAGCTAGCTAGCTAGACAGACCGGCTGGCTCGCTGCACATGTCGTTTTATCAAAACAATACACAGCGCCCTCTATTTTGAAATCGTGTAAAGGAGCAATAAAAACCACCGTCACATTTTGTTGACAATCTACATTTCTAGTAAAATTAATTTAAAAAGACGACTTTGGCATTCATTTTCTTGGGTTTTGTATGGTTAGGAAGTTGGATAGGCTATCCAATACTTTTTCTTTGTAAAAATTATATTTTTTCCTCCATTTATCACAACATCAACAGAAATGGCGAATACAACTTCATAATGTTTTATTTATTAGGACCCTTTTTATTTTTCAAACAAAATTGTTACATAAAACTTATGATAATATTGGTAAAATAAACCTGTTTTATACAATGGTTGTTTATTGGAAGTTTAAAAAAGGTAGGTTCATATGCAACCACTATATTGACAAGTCTGCATGAAATCTTAACAGATTTATATTAAAACTTCACGAGGAATTAAATTGTTAAACCTTATCCAAAGTGAGGTTTTTATCAGCTTGGAATAATAAAATTTCCTTCTTGATTTAACAGGAATTTTAGAGAGAATGCACAAACCCAACTAATATTTCTTTTCAAATCAAGACAGCTTTAAATGAATCCAATATTTTAAACCCAGATTTGAAACCCAGATTTCAAGAATAACAATGATACTAAATCCCAATGTACATTGACAGAAGGGTTGAAAACCTCTGCAAGAAACCAGGCCCAGATTATCCAATAGGCACAGTCGGCACTTTTGGGCTTAAGAAAAATTTGGGGGCCTACTAAAAAATTAAGGGCCTACGAAACAACTGCAGCGTGCCATAAAACACAACCCACACAAACGCCAGCAGGTTTGTTTATGGTGTAAATCAAGAATTTTCTATTGTTCCTCATCATCGATCTTTTGTTTATACTCTAATTTTTTTGCAACAGCTCCCATTGGTTTTGTACGCGTTTTCTAATCGAGGTCGTCCTCTTTTGACTCCTGTCCTAAATCACTCGATGATGCTTCACATGCGCCAACACAAGTACAGGGTGAGTAAAAAAAACCGAAACTGAAATGTCGGGACCATTTTTTTAGTGAAGTTCTGCATGTAGTACTTTCAAAATCTAGGATTTAAAAGCCCAATTCATAAGCTTTCTTTTAGTACAAGAATCATTCAAATCACTCATCTACTTTTCAAGTTATGGAATTTTAAACACAAATACCGTTTTGAAGTTCTGTTCACGGATCACAAAAAGGAAAGTGTTCTTTCAGCAAAACGAAAACAAATCACATAGGGATGTATGTGAATTGGTCCTGACATTTGAGTTTCTTTTTTTTTTTTTACTCACCCTGTACAAGAAAACTTTTCAAAAGTTTTAGCATCTCTCTCTGAATTTTCTTTTTCACCAACTGACACCTACATAGCTGCATAAACATGTACGTTTAAAATGTACGTGTAAAGTTTGTCGTTCTGAAACAAGGTGCCACAGGCTTTTAGAGCTACCAGTTTGGCCTGGCTTGCTTAGTACAGCTTAGCATCAACATGAAATGAGTGTCAGTGCCTAGGGCAGAGTAGGGCCTACAGAACACTGGTGCCTTGGGCTTAGCCTACGGAACACTTAATCCAGCCTTGGCAGCATCCTTCTTGTATCACCAGAAATGTTTTCATAATGTGGGTAAATCTAGATGCTCCTGGCAACTATTGTAGTCAACAAAATTTTATTAGCGAAGATTGACGTCAACTTTCCTCACACAACAAGAAGTCTTTGATTTCGTCTCGCATTCTGGACCTAGAAGAAGAAATAAAACAAAAATTATGTTGAGAATAATCAATGAAGGCACATTACTTTGCTTAAGATTGCTTCATGGTAAACATAAAAATGAACGTCAATTGAATTTCATATAACACGTACCTTCGTTCTATCTTTGCAGATTCCTCTACGATGTAACTCGGGAGTAGGTTCAAGTCCTTCTAAAGAAAGGGAGAAAAAGTGCAAGACACGAAAAGAAAACTCATGTTAGGCCCCCCCAAAAAAGTCTCCGGTTTCTGGTAAAGTGGTGCGGCGACGCGGATTTGTTTTTTTTTTTACCTGTTTTTTTTTGCTTCAAATGTCGGCTGATGACTGCAAATGGTGCCCGACTAAACTTAGTGCAAATATTATGGGAGACCAGAGAGGCCACATAAAGCTTATTCTCGATCATAACCCCATCTAAAACACGTTAAAATTGTGCAGCAGCAGGATTCCACTCAAACCAGTGAATTTGGCAGTTTTGAGACATCAGCTTTCATTGAAAAAAAATCTTTTTCATTTTGCCGAAACGCATGGCTACGGCGACGCGCGCGCATACCAGAAACCGGAGACTTTTTTTTTTTGGCCTTATCCTTGGTTTGTGCTTCAGCAATGTTCTCCTTTAGGTCCAAATTTTAAATTAAAGAAAATGGGGAAGGCAATATATGACGTGGTGTGTCAAAACCAGGCAGAATTGGGCAGAGACTCAGCTGCAAAATGACCATGGGGTGATTTTCAGCGATTTTGAGGTTTTATTGAAATTTGTGATGCTACTAATGTTGAAAATGTTCTGTTCAAGTTTCAAGCTGAATTTTCATTGACAAATTAAAAAAAAAACACTTTTAGAGAGGCATGTCATTTCACAGAATGACACTTTGTTCAAGATTTTGTTCTGAAATGGCGCAAAATTAGTGTGACATTTCGGACAGTCCGATTTAAAACTTAAAAAACTTCTCTTTGGAATATCCAGTTAAAAAAACAAAGCGGCATTTGAAAGAGCAAGGTCTATATTTTACTAGTATTGCTAAGATAACTCAAAATTGACTTCTTGCTCAAAAGTGCTTGCTTTCGACATACCCGCGTCACATATCTGTAGGAGGAATATATATCCGAGGACACAAAATCACACAACCCACCAACTTCACATAGCGGCTCTGGCAATAATTGAACTTGGTGGAAGTACAATAGATTACCACTGCGCTAACCAGACAATTTTGATATTTACATTAGATGAACAAAACCTATTGAAACTCACCATGTCTCTGACTGTTACTTGGCAACCGTAACAAAGGGTCTTACTTAGACTCTCAGCCGAAACACTGAAAGTAAAACAAACAATAATCGGTATTACTGACAAAAATTAATACTAACATCACTTAAGTCTGTTGTTTTGTTAAGAATTGGATCTGTTCAATTTCTCAAACTTTCTAATCACCTTTTCATCTGGTTACTATGGCAACTCCCATCACCTTGTCCACAACACTGTTCTGATGAGGAGTCCGTACATGTTGCATCATCCGGCTTGGTTGCCTTGCAAGAGTTCTCATTGGTTGAACTCCCTTCCTTCCTGGATATATGTAAGGAGAACCTTGTAGCACTCAGAGCAGATGATATCCCCACGGATGTATCAAGCGCTGACTGAGGAAGCAAAAAGGGAGAGCGTACTCTTTAAATTCTATTCTTAAATACGTAAGACAGTTTACCCATTCCTATTGGTCGAGAGCCCGTCACGCGGGTGGTTTTGAACCACTGATAAAACACCGGCTAGTTTTAAGCACTTAATTCCCGCACTGCTGCGTTAGTACGCGCCGCACACGCGCCAATCTCCATAAAAGAAGATTGTTTAGCACTACGCGCGCGAGACACATACCATAGACATGATCAGAGGGGTGTTTCACAAAACTTGAGGTAAAATTGTTGGAAAGAGTGTTGCAACCTGATGCTACTTCAGTGGTTGTGTACAAAGTCTATGGAGAGTCAAGAATTGTTTTAAAGTATTTCCTAACACAATTGAAATGTTTCTCAATCCCAGATTCATGTCTCATCATCATTTTTGCATTGACTGACCTTCATTGAGATGATATATGAAGAAAAAAACAGCGTCAGGTTGCAACATTCTTTCCAAATTGTTGAACAAAATCCTTGGAAATTTTGTGAATTGTTTTGACATTTTTTCGGGCCATTATCCACGTCCAAGCCGGTTTTAAACGTACTTGTTTAAAACCAGCGAAGCACATATTTTTTTACCATAGTATAATATCTACACAATCTCTATCTTGCATGACAAGTCATCGGTGGATTATTAAAACTCTTTGCTTACGAACCATGATCAGTTAATTCTGCAGTGCTACACATGAAAACATACCTTACACATGCTGCACCTCCTCACTGCGTCAGGGTCATCGGATCCAGCTGTGCACATCTTCTCACCTGTCCTGCGTAATTCAATTAAAAAGTGGGACCAATCTCTTAATAGAAGTGTGACTGAGTCTAGCTAGACCTTGTCTTCTTTATTCTTTTGTACACGTAAAGCAATTTTATTAAAGCTGAAAAAAACAAAACAATATTGGGTTTTGCCCTTTACCGACGTATTTTATAAACACTGTATACTCAGTGTTGTCCCAAGTGATTGTGAGAAAAAAAATTGTTCAGGTGGGATTCGAACTAACGACCTCCTGCTTTCTAGTGCAGACATCTTACTACTCGACCACCGAACTTGTCGGGATCGGCTGGCTGGTTCGAATCAGATGTAGCAGCATATACTGCAATGAAACTATTCATAAGATGGAATTTTTCGTTGGGTTGATGTAAATTCAATAAAATGAATGTAATGGCTGAAAAATTATCAGAAATTTGTATGAAAAAGGTGAGGAAACAAAATTAAATGTCACCTTATCCCCCCCCCCCAAAAAAAAAGTGTCAGTAAAGATTATAACTAAAGATAAAATTTATGAGTGATTACTAAATTTGCGAGAGGTTACTGATGTATGGGACACACTCAGAATGGCGTAACTTTTAGAATGGTTTAATTACCTAAACACAGTGCTGACTGTGGAAGGGAAGTTTGTCTGAAGCTCATTGATAAATGTCTCAGTTAGCGTGTCGATGCTGGCATAGTCTCCTGCCATCGTTGCTAATGTTGGTTGAAATAGGGAGTCAACGTTGAACAGCGCATTGTACATCACTATCTCCTTGGTCGTGAACTCCCTAGAATAGTGAAAAAAGAAGTATGTTTATGAAAAAAAGGAACTGACATGTCCTGTTTTGGACAGTGCATCTTTAACAGATTTCCTGCGTTAGAATTACTCAGTAAAACAACATGTTGTATTGATAGTTTTTTCATAATGAAGTAAAAATCTTCAAACTGTGTAGACTTCTTGAAAATAACTTTTGCAATGTCTTAACCCTAACCGCCCTGAATCCTTCAAAATCCTCTTTGCCAAAGTGGAGGAATTCGGAGGATTGAGGTTACATGGCAAAAGTGCGTTACTGATTTCGTAGGATGCACTTTGTCAAGGTCTTGGGCCGGACCTTGTGTTGTTTTTGCTCAGCCATGCATAAATATAAGCCTGGATTATGCTTGAAATCCTCAGTACTGCTCCAGAATGTCATTGGCAAGCCTCAACATACTGACAGTCACTGCCGCAGGATTTTGCAGGATTCAGGCAGTGGTCAACCCTCCATGGACCATATTCAAGAAATAATGGAGGAATCTGCAGGACTGAGGCTATATACTATTTTTCCATGAGGCCAATTGGAGGATTTTGCAGGATTGAGGCTACATCCTAGCAAAAAGGCCTAGGGAGTTAGGGTTAAAGCATATGGGCTTGTATTTTAACAACAGCTATTGATTCAGCATTCTCCTTGCTCTTTAGTCTCAGTGGTGATACTTTTTCAAGAAATTTGTTTCTCTAATGCACAGAGAAACAAATTTGTTTCTCTAACTTCACAGGAATTTACAAAAAAAATAATAAAGAGGACATTCATGAGAATTACATAATTCAATTGACCTTACCTCATCGGTCTAAGGATCGTTACATCTGACCATCTATCATCTGCAAACGCCATGGCGACAGGTATGGATGCACCTCTACCCTTAGCTAGGTTGGCGAGAATTCCCGAGGACAGTCTGGTGCCGCTGTCGCCAACAGCCACTTTGTGATAGCCTAACTGACGAGCCTTGTGCACGAGTAGGCGGTTCCTAGACCGGTCAAAACATTTCTCTTGATTAAATTCGGAAATTGCAAAACCAAAATTTGAAAATTTGTTTTCAGGTGTTCCTCATTCTGTAAGTCCTGTTCTACTTTACTTTTCCCAATTTTGTTTTGTTCAATCAAACATCTTTAAAACCTATTTTCATCCCGATCCCGTTAGCTCGGTGGTCGAGTGGTAAGATATCTGCACTAAAAAGCAGGAGGTCGTGGGTTCGAGTCCCACCCGAGTGATTTTTCCCAACTTGCACTTGGGAGGTTACACACTGAGTATACAGTGTTTATACGTCGGTGAAGGGCAAAGACCTAATTTGATATTTTCATCCCGTTAAACAAAGTTGACTGTTCATTCACTGCAATGCAACATCTGGATTTTTAAAAGCCATTTTCCCAAAACTTATTTTTACAACTTCAATTTAGCTGGTGGTCTATATTTCCATAACTGAACTCAGTACCCCCAAATGTTGTAAACCATTAGGAAGCTCTTGTTCTGCAGAATCCAGAAATAAAACCATCTTAATTCTCAAAACGAACAAATTTTTGCTCATTTTGTGGTGATGGGTCACATTTTATCTTGTACCTTTCATAGCCTACCTGAGATTACTGACAAGATCCTGTTTAGCCGTAAGTGACTTTGCCGACGCTAACAAGTCTCGACATCGTTGAGTATGCTCTGTCTCCAGGCAGAGTCCTTCCAGCTTACCAGCCAACTCGTCTGTATTCGGGTCTTGGTTGCTATGGAAACTGGAACCTGCTTGACAGGTGTCGGGACTTGAGTTTTGGGCAGGAATTTCAAGTGCCTAAGAAAAGGACAGCAAAATAGAGTATTGTTTGCTGCACAAAGTGTAGCATGAGAGGACCCCCCCCCCCCCCAAAAAAAATAAAATGGGTTTTTTAAAAGACAGAAAAACACTGGCTACAGGCTGTGTACGCTTGAACTTATAAAATAAATTATGCAACATGCCCAAATTGGGCTAATATTTAATATTTATCAGAGAATGCTCAATATAAATGTTGATTATTGTTATAGGGATCTCTCAATGTCCCATGTGACCCGACCTACATCTGGGTACCGGAAAGTCAGCGTCGCCATTGTAGTAGGCAAAGATTGAAGTGCTGCGTGCTGTAGGTAGTAGGCAACCCTTCCAAGCTAAGATGATGCCATAAAACTGTGTGAAAACACAGCCAACACCCAGAGCTGGGTAGGTACAATTATGACAATTGACAAAGAATTTGCGGTATTTTACGTGAAAATAAGCCCTTCTGTCTAGTTTACAACGCACGACGTGGTTTCACCAAACGCTTGTCTACTGCAATAGTGGCTGATCACGATGACACTGGATGGTCACATAGCATTGCGACGTGATACGATCGGACCCTACTCCAATTATCCCGCTCGTTAGTGTGACGTGATCTCAATTCAACCGTGCGTACTTCACACGGTGTTGCAAAGCACCAATGGAACCGGAAGCTAACGCAACTTGAGTGTTTATCCAATCAGTGGTGCACGCGCGTGTATGACATTTTTCCTAACGAACCGGATAGGAAATTTCTAAACCTTCAAGGATATTAAGTACCTCCTCCAAAGAAGCAATATACCACGGGAAACCGGTTTCTTTCATTATGTCGCTTATTTTCTGACATGTCGTAGCTCTTTCCTCCTTGGATTGGCCAGTTACTACACCCTCTGAAAAAAAGAAAACATTTAAGATAAAGTAAGGGTTTTGTTGTTACAATTTCAAGGGCAATTCTTTGAATCAGCAGTGAATTTCGTCTTATCTGGGGTTTTTTACTCGACTAAAGCACATGAGGAAAATCAAATACAGTGAGCCACTTAAACAAAGTAGGGGAGTGTGGCTTAGTGGTTAGGGTTTGTGACTCTTGATTAGAGGGTCCAGGGTTCGAATCCAGCCGCTGGCCATATGTTGTGTCCTTGGGCAAGCCACTTCACCCCCACTTGCCTGTCTCCGCCCAGGAGTGTAAACGGGTACCGGCATTAGCTGGGGAGTTACCTGTGATGGACTAGCATCCCATCCAGAGGGAATGGAAATATTCGCAGTCATTTGTTGCCAAGGAAATCAGAGATAAACGCCGGCCTGATGGGCCATATTGGCTAATGACAGACTTTACTTTACTACCATATAAACAAAAAATTGACGTTCACGAAACTGAAAACTTTTCATTTTCATTTCATTTCTGCTTCAAATCTACTATTCAACCATTTCTGTGGCTTTAATGTGTATCACATTTGCATTATCTCCACTCCACTATGAAGTTTTCATTACTCACCGTCAATGTAAATCAGCGCTGGTGTGAATCGGAGTTTCTTGTGGGTGCTTTGATCCAGCCCCTGGAGAAAAAAAAAAGTAGTATGAAAAACCAGATCAAAAACCTATGTCAAGTAGGCCTACATGTGCTTTACATTATTCCTTGATGTGACCTTTGACCTGTTGCTTCCTTACCCTTTTCACAAGGCTGACCATGGCACTCGAGCACTGACCTCCAGAAAAAGCCAACAAGACCTGCGGAGGAAAGGACAGTAACATTAAGAAATCAACGTACACTGTTAATTCAATCTAACAGTTATTGTTCTACAACTGACACTGTGACTTTCTGTCATTCCTACATTATAGTTTGCACAGTTACATATAAATGCAAACATACCTTGTCTCCATCACGTATGACTTTTGCTTTGCCAAATGTTGCCCGGAACCTATGCACAAAGTAGGTTAAGAAGCAAGATCTGGAAAAAAGAAAACATAAAACATAAGATAAATTTAAATTACAATAGCTTTGAGTATAGAGCAACACTAACAGGATGCCAATTGTATTAGTTGTAAAGTGTATTGTTGTTTTTTGTTGATGTTCATGGTTGATCACATGGGTTTGCAGACAGGTGTCATATCTGAGGGCGGAGTTTATGGGTGTGGCATCTGAGAGCTGATTCATGGGTGTGGCATCTGAGGCAGATGTTCACAGGCGTGGCATCTGAGGGTGGAGTTCATGAGTGTGGCATCCAAGGGCGGAATTCATGGGTGTGGCATCTGAGGATGAAGTTCATGGGTGTGGCATTTGAGGGCGGAGTTCATGGGTGTGGCATCGGAGGGCAGAGTTCATGGGTGTGGCATCCAAGGGCGGAATTCATGGGTGTGGCATCTGAGGATGAAGTTCATGGGTGTGGCATTTGAGGGCAGAGTTCAAGGGTGTGGCATCTGAGGGCAGAGTTCATGGGTGTGGCATTTGAGGGTAGAGTTCATGGGTGTGGCATCGGAGGGCAGAGTTCATGGGTGTGGCATCCAAGGGCGGAATTCAAGGGTGTGGCATCTGACGATGGAGTTCATGGGTGTGGCATCTGAGGGCAGAGTTCATGGATGTGGCATCTGAGGGCAGAGTTCATGGGTGTGGCATCGGAGGGCAGAGTTCATGGGTGTGGCATCCAAGGGCGGAATTCAAGGGTGTGGCATCTGACGGTGGAGTTATTGGGTGTGGCATCTGAGGGTGGAGTTCATGGGTGTGGCATCTGAGAGTGGAGTTCATGGGTGTGGCATCTGAGGGCAGAGTTCATGGGTGTGGCATCTGAGGGCAGAGTTCATGGGTGTGGCATCTGAGGGCAGAGTTCATGGGTGTGGCATCTGAGGGCAGAGTTCATGGGTGTGGCATCTGAGGGCAGAGTTCATGGGTGTGGCATCTGAGGGCAGAGTTCATGGGTGTGGCATCTGAGGGCAGAGTTCATGGGTGTGGCATGGCCGGAGCAACGGCATGGCCAAAGGGTGTGGCAATACAGCAGGAATAGGTAGACATAATAGAGTAGGCCTACCATTCAACAATGAGGCGAATCTAACAACTGATCCAACAGATCACAGTGCACAGGTTATTCTCTTTCATAATTGTCCTTTTGATGTGCCAATAATATACAAAATTACCTGCAAAATGCATCCTTGATCCTTGCAATCACCACTGCTCGGTCACCACATTTCATACAATCTCTTGAACTGGCCCTGCGAGATAGAATACAGGAGAAGCGAGATAGAATACAGGAGAAGGTTCATTGCAGTTTGTCCATGGGACAAATAGATCCAAAATGAACATTGATGTAAACAAAGCTGGAACAAGTTCATGTTGGACAGAGATGAAAAAAAAATTGATATAGCGCACGCATGACATAATTATAGCCCCCTCGTGCATGTGTATACGAGTCAGCATGCACCGTCTAAGATATTAAGAGACCCATGGCCTAGTGGATACCGTGCCCACCTCCCAAGCTAGTCTGAGTAACTTGGACCATGGTCTGGCAACTATCGCCAGACCATGTCCCAATTTTTAAAAAGGCGATAAGTAGGGTCCAAGTTTCTCGGAATATTCGCAAGTAATGCCGCTCACATTCAAGTCCCAGTGTGACTGATCCTTTTTTTAAATTTTATTTTTTGGTGTCCCACAAAATAATAATTGTCATCTTTTATTGTTACTAATCGAATCCTACACAGTATCTTATCTTCATTTTCTGATTTTTGGCTCTGTTTATAGGCAGTGGATATTTAGCCAAATCCGGCTTTCTATTAGGAAACGATATTTTGCCAGAAAGGCACTGAATTTTTTTCCTTTTCTAACCTGAGGCTGAGGGAAATAAAGTCCGAATTTCATAACGTTCAAATTCACTTTTTTCCTTCTAATTTTATATTTTCTTCTCATGTTTTTATAAAAGTTGCAGTACTACCGTAACGATAGATAATGGGAAATGCGTTACGGCTGCCGTAACGATAGCCACTGCGTATTAGGCCTAGGCCTATTAACTATTATAAATAATTTATCCATCTTTTTTTAAGGCGTACCCAAAACTCGGCTTCTTCTCCAAAAGTGAAATTCCTTCTTCATCTACTTGACACATAGTTACGTGTTAAACCCTGGTAAAAAAAATCGTGGAAATTTAAGTGGAAATCGGAAACAGACTGTGCATAACGTAACGCCGCCGCGTGATCTGTTTACATGCATATTGTTGATTGTGCAATACCTAAGGTATCAATCTAATTGACAATAAAGATATCATAATGATTAGGGTATGGCTCCCAGACGCGCGCTAAAAATCTAGCGCCCTCTCGTGAGAGCGAAGACAATGCTTATTTATTTTGATATAGCCTAGCAAACGCGAAGTTAGTGCTGTGGCCGCTGTGACCAGGTGACTGTGACTGTGTGAGTAAATTTTGCAAAAAAAGTGACTTTTTTTTATATAGTAGCATGATAGTAGTATCTTATGATGAAAGATGATCAATGTTTTAACTTCTGTTAGGTACATTTTGTCTGTCGATTCATTACTCCACTAATGAATGATCGTAATAAGAACTGAAATGTTGTGTCACTGACCATAGAGCAAGGACAGACAGCACTGACACTGTGCTTTACTGGATGAATAGCTCCTGGCCCTCTGCCAGTGCCAGTTGTTTAGCGCAGGACTAGTGTAGGCTAGGCCTAGCCTTGGTTGGGGATCGTGTATCTGTTGAGCGCCCTTTGAGGAAAGAATGTTGCAACCTGACGCCCCTTTTTTCTTCATATATCATCTCAGTGAAGCTGTCGAGCGCAATTTGAGTCCCCCGCGCAAGTTTAAACTTGCGCATGCTTTTGGCACGGAGCACATATTCATATAGTAAAAGGGAGTCTGGTTTCTGCACATAAAAGCTGCCCTAGTTCCTGACTCCCTATTATCGTTCGAAATGTACTTGTGTTTACAAACAAGATCCAGTCTACTCATTATCATAAATGATGCATCGCGCTCGGTAACGGAATTGCATTCGGGATACAGGGACCATTGAATGTACGCTGGGCATGACCATATCGCATCTTTCAACCACGAGTCGGAAATTAAAGGTGTTGATCACGATTGCGAGGGGAGCTTTCGGAATTGAACGGGAAATTTCACTTTTCATCCGGATCATAAGTAAACTTCAGTACAACCATCTTAATCATTGATGTCTACTTGTACCACGGGTGGCGTATCTAGTAATTTGTAGGCCATTTTGATGGTGAAATCTGATGTTTTTGTTGGGCAATGTTGGGTTTTTGGGTCAAGAACAAAATTGTGTCGACCGATTTATCCGGTTTAGCTTGGACCCTACTATCGCCAGATCATGTCCGAATGTTAAAAAAGGGATAAGTTGGGTCCAAGTTATTCGGACTAGCCAAATGTTATGTACAGTTATACAGCACATTGGCAGCCCCCCCCCCACCCCAACCCCCACAAATGCAATAAACTAGCTGTTTCGTCTGTTTTTGAAATTGCTCTGTGACATGTGATGACAAAATGATTCATCATGATTTCACTACAGTTCACTATAACACCAAGTTACAACTGAATCGGACCATTAGTTTTCTAGATATAGGTCTTTGAAAATGTCCCTTTAATGTGAGGTCACATGACACATGACATCACTTAAATTTACATTTGTAACACGTTCCTGTCTGTGTATCAACTAATGATTCAACCCAATCGAACTTGTTCTTCAGAAGATGGACTTTGAAAAATGAATAACGTGTACAAATCCTATGGAGACAAAATACACCTTTAATGTGATGTAAATTGACACCTTGTCCGTTTTTTGTTTGTTTTGTTTTAAAGTATTTGCATCCATAACAGTCCACGACTATGTCCAAACATAGATTGTTATGTAAAAGTTGGTCTTCAATTATAACAGTATAGGCTATTTGTGTATAAAACTGTTAACAACTTCAACACTCAACTGTGAAGAAATTGTCCTGAGGATCATTTGCGTCATCGGCATTACGACACTCAACAGATTTTATCTGTAGATGAATTGCAATCCTTGGTCACCCATTCTTTTGCACTGATCATACGCATGAACATACGCATGAACGCCCGTTGTCAAGGATACACTTCCCTCTTTCTGAAACTAATTAGCCATTTAGCCGACCGACCCAGGAGGTTTGCGAGGTAGCTAGCCTGTCACTTGTAGCTATTTTTAAGTTGCAATGTTAATGATAACCAGGGATTTCTTTGGTTTCCTGAGTCAAAGGGAATATATATATACAACATTTGCTTTTGCTGTAATTTACAAAAATGGATGGATTTGGGGGGGGGGGGGTAGTATTTTATAGCAAATATTGTAACACTGACTTGTTTGAAGTTTTGTGTTCGTAGATGCTGGAACAACCAAGAAAAACAATCATGTTCCTGTGGTCTGGTTCCGTGATCCCACTTGTGATGAAACGGAGCAATTTATAGACGTCCGGGAATTGTAAGGTCAGGGAACCAGTCTAGCTGACTTGTACCCATTCATACTGCGGTGTGTAAATGCGGACTAACTAAACATGGTAAATTGGGGGCAGTATTTGAAAAAAGCCAGTTGTTTCCAGCATTGGTGATTGATACAAAAATACCCCTTTTTTTGAAAAGGACAGCACACCAGGTGCCATGCAAAATTACAGGATGCTTTAGACTGTCATTCTCTAACAGTCCAGAAAGGTATTTCATAATAATTTGGCAGTTTTGTTTTTTGATGTTTGCAAATGTTGTGTATATTCCCTTTAAAGTGAGATCCATGAATCCTTTTTGTCCCAGTTTCCTCATATTTATTTTCTTCTTCAAATGTCTCTATTTAAACAATGAAATAATTTCATTAACCATTAAACAATGTTAGATAGTTTGTATTAAAACAATTCTACTGTCAACACAACAGAGCTAAACCACCAATTTTTTTGATTACAGACACAGATTTGTTCATTTCAAAATGAAAAAAAAATAGTGTTCAAATTACACTACTGAAAGAATAGCATCAATAAAACAACAAAAAATACTCATTAACAAACAATGGTATAATTGTCAGAAATAAAATAGTAATATTGGACAAGTTATTGAAGAGAAGCTGACCTGTGTAAAACAAAACAAAACAATTACATACAGGGGTCAGTCTAAAAATTTGGGGTCCTGTTTTGTTAAGTCATTAATCATTTTGGCCTTAGATGTTAGTGACGTTTTGTGATGCAAATCTTGTTATTTCTTTTGACATAAACTTCATCCTGTGTCTATCCACATTTGTTAATCTTTATGGCAAGGTCACGTAACTCATTTGCTCTAAGATTCGAATCCGAAGGAATGATTTTCACAATAGGCCTGAAGCGCGGGGTTTGGGAGAAAATACGAGATTTAAGGCATCAAGACTGTTTTGTGTGAATAGTTAAGCCCGGGTGAGGAACAATCTTCAAGGAATTTGTTTGCAAAGGACGAGGTTTTAGTTTGCCTCTTGGTATTCTTATCATGTAAGCCTGTACAAGCTGAGTGCAACAAACCATTGGCAACACCTAAGTACATTTTGTAAGTCCAAGTGCCACAATTAAATATTTCTGTATTTTATTGAAATGTTGTTTATTTCCGACAGTGTTCAACGATGCTGAAACTTTTAACTGAAAAAAAAAATAATTAAAATCAAATTGAGTTTTTTTGGTGTACATTTTAATAAAATGTTCACCAAAAAAACTCAATTTGTTAGAGTGTAGGTCCGACACCATGCCGTTTCAAGTCGATTTCTACTACAGCAAAAGAGTTGCATGAATAGTTTCTCTGCAGTAGCTAACTGGTATTTTTTTTTTCAGAATTAAAATCCACTGTATGATTATAAAGTTGATTATGCACGCTGTTGAATTGTTTGACAGACCCAACCCAAGTTTGACAAATTAGTCAAAACAGCTTTTAACCCTAACCCACCTCACTCCTCCAAAATCCTCCTGGCGGTTTTGGAGGATTCTAGAGGATTGAGGATGAATGCATTTTGAGGCAGGACTGTCTGATGATTTTGAAGGATTTGGCGTTGGTTATCCTTCATTTAAACACGAGTGCAAAATTTTGGGATGAGGAGGATTTTGGAGGATTGACGAATACATTTTGAGGCAGGACTGTCTGACAATTTTGAAAAATTTAGACACAGTTGGAGGATTTTGCAGGATTGAGGATGGTTCCAAGCAAAAAGGGCCTAGGGGGTTAATAATGCTAGACAGTCAAAAATGGCAAAGCCAATGTAAAGTCTGAAGAACTACATTCAAGTTTGGAAATTAGTTATGAAAAAAATTAATAGAGCAAAATGAAAACTGGTCATTTTGAGTTATTAAAAATAAATGTTCGATTGGAAAGAGTTCCATACCTGGACATCACTTGACACCCTGTGCACAAACCCTTGTATGAGACTGGTCTGAAAAATTCACAGTATTTTCTCAGTAAATGCTTTAATATTTTCCCTGCTAGATTTGACTCTTTAGGACATGTTATCGCTTTCTGATGGCTGATAGGCTACTGCAGGGAAATATTAGTGATGTCCATGTCTGGAATTCTGCCCAAAATGTTAATTTTATCAAACAGTATTTTTTTGGCGGCTTTTTTTTTTCAAGCTTGTATTGTACAGACAAGGTGGGTACTATTTTGCTTTTGTGTGTCCTCATTATACATTGGTGTCCTTCATAATTTGCCTTGGTGCCCTTTATCATTTGCCTTGGTGCAATTTCCCCATTCCTTGGTGCTCCTTGGTACAAATATTTGAGGAGGCGCGGCAATAGAGGGCGCTGTTGTAGCTTCCGTGTTAATTTGAAGAAAAAAAAAGGTTGACGCGCATGATTAAAATCGACGCGCGCGCTGACCAGAGACCGAGAATTTTTTTTTTTTTGGCCTTGCAGTAAGTCAGTGGTTATTGTTGGGTTATGATGATTGTTGCAATTCCATGAACAACATACTTCATCCATCCATGACCTTTACATGGCAATGTATTTGTCGAAACCTCTCAAGTTCGACCTCCAGCTGTCAATTGGCAGTCAAGAACTGAAACATTATCCTTCAGAATTTATTGTGTGAAGCTGAAACATACAAATATGTGACAAGTATGTGCAGGCTACTGTCATTTTCTGTCTTAGTATGAGGAAGTATTTAAGTATTGTTTATAATCAAGATATATGTAGAGAAGGTATAAACATGGAGGTATTCCTCCATGGTATAAACAAGCTTGTTTATATTATAATCAAGATATGTCCAGGCAGTACCTGGTACAAGTTGTATTGATCGATCAGGTTTTTTTTTAGCTCGAATTGACCCTGGTATTGCCAATTGAAGCACATTCTGCTAGGTCCGGGATATCTTTGTTATTCTGATCGTTATACCTGGACGAACCTAATCTAGTGCATAACAAACAGAACTTTCACTGGCTAATAAATCTCCCAGGATACTGTGCGTGCAGATACCTATTCACACTTCATTGTTACAGGCAGTGCCTGACCGTACCAGGCACAGCGAGTACAGCAAGGTCCTTTTTATTATTGTTTTGTGTTTGTGCAGTCGTTTGGCATTTGTGTGTGGGTGGGATCTCTAGCCTTCTACTAGTGTACGCGACTGATGGTGTGATAGGCTGCCTTGATCATTGAGTCTTGCGTAGAAGAGGAAGTAACATCGTTTGTGACTTGCTCGATTGCTTTTTACTGAATCAACAGACTTGGTGAGTTTTCTGTCATTGGGAAGTTCTTCAGTCTCAGTCCTACTTTTTTTAAAACAACAGTGTGTATTATCAAAGTTATAATTTTCAAAGTGGATTTCAATTATAGTTACTACATTGATTTAAAAAGTAATTATTCATCCAATTTTTTTGCTGTATAGTACAAAATCGGCATGAAAAACTAAGATGTATCCTAGGACAAACTCTGACAAATTTAATTTGTTGTGTACTTGTCAATTCATTTTTCAGTTCATAGCTTAACTGTTCAACATTGTTAGAAATGAATTAATTTCAATAAAATGCAGGTACTGGTAGTAAGCTTCTAACTGATGTGGTGTAATCATTTGGAGATTCAGGCCAAAATAGGACCACTTCATCACATCACTTCATCACATCTCTTGGTGTTCCGACTTGCATAATTTTTGAACAGTTTTTTTGAACAGTTTTTTGAACAGGTTTTCACAGCAGTAATGCTGAGATTCTGCTCTTTTCAAATCTGTAAAAAAAAAAATTGACCTGGGTCGACAAACGACTCACTTAGCTTGATCGCATCATACATGTTTCATTTGTGACATTTGGATTATTTGAAGCTTTGGCATTGAGGTTTTATGTGGAATTTCCCCATACATTTTGGAAGTGCCTTCTCTTGTTGGTGTAATCAGTTACTGACTGTGCTAACTTCTTCTGAATTGTTGATGAATTGATTCTTTTTGCTCCATGCTGACGTGGAAAATCTACCTGTTGAGTAGCTTGGGAAACCCCAGCTCCAATTTTAGCGAATTTCTGATGTCATATAAAAGCTACCTGTTGAGCACTTTGGGTGCCTTCTGCTATAATCAGTCAAGTAATTTGTTGGTTGAATGGATTTCAACTGTTGGCTTGATTTGTTTTGATGTGATCTCGTGATTGTATTACTAGACAGGAGGTAATTAAACTTTTTACACACATTTGTGTATATTACAGGGATGTTTGTACCTATTTGTGCATCAACATTGAGAGTTCATTGTTAATTGTACTGCAGTGTTCAAAGTTCTAAAAAGTAATGCTATAGGCCTATTATTTCAAATGTATGACCAAAATACACCTGCTTTTCAGTGGCAAATGACTGCAGACTCAACAATTGATATAAATCTTTTTCATTAGAATATTTTCCAGGGTCAAGTATTGTTCTAGATTATTCTGTGTTAAACCATGGTAAAAAACAGCAATACAAACAAATGGCACTTGATTGTGTCAAACTCGACAAGACTGGCCTTATCCAGGTTTTATAAATAGGGCCGATTTCGTAGAATCTTCTTGTTGATTGGACGGGATGGAAACGTCCTTTTGGTTTTTTTGGGACGACATTTAACAGCTGAGGCCAAAGTTAAGTTTCACATGAGTCATATCAGATAAGGGCACTTCCAATGTGTAACTAGTCCTCTGGTTGTATTGTACGCGTACATGTAAACACTACAGATATGGGTTTTTAGCAGCTGGCGCATTAATTATCAGTGTTTTAGGTTCAGATTATATCAGAGATCGTATTAATGAAAAAAATATTGTCATGTTGAGAATAAGCCGTAAACAATAATACACACGATGAAAAGTTGAAAGATTTTTAAGGAATTCTCTTAATCCTGTAATCATATACATGTACTGTTATAGTCAACTCATAACACTACCGTCTACTGTACACTGTCATTTTTTACATTTATTTTGATGCACAGGCACATGAAGCACATATAAGTGGTGCTTAGTTTCAACAAGGCCAGTCCAGCAGTCAAAATAAATCAAGTGACTGTTTTTAAAGCCAGAGTCCATCATTTGCAGCTATCCAAAAAGTAACTGGCGTAATTATTGTTAAAAACATACATTTGTACTTGGTTGAAAGATAGTAAGGGGACTAAACTCCCTGTGAAATTATTCTTTCTGGCGAGCTGTCATTTTGAAGAAATCAACAAAAGGAGGCCTTTCCAACGGTGCTTCTTAAGAAGCACCATAGGAAATTCAAATTAGTAGTTGTTTTTTTTATTCGGCAAAGCGCACGCAAGCACTGGCACGACGCACACGCGCGTGCGGTTGCTTTAATTCGTCAGATCAGTGCGCGACATCGCGTAGCTGCAATCGGCTCAGTGAGAACGTGTCTAGGACGCTGAATTCAGGCCCAATTCAAAACATGATTCAGCAACTTTTGATTTGAAATTGAGATCCTAGAATGTTGTTTTTCTCAAAATATACAGCTAAAGCTGAGCTGAAACTTCATCAGGTTAGTTGTTCAGCACCCTTCTTTAGATCTTGAGCACTTTTGTTGCTTCAAACGAACCAAATGCACAATTTACAAATGATGTACATATGTACTATACCATTAACAGTTGAGTGCTCCCTGCCTTCATAAAGCAGGATGGACTGGCTGTGTCATGAAACCTGATAATGTTTTGACTGTAGGAAATTCCTAAGCTGGCTGTGCGTTCCAGTTACCTGCTTTTGTCTGTTCATGGAATTTGACAAGTACGTCACAGTGCCTATATTGAAATATAACCTGACTGTTGGTGACTAGCCTGTGTCAAAGGCATGGCAGGGAAACAAGATTGGAATTTTGACTGTCTGTGACTGATCAAACAAGAGGAGAGTTACTTGTTTGATGAAAATAAATCGCAGGACACTTCTGCCACAAAATGATTAGGCCCTAATTTCCTGCACATTTAAATGTGTACACGTGTACAAGTATACGTGTATCTAGGCGTTAATTGCTACAGTACCTGATTTTCTTAATTGCCATACCGGTACTGAAGTGATGAGAATCACATATGTGTAATTGGTGCAGTGATGCTTGCAACACTCGTATGTATCCATGGTAACATCTGTGCCACCACTTACGTGTATTTAGCCATTATTAAGATGCCTCCCCTTGTTTTTTTTTGCCCGTACGCATTTCCTGTTGCTAATGGCATGCACGTCACTAGTGGAAGAGTATGGATTCTTATATAATGAGAGATGCATATGAGGCTGAGAAAAAAAGTTGTGTTTGCAGTAACGGCCTAAAATTATCTAGGTTCACATAGGTAGATAGGAAAATAATATTAATTTACAAAATTTAATGTTAGGTTTTGCCCTTCACCAATGTATTTATAAACAACACTGTATGCTCAGTGTGTTACCTTCCGAGTGAAAGTTGGAACAAATCGCTTGGGTGGGACTCGAACCCACAACCTCCTGCTTTCTAGAGCAGAAGTCTTACCACTCGACCACCAAGCTTGCGGGATTGGTTAGCAGCAGGTATTAGTATTCATCTTATGAATAGTATAATTTGTTAATGTTTGTGTGGCCGGTTTTTTGTACTAACTGTGTTTACATTAGGATACCTTTAACAATATTCTGTTAAATTGACCTGTTTAATTGTTGCATTGACCAATAACTTGCACGGGGAAGACTATTTTATTTTCGAAATGTACGTTGTTTAAAAGTTGTGGCCGAGTGTGGAAATAAAAGTTAAAGGTCAGAAATTTGGCCTTTAAAAAAATCCAGGTAGGTCAGGTTACTGTATTTTTATATACCTGATATTGACATTTTGGCTGAATATGAGGGGGAAATCATATGTGATGTGATCAGGCTCAGTAAATGAGTCGTTTGTCAGGAATTTTCATTTGGAGATACAGGCCAAAATAGGACCACTTCATCCCATCACTTCATCACATCTCTGGGTGTTCCAACTTCCATAATTTTTGAACTGAAGAATGTACCAGCATGCAGTTTTCACAGCAGTAATGCTGAGATTGTGCTCTTTTCAAATCTGTAAAAAATAAAAAAAAAATTGACCAGGATCGACTAACGACTCATGTAGCTTGGTCGCATCACATATGGGAGTCAAGTGTGTTTGTGATGGCATGATGGTCTCACAAAATTCACAATGAATTGATGGGCTTGCTGTAGGGTAAAAGGGGGAGTATTCGACCACATAAGGAAAACTGGCACTGCTTTGTGTACATGAGAGGGTGAGATCTTAACCATAATTGCTCATGACATGATCATGTACTTGCAATGTTTGCAGCATAGCATCAACCCTAGTCAGACTCAAGGCTTTTGCTTAGTAACGATCCGTTGGATTCTGCCGTCTGGTTGGATATATACCCCTACTCACTGGTAAACAGATCGTAAAGGGGGAGAATTTGACTGGTTAAGGAAAACCATCAATGCTTAGTGTAACTGAGAGAGTGAGATCTTAACTCTAATTACTGATAACATGACCACGCACTTACTTTGTGTGTAGCATACAATCAACCCTAGTCAGACCCAAGGTTTGTGCTTAATAACAAGTGGTCGGATTGACGATTCTAAAGACGCATTTATAGTTCATAATTCGGCGAATCCGTAAATGGATACGCACAGGCGTTGAAACGACGCACACGTCGGTTCGGTGCATGACATCGCGTAGCTTGACATCGCGCAGCTGCAATCAGCTGAATAAGAACGTGTCACGGCCTGTTTTCGGACGCAATTTAAAACATGACTCGGCAACTTTTGAATTGAAATCGAGATCCTAGAATATTGTTTTCTCAGAATATACATTCACTGAGCTAAAACTTCATCACTAGGTTAGTTGTTAAGCTCCTTTCTTTAGATTTTGGGCACTTTTGTTGCTTCAAAATGACCATCAAAGCCACAAATGACAATATATATCTACCTTTAAACCATGTAATTGTGACTTAAGTATTGTTTAACTTGGATTATTTTTTTTTGAATGATGCAGTTTTTCATCTGAAGGCGTTTCGGTCGCGGTGACCAAGATGAGAGCTATAGCTGCTAGTCTCATCGTCTGTGTGGCTCTGCTTACACAGGGATGTCTAGGACAGCGAGAACCCTTGGGACGATCTGAAACTACACCAGAACCAGGCCATTCAAGGTTCACATTCCTCTTTTTTTTTTAAATTCATGTGACACTCTTGAAATTAGAGATCGGAAGCTCTGCAGTTGTAGTATACATGCAGCGATTTTTTTTTGTATTTATAAGTGAATACAAATGTACATAGAGTGATGTAACTTCAGTCTTTGGGAAATAACGAATGAGCTAGTGTCCAATATCAGATGTTGAGGGCGCTAGGGGAATTTGAATTGACATGTAAATAAGGTTGAACCAAAAAATAATGGGGATGTCTTTTTATAACGGTCAATTCCTTTATGGTTGCAGACCAGTAAATCGGTCCGAAATTGCCTACGCCCGCCAAATCACGATTTGCATGCCCTCAAAATCTTCAGTATTTGAGCATGCTGTGGGCCATGAACTTGAAGGTTTGTAAAAAATATGGGTGGAAGCCGTGCACAGGACTGTGAGCTTGTAGTTTCGTTCAATTTGGATGAAATTGGGGCCCTTAAAGCGCTCTATTTTGCAATGGAGTGTAGGCATCGTTTTTCAACATGGCGATGGGCTTCAGGACTATTTTCAGGGGTGATCATCTTCGGATGGAAATTTCTCCTAAAAGTCATCAGTTAACCACCCGAAAATTGAAAAGAAAATGAGAGATGATGACATAAGCTATAATTTGATGTGTGTCTCGAACACCTTGGAGAGTTGTATTTTCCCCGAATTTCTGAAGTGGGAGCATTTACCATTGGGGTCTATGGAAGTTTATTTACTGGTCTGCAACCTTTAGGTTGTGTTCAGAAAGGAATTTACTTTCAGGTCCCTGTTTATGTTTGACCAATGCTGGTTAACGTGACAGCATGAATTTAGGACTTTTTTTCAGTTAGGATTCATCTGAAATCCTCTTTTTTATTTTGTTAAGAAATTTTTTCCCCCCTATTATTTCATTGATGCTTTAACAAAGTGCTTATGTTTTTTGTTTAATTAGCCATCTAAATTTGGATACAAACATTTGGAACATTGACCAGGATTATAATTTTAGAAAACAACACAATTTAAATTGTATTTCTACAAATTATGGTGCAGTGTTATCCCCGTTGGTTTAAGGGCGTGTTACTTGATCTTTTTACTTTTGTTTTTAATTGGACCTAGTGCATTCATGGCCCTCACTGTAACTTATTCCGGTATACCCTTGCTCAATTCCTTTAATTCTTAAAGGGAATGTACAACATTTGCTCTTGCTGCAATTTCAGTAGTAAATGGATTTGGGGGGTTAGAATGTTGCAACAAATATTGTTAAACTGACTTGTTTCATGTTTTGGACTTGAATATGCTGGTAATATCAAGAAAAAATCATGGTCTTGTAGTCTGGTTCCCTGCCCTTACTTAAGATGAAACAGAGCAGTTTGTTGACTTTGGGGAATTGTAAGGTCAGAGAATCAGTCTAGAAGGTTTGTACCCCTTCACAGGTGTGTGATCAATTGCAAATAAAATGCAGACAAATTATTATGAAAAATTAAGAGCAGTTTTTGAAAAAAGCCAGTTTTTTCCAACGCTGGTCGGCTGACCAGCATTGGAAAAATACCATTTTCTTGAAAATCTCAGCACACCAGGAGTCACGATTTTACAGGGTACTTTAGAATGTCATACCCTAACAATCCAGTAGGATATTTCGTGATAATTTGATCATTTCGTTTTTTGATGTTTGCAAATCTTCCCTTTAATGTTCAGAACCTACATTATTTTGGCTCCAAACACCATTCACCCTGGCCTGCCGTTAAGCCTGAGTGTCTCCATACTGGATGCAGTGAGTGACGTCACGGTAACGGCCACCATTTTGAAAGTACAGGAGTTGATCGAGACATCGGTGGCTTCGGTGTCTGGAACGTTCTCTTCTGGTGTAACCGAAGTGTTGAATCTTTTGGTAAGTATATCTGCAGGGTAATGTCTATGGTAGATGCAGTACCTTCAACTTTCCAAAATTGAATTTTCTTAGATTGGCACATATTTGTTTCGTGAGATTTCCTGAAATTTCTGTAGACTGTTCTTAGATTTTCCTATTTGTTTTCCTTAACCCTAAAAGGACTGGGTTATGTTGACCATCTCACAGCCAGGGGGAGGGGGATCGAGTGATGAAAAATTATGAAACTCGATACATGCATAGAACAACTTATCATGAACATACCCAAGAAATTTCATGACTATAGGTCAAAGGGTTTTGAAATTATGGCTAATTAATTATTCATATGCACGAATGGTTATTCTGGTTTGTGTTCCCCTTGTATATGGGGAAATTCAGTTTTCACGGCGCGTAGCGGCGGAAAATTTTTCGCTGTGCCGCAACCCGTGGTCTGAATGCATTGTAAAACAAGTCAAACAGGTTTCCAAAGCCGGATCAAACTAATAAATGATAAAAGTAACACATAATCATGGGCGTCGCGAGGGGGGGGGGGGGCACTTGCCCCCCCCCTGGAAAAGCAAAAAAAGAAGAAAAAGAAAAGAGAAAAAAGAAAAGAGGCGCGAAGTCATAGTGGTGTAAATTTAATGGGGTGGGGGGGGGCAAAATGTCCCTGCCCCCCTCTAAAATTGATAAATCGAGAAGATGTTGAGAAATACAGGAAATTTTGGGGGAAAAATATGTTTTGCCCCCCTCTAGAAAAAATCCTGGCGACGCCCATGCACATAATTGCATCAAAACTAAAACAATGCTAAAATCGTATCAAAAACAAAAAGACACAAAAGTGAAAACGGTCTTACAAATAACTGGTCTTAAATCTCAAATTTATAATCTGTCTTTCCACAGTCCCCCTTTGCCACCAAGTAAAGGAGTTCTTGTCTATTGACTTTTGCTACATGACATGAAGTGCTGAATACATGTATACAACTCCTGCAGAACAGTCTTTTTGCATCGGTCTTTATCCCAATTCTCAGGTTTCGGGAGACGAACACGGCGACTCTTACAAGCTTCGCATTGAGGGGAGTGGTGGGCTGGTGTTTTCTCAGACGGAGGAGTTGACATTCTCGCCAAGTAGCTTTTCTATCTTGGTGCAGTCTGATAAGGCCATATACAAACCTGGACAAACAGGTAAGACATTAAGAGACTTTTCTTTCATTTGTAAACATTGAGGGCATAAAATCTAAGCTGTGGTTGGCACAGATTTTGCCAAAAACTGCGTATTAATGCCCTCATGTAAAGATGATTATTATGTTTTTGGTAGTGTTATTTGGTGTTTTCATCAATCCAATGACAGTGTTCAGAAACATTAATAACTACTTTGCATTTTTTGCTGCGTTGACCAAACCATAGTTTGCCGACCCATGGTTGGCAAAAATTTGGGGGAAAATATCTGTTCTTGTGTGTACATGGTGTCAAGTGACCAAGCCTTTGAAATTAAAGGCATAATGTCCAGTTTACTTGTGAGAAATTCTTCGCTGAAAATCTCAGGAGTATCTTTCAGCATGGTGGCTAGTTTGCCTTAAACTGACTATGCGTTCACTTGAAGCCTACTTCATTAGCAACCATTAAAGGTATTGAACTCACCTTTGTGAAATATTTAGTTTTCTTTGTGAAGGGAAGAATGAAATCACAAGTTATTGAGCAAATATTTTGCTTTGTGTTTCAGTTCATTTCAGAGCTATGGCCATCTATCCTGATCTCAAACCATACATGGGAACTTTTGATGTCAAACTGAAGGTAAAATGCTTGAGACTTTAGTTGTTAAGAGAACCATTTTTAAAGCTTAAAGATTAATAATAATACAACATTTATAGCGTGCAATAATCAAAAATAAAATGCTCTAAGGTGCTACACATCAGATAAAAATTCCTATAAGGACAAACGAAAACCAATAGAAGATTGCAATGAATTTTTTTTTTAATTCTCAGAAACCCAAGGAAACCTGTACAAATACACTGCATTAATAAATACCTTGGAGAGTTGATGGTTTCTGATTGGTCGAGACTCGATCACGTGGCCGGGCATTAACGGTGATAATGGACCGGCTTCAAAGATCAAGCGAATAAATGGCCCCTGAACCAGCATTGATCAAGCCCCGTTCAGCCCCATGCAAGCCAATGATTGGTCAAAATATAGTAACAGTCCTGCGGTAGCTTGTAACAATAGAGCACTGCACATGCGCTCAACCCCCATCGCGTGAGACTGACGCGCGCGTACGCAACACAGTTGCTAGGGATGCGTGCTTGCGCGCGCGTAAGGAAGTTTTGAAACGACATCGTACACAGCAGTGCAGTATATACTGAGGCTGTTTATGACGAAAGCGTAGATCTACGATTTATTTTCTTTGAACACTTCACCCACCGACATATTTACCTTTCCTAAACTAAGCATCTTTGTAATTCCGTTCACAAGGAATGTGTAAACGAGATTTCAGCTTCCTCCATCAGGTAAAGATATGAAAACATTGTTGTAATTTGTTTCGCTATGGCAGCAGTTTCTGTTGAGTTTACGTCGTTATAGCTGTTAAGCTAAAATATGGCCCATGAACATGAACACAAAAAAGTCTGGAAATATCGCCGAAAGAAAGTCACAAAATTGGAGCATTTTAACTGTTTATTTAGTTAAAAAGGTATTCGTCTCGGTCCATTAACAGCGGTCACCCCCACACCCGGTCATTATCATGCAGTGAAGACCGGCTCCTCACACTGTTATTCCCTAATTAACAAAGAACACAGATACTTCTAAAAATACATTAATCAGCTAAAATCACCCGAATTATACACACTCCAAAAAATTAATACATCAAATCCCAGGTGGCACAATACATTAATTAGTAAAAAACACCCCAATTATACACACTCCAAAAAAAAAATCAATACCTCAGATGGCACTTTGCGTTAATCAGCAAAAATAAACCCAATTATACACACTCCAAGAAATTAATACGTCAAATCCCAGATGGGACAATGCATTAATCAGCTAAAAACACCCCAATTATACACACTTCAAAATAATAAAAATCAATATCCCAGATGGCACAATGCGTTAATTAGCTAAAAATACCCCAATTATACACACTCCAAAAAATTAATACATCAAATCCCAGATGGCACTATGCGTTAATCAGCAAAAAAAACACAAATTATACACTCCTAAAAGACAGTACATAAATCAAATCAACGATTCTACTCTACCTGTAGTTTAAAGTTCTAGGAATGAAGTAAAGGACATTGACATGCTGTGTGTATTAATGAACTCAACCCACCCCACCCCTACCACCCCACTCCCCCCCCCAAAAAAAAAAACAAAAAAAAAAAAACAGTTACCAATAGTTGCATTTTTTCCAGAATTGAAGAATCAGCCATTCAAATGAAGCTTACCATTTTGCGTTTCCTTTTTTCTCTCTTAATAATAGACCGTTATCATTTTGCGGCCGTCTTGATTTTTTTCTTATTCAAATCAATGAAATCAAAGTGAGGCTGGAAGGAGAAATAGTCTGGTTCCTTTCAGCACAAAAAACATTATCATTCAGTACTATTATTGGATACAGGGAACATGACTGAAATGGTGGCCGCATGATAAAAGTTTATTGACTGTTTTCTTCTAATTGTACAGGATCCAGTTGGCAACGTTATCCAGCAGTGGATGGGTCTTCAGAATACAACTTACGGAGTTGTCTCGGGAGAAACTGTCATGTCTGACAATCCTGTGCTGGGTGATTGGATCCTCACCGTAACGGCTAACGTGAGTTGTTATAGTTCAGTTTTTGTTGAACTAGAAGGAGCAGTCTACCGCCCTCCGTCTGACTAAGTCACTGTCCGACTTACCCGACCGACTGACTTGAGCATAATAAAATCCTAACCCACCTTATGAATGCAACGATGTCATCCCAACAGTCAAAATAAATTGAGCAACTGTTTTTTTACAGTTGAGTTCTCCCTGCCTTCGTAACACAGGATTGACTGGCTGTGACTGTTTACGTAACTTGATACAGCTATGCTTTGACTGTGGGTGATTGATAAGCCACTTGTACTAGCAGTCACTTGCTTTTTCCAGTTGATGGAATTTGACTAGTCACAGTGACTACAAGAAATACGATCCCACTGTTGTTGACTAGCCTGTGTATAAAGGCATGACAGGGGAAGAGGATGTGTTTTTGTAATTGTGACTGCTCAGACCGCAGGAGGGTTAAAAGCCACTAGTATTATTTGCATTTCCTGTTTTGTATTGATTTCAAGAAGAGCAATCTCACACAGGATATTGAACCAGGTTATCAGTTGAGTCTGGTGTCAAGTTATAGTTGTTGGATTCTACCATTTTTAATCCGTCACTTATTTTGTAAAAGTCTGAGTGGGGAGTTCTGTGGAGTTTGATAACTGAGGATTTTAACCAAGGGAGGCAAATTTACTACTGCCAATTGCTTGTTGGCTTGAGTATTATTACATGTAGTTATCCCACTCGCGCTCGTGGAACACGGAATAATGTAGTGAGTCCGCGTCCCACATGTATGTGGGACGGAGACGTACTACATTTTTCTACAATTTATCTTCAAGCAAACTTGACGCACAGTAAAGGTGGAACATGCACGTCGCACACAAACTTTTCAGCGGTTATCCTTTTATATATGTGTGTTGTACGGAATGGCGCGCACATTTTAGAATAGCACAATATGGAAGTGCAGTATGGACCGTGGCCGTACTACATGGTTATATGTAGCACGGCTTGTTGCCATGGATCGATCAATCAGGATGGAGGATTCAAATTTACTTGAAGATCATGATAAATATCACAGGGTTCAACGCCACTCTAGAAATCAGTGAAAACCTTGAAAATTAATTTTCATTTTTCCATGCAGTCTTGGAAAACTTGAGGAATTTGGAAAAATCACCACAATCAGGGAAAACTCAGAGAATTTGACAGTGACCCAGAAGGGAAAGGTTTTAACCAGTTTGGCGTATGTGCGTCTTGTGCCATGTGTCTTAGTTGTGTCCTTTGACTGACTGGCTATGGTGGCTTTTTAGTGTTTATGCAGTGTGAATATTACTCTCCAGACGATAACAATTGGCTGTGCTACACCACCTCATGACTTCCCAGCAACCTCGGGAAAATATTTCTCATGAAATTGAAATATCTTGGGGGAAATATCAGGGAAAATCAGGGAATTTTGTTTTTCTAAATTGCTGGGAAGCCTGTGCCAGTGATTCTTTTTTTCTGTAGGAAACAACTTTTCATACCAAGGTGGTTTATAAAATCAAAATGTGTGATATTTTATATTATTTTTTTTTTTTTAATTCTACGTATTTTGTATTTATTGTCTTGACAGAATGAAGTCTACGATCACACAATCACTATCGATGAATATGGTAAGAGAAAATTGATTGCATAAAAAAATATTTAAATTTATGGACTAATTTGTAGTGTCTCGGGTACGTGCATGATGAACGTTATTGGACAATTATCAAATTAGCACCTGCAACACAACCCCCCCCCCTTCCCAGCCTCCATTTATGTCGGCAAGCTGAGATGTTACACAATACAAGATCTTCTCTGTCAAGCAGTAAAAAGGTACATATGTATCTTTAGCACTGACATCATATCTTGTTGAGTCCACTGACAATTAGCACACTTGTGAATACAATTTTTTTTTTCAGTTCTGCCCAAGTTTGAGGTGATTGTCACTCCGCCACCATACCTAGTCAGCATGGACACCCAGACTACTTTCACAGTAGAAGCCAAGTAAGTACATGTAGTCTTCTCCCCCCCCCCCCCCCCCCCCCCCCCCCCGGATCGGTTCAGAAACACGCAAAATCACACAACAGATTTCTTGCAAACCTTCAAATTTAACATTGGGTTTTGCCCTTCATCTACGAATTATAAAACCCTGAAGTTTATAAACGCTGTGTATACTCAGTGTTGTCCGAGTGCTTGTGAGATGAAATTCGCAAACTACTTGGGTAGGACTCGAACCCATGAAATGCTGCTTACTTGTGTAGACGTCTTGCCACTCGACTGCCGAGCTTGCCGGGGTCGGCTGGCTGGATCGATTCTGATATAGCAGCCGGTACCATCAAAATGTTCATAAGATAAAATCTACGTCGGGGTGATGTGAATTTAATATTGGGTTTTGCCCTTCACCGATGTATTTTATAAATGTATTCAGTGTTTTCTGAGGGCCTGTAAGACAAGTTTTTCAAACCTTCAAATTCACATTAAAGGGAATATACATAATTTGCTTTTGCTGTAATTTTCAGAAATGGATGGAATTGGGGGGTTGGAAATATATAGCAAATATAGTTACATTGACTTTTTTGGAGGTTATGGGTTCGAAAATGCTATAAAAACCAAGAAAAACAATCATTTTCCTGTAGTCTGGTTCCCTGACTCCATATAAGAAGAAACAGAACAGTTTACATACATTGGGGAATTGTAAGGTCAGGGAACCAGTCTAGCTGGCTTGTACCCGTTCATAGATGTGTAATCGATTGCAAACAAGTGCGATGGTCAATTGGGGCCAGTATTTGAAAAAAGCCAGTTTTTTCCAACGCTGGTCGGCCGACCAGCATTGGAAATTGATACAAAAATACCACTTTTCTTGAAAATGACAGTATACCAGGTGCCATGATTTTACAGGATGCTTTACACTGTCATTCACTAACAGTCCAGCAAGGTATTTCAAAATGATTGGGTAGTTTTATTTTTTGATGTTTGCAAATGTTGTATTTTCCATTTAAGTGGCAAATTCTCAGTGATTGATTAACGTAATAAACCACGTAAGACTGTGATTTAGTCTCTTGCATTTTGTGCATCCTTTTCAGGTATACTTACGGGGAGCCAGTGAAAGGATCTGTTTCCATGGAAATAACACTGCAATACAGTACCAAGCGATACCAAGTTGAATTCCAGGTGAGTCTCAAACCTCTGGGTACATGGGGATCTCTGGTACACTGGCTTACTGTACCATTCTGTGGAATATGGACCTGTAGCACAGAGCGCCCTCGCGAAGGACTTGTCGTTGCTGCTGTATGATATGATCATTTAAATAACAAAAGGGTGGATGATTGGTCAAAATGCTTCATTAGAAATGATACAAGTCCAATTCCTGGAGATACAGCTATCAATTTTCTGTTAGGCCAAGTAACAAAATATTCCAGTTTCTTGTCTCTGCCAACTTTCTTTTTTTCCCGGCCGCCTTTTTCTTTTATCGTACAGTTGCAAAATATTTTGTCGTTTATGTGCTTCCAGCAAAACTGTGACTATGTAAGCAAGTTTAGAATTTGGTAGAAAAGGGATGTTGGCTCCTTTGGACACAAAAGTATCAGCAAAAGAGTTGAGAAATTGGGAGAATTCATCTTAAAAAATCCACCTTCCTGACAAAAAGGGCCTCCCTTTGTTCAAAAAGTCTGGATGTGTAACTATTTTTTTGTACTCAGCCTCATATGAACAGTGACTGACTGGTCGAAAATTAGAGTGAAAAGAACACAGCATGAATATAAGTTGAATAGTAGTTTGAAAGCTATTTGAATTATTAAGAACTCTGTATGAAAAAAAAATTTGATTCAAAACCCCAAAAACTAGTTTTGCGCCTGGATGCAAAATGATTACAGATAAATCTATTGCTACATTAGAATGATTACACAACTGGTAAGCAATCATCGTGAAGAAGAAAACCCTTTGTTATTTCATTCATTGGAACTTAAACTGCATTTTAAGTAACCACTTTGCAGCGACTTGGTCACGGTTTTTCCTTTTTTGTTGCATTTTCAGATTGATGGTAAAGCGGAGACAGTGGTGACAATGCAAGAGCTGTCTGCATTGAGTAATAACAATCTGTACTCAGGGAACCAATTTATCTGCACGGCAAATGTTACCGAGTCCCTGACCGGTATCACGCAGACTGGAACCGGTGTTGTCTCCTACCACGAGAAACCAATCAAAGTAGCTGAGCTACCGGGGAACTCTGATGTCTTCAAGCCCGGCCTTGTCTACACGGCTTACGTGAGTGTGATGTATGATAAAGACTGATGCTATATCATGATGAATTTTGAGCTTGCCATGTCCTTCTAAGGTTGTAGTTATAACATCTTGGTTGTGGTTGCATGTTCAAAGTCAAGGTGGGATAGGATATTTTATATAACCGACATACAGATCCTCGTCATTTGATTGGTGGAACTCACATCACGTGACATTCGTTTTTGCTCCCATTCACGCCGCGGCTCAAAAAGTACTATCCGCCCATGGGGAATGGGAAATACTATTGAACAGTTTGGATAATTCTTGTTCCATGATGCGGTATTTGTGTGCAAATGCATGCTGGTGTGCGCATTCAGCATTGCGTGTAGCGCGTATTGTTCCAAAGAGCCAGCGCTACAGCGTTGGGTTCAAACATTTTCGTGAAGGGGTGGTTTGGAAGAGAGAAATACATCTTCCACCAATTTTGTATTGAAATAAAAGTTCAAATGTATCAAATGACAAGGATCTATATGTCAGTTACATAAAACAAATATTGAGTGGCTTTAAATTGTGAAAGGCTGAGCCACTCAATATTTTTTATACTCTCGACAGATATCCCAAATAAAAAACCTTCTCCCAAAATCACTGTTATGGTGTAAAATCTATTGTCACAGTCTGCTTAAGATTTAAATAGTGTCTTAAAGTTGTATTAAAAAAAATAAATGAAGTCTGTAAAGCCAATATTGTCCATCAGACCGGTGTTTGTCTCCGGTTTCCTCGGAATGAACTGAATTAGAATATTTCTATTCCCCCTGGATGGGATGCCAGTCCATTACAGGTTACTCCCCAGCTAATGGCAGTACCCATTTATACTCCTGGGTGGAGAGAGGCAAATGGGGTTAAGTGGCTTGCCAAGGGACACAACACACAGCCAGCAGCTGGATTCGAACCCTTGGCCCTCTGATCAAGAGTCATGAACCCTGACCACTCGGTCACACTTCCCTGTTTAAAGTTGAGTAAAGGGGGAGGGGGTTTTCAAAATTCAACTGATGGAAACTTGATGTTGCCTGAAGGTTTTACAAGATTCTACATTTTTTTTCAGGTACAGGCATCAACCTTGCCCTACCACTTGCATTCTTCCCTTTCCGAGCCCTGATTCTTGTTCTGAATTTCCCATCAAGCTTCTTGCACTTGTTTCTTCAGGTAACAGTGACCCATGTTGACGACAGCCCATTGACTGACGCAGAGAGACAGTGTACACTTGTGGTCACTCACCAACACAGAGTAGAAGGTTCATGGGACACGATTGATGCCATAGATTCAGACGTAGCCATTCCTGAGAACGGAATCCTTAAACTGGACTTCAACTTTCCCATCGAGGCAAACTGGGCCAGTATCCATGTAAGTATGCAAATATGTTTCAGAATTTGCACATTAAAAAACATTCGTTTTTTGAAGATTCTAACTCAAGATTTATTCTTGATGTGTTCTTTACAATGTTTTCATGACACTTCTGTGTTCCATTATGCTATGAGTTGTATTTTTTTGTAGGAATATGCGATACTTGACAATATCAAATTATGTGTTGTTACTAAAGTAGAAGAGAAAAAAATAGAGTTCAAATGAATAAAAATGTCCTCAAGGTTTTTGTGTTGACTTCTCTTCTGAAACCAACCAGAAACGTGTTTCTTTTGAGCAATGTTATCAGTTGTTGAATTATTCATTTCTCTTGTCAGGTTGCTTATTATTACGAAAACAACCAGCAATATTATGGCTATGAAGTCAACAAGAATCTCAACCCAGCTGAGTCACCTAGCAACCAATTTTTGCAGATCCTTGCACAGGGTACCAGTTTTCAGGTAAGGTTGCATGTACAGTGAATCCGTTAACCAGTCTTCATGTTATAATGAAGGATACAATCAAGCGTTGGGATTGGATACATTTTTGTTTGAAATAAGCCAATGATTGAACTAACAGTCGTGTTGTCCTAGAATTGTGTTATGGTGAAAAAAAAAGTTCCAATGGCCTTTGCGTAACTTCCAGAAATGATTCCTTGGAATTTCATATCATCTTCATATTGTGTAATGTGAGTCACAATTAGAGCACCCCATGACAGTATAAGCCTCTCAAATGACGTCACTTCCTACAGATTGTCTCATGCATCAGCATTTTGGGTGTCAACATTTTTCGTGACGCGCATCGGCTGCGCCGTATTTCGAGGAAATTTCGAGCAACATGCTCGCGTGTTTAGAATATTTTGCATACTGCGCGTACACGTACCTGATGGTGTTGAACACGCAGTTATAATTTTCCTACGAAGATGGCTGTCTATGAGAGGGAACCATTGAAATCTGTGATTTCTGTTATTAAAAAAAAATTCAAATGGCCTTTATGTTACATCTGGAAATGATTCATCAGAATTTGATGTCATCTGTACATTGTTGTGTTTATGTGAGTGACATCAACACAGCTTAACAGTTTTTAACCATTGTAATCTCTGCGAAGTGGTGTTATTCAGAAAAAAGGTTCGAATGGCCTTAATGTAACGTCTGAAATGATTCATCAGAATTTGATATCTGCTGTACGTTATTGTGTAATGTGAGTCACATTATTAGCATTTAACCATTGAAATCTGCGATGTGTTAAGACAATGTTTTGTCCCTATTTGAAGGAAGACATTTTATGCTTTTGTGCATTTTTTTACCCTCAGGCTGGGACACAGGCTAGTTTTGAGATCAGAACCACGGAGATTCCACCAAAGCTAACTTACCAGGTAAGTATAACTGCTTCTGTGTGATTCTGCTATAAGACAAGTCTAGTTTGGCCTGGTTGAATATAATAATATATAACAATATATATTAGCACTCTCTATTTTTTAGAGACAGGTAAATGAAGTTGATGAAAATATGAGACCCATTATGTAGCACCTTTATAAGGGTTTACAAGGTGCTGCGGCGTACTTTGCAGCCACTGCCAGAAACACTGGGGCGAACCCCTTCTCTTAGCGATAAGTGTTACTGGGTTCCTTAACGTGCATTACACAACACACAGGACCTACGGCTTTACGTCCCATCCGAAGGACAAAGCAATAATGGTTAAGTGCCTTGCCAAAGAGCACAAGCACCATGTTCCCACGGGCAGGATTCGAACCCGTGTCCCACGGCATACGAGTCGAACACCGTAACCATTTGACCACAGCGCCCCACTATATCATTTCTTAAATTTAAATTTTGTTTGTTTTGCTCAGATCTTTGCCAAGGGGAACATTGTTCTGACGGACTCCATCACCAGTGTCCTGTCAACTAATACGATACTGACCATCGATGTGACATCAGCCATGGCGCCGAAGGCCCGCCTTGTTGTGTCGTACGTCCGGCCTGACAATAGCGAGTTGATACTGGACAGTATTAGTATCAGTGTGGACGGAGCCTTTGAGAATGAGGTAAGAATCGGCAGACTTTGCGCAGAAATGTAGGTGGCCAAATGTTATGTATCCAGTCTGGCCAGTAGACCATTATCATGTTGCGGCTTTTGATTTTTTCCCATTCAAATCAATGTAACCAAAGCGAGGCTGGAAGGAAAAATAGTCTGGTTCCTTTTTGCACAAAAACATTATCGTTCAGTACTGTTATTGGATACAGGGAACATGACTGAAATGGTGGCAGCATGATAAAGGTCTATAGATTGATTGCTCAGGCCCCTCCCACTGTGCTCCTGACCTGGGCAACATCGTGTGTACCTCTCGACGGCCACACTGCAAGTTCCAGACGCGCTCTCGTCATATGCAAATGCATGCATGATGGATACTAATCATAGGGAGCATTGGATCGGTCTGTTGGTGCTGTTATTGGGTTTAGAAACAAAAATCTCTCGCACTGACCCACGTGATCCAGGTACCAGAAAGTCAATGTCGCCATTGTAGTAGGCACAGTAGGCAGTAGGCAAACCTTCAAAGCTGTGATGAATGGCCATGTAAGAAAGTCACTGAGCTAACACCCAGTGCTGGGCAGGCAGAAATATGACAGCCTTACACGGCATGGTAGTTACCAATACAGGGTCAGTAAAAAAAAAAAAAAAAAAACCAAATGTCGGGACTATTGTTTTAGTGTAGTTCTGCATGTAGCACTTTCAAAATCTAGGATATGAAAGCCCAATTCATAAGCTTTCTTATAGTACAAGACTCATTCATATCACTCATGTACTTTTCAAGTTACGGAATTTTAACCACAACCACCATTTTAAGTTCTTTAAAACGGTGGTTGTGTTTAAAATTCCGTAACTTGAAAAGCACATGAGTGATTTGAATGATTCTTGTACTAAAAGAAAGCTTATGCAATTGGGCTTTCATATCCTAGATTTTGAAAGTGCTACATGCAGAACTTCACTAAAACAATAGTCCCAACATTTGGGTTTCGGTTTTTGTTTACTCACCCTGTATGCCAATAATAAAGAATATTGCAGTTATTTTACATGAAAATAAGCTCTACTATGTAGTTTACAGCACACAGCATCATTGCTATAAACCAAACACTTGCCCACTGCATTGGTGATCAATCATGGGAAAACTGGATGGTCACATGGCACTTTGACATCATGTGATCGGAACCTTTTGTGTGACAGTTATTGTTCTTGTATTCCCCCAAGGTGACAATTGGTTTCAACAAGGATGAAGCCGAGCCGGGAGATGAAATCAAGTTGGATGTAACGGCCGAGAGAAACTCCTTTGTGGGAATCCTGGCCATCGACACCAGTGTCATGCTCCTGAAGACGGGGAATGACATCACACAGAGCATGGTAGGTCAAAGGTCAAAAGCTCTGAAATATTGGTTTCTTGCAATTTTCTGAATGTCACAAAACCTCTGGAGTTGTTGGTCAAGGAAACCAAGCCTTATTTAAATCACTGGTCGGTGTCCAGTCGGTGTTCGGATCCTGCATTCCGTAAAGTCATGCAGGACCATTTGCAATTACCCCCCAAAAAAGGACCTACCAATTTGTTGTCATTCGGAAGAAAACAATCATCTAAGGTGGTTCAAGAAAATGTGGTCACGGGTACAGTTTGTAACATGTGTAAGCAACAGAATCCATTATTAGATGGAATTTTTGCGTCGGGGTGATGTAAATCAAATTAGGTTTTGCCCTTCACTGACGTAAAATCACTGTATACTCAGTGTGTTACCTCCCGAGTGAAATTTGGAAAAAATCACTCAGGTTGGACTCGAACCCAAGACCTCCTGCTTTCTAGTGCAGATGTCTTACCACTCGACCATGGTTCGAATCTGATGCACAAAGCAGCGGGTACCGCATTAATTATTATAAGATGAAATTTTGTGTCGGAGTGATGTAAATCAAATTAGGTTTTGCCCTTCACCGACGTTATATAAACTGTATACTCAGTGTGTTACCTCCGAAGAGAAAGTTGGAAAAAATCACTCGGGTGGGACTCGAACCCACAACCTCCTGCTTTCTAGTGCAGTTGTAGCAGAATCCAGTTACCAAAACCCCAAATTGTCCATAAGTTTCTCAAAATGTATGGTATCCACTGAACTGAAACTTCAACAAGTTAGTTGTTATCATAGAGTTATATTAAATTACTAGAGCGCTAACTCCTCATTCTTGTGCGCGGAGATACTTTGAAGCCGTTCTGTATGGGCACAGACATTTTGAATTCATGTGCATGTTTGTAGAACACAATGAAATAAGATGAATTGAATTTTAAAAGTGTACTCTAAATGCAACGCGCAAGTATAGAACATACGCAAACAACTTAAGCGCGTCATGACGGTTAAAAAACGTCACGGCAAACAGCATCTGCAGCGGATATGAGTTGCGCCGTTGGCGCAGAGTAAAATGAAACGCTCATTTGCTGATTTTTCGTTTCGGTTTTGGGCGTATCGGCTTCGGTAACACGCCTGTATAGAATATAAATGCAGATATGCAAATAGCCGTACAAAAGCCATACAAAATTTGTAGTTCTCCATATATATGCTTGTGCACAAATATGGATATGCCCAGCAGGCATCTTTTTGTACATGAATTAGCGCTCTAGTAATTTAATATGGCTCTATGGTTGTTATGACTTATGTATCATTCTTTTTGAGCAATTGTGTTGCTTCAAATGAAAATAAAAAAATGCCCACACAACCAATGGTCCTATGATACCTTGAATTTGACACTTATATAATCATGATAAATTGTCTTCAGGTTGTGGATGCTCTAGGAGAATTTGACACGACGAGTAATGATAATGGTGATACGTTCGACGGTGGATTTGGGCGACCAGTGGCTCGTAGAAAGCGTTCCGCGTGGTGCTGTTGGTGGCCCTTCCCTACCCCAGGAAACACTGCTCGTAAGATCTTGGATGTAAGTTAATTTTCAGAACTCTATAGTCATTATTATTAGAGGGCTTGCAAGATAGAAATCTCGCAAGCGGGACGCCGGGAACCACTGTAATTTTTTATCAGTAACGTTTTCTAATAAAAGAATGAGAAAAAGTTGGAAACATTTGCTTAAAATGAATACATTAAATCTCCCTCTCTGGCTGGCAACTTCAACAAGGCCAGCCCAGTAGTCAAATTAAATCAAGTGACTAAGCAGGATTGACTGGCTGTGATTGTTATGAAACCTGCTATAGCTATGGTTTGACTGTAGAAGATTGATAAGCTGGCTGTGCCTACCAGTCGCCTGACTTTTGTCTGTTGATGGAATTTGACTAGTCACAGTGCCTACAAGACATATAATCTGACTGTTGGTGACTAGCCTGTGTATAAAGAATTTGATGGATTTTAATGTAACGTGGATGGAGTGATCCTTGGGTGGGGATTTTTTATGACAAGTTTTCAGAAATTGGAGGTCAAAGGTCATATGGGGTCATTTGCAGTCATTGTTTAAACAAGCACAAAATTTGACCCTTTTTTTCTGACAGAAATGAATGGCTGTTCACTAATAAAGGTATTTAGGGCTGCTGATGTGTTGTTTTGATGATGTAGTGTCAAAGGTCATCCAGGGGTCAATTGAGGTCATATCTCATGGAAAAGATGCGACAATGCCATTGTTTCACAGAAACAAATACATTCCAGGAATACAACAGGCATGCAATTTGATTTCCTTGTTTTCTACTTCTCATGAATGCCATTACAAATTGAAAAACACTGTACAAAGTCTTGTGTGGTTTTAATCTTCCTCGTTTTTTTTCTAAATTCCCAGTTGCATGCGTGAATACAAGAATACGAACACAGACCAAATAGGGATTGACTGCGAAAAAAGGCGACACTTGCGATCTGCAGATCACTTGTTTTATGTGTGGCATTTGTTTTTGTTCTTGCAGTCTGCTGGAATTCTGGTGTTTACAGATGCTCTCGTGTATGGTATAATGACACCAGACATCACATGTAAGTATTAAATTCTTAGGCTGTGCACAGTCGGTGCTTCCACTGAGCAATGGGCTCCGTGCACAAGTACCCCCTCAACGGTAAGAAAGGGAGAGTTGGAGATCACTGGGAGAGGCTTCAAATGCATTGCCGACGACGCCTTAGGCTCACCTAAAGTCGCTGGGGCTTTGTGTACATCAGAATAAAATAAGTCGTGCATACGTCGCACCATACGAGTGTCCTCCAGTACCCCTCTCTTGTTCGCGCAAGGAGCCCATAGGTACAGCTTTTTTTAAAATTACAATTGTGAGAATTGCAATTGGCAGTGTAGGTCTCTCTCAAATGACGTCATTTCCTATTGACCAGCCATTCATTTTGAGCATCAACTTGCAAAACGCGCATCGGCTGTGTCATATTTCGAACACATTGCGAGCAACAAGCGTGCTAGAACATTTTCAATACTGCGCAATGCATGTTTGATTGCGTAAAATACGCAGTTGCAGTTCTCCTACAGAGATGGCCGTCTTTGAATGAGACCTATTGGCACTGAGAAAATCAAGATCTGGCTAAAAATCAGAAGACCTATGACTTATTTTCCATGAAGTACATGACATCAAATTAACTTTACTGGCCCAAAGAGAGGCACATAAAATGTGTGACAAACACCTCAATTTTTGTCAGGTGTATTGTGTTGATGCTGTTTTTACAAATCATCCCGCTTGACTAGGGATCGGAGTGGTGTTTAAACATATGTCAAGAGAAATTGGAACCGTTTTGCCGGTTGTCCCAAATTTGAGTTGTCTCCTGATCTTTTCTTTGTATTTTACATCAGGCTTAACTCTTTTACCTCCTTTTTACCCCTCAGCCGAGAGGCTCGAGGGGTATTGTCATCGCCTAGGGCGTCCGTCCGTCCGGATGTATGTATGTCTGTCCGTCCGTCCGTCCGTCCGTCCGGGCAGCTTAGTTTCCGGATGATAACTTGAGTTAGAAATGATGTTTGGGGTTGTAACTTCGGTAGGGGGTTGCCCTTGGGAGTAGGCAAGTTGGGATTGGTTTTGAGGTCAAAAGGTCAAAGGTCAAGGTCACCGTGGTGAGTTAAATGTAAATGGTTTCCGGATGATAACTTGAGTTAGAAATGAGATTTTGGTGTCTAACTTTGGTAGGGGGTTGCCCTTGGGAGTAGGCAAGTTGGGATTGGTTTTGGGGTCAAAAGGTCAAAGGTCAAGGTCACCGTGGTGAGTTAAATGTAAATGGTTTCCGGATGATAACTTGAGTTAGAAATGAGATTTTGGTGTCTAACTTTGGTAGGGGGTTGCCCTTGGGAGTAGGCAAGTTGGGATTGGTTTTGGGGTCAAAAGGTCAAAGGTCAAGGTCACCGTGGTGAGTTAAATGTAAATGGTTTCCGGATGATAACTTGAGTTAGAAATGAGATTTTGGTGTCTAACTTTGGTAGGGGGTTGCCCTTGGGAGTAGGCAAGTCGGGATTGGTTTTGAGGTCAAAAGGGCAAAGGTCAAGGTCACCGTGGTGAGTTAAATGTAAATGGTTTCCGGATGATAACTTGAGTTAGAAATGAGATTTTGGTGTCTAACTTTGGTAGGGGGTTGCCCTTGGGAGTAGGCAAGTTGGGATTGGTTTTGGGGTCAAAAGGTCAAAGGTCAAGGTCACCGTGGTGAGTTAAATGTAAATGGTTTCCGGATGATAACTTGAGTTAGAAATGAGATTTTGGTGTCTAACTTTGGTAGGGGGTTGCCCTTGGGAGTAGGCAAGTTGGGATTGGTTTTGAGGTCAAAAGGTCAAAGGTCAAGGTCACCGTGGTGAGTTAAATGTAAATGGTTTCCGGATGATAACTTGAGTTAGAAATGAGATTTTGGTGTCTAACTTTGGTAGGGGGTTGCCCTTGGGAGTAGGCAAGTTGGGATTGGTTTTGAGGTCAAAAGGTCAAAGGTCAAGGTCACCGTGGTGAGTTAAATGTAAATGGTTTCCAGATGATAACTTGAGTTAGAAATGAGATTTTGGTGTCTAACTTTGGTAGGGGGTTGCCCTTGGGAGTAGGCAAGTTGGGATTGGGTTTGGGGTCAAAAGGGCAAAGGTCAAGGTCACCGTGGTGAGTTAAATGTAAATGGTTTCCGGATGATAACTTGAGTTAGAAATGAGATTTTGGTGTCTAACTTTGGTAGAGGGTTGCCCTTGGGAGTAGGCAAGTTGGGATTGGTTTTGAGGTCAAAAGGTCAAAGGTCAAGGTCACCATTGTGAGTTAAAGGTAAATGGTTTCCGGATGATAACTTGAGTTAGAAATGCAATTTTGGTGTCTAACTTTGGAAGAGGGTTCCCCTTGGGAGAAGGCAAGTTGGGATTGGTTTGGGGGTCAAAAGGTCAAAGGTCAAGGTCAGCATGGTGAGTTAAAGGTAAATGGTTTCCGGATGATAACTTGAGTTAGAAATGAGATTTTGGTGTCTGACTGAGGTAGGGTTTTGCCCTTGGGTACAGGCAAGTTGGGATTGGTTTTGGGGTCAAAAGGTCAAAGGTCAAGGTCACCGTGGTGAGTTCAATGTAAATGGTTCCGAATGATAACTTGAGTTAGAAATGAAATGTTGGTGTCTAACTTCGGTAGGGGGTTTCCCATTGGTACAGGCATGTTGGGACTGGTTCTGGGGTCAAAGGCCAAAGGTCAAGGTCACCACGTGAGTTAAAGGTTAATGGTTTCCGGATGATAACTTGACTCTGGCTGAGGGGTTTCAACAGCAACGCTGTTATTTTTCAAGATTTGTTCTTCAACTATAAGTACGCACATTAGAAATGAGAAACAAATTTGATGTCGCATATTTACATGAGTAAGATCATTCTTTGCTCTCAGCTTTTAAAATGGAAGGATTAGGGGGAGCTGTGCATGATGGAAATCAGGACCAGCAGCAAAGAACAAGTGGAGATGTTCCCTTTAGTCCGTCACTAACAAAACCTCGTGTACGAACTGAATTCCCAGAAACGTGGTTGTGGGGTGAATACAGAGCTGGGTATGTGTCATCAGAAATATGTGTGATAATGTGGTTGGTGTGTGTGGACACAACAAAAAAAAGGTCCGTTCAATCTGCACACCAAAAATCACTTGTCATCTTCCAACATTTTTTGTCCATCTCAAATTTTGGCTGCACACCATTTGTTTCATTCCTCATTGATTTTAAATATGTTCAGGATGATATTTTTGCATGACTGCACAATCATTGAAATTGTTGCATGTTGTAAAAGTTGTAAAAAAAACCTCCTGGTTTTTTTTTACAACCTGAATTGCACTATTACTACTGCAACTTTGAATGCAAAAACCCAGCACTTTATCACTCCACAGTCAGAGGGTTACCTGAGTTATCTTCACATTAAAAGTATGAGTTCAAAGACCTAAAGTGTTGGTCATTGACCCTGGTCACAGTGCCTCTATTCCTGTCACTAACCCTGGTCAGAGTGACCCTACTGCTGCCATTGACCCTTTTCATGGTGACTCTACTACTGTCTTCGGACCTTCTCATAGTGCATCTACTGCTGTCATTGACCCTGGTCACAGTGCCTCTATTTCTGTCACTAACCCTGGTCACAGTGCCTCTACTCCTGTCACTTACCCTGGTCAGAGTGACCCTACTGCTGCTATTGACCCTTTTCATGGTAACTCTACTGCTGTCACTAACCCTGATCCCAGTGCCCCAACTGTTTTCACTGACCCTGGTGACAGTACCCCTACTGCTGCTATTGACCCTTTTCATGGTGACTCTACTACTGTCTTCGGACCTTCTCATAGTGCATCTACTGCTGTCATTGGCCCTGGTCGCAGTGCCTCTACTGCTGTCACTAACTCTGGTCAGAGTGACCCTACTGCTGCCATTGACCCTTTTCATGGTAACTCTACTACTGTCACTAACCCTGGTCACAGTGCCTCTACTCCTGTCACAGACCCTGGTCAGAGTGACCCTACTGCTGCCAGTGACCCTTTTCATGGTAACTCTACTGCTGTCACTAACCCTGATCCCAGTGCCTTCACTGCTGTCACTGACCCTGGTGACAGTACCCCTACTGCTGCTATTGACCCTTTTCATGGTAACTCTACTTCTGTCTTCAGACCTTCTCATAGTGCATCTACTGCTGTCATTGACCCTGGTCACAGTGCCTTCACTGCTGTCACTGACCCTGGTGACAGTACCCCTACTGCTGCTATTGACCCTTTTCATGGTAACTCTACTTCTGTCTTCAGACCTTCTCATAGTGCATCTACTGCTGTCATTGACCCTGGTCACAGTGCCTTCACTGCTGTCACTGACCCTGGTGACAGTACCCCTACTGCTGCTATTGACCCTTTTCATGGAAACTCTACTGCTGTCACTAACCCTGATCCCAGTGCCCCCACTGCTGTCAATAACCCTGGTCAGAGTGACCCTACTGCAGCAGTTGACCCTTTTCATGGTAACTCTACTGCTGTCACTAACCCTGATCCCAGTGCCCCAACTGTTTTCACTGACCCTGGTGACAGTACCCCTACTGCTGCTATTGACCCTTTTCATGGTGACTCTACTACTGTCTTCGGCCCTTCTCATAGTGCATCTACTGCTGTCATTGACCCTGGTCACGGTGCCTCTATTTCTGTCACTAACCCTGGTCACAGTGCCTCTGCTGCTGTTGCCGACCCTAGTCACAGTGTCTTTACTGCTGTTACTAACCCAGGTCAGAGTGCCTCTAATGCTGCCATTGACTCTGATCATGGTGCCTGTACTGCTGTCACTGACCCTGGTGACAGTAACCCTACTGCTGCTATTGATCCTTTTCATGGTTACTTTACTACTGTCTTCGGCCCTTGTCAATGTGCATCTACTGCTGTCATTGACCCTGGTCACAGTGCCTCTACTTCTGTCACTGACCCTGGTCTCAGTGCCTCTACTGCTGTCGCTGAGCCTGGTCACAGTGCCTCTTTTGTTGTCACTGACCCTGGTCACAGTGCCTCTTTTGCTGTCATTGACCCTGGTCACAGTGCCTCTACTTCTGTCACTGACCCTGGTCAGAGTGCCTCTACTGTTCTGTCTGTGTTAGGTGTTCAAGTTTGTTTTTCAGCCATTTCCCATTCTGAAGATGAAAGCATTGTCTGAAGAAACAAAGAAAATCCTTTCTGCAGTTTTTCCAAAGTTTTATTTGATTGATGTGTTCAAGGGCGTGATGATGGTCCATTGTTTGATGGCCTACCGGAGGCGGCCCCGGCCCCAGGTGCAGAAGACGATTCGTTAACAGCAGGTGATATGATGCCCAATGCGCCCAATCCAACACCACCAACGCCTCGCGTTCGAACTGAATTCCCAGAGACTTGGCTGTGGAGCGACTATGTTGCTGGGTAGGTTCTAGTCTCGGGTAAAGACGTTGTATATTGGATATGCGATCACCCGCTGCAAGAGAGCGTTATCACAACGAGCCGCTTTCACCATCAAACAATGTCTTGGGAGTCTTGTAAAATCTCCCTCTGAAATAATGGGGGAAACCTGTGCACATGCGCTTCTCTTGTACTCAAGTATGGTCCGTTTTTGGTTCACGCACATTACATGTTGAAATGTAAGCGCTAGCTGCTTGTTGGTGAATGCCGTTATGACCAAACATTATGCAAAGTAGGTGCGCGCACATGACACAAAATGTTGTGAGATTCCCAAGACGTTGTGAAAGCAGAACAGTTTGTGGGTGATAGCAATTGGTTGCTATAATGCCCTCTTGTCGCTGGCGATCATTTATCCATAGCAATGTCTTTCCCAAAGACTGGGTAGGTCCATTGAAAAAAAACAAACAGTCTGACAAAACAAATTTCATTGTAGAGTGAGGTAGAGTCAGAGTAGATTTCCATAAACAGTAACACAATTTGTAGAGTTGCCAAGCTTCTAGTTTGGGGCTAGCTGTTTGCCACTTCATGTCGTTACGACGCATACATTAGGCAATACAGGTGCGCGCGCATGACACAACCATTCAAAGACTCCCAAGAGGTTTTTGTGATAGCCGTACAGTGATAGCGGCTCGTTGTGATAAGGCTCTCTTGCGGCGGGCAATCTTGTATCCAATATACAGCAACAATGTCTTGCTCCAAGACTGGGTAGGTCCATTGTAAAAACAGTCTCGCAAAACAAATTTCAATTTCAAATAAGGTAGAGTTGAAGTAGATTTCTGTTAACAGCAAAACAGTATGTAGATCTGCCATCTTTTTGTCACGAAAAAATATTGATGAGGTGGCCCTTTTTTGCATTTTTGAATGCAAAACCCAGCACCAAAATCACTCCACAGTTGGTCGGTTATCTGAGTAAACTTTACATTGACCGTATGAGTTCAAAGACCTGAAGAGTTGGTCACTGTTCTGGGTCACAATTCCTCTACTGCTGTCATAGACCCTGGTCACGGTACTTCTACTGCTGTCACTGACCCTGGTCAGAGTGCCTCTACTGCTGTCACTGGCCCTTGTCACGGTGCCTCTATTGCTGTCATTGACCCTGGTCACAGTGCCTCTACTGCTGTCACTGACCCTGGTCAGAGTGCCTTTATTGCTGTCAATGACCCTGGTCACAGTGCCTCTACTGCTGTCACTGACCCTGGTCAGAGTGCCTCTATTGCTGTCAATGACCCTGGTCACAGTGCCTCTACTGCTGTCACTGATCCTGGTCAGAGTGCCTCTACTGCTGTCACTGACCCTGGTCAGAGTGCCTCTACTGCTGTCACTGACCCTTGTCGCGGTGCCTCTACTGCTGTCATTGACCATGGTCACGGTGTTTCTTCTACTGCTGTCTCGGACCTGAGTCTCAGTGCTTCTACTGCTGTCACTGACCCTTGTCACGATGCCTCTACTGCTGTCACTGACCCTGGTCATAGTGTCTCTACAGCTGTCATTGACCCTTGTCATGGTGCCTCTACTGCTGTCATTAACCCTGGTCACAGTGTCTATTCTACCTCTGTCTGGAAAATGTGTCTCAGTGCCTCTACTGTTGTCACTGACCCAGTTCTCTTCGCATCAGGAGTCCAAGTTTGTTCAATAAAATCCCACCGTCTAGAAGAACGCATCATCTGAATAAATAGAAAAATCCCAGCATTTTTCCCAAAGTGTTGTTAGATTTATGAGTATAATTTAAGGGGTATATTAAAAAAGATTGAAGGAATGAAAGATTATTTTGATAAGCAATTGTTTGGACATGGTGTCGTTCCATTTGAGATCTTTTAGTAAGGGTCCTTGAATGAGGCAAGTTAGATCCTGTTATTTCTACGCAGATTGGGAACGTGGTGATGTTATGTATGACGCCATACCAGCAGCCTTCCCAGCCGCAGGTGCAGAGGAAGATGCAGATGAAGCACCTGATAACTCAGCTATTGTACCTAATCAAGCTCCACCAACGCCTCGCGTTCGTACTGAATTCCCAGAGACTTGGCTGTGGAGTGACTATGTTGCTGGGTAGGTCCTGGTCCTGGGTAAAGAAGTTGTTGTTTTTTATTGGATTAATGGTCATCCACCGCAAGAGGGGGTTATCACAATCAACCGCTATCACCCATGAACCACTACTACAGCAACGTCTTGTTCTGGTAAAATCTCCTGCCTGAAATATGGGGGAAACTAGTGGGCATGCGCCAGTTCTGTACTCAAATATTTTTATCATTATTTTGTATTTATTTCTGGTAATGAAACCAAGGATTCCTCAGCAGTGCCCTAGGCACTGTAGCTCACAAGCCTGAAGAAACCTGTAGAGAGAAGACAACGAGAAGAAATTACAGTTTTTGAGGTGGGAGGAAAACCCCAGAAGAATATTCTGCCGAAAACCCACGGAATCAGGTAGGGACTGAAAACCCATTCCACATGTGGACCAGGGCAGGAATGGAACCCGGATCACAGCGGTGGAACGAGAGGAAAGAACCGCTGCACCATTCTGACTCCCCTTATGGTCCATTTTCGGTTCACGCACACATAAAAAAGAGCTGCCATGCCAGCTGTTTGGCACTTTATGTCATATGACGCTTACATTAGGCAAAACAGGTGCACACGCATGACACAACCAGTACGACATTCCCAAGATGCTTTTGTGATAGCGGTACGGTTTGTGGGTGAAAGCGGTTCATTGTGATAATGTCCTCTTGTGGTGGGCAATCATGTATCCAACATACAACCACAATGTCTTGCCCAAGCCTGGGTAGGTCCATTGTAAAACAGTCTCACAAAACAAATTTCATTGCAGAATGAGGTAGAGTTAGAGTAGATTTCCATAAACAGTAACACAGTTCGTAGATGTGCCTACCAGGTGTGCGCGCATTACACAACCAGTGAAAGATTCCCAAGACGTTTTGTGATAGCGGTACGGGAATAGTGTTTCGTTATGATAAGGCCCTCTTGTGGCCGGCGATCATGTATCCAATGTACAGCAACAGTGTATTGCACCAAGACTGGGTAGATCCATTGTAAAAACTGTGACCCTGGTCATGGTGCCTCTACTGCTGTCACTGACCCTGGTCACAGTGCCTCTATTGCTGTCACTGACCCTTGCTACGGTGCCTCTACTGCTGTCACTGGCCCATGTTACGGTGCCTCTACTGCTGTCACTGACCCTGGTCACAGTGTCTCTACTGCTGTCACTAACCCTGGTCACAGTGCCTCTACTGCTGTCACTGACCCTGGTCAGAATGCCTCTACTGCTGTTACTGGCCCTTGTTATGGTGCCTCTACTGCTGTCACTGGCCCTTGTTACGGTGCCTCTACTCCTGTCATTGACCCTGGTCACAGTACCTCTACTGCTGTCATTGACCCTGGTCAGAGTGCCTCTGACCCTGGTCACAGTGCCTCTACTGCTGTCTTTAACACTGGTCACAATGCATCTACTGCTGTCATTGACCCTGGTCACAGTGCCTCTTCTGCTGTCATTGACCCTGGTCATGATACCTCTACTGCTGTCATTGACCCTGATCACAGTGTCTCTATTGTTTTCACTGACCCTGATCACAGAGCCTCTACTGTCCTCTCAGTGTTAGGAGTTCAATTTTGTGTTTTCAATTATATCCCATCCTGAAGATCGTCTGAAGTAACAAGAAAATCTGTGCAGTTCTCCCAAACTTTTGTTTGATTGATGTGTTCACGGATTTATGCTCGGAAAGACTGAAGGAATGAAAGAATATTTGCATGAGTATAAACTGTTCCATTATTCGGACATGGTATAGTTCCACTGGAATAAGCTGATCCATGTACTAAGGGTCCTTGAATGAGGCAAGTTGGATCCTGTTCTATTTCTTCTCAGATTATGCTCGTGCTGGGGTTATGTTTGACGGCATGGCAAAAGCTGCCCCAGCGGCCGCAGATGGAGCAGCTGATGAGTCAGCTATTGTACCTAATCAAGCGCCACCAACGCCTCGCGTTCGTACTGAATTCCCAGAGACTTGGCTGTGGAGTGACTATGTTGCTGGGTAGGTCCTGGTCTTGGGTCAATATAGTGCCATTGTATATTGGATACGCGATTACCTGTTTCAAAAGGGCGTTATCACACCGAACGGCTTTCACCTGCAAACCGCTATCACAACAATGTCTTGGGAGCCTTGTAATATATCCCCCTGACACATTGGGGAAACTAGTGGGCATGCGCTACTTCTGTACTCAAATATTATTATTATTATACTTATTATTATTATTATTATATTATGACATTATTTCTGGTAATGATACCATGGATTCCTCGAAAATGCCCTAGGCACTGTAGCTCGAAAGCCTGAAGAAACCTGTAGAGAGAAGACAATGAGAAGAAACTACAGTTTTAGAGGGTGTGAGGAAAACCCCAAAAGAATCGGGGCCCAATTCATGGCTCCCCTTTATACTGTTAGCGAATAATCCCTGCTTACTGTAGCAAAAAATGCTGTGCTTAGGGTAAGTGCATTTCACTGCTTAGCAAAAAATTTTGGCTTGTGCGCATGCGTACATCCTGTAACTAAGGATTCTGTGCTTACAGGGTTAGTGCAGAATTTTTCTGCTGGTGCTCTTGGCAAACAAAGGTGATCATAAGCGCCAATTTCTGTGGTTAGCAGAGCCGTGAAAACCCACCCCACGTGTGGAGCAGGGCAGGAATGGAACCCGGTTCACAGCGGTGGAAGGCGAGGAAAGAACCGCTGCACCAACCTGACCCCCCCCCCCCCCTTATGGTTCACGCCAAAAAATGAGGGGCCACAAAGTTGCACAGCAGTCTGGTAGCTTTTTGAATGTTACGGGCTGGAAGTTTTAGTGCCAGCTGTTTGGCGCTTCATGTCGTTACGATGCATACATTAGGCAAAACAGGGGCGGGCTCAACACGATTGGTACAAGATTCCCAAGATGCTTTTGTGATAGCGGTACGGTTTGTGGGTGATAGCGGTTCATTGTGATAATGTCCTCTTGTGGTGGGCGATCATGTATCCAATATACAACCACAATGTCTTGCCCAAGCCTGGGTAGGTCCATTGTAAAACAGTCTCAAAAAACAAATTACATTTTCGAATGCGTTAGAAACAGCAAAACAGTTTATACATTTGCCATTCTTTTATCACAAATAAATATTGATTCGGTGGCAGTGGTGTGGTGCAGTTGTTTGGCACTTGTACGTTTTTATTGCATGCGTGAAAGGAAATAAATCATTCATATTGTTTTTGTAAGTGCTGTTGTTTGTTTTTCCGATGCTTGATTTTGATGGGGGAAAAAACACTTGTCTGTGTAATGTCATGTAAGCTGGTGAAGTGCTCATGTCTTGCACATCTTAAAGCATTCCACTGCACAATGTGATTGTATTTTACCGTCTTTATGACTATCGAAATTTGAGAAGATTGTCCATTCAAGGAATATGTTCTTATGTTACTCGGAGAACGCAGACAACACAAGTGGAATTGTCATTTCATCAGATAAAACCATTATTTCCCAGTGATTAAAAGATAGATACTCATTGGATTTGTTCAAAATCAGAGTGTTTACATTATGTGCAAAGGGAGTAGTTCATTTTCCCTTGCCTACTTCCCTGCCGTCTTTCCCTGCAGAGATGACGGTCGAGTCCGAGTGTCTTCCACTGTACCTGATACTATTACCTCATGGGTGGCCAGCGCATTCTCCATGTCGACACAGAAGGGGATTGGTGTGGCTGATCCCACTGCTAAGGTAACAGTGACTTTTGGGCTCTTGCAGCATTATGAAAGGAAGTGTAATGTCCTTAACAGAGCCAGTTAATCGTGATATCTAATGAATGATTCAGAGAAATGATCCAAAACTCCTAGTCTGTAATCTCCTTGACCATTACTAGAGGATGGATGTATAAGACATGAAAAAGTCATTTTCAGGTTGATTCACTGAGCTCTTAAAAACATTACACTGAACCATGTCAACGCTTGCGCACACCCATACACTGATTCGCCGAATTATTAACGAACTATGTACAGAAATTTCCAAAAATGTGTCACTAGACGCATCTTTGGAAATGGCCCTTACTCAGTCTTACTCAGTCTTTCTACAAAATGAGAAAAAAAGCTGCATTTACAATTTAGAAATGTCTAACTTGCATTACGGACGTTACATTCCGAGCCTGCTGACCATTTGAAACAACAAAGTGAAATACTTGCAGTGGAAGAAAATTGTATATATATGGTACAACTCTAGCATAGGCCTTAATAATGCACAACATGACATAACTATTGTAATGTCAGCTGAATCATTTAATGAGTTATAAGCGTCAAATCAGCATCCGAGACACGTATCATTCAGACGATGGCAGCTACGCCATTTCACGCACTGAACCATGTCACACCCATACACTGATTCGCCGAATTAATAACGAACTATGTACAGAAATTTCCGAAAATGTGTCACTAGACGCATCTTTGGAAATGACCTTCTTTTATTGTTTTCTTCAAAATGACAGCATGCCAGAAAGAATAATTTCACATGGAGTTCAGCACCATTACTATCTTTAAACCAAGTATGCTTTTCAACAATAATTTGGTCAATTTTTGATAGCTGCAAATGATATATAGCACCTTTAAGAGTTGATCATTATCTGCAGCACCTAACTGTCCTCACATTTAGTAATGACATTTTGTTTTGTCTCTCTCCCTAGGTGAAAGTGTTCAGACCATTCTTTGTCTCGCTGACACTACCCTACTCGGTGATCCGCGGGGAAAAAGTGGTTTTACAGGCTACGGTCTTCAACTACCTGGCCTTCCCCGTACAGGTAACAAAGACAGCTTTGAATATACAGAAAGACTAAACTTACTTATGAGGAATGATAATGATAAAAATAGTGTTGAGTCTTTGAAAAATATACAAGATCAACTACTTGTATTTCTTGATTATTGGTAAACAAACATAATGAACTAGTGGAGAACGTGAAACGCCACGCCTTCTACTAAAAAAAAAAGTTTTGTGAATATGTAGGCTTTTTAATTCACTTTTTTTGTTTGAAGACATTGTTTTGTTCCAAAGAGCATTCAAAATTTGCATTTCTCAAACAAGCTTTTTGCTGCTTTTGGTAATATGTAGGGTGACAATAAGCTTGGCATAGGTTGGCTCAAGTTCAAGTAAAAGAAAGCTAGTTGTGAAAATGATTACCAAGAGATTATCTGAGATTTAATAAAAGTTGTTTCTTTTTGTTGTTGTTGGTATCTTTATCAGGCAACAGTCACTTTAACTGGGTCGGTGGAATTCCAAAGCTTGAGCTACGATGAGAATGCTTCGGAAAAAGTTTCCAACGCAGATCAGGTAAATTCATGATAAAATATCAGGGGAGGGATCAACATTTGGACTGATGTTCTCATTGCCTTTTAATTATTTCCATTTGGATCTGATGGTTATAATTTGGAATCGTGCTTCAAAAGCAGTTCAGTTTAAAGGAAATATACAACATTTGCAAACATCAAAATACAAAACTACCAAGTTATTATGAAATACCTTACTTTACTGTAAGTGAATCATAGTCTCAAGCATCCTGTGAAATCATGGCACCTGGGGTGGTGTCATTTTCAAGAAAAGTGGAATTTTTGTTTCAATTTCCAACGATGGTTGGCTGACCATCATTGGAAAAAACTGACTTTTCTTCAAATACTGCCCCCAATTTACCAAATGAAGTTAATCCACATTTTGTTTGCAATCGGTTACACATCCCTGAATGGGTGCAAGCCAGCTAGTCTGGTTCCCTGACCTGACAATTCTGCCAACATCTTTAAATTGCTCCGTTTCGTCTGAAGTAGGGTCAAGGAACCAGACTACAAGAACAGCAATTTTTTTTTTCTTGGTTTTTCCAGCATCTTTGAACACAAAACATTAAACAGGTCAGTGTAACAATATTTGCTATAAAATACTAACTCCCAAATCCATCCATTTCTAAAAAATTACAGCAAAAGCAAATGTTGTATGTTACCTTTAATTCAAATTTGTGGGTTTTTTTTTTTTTTGCTATTAGAGCTAGCTTGACCAGAATGCACACTTTGCCAGCAAGAGGTCATGGTTTCGAGTCTTACCCAAGCAAGCCTGTCCTTTTTCCCAATCCAGCTCTCAGAGAGCAGTGATTATACAGAACTTAAATAACTATAGTGGTAATGGCTGAACCCAATTTTAAACTTTGCAACTCCCAACTGTAGAAATTACTTGAAAGTCATTCACAGTAGTAGTTCCTGTAGTTACATTATAAGTCAAACCAACCAGCTGAACCCGGGAAAGCTTGGTGGTTGATTGGTTATGACGTCTGCACTTATCAGCAGAGCTTGTGATTACAAGTTATTCCTGTGAAAGGCAAATTACAATAGTAGAATTATTCTTCTTTTTGCTCAGGTCCAATCAGTGAAGGTACCAGCCAGCGGAGGTACGACCGTCTATTTCCCCATACTCCCTCAGAAGCTCGGCATGGTTGACCTGTCGGTCCGTGCAACCACCGACAAGGCTGCTGATGCCGTGGTTAGACAACTCCTGGTGGAGGTTGGTCAATATTTCAGCTTCTCGAGGAAACTGGGCGAATTCTCAACAACACTGGTTATTTTAACACTAGGGCTGTTTAATAATTTTGACCAAAAAGAAAAAAAATAGTTTCTCGTCCAGGCTTTTTGAAAAAAAGGAAGGAGGCAGGTTTTTTTCCCCAACATGGCGGAGTTTCCAACATGGCAGATTGTCCAAGATGGCAGATGGATTCTTCCATTTTCTTAACTCTTTTGCTGATGAGCTACTATTTTGTTACAAAAAAAAATACAAATATATCTCAAACATTTGATTACAAAAAATAACAAAAAGGAAATGGGCGGAAAAAGGAAGTTTGAGAAAGTGGTTAATTTTTTTAATTGGCCTCACAGGCCTGAAGGTTAAAGATAGCGATCGGGGAGGAAGAATTTTAAAATACGGCCAAAGTCTTTGGTGTAATTGGGAAACACAGTGTTCACACTGTTTTAGATGCTCCCTTACAGTGGATATAATATGATGTTTATGGTGTTTTTTCTTCTTAGCCGGAAGGCATTCCCACCTCATTCTCGGAGCCAGTCTTCATCGACTTCAATACAACCCAGGGTAGACTGTCCAAGGATTTCACCTTTGGCTTCCCCAAGGATCTCTTGGTCGCAGGATCAGTGCGTGCTCAGCTGACTGTCACAGGTCGGTTTAATAATCATGAAAGTAATACTTGCTTCGTTGACTTAGGGGGACATGGGGCAGGGGGCCATTGGCCCATTACACTCCCCTTTTAAGCTTGGTGCCCCCTCCCCCAAGCTTGTACCCCCTCCTCATAGCTTGTGTCCCTTCTCCTGGTCAAAGCTTGTGTCCTGCCCCCTTCCCCTCTCTTTAAAGCTTGTGTTCCCCCTTTGAAGCTTGTGTCCTCTCTGTACCCCTCCCCGCAAAGCTTGTTTCTCCCCCCCCAAGCATGTAGTCTCCCTCGTCCCCCCCTCCTTCATGAGAGTTTTTTATTGTTAAAAAACATTGATTCCCCCCCCCCCAAAAAAAAATGAGGCCACTATATTTTAGTGCCCCCCCTTGCAAATTGTACACTACGGTATCCTTTCTTTAATTTATAATCTCTAGGGCTTTTCTTGTAACTTACGCCTTCCCAAAAGCACCACTATCCAACACAGGTTTAATATAGTGTCTTTTTTCAGGTGCAAAGATTTCAGAGGATTTAGGGATGTTCCTTGAAAATGAAATCACCCCCTCCCACCAAAAACAACAAAAGTTGAGACTTCAAGCTTGCTGATTTTGTATTTCACGGTTTCTTATATGTGTGGATACCTTTTCTTTTTGAATATTTCAAATCAGTATTCCAACTGCACATGTGCATAACAAGAATCAACGATTATTGCTTAGGCATAAATGCAACAGATATATGCACACACGTATCTATGGTGGACATGGCAACTGACGGTGCATTCTGCAATTTGTCATGCAATCAAAAGGATGCTGGAAAAATTGTTCGCACAAAGTTTTGGGCATACAAAACACCTAACAAAACTTCGGTGTCAAAAATTTTGTGAAATTTTGTGCTTACTTCAAAACACGATTCAGAGCAATTTCTACGATTTTGCACACAAACAGATAATTGTTTATCCCCAACGGAAAATCGTCTAATTTTGATGTGCACATGTGCAGTTGGAAATCGTACTGGCTTATTGGTTGACGGTTTATCCTTGGCATCTTTGAAGACTTATGGAGTTTGATGTTCGATCTTCTTATAGGTGACATCATGGGTCCTACCATGAACGGTTTGGACAAACTCCTGCAGCTACCCTACGGCTGTGGTGAGCAGACCATGCTGTCCTTTGCTCCCAATGTCTTCATTTATTCCTACCTGACAAACACTGGCCAGAACAACCCAAGTATTATGCAGAAAGCTAAGGACTTCACGACAAGAGGTATGAGCATATTTTATTGGTTATTTTTTCCTCGAGAGAAATTAAAACATTAAAATTTCTTTAAAAATTACAGTTAGAAAATGTGCGGTGTTCTGGCAAAATGAGACGGAACTGAAAAATTAAAAAAATAGTTGGGGGTGATTTATTTTGATTTTCAAATTTATTGATTTCTGTAATCTTTGATATTTGTTGTGTCCGTGCAACAAAGTGGTATCTCCTCAAATGGTGTGTGACGTCATGTAAGTAAAACGCGAGTTTTTAATGCAAAAGGTTGTATCTCGCTTTAAAAACCCAGATGTACACACAAAGTCAATGGACGTCGCGATACGCAAGATACGACCTTTTTGCACAGAGCGTATTCGTGTGAGATACGCTTTTTTTTTTCAGATTCAAGTTACGACTTTGTTGTACTGACGCGACTATGTCTACTTCACATATTTTAAAGAAATAGTAAAAAAAGTGTTTTAAGGACAAACAATTGGCATCTTTCATTTTTGTGGACTACAAACAGTCAACTTTAAAGGCTTTTTTCTCAGTATTTTTTGTTGTTGACATTTTGATATGAGCAAACTTTAAACAGCCGTAACTTGTCAACAATACCCGCAAACCCTCATTTCGACCTCTGCCCAAGTTCTGTCTCATTTTGTCAGATGGCCTCACAAATTATGTAGTTACTTAAAGCAGCAGTTGAAATCAAAATTTGCCGATAATATGTTAATAATTTAACTTTCTCCAAAGGTTACCAGCGTGAGTTGACCTATCAGCACGACGATCACTCCTTCAGCGCTTTTGGTAACAGCGACCCCTCCGGAAGCTCTTGGCTGACGGCCTTCGTCATCAAAAGCTTCGCTTCGGCCAAACCCTTCGTCTACATTGACTCGTCCGTGGTGCAGCAGTCTATCCAGTGGTTGATATCGCAGCAGACGAGAGATGGAATCTTTCAAGAACCTGGAAAAGTCATCCACACCGATATGCAGGTTAGTATCGGGTCCGTGCACAGCCAACTGAGGGCGCTGTTTGGTAATGAGACCCACGGGAATGGAGTTTATTTGTCTCTGTATTAGGCATTTGTTCAAACATTGACGTTGAAACTATTGTGAATCGATAACTTTAATACAATGAAAAATCTGACATCAAGATCCATTTAATCGATTATGAGATAACAAGTAGGTAAATTCTAACACGGGAGTTTGTGACTAGACTAGTGTTAGGTACCAAGAGCAAGTTCGATCAAGGACCAATGGTCAACTATTGGTTGGTTAGTGACATACCTACAATCCTGGCCAAATCTCGCTGGGCCTCCAACCCCCCGGCCCCCGTTCAATGTTGTCTCTCATTGCACGGTGTATGCTCCATCAGCTGGAGAGAACAACATTGACCGGGGGAGCGGGGGAGTGGGTGACCGTGGCAGGCTCAGGAAGTGTCCCAACCATTTTGGCCGGGATTGTAGCTCATGCGCACTGATGTTGAAGTGCGAACAACTATGGTCAAACTATTAAAAAATTGTCATGTCAACGACCGTAAGAAAATGGTGGTCGTACAATTTTTCATCACTGGATGTTTTTGTTTATTTATACAAATTACTGATTGTGTAGTTAAGGACCCCATTATTATTGGACAATGGTGACAAAAGTGACAGAAGTTTAAATTAACATGGAAAAACTATGCAATGAAAATGAAATTTAGCACTCACAGTTTCGTTTTTCTGCTGTTTTTGTTGATAGTTGGTTCCCTCTGCACTATGCTATGAACATTGCTATTGATAACATCAGCTACAAATTGTTTCGCAACCAACCATGGTAGGCTGGTCCTGAATAGTCGACTAGACTAGTCCAACCTTCGTTGCCTAGCGTGCGTTCGATCAGAGTTAGTCGAACTATGGTTAACTATGGTACTTAATCGAACTTTCCCCAAGACATTCACATTTAAAGTGAACTGGCGAGACTTGTACACTCTACGAACTTTGTGCACTGACAGTAGAGGGCGCTTTTTCGACAGGACACACCGTGTGTGCACGCTGGTTCGCGCCCGCATGGCGCAAAGTACGCACGACTCATTTTTTTTCTTCTTAATTTGCAAAAAGCCATATTGCATCTTCATGCAAACATCAAGCGTTGTTGGCAATACGTTTGAATATCCTCCCAGTGGTCTCCCCCAACTCTCCCTTTGTAACCGTTGAGGGGGTACTTGCGCACGGAGCCCATTATCATAATTAACAGGTGCTCGTCTGAGCAGATGAATAATTGAATAATAACTATGAAGGCTGAGCATTTAATGATTTCATCTTGTTTCATGTCTTCCTAGGGTGGTGTTTCATCCACAGTGACGATGACAGCCTATGTGTTGATTGCGCTCAAGGAGGTTCAAGTTCAGAGAGTACATTTGGACCTGCCTCAGGTAAAATTGTACAACTGATCTTTCCCTGAAACCACTTGATTACGTAACTGTGGCCAGGGCAGGACGTTGGCACAGCAACAGCATCGAGCAGCTGTAGCAGAGATGGCCACTCACTACAGAACGGTCGTCTTTTTTGCTGACTTTCCAAAAGAGATACATTGTGGCAAAATGGCATTTGGAAACCTGTAACTCGCGTTTGTGTGCTGACCGGTGTTGTAGTCGATTTCATCACAAGTCCATCACAAGTCCTTCAGTGACAAGTCAAGTCACGAGCTATTGAAATGAAGTCTTACCAAAGCATTCCTTTGTCATTGTTCATCCCGGCCGTTACTCGTTACTGGATTCGTGAAAGGACTTGTGAAAGGACTTATGATGGACTGGACTGCAATGCTGGTGCTGGCAATGAGGATCCAAACAGTTAACATCATTGAGCCGAGTAAATGCCAAAAATCTAACGACAAAATTCATCGCTCCTCGCAACCCATTCAGTTTGCATGGCCGGATCGTTGTTACGCAGGTAGCGTGATCTAGCGCAGAGGAAAGTTGGGTCACCCGTATCTCCAATGACGAATATTGGTATGATGGCATTGCATACATCAGTAATCATAGATTCTGTGCTTACAGTATTAGCACAGAATATCTCTGCTAGCCCTGTAAGCACAGAATTCTGCGGCTAGCAAAACCATGGAGTAAGGTTGCGGTTGGTACTGGTCAGAGTGGCTTCTTATAAAGCAAAATGTAACATTTCAGAACAAGCTGAGAATTCTTTGCTAATATTTGACTCATATTTTTCTCAAATTCCTGGTCATTTTGACAGACATTCTGGGACAGTCTTGATAGATCCGCCGGCCTCGCTAGGGGTTACCTAGAGAATCAGTACGACAGCATCTCCAACGATGTGTATGCATTGTCTCTGGTGACCTATGCCCTGACGCTGGCCGAGACCTCAGATTCAAGATTCTTTGATGCTTTCCAAAGAATGGCTGTTGTACAAGGTAAGAATCAAACAGAATAACCCATTAGCAATTGTACTACATTGTATTACATTGTATTACATTGTATTACATTGTGGTTATTCAGTAATGAGCCCATAAAAGCATAGAGTGCTTGGGTGGTTTGGGGTGACCGGCAGAGCTGTTTGCGGCAGTGCAGTGACTAATGGTTTGATGAACTAATATGAAATTTGTTGGTACTTTGAGATCTGCAGGTTGCAGATTTGAATTAAAGGACAGGATATTATGGGTTGTATTGACGTTTAGATGTTGTTAGACTCCGTTTTATCAAACAATGTGATATTTTTCCCTTTCCACATTCATCTCCCTTTAATAGTTAGATAGGATAGGTACATAGTTCTTTAAGTGAGGTCTGTCCTGATGCGGCCTAAGAACAAATTTTCAAGATACTTTTAAGAAACTTTGCTTGACAACCCTTGTTTTGTAATCACTGTCCAGACGGAGTGAAGCACTGGGAAGACCCCTCCACAGCCGGTGAGCAAGTTGACCAGTGGTTCTGCTATTATTACTCTCCGCCGTCAGCCGATATTGAGATGACTGGTTACGCCTTGCTGACACACTTGGCCAGGAACGAGCTGGCTGAAGCCGCCCCGGTAGCACGCTGGCTGACTGATCAGAGAAACGAATATGGAGGCTACGGTTCCACCCAGGTTGGTGAATTAATTTGAACTGATGGAACCATGATCAGAAATGTGAACTGCATAACATGAGACCTAGCTGCTTACACGAAACCTGGACACAATTTGCAGAAGTTTTTCTCTTTTTTTGCACAAAGGGCATGTAAAGTCATTTTGGAGTGAAATTGACCATTCTGAGGTTTTGAGATTTTCCGAATCTGTAACTATACATTTACAACCTCCCAAAATATGAATGTAATCCATCATACAGAAGTGTGGGTTTTTGGGTTGATTTAGTGAAAAAAAATGTGTATAGAAATGCATACAAAAGCATTTAAATATGCAGGTTTATCTCCAAGGGCACCAAACCTAAGATCTTTAAGACTTCAGTGGAATCCATCCTCTACGGACCCTGATCAAACAAATCTCTACATCCATTGATGGCAATGGAAGGTCATATATCATTGTGAAGCTGAAAACCTCAGGAATTTGAGAATGTCAAAACCTTGAACATTACAGTATGCCATTTTCTTTATGTGTAAGGAACGATGCGATTGGACTACAGTTTTATCTTTATGCCTATTCGTTTTTCTGTTTATTTAAAGGGTAATTATGATTGGTATATTTTTAATTTGTTGGAGGGACACCGTGATTGGTCTACTTTTTTCCATTTTTATGCATATTCATATTTTTGTTTGTTTGAAGGACACAGTGATTGGTGTACTTTTTTGTCACCTTCATGCATATTCATTTTTCTGTTTTGGTAGGACACCGTGATTGGTCTACAAGCCTTGTCAGCTTACGCCAGCCGTCTGAGTTCAACTCCCAAGAACATCGTCATGGATGTGACAGCGACTGACTTGGCAGACTACAGCAGTAGGGTTACTCTCAATGATGACAACTCCATAGTCCTGCAGAAGATTGAGGTAATTCAACCCTTTCTGTACCATGGGCGACTAAAAAACCACACACACAGAATTGTGCAGATGTGAAGTGTTATCCATACACCACAGAAAATTACCTCAAAGGAATTTGAAGTGTGGCTGCTGACTCCATGAGCAAATGTGATTTGTCGAAATCTAAAGTGTTATCTAGAGGGTTAAGTAGCTTTGTAATGCAAAGCAAGTGTCATCAGCTTAGAGATGTTCCTTCCTTTTTTCTTTTTTTTTAGCTACCGGTTTCTTCAGGCACCATTCAGACCACAGTGTCAGGCACCGGATCATGTTTGATGCAGTTCTCCGCATTCTACAATCTAGCTGAAGTCTTGGTACGTCCGTCGTTTGAGCTGACGGTGTCCATGCTTGATATCAACAAGAACACTGTCAACATTGTGGCGTGCGGAAGGTAATAAAAACGGAAGAATTGAATTCCAGAAAATGTCTTTGATATTGAACATTTCTGTCTGGCACAGAGTAGCCAAGTAATAATATTAATAAATGGGAAATTCCAGCGTTAGATGAAAGGAAGTATAATGTCTGTGACAGAGCCAATTGACCATGATATCTAATTAATGATTCAGAGAAATGATCCAAAACTCCTAGTCTGTAATCTCTTTGCCCATTACTACATTTTCAGGTTGTCACTGAGCTCTTAAAAGCTGTCACTGACACTAAATAATGCTGGAATTGCCCAAATAATAATAATAATAAAGTCTTATATAGCGACATACTCCGTGAAAAAAAACCACAATTATTCATAAAAATAATGAGACATAAAAACCAAAAACCTTTAAACGAATTTTCACAAGAAAATTGTTACTGTTTAAAACTACGAGTTGTATCAAAATCAAATCAACAGAAATGTTTAACATGAAATTAAAATTGAAAAAAAATCTTGCTGGTTTTAGGTCATATGTGTCAAATAGGTGCATGTATGAGAATATGACTATGAAAGTTATCAATGACTTTCACAATGCACGCAAAGGTCTCCTATAATCTATATATATAAGAGAGAGTTTAACTCGGCCTCCGAGACGATGTTTGCTCATGAAAGGATCCGAGACCGCGGGCTCCCGCGGCGCCAAAATCGCTCCACGTCCGTGGAAAAATACGGAGGGTGTCTTCCGCCGGGTCGGACACTTCGGGTCGTCCTGATTTTCCCGTACGGACCGGCGATCCTTTTCGTCTATTTTTTGTGACAGCATTTTGCACAGGAATTTTCCGTCGTGTGCGCTTTCACGTTGACTGCCTGGCCGCCCCCTGTGCTGGCTTTTCTGCGAGTCTAGACTGTGCGAGGTCAGCGAGGTCAACGTAGGGGTTTCGTTTACGTGTTCTACTCGGCCTTACTGCCAAAGCGTTCACCAAATTGTGATATGGGGTGACCTTGGTAAAATATTTTTTCTCCATGGTGCGTGGCCACCGAGTGCCCCTATTCTTTCATATGCTTCGCTTGCCGCCCCTGCGCCGAGTGCAACGAATACTCAGAAGGACTACACATTAAGTATGCCTTGCGCGGTCTGACCAATCGAAAGTCTACACTGCGTAGTATATCCGGGCTATGCAAAACTGTCGATGGCAACGCGTACTGCAGCCTGCTCCACACCCTGGAAACGAGGTTGGGTCTACGGTGCTCGCTATTTGCATGATTTGAAGCACAAGCATGTGAGTGACGTGTATAGTGCTCTGTTGCTTCCATCGTGTGTTAATACAGCTCCATGCTTCGCTTCCACCAAGGCTGAGCGTTGTGAGTTCGCTGCCCGCCACAGTGTTGCGTTATAATTTCGGGGGCCTGTCTGGGATCAACGAAGGATCGATGCATTGCTTCAAACATCGCGATCTTGAACGCAGTCACACAAAAAATCAACGAAAATGTGTCCGATCCGGCGGAAGACACCCTCCACATTTTTCCACGGACGTGGAGCGATTTTGGCGTCGCGAAATACCGCCGTCTCAGATCGTTTCAGGAGCAAACATTTCTCGGAGGCCGAGTAAAATTTGCTCTTATATAGATGGTTGACCCAAGTTGAATAACAGTTGACTCGACAAGTTCCTCGCAGACAGTCTCGCAAATTGTAAGACGTTCAAGTTTACGTTTGTTGAAGAGTCCAATATACTGAAACTTAATTATGACCTTCTTAATCAGCCTTCGCCTGTGTACTACGGCAAGCCTTTCAAGTACGTTTTCTCACAAATGCCACTGCCTCACAAAATGCCAATTTAACAGACCAAAGGGAACATTTACAGACTGTTGCCATGGTACATAATTATCATGGGCGTCAATCGGTGGGGGACGGGGAACCCCTCCACCCCCCCCCCCCCCCATTTTAAAGCGGTGGAGACTTTTTTGGTCCCCCCCCCCCCACTTTTCTTCCCCGAATAAAAATTGTAGCTACTACATGTATAATGATTCCATTACTCAGAATAGCTGATTCAATGACACCAAACTCGAAAATGATGTTTAAAAGTTTTCCAAATGCGACTGCCTCACAAAAAGCCAATTTAACAGACCAACGGCAACATTTACAGATAGTTGCCATGGTACATAATTATCATGTGCGTAAATCGACGGGGGACAGGGGACCCCCCCCCCCCCCACACACACACACACACATACACACCCACATTTTGAGGGGGGACATTGTTTGGTCTCCCCCCCCCACACTTTTTCTTCCCCGAATAAAAATATTGTAGCCTACAATAATGATTCTATTGCTCAGAATACATGTAGATGATTCAATTACTCAAAACTTTCACAGATGATCTTTTGTTCAAATTGGTTTTAGTGATCAGAAATTGCCTCAGATCACACCACAGAAATTGATATTCTTTAACTGCATGTCTCACCAACTATATCCCCCATTTACATTTAACTCCCCACATTTTCATCCCCAACACTACGCCCTACCCGATCTATGATCGGGTAAACCAGCTTGTTACCTATATCACTTAGTCGTGTTATATTCAGATTATTTATCTGAAGTCAAGCAAGTTGCATATGAAAGTATGAGACTCTATTCTACTGTGGGGTACTGTGGCCTCGTGGTTAAGGGCACTGATTCGTGGTCTGCGGGTAAAGCTGCAGGTTGTGGGTTCAAGTCCTGGCGGGGTCATGGTGCATGTGCCCTTGGGCAAGGCACTTTGTCACTCATTGCTTCTCTCCGCCCAGGAGTAAATGGGTACCTGTGAGGGCAGAGATGGTTATTGTGATTGAATTAGCTTCCTTGCGCCTAACAGGCAGCATCGAGCTGTATACTCCCCAGGGAGCTGAGATGGTATTTGGAATGTTTCATGTGCCCAATGAGCAGGGGTAATAATGACGTAGCGCCTTGAGCACCAGTCCTGGTGGATACGTGCGCTTTATAAATATCCACTATTATTATTATTATTATTACTGATTCAAGACATCAAAACTTTAACAGGAAAATAGTTTATAGTGCTACTGAAAAAGTCTTGAATATTTCATATGCATCAAAGATTATGAATACAGGCGTTATGGATTTTCATTGCTAAATATTTTGTTCTTTGCTAACATCATGACTGTGGGTGTGATCCCTGGCTACATGGCATATGCAGGTTTATGGCTCTTGACGACATCCCTTGAACAACGACATTGACAAAATGGGGAACCACCATAGGGCTGGATAGCTCAGCTGGTAGAGCACCGGAACGGCAATCCGGATGTCGTAGGTTCAAATCCCTCTCCAGTCTATTTCTTCATTCATTTTTTTAAATTGTTTCAAAACAGGTATATTGGAGGGAATGCGGTGACTGGAATGGCCATGATTGAGATTGGTCTACCGTCTGGTTTCTATGCCGACGAGGGTGCATTGACCAATGAGGTCCAGGCGAAGGAGAACCTTCAGAAATACGAGCTTGGGAAACGGACCGTCTACCTGTACTTGGAATCAGTAAGTAATCATTGGATTGGATGTCCTAGACCATCCTACATTCTACAGTTGTTAATTTCTTACCTTGGATATATTTCTTAGTGAATCATAAGAGGTTTGTTTAAAAGACCTTATTTTTGCTGGCGATGGTACAAAACGCTACGTATATCATTTCGCAAGCAGCTAACAACATTGCATCACCGTTCTGACTAGCGCCCCTTGAACAAAATCACTGACAAAATGGGGAACCAACCACATACGGTTGGAGAGCTCAGTTGGTAGAGCACCGGAACGGCAATCCGGAGGTCATAGGTTCAAACTCCACCCAGTCAATTAACAAAAACAAAAAGAAGGAAAGTGATGATGTTTTTGTTTGTTATTTTTGACGTGCAGTTGATGAGAAACACTGACTACTGCTTCAATGTTGTGGCTAGACGGGACAAGATTGTTGCCAATCTCAAGCCGAGTAACGCAGTCATCTATGAGTACTACAAGCCTGGTAAGTGTTAGCATGTTGAATACTTTGTTATCCGACGTGATTTTGGATAAAAGAACTTTGAAATGAATGAGGTCAACATACAACCTTGGCATTTTGCACATAAACGCGCCGAGATGCAACATTTTAGCTTGCACGCATTTGCTCGTACTTGGTACTTGGTTGGTTCTTCTCCTAAGGACTTCCACAAGGGAGTATAACTAGGAGGACAGAAACACCGGGGCAAACCCCTTCTCTTAGCGATAAGTGTTACTGGGTTCTTTTACGTGCGTTAGGCCTTATACAACACACGAGACATTCGGCTTAATGTCCCATCCGAAGGACGAAGCAATAATGGTTAAGTGCCTTGCTTAAGGACACAAGTGTCCACCCGGCAGGCTCGAACCCACACCACTGTTGCCTCTGAAACACGAGAGCATGACACGACCATATGACTTTAATCAATAATGTCATAATGACGCAATATTTTTCAGTGAAACTCTCCTGTAATAATCTATGGGTGAATCGAAATAAAATTACCAAAAAAACAAAAAAAACTGAATTTAAACAAATTGGAAAGTTTTTGATAAAAAAGATGACGTTTTTGCACTGACACGATAAGGACAGCTACAGGTCGCGTGTGAGGGTAAGAACTAAGAATCCACATAATGTAAAAGAGACAAGATTTCGTAGGAGTCCAAATTTCATACTACTCCATACATGAAATTGAAGGTATTTGATTCAGTCTTTTCATCTTGACCATCAGGCGATCAGACCGTGGTGAGTTACAGCTCCAGGTCGCTGTCGGAGGCCTCCGTTTGTCAAACCTGCCCCACCTGCTGCGGGATGGAACCCGATAACGGAGGAAGCCACCTCACTGGACAACTCCTGCTCATCACCATGGCAACGCTTCTCTCTCTTCTGTACTGAGAGGTTTCGAGTATCACAAACCTGAAATGGATCTAAAGCTTGAATTCGTTTCAAAACTATCGCTTGATAATTATACTTCACAGTGACTGCAAAATGCACCAGTATGCTGCTCAGTCGTTTAATGGAAGCGACCTATAATGCTTACATTTTGTTGTAGAATGAATTACGTTATGTATTGCATTGGTGTAATCTTGTATGAGCTATGTACCTATTTTTGTATCTATATTTATGGATGCTGTTTTCTTTTCCGTGTATACGTACATGTATGTTTGATGTGAAATTTTAGTAAGAAGTTACAATTCACAAGTTTATGCTGATCATTCTTTAAAAAATGTGTTTAAATATGAGTGCACAGGCTTTGAAGATATTTTGTACTGAAATTGTATTTGTTACATACTGGGGTCAATTGCATGGCGCTGCTTAACAGTTAGCAGAAAAGTTGTGCTTACTATAGCAGAAACTTGTGCTAACCTTAAGTACTATTTCATGGCGTGAATGTGTTAACAGATGAGTGCATGAAGATTTGTATTGATACGTCAATGATGTAAGCAACGTTTTTCTCCGAGGTAAGCGTGCCTTATGATTTGCTTACTGCTTACGGTCTTCCATGAAATAGACGGATACTCTGTCAGCAGAACATCATAAGCTGAGCAGCGCTATGAAATTTGGCCCTGCTTTGTTCTTAGAAAGCAATTTTGTGTAGATTACTGCTAAAATTGTCTCTTTATAAGACTCAGCGAAACATTTAAAAAGCTCCTTTATATATTAACTCATTGTGTACAGAGTAAAATCGATTACATTTGTGCTGGCTGCTAGGTTGTTGTCAGGCTAGATGTGATGCGGTCAAGCTAAATGAGTCTTTTGTCGACCCTAGTCATTTTTTTTTTTACAAATTTAAAAAGAGCACAATCTCAGCATTACTGCTGTGAAAACCGCATGCTGGTACCATCTTTAGATCAAAAATTATGGAAGTCGGAACACCAAAAGATGTGATGAAGTGATGTGATGAAGTGGTCCTATTTTGGCCTGAATCTCCAAATGAAACTTCTGACAAACGACTCATTTAGCTTGATCGCGTCACATATACTTATTATTGTGGGCCAGTTAGTGCTTTTTAGAAATATTTTGTAATTTGTAAACCAAATATATTACTGTTTGTAAAATTGAGGTGTTAAGGCTTGCATGTACATTTAATTATAAGTATGTAACCATAGTTCGTGTATATTTTGGTCAATTTTCGAGTCAGTTTAATATTCGCATTTTGAACAACTGTGTATGGCACGACCAGGCTAAACCACAAAATCAAACCCGAGCCATACTCCTGTGATTGGAATATTTAAACAGCTTTTTCTGAATGCTGCAATAGTCGTAAGGCCAACAACAACAAAAAGTCGGTTTCTGGTCAGCGCGCGCGTCGATTTTAACCATGCGCGTCAACCTTTTTTTCCTTCTTAAAATTGTCCGCTGTAGCTACAACAGCGCCCTCTATTGCCGCACCTCAAATTTTTGTACCAAGGAATGGGGAAATTGCACCAAGGCAAATCATGGAGGGCACAAAGGTTTATGGAGGACACCAATGTATATGAGGACATCAAAAAAGCAAAAAATAGTACCCACCTTGTCTGTACAGTCCAAGCTTAAAAAAAAATTAAAAAAATAATAAAACGCGTCGCCGCATCAATTCTGGAACTTTGGTCTGACCAGAGACCGACTATTTTTTTTTTGCCTAATGCTTTTTTTTTCATTTCAACATAACAGGAAAAAAATGGAAAAATTTCTAACCAGTTAAAATTGCAACCAAACTGACAACAGACTACAGTGCCATACGCTCTTGTTAGGAACGGACTTCTATATCTTTTTAATTGTTAATAACCAAAGGGTATATAATGGATTTGAATGTAAAGTATTTTTTGGAAGTAATATTGTAATGAATGAATTATACGTACAGCTTGGATATTAAAAAAGTATAGCTCACAAAAAGTCTTGAATTTCCAATGCTTTTGTTAAGATTAATGGCGAGACAAATACACAAAACATTTTCACAACAAAATTAATCACACTCCTTCTTCAATACATTGTGATTTTTTTCCTCATTAATTTCATTGGTTTATTTTCTTCACAAGGCTATCTACTAATTCACTCGACAACGGCTGGTTCGTTTGTCGTACAAAAATTACAGCGAAGGTAATTTAATTAATAGAGCAGTGAACTCTATCATCGCAATCATCGTCAATAACACTTTTTGTCATATTTGTGTACAGTGACAACCAGCCTTACTAATATTGTGCCGTCTTGCAGAAATGAAAACAAAAGAAATAATCATGAAAAGGCTTACTATACTTTGCATAAAACATCAATATTATGCACCTATGTATAATGCACAATTTGCAGTTTTCTGCAAAATCTGGCTTCTGGTAATGTGTGTGTAGTACATGTATACAATCCATACTTGTACGCAATGCTTCTTGTCAAATGGAACAAAGCAAATTGTTAGAGAAACAATCTTCTGATAAATAAGCTCAGAGATCTTTTTTAGAAGAGAACATTCGAAACTGCAAGAAGAATTTCTACTGTTCGCGAGACCATGGAAAGGAAATTCAAATTTCAGATGTTACACTGTCGTTAATGATGCAAAATACAAGGAAAAACAGAGAGCAAAAGCAGAACCAAACACATACATTCACTTAAAGAAGTTACACATACAACCAATAGGTAATCAATAAAATCAATTTTGAAGGGTACGATTTAAGGTAGAAATAGCACATTAAGGGAAATTCCTAATTCTGAGGTCCGAAATAAAAAACAAACCAAAATCACTTTTGCAATTGTTTTCCCCACCCTTAGTCACTCTTCATGTTTTGACCACACATTCCCTATCCGTACCTCATGTCCCCTACATACACACCCTTCCCCCATTAATTCGCTTTGGCTCTGATCTGCGCTCGTTTGGCTGTGACTGCCTGGTATCCAGATTTGATGCTGGTAACCGAACAGCGAGACTGACATGTCTCGCACTGGAGAAAGAAAAGACGGTTCTCTTTGTGAAGGAAGGTGTCTGAGGATCTGCAGGTGTGGCAGGTGACATATTCCTCTGTAGAACAAAAAAAAATGCGGAGAAAAAACTTTGTCACTGTAGTGAAGAAAATTTGTATCAACCCCAAGTCCCTACTGTCTTTTACTAATACTGGATCAAGTCCCCCAAAATCCATCAATCACACTGCTTCCAATGCATGCTTTGCTTCAGGCCTCCAGGCCCAAGTCCATCATACTCCATCGATATTTAGTCAGACCAGGCCTGCAGGGCCAAGTCCCCAAATCCACCAAAATGGGGGGATGGATATTGAGAGTTGGGGGGGGGGGGGGGGTTAGAGTTAAAGTTGCATACCACTTGCTCTCCCAAAAAATGCATTTTTTTCTCCAAATGAATTGTCAATTTGAGCATTTTGTTTTAACGAAAAAACTACTTTATTCTAATTTCGGGCATCTTCAACCCTCTGAAAAAGGACATTCCTTTTGTGCACAAATAACCCGCCCTGCGAGAGCCCATTATTGTCTGGCAGCCAATAATTTGAATTTTGTGAAGAAAGAAATCAAAAAGGCCAAGTCAAAAAATAAACCAGTTTCCCACCCGCTTCCTTTAAAAAAGTGAATTTTTTTTTTATTCACACATTATCAATATATTTTGCCAATATATGTCAATATTTTGTCTCTTTATTCGTTACCGACAAAATTGTAGCCATGTAGAAAGGGTTATGGCTCCTTTGGACAAAATTTTTTATCAGCAAAATAAGTCGCGAAAATTGAAGAATCTATCCGACATCTCGGGGGAAAAAAACAACGCCCGCCTCCTTCATTTTTTTAAAAAGGCCGGACAAGAAACTACTTATTTTTTCCTCAGCCTAACTTAACATGGAGTTTTTTGTTCGATGTCTCATTCAGAATCGGATATTACTTAAAATAGCAATTGAAAATACAGATCTATTTTCGGAGCTGAAACTTGAAAATTTCACGGGGAATGCATCTTTACCCCAGAAACCCCTGTTCTTTAATGCATTACATTGTACATTATGTACATGTATTTGTTCCCGTTGAATTCAAAGAATACAGTGAAGGGGTTTTTGGGCAGCAAGGGAATTAAATGGTTGGGCAGTTTGGGGCGGTACAGGAACCAATGTTTAACAGTTTTGGTTCGAAAGCAAAGGGATCGACAAAACCGATAACATTTTAGAAACCCAGTATTGTCTACTTAAGAAATTTGGTTTGGACGACTTACTGATGTATCTTCGCAGGACGTTCTCCACTTGCTTCTGTGTGAAACGGCCCTTGATAATCAACTGGTTGTTGCCATCGATGGAGCCGCTGGTTCCCATCTCAGCAAGGAGGAAGGACAGTAAGTGCTCTGTGGGTCGATGCAGCCTGAAATGCAGAAGAAATCGTAAACAAGGCTGAGTAGAAATCTCATCTGTGGTAATATTAAGTCTTTGTCAGTTACAGGGGAACTTGTTGACATTAGACGTAGCCGTACCTCGTTACAGACACTCTTACAGCTGCAGCTCGTTACAGAAGCCCGCTTCAAACACGGCTTAAGTTTCTTGTGGATAGCAGTGTGGCCCACTTGTAAGAGCCAAATGATGATTGGCATTTCTGAAACCCAGACTTTGCCTCCAGTTTCGGTTTAATCTCCAGCTTCAAAATCATTAATAAGTCTTCAGTGTTCAAACCAAACTGAAATTATTGAAACAGTGGCCTCATATTCAAGGACTCGATGTCTCTGTAGCAAAAGATGGATTGAGGTCCCCCCTCCCATGTCTAGGGCCTAGAAACTGATGTTTTGAAACCCCAAAGTTGGTTCATGAAAGGACATTCCTGCTGAAGACCTATTATCAACAGACTGTTCACGAAAAAAAAATAAAAAAATTATAAATTGTTTTTCTTTCTGGTAATGAAACCAAGGATTCCTCAAAAGTGCCCTAGGTATTGTAGCTCGAAATCCTAAAGAAACCTGTAGAGGGAAGACAGTAAGACGAAGTTACAGTTTTAGATGTGGCAGGAAAACTGCAGAAGAATATTGTGGGTAAAACCGGAATCAGGTAGGGACTGAAAACCCAATCCACATGTGGTCTGGGCAGGAATCGAACCCGGGCCATAGAGGTGGAAGTCGAGGAAAGTAACCACTGCACCATATGGGCTATTCCAGCATTATGAAAGGAAGTGTAATGTCCGTGACAGAGCCAATTAACAATGATATCTAATTCATGATTCAGAGAAATGATCCAAAACTCCTAGTCTGTAATTTCCTTGACCATTACTAGATGATGGATGTATAAGGTTTGAAAAATACCCATGCTGTCTTTCACATAAGTATAATGCAACTGAGTGAGGGTGCAGCGCAGAATCGCTGCTTCACGTCACTGAACTTTCACAAGTCAAAATTTACTCTTCAATCACTTACGTTTTGCAGACGTCTGTGAAATTAACAAAGGAGGTTTTCTTCGTCCCAACCCTGACAACTTGAGGTGGCTTCATGACGAATCGTTTCTTCTCACCGGTGCACATGTCTGGGTTCTTTGCCCTCATGATGTCAAAGACTCTCGTAAGGAGCTGACGGGATAAACACAAAATCAAAACGGATTGGAACTGAGTTTCAATAGTTTAAAATTTGTAATTGATTGAGGTGAAATGTACTCGGGGCAAGCAGGTAGATTCAATCACACTTTACTAATCTCGGCCGTGCTGGTTTCTGTGCAGTGACTCTCTATGTGACACAGTTACTTTAACACTTCATAACTTTATATCCCTTCAGCTGAAACTGACCTGCAGGGTTTTGAGGGGTTTACATATTGCTCTGAGTATTGACTTCCCACTAAGAAGGTTAAAGTATATTTTATTTCAACAACTAAATATTTTTCATTTATTTCCACAACCTTTCCAAAGGTATCAACAGAAAAGCTTGCCAATATTTGAACGACCGCCAGTAGTTCTTTTCCCTTACCTCATCATACATGTAGTCTCTTTCTGTCCCTGCCCACGTCGTGCCGCTTTTATCCTTCATCTCAGAGTTCTCCTCATTTTCTTTATTGTTGCCTTCCAGCGCCTCTGCTTCCAAGTCTTCCAGCTTAGGCTGAGAGAAAGTGACGAAAAAAAGAAAAAAAACTTCACTTTAGTGCAAGTTCGAGTGAAGTTCTGTTTTATTTGTCATTCAGATCAATCAGTGACAAGATTTGATGGACTGTGCAAGACATTTTCAAACATGCACAGAATTATTCACATACCAAAAAGAAAGCTGTCAGTGTTGTAGGCCAGACCCTGCAAGACCATCACAAGAGCATCACAAGAGCATCACAAGAGCATCACAAGCGCATCACAAGACCATCACAAGAGCATCACAAGAGCATCACAAGCGCATCACAAGCCCATCACAAGACCATCACAAGACCATCACAAGTCCATCACAAGACCATCACAAGACCATCACAAGACCATCACAAGACCATCACAAGCCCATCACAAGACCATCACAAGACCATCACAAGTCCATCACAAGTCCATCACAAGACCATCAAAAGGCCTCCAGTCTCAAGTCAAGTCACAAGCTATTCAAATGAGCTTTAGACAAAGGCATTCAATTGTTATTGTTCATCCACTGCTTCTTGTTACTGGACTTGTGACTGGTCTGGTGTCTGGTCTTGTGATGGTCTCGCCTACAACGCTGAAAGCTGTGAAATTAGGACTCTATGAAATATGGACCTATTGGTTGTATTGTGCATGTCTTAGCAGGGTTCCCACAGAAATCTTTAAATAAAATTCCATGACTTTTCCATGACTTTTCCATGACTTTTCCATGACTTTTCCACGACTTTTCCACGACTTTTCCACGACTTTTCCACGACTTTTCCATGACTTTTCCACGACTTTTCCACGACTTTTCCATGACTTTTCCACGACTTTTCCACGACTTTTCCATGACTTTTCCATGACTTTTCCATGACTTTTCCATGACTTTTCAATGACTTTTCCATGACTTTTCAATGACTTTTCCATGACTTTTCAAGGGCTTTCCATGACCTACTTCAACTTTGTTGTGGTATCTTAGGAGCCTAGTTACAATACACTTCCAGACATCACACATAGGCAAGGGACTTGCCGTGCTTTAAATTCTAGGATTTTCCATGACTTTTCCACGACTGTGGGAGCATAATCAGGACAGCGACAGGTCACGTGTGAGGGTTAGAGTCCACATCAGGGAAAAAGAGACCAGATTTCATAGGCGTCCAAATTTCATGCGACACCTAATTCAGCATCGTTCCCGATGGATACGATCTTGCTGTGCAATGTTGGTTTCCATCATGCCTTGCACGATCTTAACCCCTGGATTTGTTTAATGTCCATGTATTTAACACACAACGCAGTTCTTAAAATTTTGAAAGGCTTTTTTTAGGTAGAATCAATCCTTTCAAACATGAGATTACGACGTCACGTTATACAGCACAGATTTATATTAAATGTACGTACCTCTGTCGTCCCTTTACAACACAAGATACAGATTGTTTTGGGAAGAAAACAAAGCTTCCAGAATCCATATCGTACAGGCATTGCGCAGTCTGAAAAAATGTTCGTACATGGTGTGACGTGCAGGAGATAACGAGAGCGCATATATAGGGCATGCAGTCTTCAAAATATGCGCACAGTATGCTCTGAATCGTCAATCAGCGTCATTTTCATATTCTACACGGGCAGCGATTAGTGAAGGAATGCAAATGCAGCCCATGGAGTCGAGGCGCACCTAATTAAGCCCATTTTCCCAAATGAATACCGAAATGTCTTACACTCGCTTTGATATATATTGATTAGTTCTACCTTTTTCTTTTTCTTCTTTTTCTTGGTGAGGGCAAAGTCTAAATCTGCATCAAAGTCGTTGATCTCTGCTGGTGTAGATTCCTTGGCTGCTTCTTGCGTTTCACCATCGGCGGCATTTTCTATCTCCTGTAAAAAAAACACACACACACAAATATAATCCAAAGATGGTCAAATCAGACTGGCTTAAACCTTAGGGCTTAGGGAGGCGGGAGGGGCTGGAGCAGAAGGGTGGGCAGAGGGGTAGGGGGGCCAGAATAAAGGGGTTTGATGAGGATTGTTGATAAGGCCAAAAAAACAATTTCTGCTTCCGATTACATGGCATTCGAAAATAGGGTAGGTAGGGATTTTTTTTTCCAATTTTTTTTGTGTACGATCATATGGAGGTGTCTGCTTACTAAGGGCAAAAGGTAGTAATTGATGGTTTGGGGTGTTTTTTTTCTCATTTTTCCCATGAAACAATTAGGGTAGGGGCTGTCAGAAAAGGGTAGGTAGGGAAACCAGAAGCAGAACTATTTTCTTTTTTGGCCTAAATACTTACAGCCAGTGCATCGTCCATCCCATCCATATCGAATGTCTTCTTCTTTTTCTTCTTCTTTTTGATGCTTAAGTCCAAGTCAAAGTCCATATCTGTTAGCAAAGAATTAGTATTCATAAATCCACAACAACTTTGGCAGACTCTTGATTTGAGTACAATTTTGTTTTTCAATTCAGTTACTACAATTTTGACCAATGCCCTCTAATCAAATTTTACTTCTTAAAACATGAAAATGAATAAAACTGTTGCAAACTGCTTACTGACTGGATTGACCTGAAATATGCAAATAAAAAAATTATACGGCCTAACGTTTCGGTCCTGAGCAGGACCGTGCCTTTTTGGAAGAGCAAAACAAAAATTAGCTATACTGAAAATTGTAAAGTGTGTGAGTACACAAATATTGGAATAATGGTTTCTTTACAAAAAATTTGAAGCATTTTTCTTTCATGTAAATGCATGTGTACTGCAATGATAAACACCAGATATCACACCTCTGATTAGCGTCTTGGTGAGGTAAAGTTACTAAATTATTGCCAAGGGTTTGCTTAGTATCATGCCTACATATTGGTCCTGACATTGATCCTTATTCAATACATCTGATGAAATCATACAAACATGCCATCGATGCAATCTGATGCAATCAAGTGCAATATCACAGACACAAATGCTTGCAGATTAGTTTCACATTCTAAGAACTGAATGGAATGATTAAGTAATATCATTTTAGGAACCTGCTAAATCCAATCGAATTCAACAAAATTAAATTCGACCAAATCTAAACGAGTCTAAACAAAGATGACTTTTCAAAGCTCACGACTATTTCTTTCTTTCTTATTTTAACTGGGTAGCCCATTCAGTGGAATCTACTGATCTCCCATGGGTCCCAGTAAAGAGAAGACAATGTGAAGAAATTACAGTTTTAGAGGTGGGAGGAAAACCCAAGAAGAATGTTCTGAGCAAAACCCACGGAATCAGGCAGGGACTGAAACCCCAATGTACATATTGGCCCAGGCAGGAATCGAACCTGGGTCACAGCGGTGGAAGGCGAGGAAAGTATCGCTACGCCAACCTGACTCCCCTGAACAAGTTCAAATAAAAATATATACATGTATTATTTATAAAAATAGGAGTTGCTGAATTTGGACTGATAAGGGTCCAAAAGGGTAAGGGTTTCATCTGATCAGGCAGACAGGATGAAATTCAATGCACTTTTTATGAAGTTATGAAATCACTCTGATAAACAGTTTATTCCAATTTCTATTTTGGGGGGGGGGGGTAGGTACAAGATATTACATTAATTTAAACCCCCTCAGGGTTCCTCAGGACTACCCTGCTAAATCCAACAGAGTCCAACAGTTACTTCCTGCTCAATCCAACAGAATCCAACTGTGCGTAATTTTTAATTGTCTGCTGGATCCACCAGAGTCCAACTTGGCATTATTCATCAGTACCCAACAGAATCTAACTCTGAATATGTACGTGTACATTTGTACAAGAGGTTTACTGCTCAATCCAACATGCTCCATCATGTTTATGATATAGTTGGAGCCTGTTGGATTCAGCAGGGTAAGAGTTAAGAATTCGATTTCTACCTTCCGATTTCTTCTCCGTCTCGTTTGTGTCTGTGTTCTTGGGTGTGTCATCCTTTTCAGGTGCCTCTGTGCTCTCCTGTGTGTCCCCACCGCCCTCTAATGCTGCCTCCAGATCAAAAGGCATCTTCTTCTTCTTCTTTTTCTTCTTCATCGTCGGGTCAAAAATCTGCAGGGAAATTGTACCGGATATTTTCATGTTGTTGCAGGATTCAAAAGTATTCATCAGTCAATGCATTCACATTCAAATGTGTATCTATAGTCCGACTAGTATTTAGGGTTTTATGACAAGCAAAAAAAAATAATTGGGGGGCCGTTTTCCGTTTTGATAAGACGTAGACCCAGCTTAGGACCAGTCTAGCAGTAATCATGGTATCATGGATTTAAGTCTACATCCTCGGTCCAGTAGACTTCAAGGAATTCGGGGGGGGGGGGGGGGGGGGATGAAATTCAGGATGAACAGGTGAAAGAAGTAATTCAAAGATCGAGTTATTTGGGGTCCTCCTAAAATGCGTCAACAAGCGTCAACTGGCATCAACAAGCATCAATGGTCGTCAACCCAAACAAATTTTGTATAAGTTTCGGAACATCATTAAAAGCTTTATAATGGTAGGAAGAGCAACAAAGACCACCTTTACTTCAGCATAAAAATTAAAGTTAAAATTGTTCCAATTTTTTTTTTTCAATGCGAAACGTACGACAAGTTTGTCGAGTTAGTAAAACGGAAATAAAGTCTAAGAACCATTCGCTTGATAGTCTGGTTGCAAGAGCCAAAGATCCCGATGTTGAATAGGCCCTACTAAATATTAGGTCAGGGAACCATCATGACGGTCGACTGCCGTAACAATAGCCACTGCGTTTTGTCATGTTTGTTAACGGCATTCGCCAACTTACCGCTTCGTCTTCGGCCATTTCGACGGATGTAGTCTGTCAGACTCAGATATAACAATATCTTGTTGATCGTTACTACATGTATTAAGCCTTATGTGTTTTGTAGAATATTTCTGCTGTCTCTCTGGTTCGTCGCCGGATTGTCGCCTGCCTCAGATTTATGCGCAGTAAATTTACGTGAGAAACGTGCGGTGAACTGCATGCGCATGCACTGACATATGGCCCGTTGGTAAACATCAATGATAAGCGAATTTCCAATGTACAAGTTAGGGAACCACGGAAAGAAGCCGACATGAAGTTGTCCAACCCAGACTCCAAACTATTCCTATAGCATTACCACTCCTCCATGGTACCCGACTGTACTGAATTGCATCATTTTTTTTCAACTCCTCTAATTTGCAATATAGAGGGGGCTATTGCAATAAATCGGCGCCTCCAACGTCTGGTTCAGGCAGGCAGGCAAAATCTCGCTTGGGCTCCCGCACAGCACAATTCAAACGCAGGGATTATGAAATGTATCCCTCTAGTTTTATACTTCAGTATGCATCCTCATCTTGCATTATTGACAGTTTTTTTAAAAAACCTACATGACCCCATCCGACCCGAACCACCCCACCCAACAAAACCAAACAAACCAAACCAAAGACAACAAAACAAACCAAAAAAACCAAATGCAAACAACTACAGATAATTGTTCTTTATTTGTCATAACTGAAATGTTTTTCATATTCGCCAATTCGCGACTGATGGTACATGTACATCGGAAAAGTCAATTTCAATTAAAACAAAAGAAAGTTTGTCATGGTGCATCATTGATTTCGAATTTGTAATTGTTCACTTCCAAGTAACTAACACGGTGAATCACCAACACACTCTATTATGAATGTGTAAAGAAGATTGGCTGAAATATATTGAGAAAATTTAGATTTTACACTGGGGTTTTATACCCTTCGCCAACATATTTTATAAATACAGTGTTGTCCCAAGTGATTGTGAGAAAAAATTCATAAGCTTCACTTAGATTATCCCACTCTGGGCTATCAAGGAAAGAAGAAACATAAGTTAAACTTTGTTTGCTACACTCTCCAAAACCTTCAATTTGCAAAATTTACTTGTGGCTTGAAGAGAGCAAGGATTTTAATGCAGTTATAACTTATACTTGCAAAATTTGGTTTTTTTTAGTGGTTCAAGTACATGTATACCTTTACTAATTTCTAGACTTTAGTATATGCTTCTCTCCACCCAGGAGTAAATGGGTACCTGTGAGGGCAGAGATGGTTATTGTGATTGAATTAGCTTCCTTGCGCCTAACAGGCTGCATCGAGCTGTATACTCCTCAGGGAGCTGAGATGGTATTTGGAATGTTTCATGGGCCCAATGAGCAGGGGTAATAATGATGTAGCGCCTTGAGCACCAGTCCTGGTGGATACGTGCGCTTTATAATTACCCACTATTATTATTACCTTGTGTGATATTTTTTGTTCCAACTTCTGCAGTGTTATTTCTGTCTGAACAAAGAAAAGGATTGGAGATAAATTATGTGTACATGTACTTTATATATTATTAACAAAGTGTGTTTGAAAGAGACGTCATACACTTCACGACTCAGTTTTACTAAAGAGTCCTCGTTTTGTTTATTTTTTGCGGCCCTTTTTGGGCCTGACTTGGTTGGGGTTTCTCCTATGATGGGCTGCATTGCTATCAAAGCTTCGTACTCCAAGTTGGGCCGACTTGCTGGTGGTGTCTTTCAGAGCGAATGGAGAATTGCCGGTGATGAAGTCAGTGTTGAAGACGTCCGTAGTCATCTGGGCCTTACGAGAAAGACGATTATGAGGAATCGGCTGGTCTTCTACCAAGACAGGATTATCAGCATGCTTGCCTCCCTTGGGCATAGGAAGTGGGTACTGGGTTAAAAGAAAAGAATTGAATATAAATTAAGGAAACATACATGTACAAATCTGTGCTCATTTCTATTAACTATAAACAAAAAGGTCAGTGGTTCTGTAGGTAGAGCACCGGAACGGCAATCCAGAGGTCACAGGTTCGAACCCCTCTCCAGTCAATTTCTTTGTTCAACTTTAAACAAATTATTATAATACACGTAGTCAGTTTCCTTTGATGGTTTATTTGTAAAATAAGAATGAAACAAAAGCAGATAATCCAAACAAATAATGTAAAGGCTTATAATTATAGTAATCATTATAATATTCTGGATTGTAACCAATGCATAAATGGATAAAAAAATTAAAATTATGATGAAGTTTTTACTTATTTCTAGACTTTAGTATCATGCAGAGTTTTGTGAATTTCCCGCTTACCTTCAGGCCCCTCTTGTTCATGACCTTGCGATGCGAGAGATGAATGCGTTGGCTGCCATCTTCCTCAGTTGTCACGGTGACTTTGTCTAATGTCCTGTTGCCACAGTGCGGACAGAATACTTTAGTCATGTTGTTGGTACGTCTGTAGGTAGTTGTAAAGAAGTAAGGGAATAAATGTGTGCTCCGGAGGTTTTATCACTCTGTTTAATACCACTTAGAGTCTAGGTGCTGATAATTACCCGAGCCGGAGGCGAGGGTAATTATCAGCACCCAGACTCTAAGTGGTATTAAACAGAGTGATAAATACCGACGGAGTACATATTTATTCCCATTCATAAATACCTTTTCGGTAAAAAAAAATCATATAATTCGTGCAAAACATCCCGATTTTGTTCAACAAATTCACTTTATGCTTTTTGAATCATCCCTCCTGCAAAATAATGGAGTGTTCAGCTGGCGAGTAAGATGAAAACAACCCTTTTATGGAGATTGACGCGCGCGTATGATGTTCTATGCGATGTCGCGCAGAACGCACCTGGGGCGTTGCGTTTTGAATTTAGAACTATAAAATTCTAACTCCCTGGTAGTGTTGCGCATGCCTACGTGAGGATTGTGAACGTTCAACCAATTAAACGATAAGAGGCACTGGATTTTTAGGAGTCCACATTTTATTGTGACACTGGAAAAGTGTTTAAGACCAGCTAGCCATGTCTTTATCATCCGTTTAATACCGGCCACGTGACGGGCTCTCGACCAATAGGAATGGCTAAACTGTCTGAGGTATTTATGAATAGTGGTTTAATTATTGTAAACAATATACACAAATACCCTGATAACTGTCTCTTGTCTGAAACACTAGCTTACAGTTTTTGAATCTCAAAAATTATGCCCAAAATATAACGTTACTCTCAAGAACTTTCAAAAATCTTTTAGGAAACACAAAAACTGGCTATTATCACTTGACAACAACATCTGTTCTGCTGTTTTGAAACTTATGAACGTGTATGAGTTGTAATAAATATCATTCTCTCTTTTCCCTTGCAGTTGATAGCAGGGATGGAGTCGAGCCCATCACAAGACTGTCACCAGTCCAGTCACAAGTAAATCACAAGTCCAGTCACAAATAAACAGTGGATGAACTATTACAAAGGAATGCCTTTGTCAAAGCTCATTTGAATAGCTTGTGATTTGACTTGGGACTGGAGGACTTGTGATGGACTTGCAGGGACTTGTGATGGACTCAACTACATCCCTGGCTGGTAGGCTGGGGGAGATGGGGGGTTGGACTCACTTAAAGCAGCTGCGGCATCTTAGCACAAAGCTCTTGGCTGTCTTAATCAACATCCCCTCCACAGAAAGGACTGGAATTCCCATATGGATCAAAACGTTCTGCAATATGAAAAGAGACAGACAAATCTCAACATTATCAAGTTGAAATGGTTAGTCATTTTAGTTTACCTCCACTATAAACCGCAGTTCATGTAGGCATGCCAATGAATAGAAAGCGACAGGCATAATTGTCTGCCCTTGCTCATGTTCATAAATAAAGGATTTCTGATTAAAATAAATTAGGGGGGGGGCTAATCAGCAGGAGCTGAATTGCGGAGGACGCTGCTACAATGTGCTCGAGCAGAAGGCATGTAAAGGCAGTAACTAGGCAGCCGCCATACGACCCATATCTAACCACGGAGCACAGCCAGAGATCGAAAGTGTTGATTTTTGCGAAAAGAGGAAAGCCAGCGAACCTTGACAAATTTCCTCTTGGCACAGGAGAGAATCAATGACCAACTCTACTCTCATATGACCCGTGCCGGGAATTGAACCCGGGCCACAGCAGTGAGAGGTGAGTGCTATGCACTGTGTGCCACCCATGTAAACCATGTTCAGGCTTTTACAGTATTAAGGATAAGCTCCCCATGAATTACATTTTTTCTATGGAAAAACCCTCAAATGAATAACGTATGATGTCTTTTTACCTGCATGGCAAAATCTGCCGTCATACAGCCGACGATAACACCGTCTGCTGTTTCCTGGTCACTCCTCGTACCTTGGCGTATCTTGCTAATATTCCCTGGTGTTATCCATCCTTCCTCGCCATCTAAACCATCACCATGGTTACCTGCATCCTCCGCCTCCGCATTACTGTCATCCTCATCGCTGAGGTTGTCAATGTTCTCCTCTTCGTCTTCAAGCATGGATTCTGACGCCACTGCCTCCTCCTGAGCTTGGTTGCTGTTTTCTGATGACAAACTATCTAACTTTGACTCCTCACAATTCTTGGGAGCATCAATGTCAATATTGATCTCATCTGCGTCTTTCAGTCCCTTCCCTTCTAAATTGTCTTCTTTTGCTTCGAGTTCTGTCCTTTCGTCTCCATCTTCCTCTTCCTCTGCCTCGACTGCCAGTTTGCTCATTGTGAGTTCAATGTCACCATCTTCCTTGTTGTCTTTGGGAAGACTTGAGTCAGTTTCTTTGGTCGCTGATTGCTCATCCTCACCTGTTTGACTTGTGGTTTCCTAAATAATGCGACAAAAATTTAAACAGTTTAAATATTTGGCAGTGAGCTTCATATCGCCATTGTCATTTTCCTTTTTCCCAAGAAGACACCATGTATTTTCAATTGATTTATGTAACTTATGTTCTCTTCAAAACTCCTCTTTCATAATGGAAACAAGTGTTTATTTTCTCGTTTTCTTTTATGTAAAGATGGTTTATAAAAACAAAATTTGATAACAGCTTAAGATGCTAAGTAATGGTGCAGCTGCATTCTTTGAGACTTTTATCGGACATTCATTTTTTTCGAGCAAAAAACTTGTTCAAGCTTTGAAACATTAAGACTCTGCCTATTCAAATATTCACCGTAAGTACCTTAAATTTGCCAAAAAGTACAAATCTTTGGTGGCTTGATTTTGATGAATTCAGACCAGCAGTCAAGGCACTTCCACTTTACATGTGGATTTATGTCCCAGGTTTTAAGTACAACGAATGTGTCATTTTCACTTTTGCTGATTGCGCAGATTCAGGGAACTCCAGCGCAAAATGAACAGAAAAAAAGAGTAAACGAGGCTTTGCCACCTGAACCGCGAAGAGCGAACCATCCTGCTTCGCGGTCAATCAACTCGTGAACGATCACCTTGTGAACAACTCATAAACACACACATCTTTAGCGCTGCTTAGTATAGTGGTGATGTTAAATCCTGATGACCAAAACACACTTTGAACGTACTTACCTTTGGTGGAAGGTAAAAACCCACAATGTCAGTAGCTTTCACCAGCGGCCTTGTGTTGCAAGTTAATGTCACCTGCATAGTAGGACAAAGACAGAAACAGCGCCTGTTTAAAAAGCAATTGTCTACAAGGTTACCTGAACCCTAAGGATAGACTCTGTTCAATGTTTGAATTTTGTTGTAATGATCTGCTGCAGTAATTACATAAGTTGAAAGGTTTTGCAAAAATTAATGACAGGGTTCCCAGCACTTTGTGAAAACAAAAGTCCCTGTTGTCCCTGATATTTCCTTCAGAAATTTCAAAATTCTGTGAGAATTTTCTGTGAGAAACTTTATTGAGGTTGTTGGGAAGTGAAAAGGTGGTGTAGCACAGCCAATTGCCATTGTCTGGAGAGGGGTGTAATATTCACATGACAGAAAGAGTAAATAAGTCACCATGGCCAGTCAGTCAGTAAACACAATTTGGACGCATGGCACAAAACGCACACATGCCAACTGGCGAAAAGTCAGTAACTGTCAAATTCCTGGAGTTTTCCTTGATTGTTGGCGTTTTCCTCAAATTCCCTGAGTTTTCCCTGACTAGAAAAATGAAATCTCATTTTCAAGGTTTTTCCCTGGTTGAAACCCTAAATGAAACATTTGGAGATTACTGGAAGTGCAGCTTACTGTAGGAACTACTGCTGCCTTTTTGTGTGAAGTTAGACTAGGTCCTTTTGTAATTGCAACAAGGACTGCTGACCCTTAAAACTCAATCCTCCAAAGTCCTCGGGCAGATTTGAAGGATTTTGGAGGATTGAGACTGAATGCAACATACAATTTTGGAGGATTGAGGAGGATTGAGGGCACATGGACATTCAGTCCCAGTTGATTTTGGAGGATTGAGACTGATTGCATTTTGAGAGGCAGGGCTGTTGAAGGATTTCAAAGGATTGAGGCAGTGGGTATCCTTCATTTGAGCATAAATGCAAAATTGTGGAGGATTTTGGAGGGTTGAGGATGGTTCCTGGGAAAAAAAGGCCTGGGGGTTAAGGTTAAATTTCTATACATGTTTCAGAAGTAATCCAGTCAACGGAGTAACAACCAAGTATATGTTACACACTAGAAATGATGGTAAGACATTGTTACCTTCTTTTCAGGGACCAGCTTGAGATGTTCAGTGCCACAGTGTTCCTTAGTCAACTGATAGGTCAGCGCTAGGACCTTGACATCTACAGACGACAGACTGCGATAATCCCCGGTCTTCTTTGAAAAATCCGAGACTGAAAAGATATTCCAGAAATATGTAAACAGACACCATTAGAAATGCCAGAGTGAGGTATCATTTATGCTGCCATATTAGTGAGCACTGCCATATTGCCAAAATAATTATTTTGAAATTGTCCCAGCTTCCTTTTATTTATGAGTTGTATATTTTTATATTAACAACTTTTTTGTTTGTCAAATAAACCACACAAAAACTGACTAGGCCCATTATAATAAATTTCAGTTTAACAAAGAAATTGACTGGAGTGGGGTTTGAACCTGCAGGTTCTGGATTGCCGTTCCGGAGCTCTACCAACTGAGCTATCCAGCCCTATGTTGGCCGTTCCCCAGTTTGTCAATGTCTTTGTTCAAGGGGCGCTAGTCAGAAGCCATAAACCCATGTAGCCAGGGGTCACGCCCGAAGTCACGATGCTAGCATTATTAGCAATTTTGCTAACCTGGGAAACAGCAAACAGGGATCTAGAGAGGTCGCAGTCAAATTCTTTGTTCGACTTTTAAAAAAAGTTTTTGATTTGATGACAAGATTAAAGACCAGACAGAGGACAGTACCAACATACGCATTTATCAGTCCACTAAAGTTGCAGGAAATATGCAGAGTAAATAGGTGCAGAATTTTTTTTTTCATTTGAAATGAATGCATCTTGAAGTCAGTCAAAAAATAATAAATAAATAATAAATAAAATAAAAAAAATAACAGCTCTCTATCTGTTGGCTCCTTACTGATTTGAAGGCATTCTGGTGAGGGGTCACGATACTTGAGGTCATAAGGCAAGACAGCCAGCCGTTGCCTTGTTGCAGCATCTTTAATCTCCCTCACCACTCCTTGGGTTGTATAGACATTCTCCGCAATGTCCTGGAAAATGACAATGTGATATTAAATATCGAGCATGAAAGTTTGTTTCCAGTCCCATTATTAAATCAAGTAAACGGAAAGGTGCCTTTTTGGGACTTAAAGGGAAAATACAACATTTGCAAACATCAAAAAATAAAACTACCAAATCATTTTGAAATACCTTGCTGGACTATTAGTGAATGACAGTGTAAAGCATCCTGTAAAATCATGGCACCTGGTATACTGTCATTTTCAAGAAAAGTGGTATTTTTGTATCAATTTCCAACGCTGATCGGCCGATCAGCGTTGGAAAAAACTGGCTTTTTTTCAAATACTGGCCCCAGTTGACCATCGCACTTGTTTGCAATCGATTACACACCTATGAACGGGTACAAGCCAGCTAGACTGGTTCCCTGACCTTACAATTCCCCAATATATGTGTAAACTGCTCTGTTTCTTCTTAAATGGAGTCAGGGAACCAGACTACAGGGAAATGATTGTTTTTCTTGGTTTTTATAGCATTTTCGAACCCAAAACCTCAAAAAAGTCAGTGTAACTATATTGCTATATATTTCCAACCCCCCAATTCCATCCATTTCTGAAAATTACAGCAAAAGCAAATGATGTATATTCCCTTTAAATTAACGAGCTCGTATTAGGAGCTTGCGACACTGTCACTGTGTCTTTATCAACTGGTGTTGTTGAGCAGGCGCGGATCCAGGGGTGGGCCGCGGGGGCACGTGCCCCCCGTCAAATTTAGTCCACAAAAAAATAAAATGAATAAAACAGGGGGAAAAAGAGGGGGAGGAGAGAGAAAAGGAGGGAAGGAGGAGGGCAACCTTCTAACAAAAATACCGGCGCCGATATTAAACATCAGCGGCCTGCAAAAATTGTGTACTGGCCGTATGACACAGTACTGGGAACTCGAAAAGCTTCGAAATAAACCGCGATCCCACCGTACGTACTCCATACGTAACCCTGCATAGTATATCGGTTTATGAAATGCGATTCATATGAGCGTATGTACCGGTACGAAAAACACGCTCGTGTCTGAGCGCATCATACACGTTGTACGCTGCTCTTTGGACCACACTATTAGTAAAGGGGTGTGTTTTTGTAAGAACAATTTGCCAGCATTTCTTCCACGCGCTTTCAAGGAGTCCAAAACAGTCAGTTTCCGTAGAAAATTTCCGTAGAAAATCTTATCTTATTGATAAACTGATAATTTAAACTTGATACAAAACATTAGAAAGCATGCAAAAGTTTACAAACTAAGTCTATACAATTCCGTTCCAAAAATAAAATGCACGAAAACGATTATGCAGACGAAAATGGTTATCAAGTGAAAAACAGAATAAACTTAAAAGGCTTGTTAAAGCAAGAGTGTATATTAAACCAATGAAAAAAATGCTTATTTAACTTTAAAAATTTTGCTCAAATAACTCAGGAAAAGAGGGGCCAGGAATCGCCTCAGATTGCACCACAGAGCATCCAATTATCAAAAATTTTCCGGGGCCCTTAAGCGGGCCCTGGCCCCACGCCGAAAGACATTCGCACTCCGCATTATTAGTCCTCGGGGCAGATCTCCCGACGCATCCTTAAAACAGTTTTCAAACTAAGCCTATCCATTTCCTTTCAGAATAACATGCAAGAAAATTATTATTCAGTCGAAAATACCTGGTTATCGAGTGAAGAACAGAAGAAACTTAACTAGGCTTGTATTAAGAAATACAAGAGTACAATTTTAAACCAATGAACAAAAAATTAAAAAAAACACATGGTGTTACCACAAACCGAAGCGATAATGAAAACAAAAATCCTCCAATCTTCACAACATGTTGCTGAAATGGGGCCAGGAATCGCCTCAGATTGCACCACAGAGCATCTCTGGAATCAAAAATTTCCCGGGGCCCTTCAGTGGGCCCACGCCCCGAACCTCACGCCGTAAGACACTGCCCCGCGTTCGCATTAGTCCTTGGTCCCAGCCCATCGCCCGTTGCAACAGTTTACAATCTGAGTCAATACAATTCCTTTTTTTTTAATACAATGCAAGAAATTATGAAGACGAAAATACATAGTTTGCACATTTAAAGTGCACAGTAGCTTAACATTTGTAAAAACAAGAGTATATATTTTTTTGAATCCTTGTAAGCTTAACAACTTTTGCTCAAATAATTCAGGGGAAAAGGGGCCAGAAGTCGCCTCAGATTGCACCACAGAGCATCTAGAATCCAAAATTTCCCGGGGCCCTTAAGCGGGCCCCGGACCCCACGCCGTAAGGGCTTCGCGCTTCGCGCTCGCATTATTATTCAGAGCAATATGCTCTAAAAGTGTGCCCCCCGTCTAAAGAAATCCTGGATCCGCGCCTGTTGAGGCCCTTTTTTTTAACAGATGGGGAGAATTCCAAAAATGGACATCACTAATATTTCCCTGCAGTGACCTATCAGCCATCAGAAAGCGATAACATGTCCTAAAAAGTCAAATTTAGCAGGTAAATATATAAAATAAGCATTTACTGAGAAAACACAAGTGGAATTTTTTAGACCAGTCTCATAGGTTTGTGCACACGGTGTTAAGTGATGTTCAGATATGGAACTCTTTCCATAGATTTCTTAAGTTTCAGGTTTATAATTTTTAAGGCCAAAAAAATTAGTTCTGCTTTCACTTACATGGCATTTGAAAATAGGGTAGGTAGGTAGGGAATTTAGAGGGGGGGGGGGCAATTGTTTTTGTGTACGATCATATGGAGGTGTCTGCATGTAGTAAAGGGTATAACTAAAAGGTAGTAATTGATGGTTTTTGTTTTTTCCCCCTCATATTTCCCCCCACTAAATAAGGAAGGGGCTGTAAAAATAGAGTAGGTAGGGTAACCAGACGCAGAACTTTTTTTTTTTTTTTTGGCCTAATCAAATTGTTCTTCATAACTTTTTAAGTAGATTTTATTTTCTTCTTTGAAATCAGTCATGTCACACTGTCAGTGCCTTTTCTTTTGGCTAAATTTGAGTATTTTTAAAAGGTAGTGGATATTTTGCCGGAGGTAATGACGGCAAACTAACGATTACTAAAGGTTTGCCGGCGGCAATCCATATCAACAGAGGGCGCTGTACTCTTTAAAATAGGGCTGAATTATAACATGTATTAAATTCCCACCAAAAGTTGTGTAGCACGTTTGGTGTAATGGTTAAGCAAAGGCTCTAGTAAGCGGGATGACTCGCGTTCGATTCCGACCGCACCACATTTTTAAGTTTTTTTTTCTCATCCCCAAATAAATAAGAATATTCTTCTTTTATTATTTTAACATGTCTCAAACATTTTTTGCAGAGTATTACATTTTCTTTTTCAGATTTGTGGCTCTGGAGGATTTTTTTTAAAAGGGAAATAAAGTCCGAATTTATAAAATGGTCTGAATCCCATCTTGTGAATACGAGGTAACAACGATAATTTTGGCATGGAGCCAGACTAAAACTTGTCACCGCAAAATGTTTTAAGTACAAAAAAACAGTAACTGCGCATGTTCAGTGCATATCCGGCAAACTAACGTTTACTAAAGGTTTGCCGTCTCCGGCAAAATATACACTGCCTTTTTAAAATGTAAAGTTCTGTAAGGGAAATAAAGTCCGAGAACCATTCGGTTGATAGCCTGGTTCCAAGAGCCAAAGATCCTAACGTTGAATTCTAAAGTATTAGGTCAGGGAACCAGACGGTCAACTGCCGTAACAATAGCCACTGTGTTAAAAAAAAATTCTGCCGATTTTTGATATGCTATTTGCCTATTGCTAAACAAGTAAGGCCGTTTTTTTTTAATTACTTGGATTACGGAATTTTTGGGTCCCCATTTCCGGCGGCGAGCGGGAAATGAAAAAAAAAAAAAAAAAAAAAAAAAAATGGGGGCGCCCTATCATCCAACATGGCGGCGCCCATAGAGACATGAAGAAACAAAAACGGGCACGAGAATGAACAGTCACCCAATTGGTGGATCAGATCCGGCAATTGCAGGATCACGATCAGATGGGAACGCAAAAGGTGGATCTGATCCGGCAATTTGACCTGTTAACATCCGCCCGGTGCACGAGTGGCGCGAAAATGTTGCGGTCTCATGAACGAAGAAACACGTTTTCAGGCGTGTAGCTCATGTGGACATTTCCAGCGTTTACAACATGCACAATAAACAACCGCTGAACTACGGGCTAGCACCGCGCATGCAAAAGCGCACGTGGTATCCTAAAACTACACTATAGGCCTTATTTTTGTTGCGTGTTCGTCCATTACTAAACCTTTTTCATTCCTGAAATTTTACTTATTTTTCCATCCATAAATGACTCCACACTCACCAAAAGACTTCACTTTGGCACAGAATCATTGAAAAGCTTACGAGTATGCGATGGGAATAGTGCCGATAACGCGGTACGTACGGGGGTGACAAATCTGAAGTATTGATTATAGAAAATTGGAAAATGATGTCGTAGTACATCATGTGACCGTTTCTAACCAATGAGAAGCTTCAGAACCAGGGAATCCCTTATCGATGCATTGGTTTCTGCCGTGATGTCACACGTGAGCGGCTCTGTTGGATTTCACCTTTTAATTTATGCACGCACGGATCCTCTACGGATCCGTGATTTATGTTGGTGAATTCGCGTAATTTTTGTCTGTTAATTCTGATAGTGCTGTTTGAAAACTGACCCATCCTGGCCTAGCATGCAACCATGCAACAATGGCACTCCCACAGAGCGCGCGTAATTCCGAACTCAGTGACCTTTCGGACCCAACATTTCCTTACGAAAAGGTGGATCAAGCATAAGTGGGAACGCGACTTGCGGTTTCGTTGCGGTAAGATAACGATCACACCAAAATGCCGGATCTTGATCCGCCTTTTTCCAAATCAAGTGGGAACGCGGTGTATGTCATGTCGTTCGATCAAACCAGTACTAATACTATGGTTTACAGGCCTGGACAGCGCGCAATATAGAGTTTTTTGTACAATAGGCACTTTTTTTCTTTTTTTCTTTTTTTTTTTTTTTGGGGTAGTCAGAATCGACAATTTCCGGCGGCGATTTTTTTAATTTTTTTCAAAATTCCGATTTTTTCCGGCGGCGATTCCGTAATCCAAGTAATTAAAAAAAAAACGGCCTAACGTGGGTTGGTATATATTGTCATGATTGTCCGGAAACTAGGCAGGTAAAGCAGATAAGAAAACAGAGCAAAAACGAATTCCTCTTATTACAAATCTGTCCCAATATGACGAACAATTAGAGCCCGATTAAATAAAACAATGTCAAGCAAAATCTACTCACCTGCAACTGAATATTTTTGAAGAAAGCCACAGTGTCAACCACAACGTGCTTTGCCATGTTTTTCGCCATCTTTACCAATAATTATCACCAGGCGACCGATGGAGGGCGCTGTTTCATTCGTCCATCCCCAAGAAAAGAGAAAAAGTGCAAAGTGCACAATGTTTCCTATTTTTATCTGGTGAATCATAGACCTGTTGTGGCTTACTAGGCAAAATACTCGATACCTAAAATTGTCGTTAGTATTTAGGTTGTCTTAAGTACTTTTTTGCTGGGAAATCGCCTAAAGCTTATACAGGCAAACATGTCGAAAATTGAGGGTAAGTTTATACTTTTTATAGGCGTAGGCCTAGTAAGGAGTACTAGTAGTCAGGCCCTAGTACTGTTTTCTCAGTAAATATTTCGAAGTGGCTATCGTTACGGCACTCGTTGTTTAGCGCCCTCTACGATATTTTTTTGATACGCACGCAGGTATATAATTATTTGTTTCCCCACGTTTTATCGAGCAGTGCGCCAGCTCAGCCGATAGAGGGTAGGATTTTGCACCGCGAGGTTGCGGGTTTCGAATCTCAGTTTTGCACTCGAATTTTTTTCCTTTTCTAACCTGAGGCTTTGGAGGATTTTTTTTAAAAGGGAAATAAAGTCCGAATTTCATAAAGTTCAAATTCACTTTTTTCCTTCTAATTTTATATTTTCTTGTCATGTTTTTTTTATAAAAGTTGCCAGGTTGCAGTCTACCGTAACGATAGAAAATGGGAAATGCGTTACGGCTGCCGTAACAATAGCCACTGCGTAAATATTTTCGCTGCGAAATTTGACTGTTTAGGACATCTGATGCCGGCTGATAGGTCACTGCCAGGGAAAAATTAGTGATGGCCAGATATGGGAATCTTTTCACTGCTATCGTTATGGTATTTGCAAAATTACCATTGCAAATCTACATGTATAATCACATTTATAACTACCCGTCCAATCAGTAAGGCTTTGGTAGCTTGATTTGTTACATGTTCGACTACTGCACTGTGCTGGGGATCCGGGTTCAAAGCCACTGCTGCGCTGCTTTTTTTTTTAATAGCTTTCTTTACTTTCATGTTTTCAATCAAATCGGTATTAGGTCAGGGAACCGAATGTTTCTGTAACGATAACAGTTGAAAATTGCATTACGGCTGCCGTAACGATAGCCACTGCGTTTTAGGAAACCACTTCACATGTGAACAGTAGTTCTTTTTCCCCTTTCTTTCCATGTCTGTGTTTCCCTGATCGGAGCAGATGTTTTGTTTCAACTAAAGGTATGTAAATCCTTTTAATTATAAAAACATGTCGCTGTATATTGTCAAACATTTACCATAAATTTCTGTTCAAAATTTCATTGCTTTTGTGCTTTCACTGTGAATGTTATTATATTTTTTTCAGTTTACTACAAAACAGCTGGAAAGGTCGGCCAAAAAATGTGAGAAAGACCAGAAAGTTCAGCAGTCAAAAGTTAAGAAGGTAATGGAGTTGCGTCTACTGCAGCATTAACAGAAACTCTATGCTTGATGTAATACTTTGACAAAATATTCATACTGCACAAGAATGAAAAGAACATCAGTTTTCCCTGTTCTTTGTTTTTGGCTAAAGATGGAGAGGGATTAAATTTGATTTTTAATAAAAGTCTTTGAAATAGAACTCTCAAAAAGAGATTTGTTTTGTAGAATACTTACATTAGCCTGTCAAAAGCCAATATGGCCCATCATCAGGCCGGGCGTTTATCTCTGGTTTCCTAGGCATGAAACGACTGAGGATATTTGTATTCCCCCTGGATGGGATGCCAGTCCATCGCAGGTAACTCCTCAGCTAATGCCGGTACCCATTTATACTCCTGGGTGGAGAGAGGCAAGTGGAGGTAAAGTGGCTTGCCCACAAAGACAACATATGGCCGACAACTGGATTCGAACCCCTGACCCTCTGAGCAAGGGTCATGGACCCTAACCACTAGGCCATACTTGCGTCCTTACATGTGCATAATGCTGCAGTAGTTAGTATTTGATCAACTTCTGTTTCTTGACAGGCTATAGAACAGAAGAACATCGAGGGGGCCAGGATATATGCAGAGAATGTCATCAGAAAGAAGAATGAAGGCCTCAATTTCCTTCGGATGGCATCTCGAGTTGATGCTGTCTCCTCCAGAGTACAATCAGCACTGATGATGAAGGAGGTAACATCTTTTAAGTTAACCAAAAAGCATTACTTGGAGATTTCTGCTACTTAGCTTAAAGGCATATTGGTTCATTTTTGTTTATCCCCAAAGTAACCAACTATTTAAATAACCAAAATATTATCCAAAAGCTTACTTGGATTAAAGATTGTACTGGTACTAATTAACACCCATGAAATTAATCCACCTGCCATGCTGTCATTTAGAAGAAATCAAGAAATGTAGGTGATTTCCAAGGATCAGTCAATTGACTGATTTTTAGAAGAAATAGTTAAAATGACGAAATCGTGTTTCGTGATCAAAAGGTTGTGAATGGTTTTTCATTGTTTTCTTGAAAAGTGTAGTATCCACTGAGTTGAAACTTCAACAGGTCAGGTTTTGAACATTCTTCTTTGGATTTTGAGTGGTGTTATTTATTGAAAAAAATGCATGAACAGCAAATGATCCTACATGCCCTTAAAGCATGTGCTCTTTCTCATGAATGGACATTTATTTCCTCAATTTAGAAGTTACTCGATGGTGATTAAAAAAAATGGAGTTGGTTGGTTTTATGAGTGAAGAATTTCAAATTTTAAAAGTTAAACGAACTGATCCATTGAGGATAAAAATGATTCCAGTGGTAATATGTTTTTTTTAATTTTTATTTAGCTGACGAAGAGCATGGGCTCTGTGGTGAAAGGAATGGACTCAGTTCTCAAGAGTATGGATTTGCAAAAGGTAAATATAAATTGCTTCAATGTGTGCATAATTTTAGTAATTTGGAAAAAATTCAATTATGGAATGATAATGTTAACTCAGTTGACATTTTTCAATGGTAACTGCAACAGATGAAGAGCTGATATATGAGCTGCCGTATTCATTTCTTTAGAATGAATTTCATTGGAAAACAAGGCTAATATAAAGTTGAATGAAGAAATTGGCTGGAGCAGGGAACCGCCAACATCTATAGGGCTGAACAGCTCAGTTGGTAGAGCACCAGAACGGCAATCTGGAGGTAGCAGGTTCAAACCCTGCACCAGTTAATTGTATTGTTCAACATTAAAATCATTTTAATGACTTTTTTTTGGGGGGGGGGGCATTTTAATACACTTAGTCAGTTTGCCTATGTGGTTTATGAACAAAAGTCTACTTGCACTAAATTTTTAACAAAAGATCATAATAAATTGGTCTTAAAAAATCTCCCCCCCCCCCCAAAAAAGTTCATTTTCTTAAATATAAATTTGACAAATATGTCTGGTTTTAAACTTTAGGATACTGCTGAGTTAGGCTACTGAAGCCCAAAAAAGCCTTTCCTTTTTAAGTTGATTTGACATTAACAATGAATCAAAAGTAAACTAACATTCACAAACAACCAGTTTAACATGCTTTTGTTTTTAAATTGTTTTATTTTAACAGATTGCCGGTGTCATGGAAAAGTTTGAGAAGCAGTTTGAAGACCTTGACGTGCACACTCAGGCAAGTGTTTGGCCTTTAAAGCCAGGTTACAAGATTGATCTTCTCACTGCTGAATGGACTGATCTATTCGGCCCGCCCACTGCGCATTTGGGCAGCAACACGTGTGCCTCCCCAATGCTACACTGCATGTTCCAGCTGTGTTTCATGCGCACATGCACGCATGTCAGATTTTTTGGGGGGTCAAAGTACCATTTGGCAGGGCTTAACCCTCCTACACAAACATTCCTTCTTAGCCAAGTTGTGTTGCAGTTAAAATCAGTCAAGTGACTGTTTGCAACAGTTAAGAGCTCCCAGCCTACATAAAGAAGAATTGACTGGCTGTGACTGTTTGTGTAACTTGATCAAGCTGTGCTTTGACTGTAGGTGATTGATAAGACAACTGCGCTTATCAGTTGCCTGCTTTTGTCTGTTGACTGAATTTGACTAGTCGGAGTGCTTGCTTGAAATATGATGCGACTATTGATGACTAGCCTGTGTAAAAGGCATGGCAGGGGAATTGGATTAATTTTTTGACTGTCTGTGACTGTTCAAACTGCAAAAGAGTTGATGGATCAGTCTATTATGTTTCCCAGAGACCCAAGATCTTAAATTTCTGTTCCTCTGTTTATTCATCGAAAAACTCTTTTTTGACAGGTGATGGAGGGCTCCATGGGCCAGGCCACGACGCTGACCACCCCGGTGAACGAAGTAGACAAACTCATCCAAGAAGTCGCCGAGGAAAACGGTCTGGAGATGATCTCCGAGCTGAACGAGGCTCCCATTGCCACAGGATCTCTCTCCGTCGCTGGGTCGTCAAGAACTGTCAAAGATGAAGACCGGCTTGATCAGAGGTTAAGGGCTCTTAGGGAGTAAGGTGGATGGGGAGTGATGGGGAAGGAAGGAAATAATTAGGGGGGGGGGTGGGGTGTATCCTTAAGCTGCCTTGATCAACACAAGATCATGCGTTGTCGATCGACATTAATTAAAGTAATAATAACAAAGCAGTTTTAATACTTACAGGCACAAAAGGATCCTTTGCATTTATCCCAAAAGTAACCTGCCAAATTATTGTCAAACAGCTTGCTTGAATTAAAGATTTTACTGGTATTAAACACACTGTGAAACTGTTCGATTTGGCTTGCTGGAAGAAATAAAAAAATGTAGGTGCTTTCCAATAATCAGTCAATTGACTGATTTGTGGAATAAAGAATGCTATTGGTGAAATTGTGTTTCGAGATCAAAAGGTTGTGCATATTTTTTTCACTGTTTTTTCAACAAATGTAATATCCACTGAGCTGAAATTCAACAAGCTAGGTTTGGACACTCTTCTTTGGATTTTGAGTGGTGTTATTGTTGGAAAGGAACCAAATTCATCGAAAGCAAATGATCCTATTTGGTTTTAAAGATTTCAAAAGAAAATGCACGCTCAGAAACATCTATCTTTGTAGAAATTTATTTAGATTGAAGTCGTCATGACTCATCTCATGAGCTTTTTAAATTCAATACCTCACTTTGCTGATAGTGTTGTGGCCGCCCTAATTGTCCCGATAAAATGTGTGAGCAAACTACAGACTTTCAAAAGCTCTTGTGAGAAAGATGTGAGAAAAGTCTTCTTGTAAGACAGATGTGAAACTTACCTAAGAAAAATGTTTCTGTACAAGAGGGCAAATGTACTATGGTTGCCCCATCTTTTTCATGGGTAATTTGTTGTGCTATAATAATGCAGGGTTCCCACAGTCTTGAAAAAAATATCTTGGAAATCCGGGAATTTAAACCAATCATGAAAATGTCATGGAATCCTGCACAACTCGTTATTGATGACGCATAGAATATGGCAATGGCAGTCTTCCAGTTAGCATTGCAGTTTACTATCCTTCTTATTTATGCATACCACTATAATGCCATGGAGTTCAGTGGTCTTGTGTCAAACTGGAAGGCTGAACGGGAGTGGTGTCCCTTGCCTCGGTGTGATGACTGGCCAGTGTATTGTAAATAGGCTCCTAAGATGCCAAAACAACGTTGGAATCAGCCATGGAAAGCTAAATTCGTCCTGAAAAAGTCACGGAATTTCAGTTTACGATTTCTGTGGGAACCCTGAATAATGGGCGAGGGAGTAGGGGTGGTTTGGAAGGGATAGTTCTGTACCTTGTTAGACAGTTTCTTTAAGGTGATAAGACATGTTAGCAAACTGATGACTGGAATTCAGACTTTCTCTTACTAGGTTGGTGGCATTTATTTTTGTTAGAATAATTTACTATGAAAAATGTATATGTAAATACATATCTTTACTAGTAGTACTTGCTGTGTTATTGTTTCATGTAAGCCTCTGAAAAATAATCTTTTATAATTATGTATCAATGTTTGTAAATATAAATAGCTGATCTCACTAAATTTAATTTAAAGTAAGTAGAATGAGTGTAAGCAAGTGGATGCCGGTAGCAGCAGGAGGTTTAGAAGAATCATCAATTTATGTTCATTTGTAGACATTTACAACCATTTCTTCATTTGCATATTCCCCCAAATAAAACTGCTTACAAGAAACTAAGAATTTTGTTTGAATTTCCTAATGCCAACTTGATGACAGTTTGGACACAATGAAAACGGATTGACATATTCAAGTAGAAAAATCACCATACAGGATGAGTAAAAAAATACACACCCGAAACCCAAATGCCAGGACCAATTTTTGAATGAATCTTTGCCTGTAGCACTTTTAAAATCTAGGATATGAAAGCCCAGTCATTAAGCTTTCTTTTAGTACAAGAATCATTCAGATCACTCTTGTACTTTTCGAAATACGGAATTTTGAACACAAACACCGTTTTAAAGTTCTGTCCACGGATCACCAAAAAAAAGGTGTTTTCGTTTTGCTGAAAGAACACTGACCTTTATTTTGTGATTCGTGGACAGAACTTTAAAACGGTGTCTGTGTTCAAAATTCCGTAACAAGAAAAGTACATGAGTGTTTTGAATGATTCTTGCACTAAAAGAAAGCTCAGTGATTGGGCTTTCATATCCTAGATTTTGAAAGTGCTACGGACAAAACTTCATTCAAAAATTGGTCTTGCCATTTGGGTAACGTTTTTTTTTTACTCGCCCTGTACATGTAATGGTAGCCAAACATACCAACTTTTTTTCTGTTCATTGTAAAATGTAGCCGATTTATATGCAATAATTATGTACAATATCAAACGATTTCATGGCAATCTTCAATTAAAAAGAATTCTTGCAAGATTTTGAGCCTTTAAGTGACAGTGCTCGTAGATAAGTATGGACTGTGGAGAATTTTGACTGAATGAATCGTACAAGTTGTGACTTTGCTGTCATTTTCATTGATTCTGAATTTCGTAATTTTTTTTTTTTTTACTTCATAATGATCTTACGATATGTGGCAACTTGACAACATATAACTTGAGTTACTCTGTTGACAGTCCTTGAATAAAATATTCAGCCACAATGTTTTGAGATCGCAGAGCGAAAATACATGCTCGCTGCTTCCCTTGAAAACATTGTTAGTGTTACACCCCTTAATAGGGTTGGTTATCTGAAAGTTTATGTTGACTTTACGAATCATTATATTGTTTCTTTAGACTAAAACTAACCTGGGAGAGTTTGATACAAGCCTCATTATTTTGATGATCAAAACACTTGGGCACACATTGATCAGCTGTGGTTGTACAATTCTGGTTGTACTCCTTAATACAGTTGTCCTCCAAGAGTGAGTATGAATAGCAAACAACCTACCCCACAAAGTTGAATGACAAATTACAAATTTCAGAGGTAACGGGGTCGGGAAAAGTGTCACACTTTTTAAGTTGGACCCCAAGTTTATAGAATGACCTATAATTATCTGTAGGCCTGCCCATAACCGTTCCAGAATCTAAGGTACCGATTGGATTACATTCGTATACCATCCCACTGTAACACGTTTCCCTTGATCAATTTAGAGCAAAGTCCGTGCATTATATGGAAAAAAACCCGCCAAATTCATCATGCCGCTTTTCGTCAACAATTCGAAGCTCCGGTTCTACCATTTGATTAGTCACTGATCTTGTCGGCAGTCTTCTTACTCGCCGATCGGTCTGTCTCTCCTCCTCCGAGTAACTTGGCCTCGCTAGTAGGATTCACCTTGACAGTCGATGCCTTCTTGACTTTAGCAGCGTTCCCCCCGACACGGCGGAACCACCGATCTTCTCGGATCTCGCTGATGTGGATCCGTCGCTTGGCCGGCGAAAGGATGCGACAAATCAGGTCCTTGCAATCGTCTGCCACATTCCGATTGGACGGGAAGGCTGGCGCCTTCTGTACCTGCTGCAGGAGTATTTTATGGTTGGTGTCGTCGAAAGGCAGCCGCCCAAACATCATGGTAAAGAGTACCACACCCATACTCCAGATGTCTCCTAACATCGGATCGTAAGGTATCCCTCGGAGAATTTCCGGGGGTGCGTAGGCATAGCTGCCGCAGTACGTCTCACTAAGGATCACTCGCTTATCAACTGGTTTCATGTGGCCTCTCGCGAAACCAAAATCAGTAATCTTTAAGATGTTGTTCCTGTTCAAGAGAATGTTTTCACACTTGAGATCTCTATGGACCACGCCCTGGTCGTGACTATATTCCATCCCGTCTACAAGTTGATGAAACCATGTTCCAGCTTGAGACTCGGTGACTGCTCCTTGTGCCTTGATGTAGTCCAAGAGATCTCCATTCTCAGCCAGCTCCATGATGAAGTACACTCTGCTTGTTGTCTCAATCGACTGCAGGAAACATATCAGATTCGGATGTTTCAAAATCTTGACTACCTGGATTTCTCTCGGTAAGAATTTCTTGAGGTAGTCTTCAGGCGCTTTTCTCTTGGAGACGATCTTGATGGCAACTTTGGATTTGTGCCGGCTGGAGTATGCAAGTTTTACCGCGGCGTAGGAACCATGTCCGATATTTTCACCGGCTGTGAAACCGTGCTGTTCCAAAACGGATTGGCCACGCTCCTTTGCAGAGCTGTCGGGTGCTTTACTTGTACCCGCTGATGCCCCAGCATCCCGACTTGTTGAGTCTTTAGGTTCTGTAGACATCTTAGAAATAACAGCCATTACGGCCGAATAAACAACTTCGTTCCATTTCTCAGGGATTCGGTGCCATTTTATTAAGATTAATTTTCGTCAATGAAACCGCGCGTATAGTCACATCTGCGTTTCGTCGAATGGAACAAATAAATTAAACGCGCATGTGAAACGCTTCAATTAACGCGTGCATGCAGAGTTGCACTGAGGTTCAGATTTCTGTGTATCATCTATCCATTGGCGGATGGGGGGGGGGGGGGGGGGGGGGGGGGAGGGGGGGGCAACGGGGGTCATTGCCTCTCCTGGCCTCCCCCCTTTTAATTTTCAGGAAATAGATTGAAACATTGCGTATCTCGCTCGGGGGAGAGCACCCCCTCAGTAGGAGTTGGAGGACGCGGTCTGCCTGTGAACTGGTAGAGCATAGCGGGGGGGGGGGGGGGGGGGGGGGGGGGTGTCATGGCCTAGTAGTTAAGAGCACAGCAGCTGGCTGGACTCATGCTCTGCTGGTGTTTCTGAGCATGCTCCATGTTCTGAGGCAAGTGGCATGGGTTTGAGCCCGTGGGTCTGGACACTTGTGCCCTTAAGCAAGGCACTTAACCATTATTGCTTCGTCCTTCGGATGGGAACGTAAAGCCGTAGGTCCCGTGTGAAATGCAATTAATGCACGTTACGGTAAAAGAACCCGGTGACACTAAGAGAGAGGGTTTGCCGGCCTGGTGTTTCTGGCCTCCTGTTTAAACTCTCACGCGGAATATGCTAGACAAAGTACAAGGATTTTTTTTGAGGGGATGGAATGTCCTTTGCCAAGCCCCCCCCCCCCCCCTTTAGAAAAATCCTGGCGACGCCCACGGCCATTTTATACGGTCACAAACTTCTCAGTCGGAAATAAATAACAAGTGACAACTAGTATAAAGCAACTACAGCTGATCGTAAAGAGCGCCCCCTTTCATCAACGCCCAAACAAAAGTCAGATAAGCTCAGGGAATGGGAAAACAAGAACGGACGGGAGTGCTGGACTGCTTGGACAGTGGTCAGCTTTTGAGAAATACATCGACCTAATTAGTCCTGATAGCTGGACTTGGAGAGGGGTTTCAACTTGAATATTTTTGTGAGTATCAAATAAACGGAAAGAATGTAGTATCCTGATCCTGACGCCCACTGGCACTGCTTCGGTCGTCATGGTTGTGTACAAAAAGTCTATGGAGAGTTTACACTGGTTTATGGAGACTTTTTAGTGCATTTTCCGGTTTGGCGGCTATCCGTAAAAGGGTCCTATGGCAGTATCCTCGAGTCACCATAATCGGCGCAGGTAACACTTGCAACGCGCGCGCGTTGTCCAACGCAAATTAAATGCGAGTGCGTCGAAATAGATCCTCGTCGTTTTAGGTGGACTGACGATACATGTACACACAGTGTGTTCAGAATGTGCCCTCTCTTGTTCGCACACAGAGTCCATAGGGTATTATGTAAAAGGAAACAATCCAAAACATATTTTCAACGAGTAATTATCTATTTATGGTCAGTTTATTGTTTTACATCCATTGACACTGACAGGCCACACCAAACTAGGAGGATCCTTTACGATGGGCTACGATGTTGATCGTTTTGTGGGTTCCATCAATGAGGGACTGCTGTGCTGCATTTGCCGAGATGTTCTTGAGGACCCCCTACAGGCGCCATGTGAGCATGCCTACTGCGCCACCTGCATCCACGGCTGGCTTGTCCACGAGGAGATCTGTCCAGAAGATCGGCAGCCCCTGACTCAGGACCAGCTGCGACCAATATTCCGCTACATGAGGAACGATCTGAACCAGTTGAGGCTACGCTGCGTCAACCGGGACGCCGGCTGCGAGGAGCAAGTCAGCCTGGAGAACCTGAGCCGACACGAGGCGGGCTGCGGCTACGGCAAAGTCCACTGCCCCAACGCCCACTGCCGGGTAGAACTGGAGAGGCGTGGTTTGGAGTCCCATCTCCTAGTTTGCGAGCACCGCACTCGGGTCTGCCCGCTCGGCTGCGGTCTGACCGTTCTGAACTCGGAGGTTGACTCCCACAACTGCGTGGCTGAGTTGCGGACTGAGCTGGAACTGCTTCGCTCGGAGATGATTGGCCGGAGCGAAGACCAGAAGCATGAGATGAAACTCAGGCTCGACTCGCAGCGGACGCACATGGTGCACAAAATCAGTGAGATGCAGCAACAGATGGATGAACTCAAAAGTAAGGAAGTGAACATTAAACCACTATTTTTAAAATCCACACATATTTCGGTGTGGTTACCTGACTATCGTACTATTGTAAATGAAAAGCAAGTGCCTTTCCTTTGCGATTCGGGTGTCATATACCTGGTAGAAGTTGTGTTCTAGAAATTTCTTGTCAAAGTGTGCATTGAAAACTGAATTTTAAGATTTCAAGAACCTGTACTTAATGGCGGTGTATTACAATACAGAGACAAGTTCTATGTATAACTGGCTTTCAATAACAAACTAATAATGATGTTTGAAGAACCGATTTTATAAGAACTACGTAAGAATAGATTTCGTTTGTGAGCATGGCTTAGAGAATAGGGCTTACACTCGTGATCAGAGAGTCAGTGGTTTGAATGCAGCATCTGGCCATGTATTGTATCCTAAGGCAAGCCTCATCACTGTAGCTATTTGGCATTAGCTGGGGAGTAGGCCTAACCGACAATCGTCTTGCATCCTTTTGAGGGGTATGGAGGGGATAGCAAAATTCTCAGTTCCACACCAAGGAAACTGGCGATAACCTTATAAATCACATTGGCTTGACAAACCTTTTTACTTTTTACTCTGTGCTTTACTAATTTCTAAGGTGCTTGGCCTATCAGTATGTTTTTTTCTTGTTCTGCTTCCTTCCACCGAAGGGCAAGTGGAGCACTTGCAGCACGACGTCCGGCTCCTGAGCGCCTTAGAGAGAAAGCGGGGGCAAGATATGGAGCGCCTGGAACTGGAGAAGAAAGAACTCCTGGAGGTCCTGAAGGCACTCAAGGAGGAACACGAACTGGCCAAGGCTAACACGTGTCGGATAACAGCTCTCTAAGCGGCAAAGGGAGCGGAAGTTGATCAATGCATTCTGCTTACAGCTTTTACGTATTGTAGATTATTGCCGACCACATGTAAGCAGATCTGGATGCTGGCATGTTCAGATATGGTACGTCAGCCGGGAGCTTAGCACTGGAATTTACAACGTGGCATTTTTTATGTTGGAGCGCTGTGAAATTGGGCACTGGAAAGGCAATTCTGCTATTTGTGTCTTGGAGCAGGATACTTTACAGCAATATTTGGCAGAGCCATGTTTAGCAGAGAGCTATATTGTAAGTTCTGGAGTGCAAAAAATGAAGATTGATGGTTTTATCAAAGTTTTTGCACAAACCAGTGGATAAGGCCACAAAAAAATATGTCATGCTCTTCATTGGTCAACATATCAAGGTCAGTGCAACAAATCATAGCTTTGTTTTTTAGGGCAATGAAATGCTTTTTAACCATATGGGCAATCCCAGCATTACAAAAGGAAGTGTAACATTCGCAATAGAGGCAAGTAACCATGATATCTAATTAAGGATTCAGCGAAATGATCCAAAACTCCTAGTCTGTTATCTCCTTGACCACTATAACTTGATGATGGATGTACAAGATTTGAAAAAAATATATTTTCAGGTTTTTTCACTGAGCTCTTAAAAAGCTCTTTCACAGACATTACAAAATGCTGGAATTTCCCATGAGCGAATTTTGAGAGGTGCTGGCCAATTCGTTGTTACGAAAAAACTATTTAAAAAATGCTAGGCAGAATTATATTGACAACTGTTTTGTGACCGTATACAAACAGCCATCTTAAAAGCCATGATCATTTTCGTCCAAGTTGTTAAAAAATAAATAAAAATGTTGTAGATTGTTAAACACTGTGAAGCTGTGCAACAAAATTGTAATGCACTGTTTCTTGGAATAAGCTGCAGATGATAATAATTGAGTGGTTTTAATCAGTAGGTGCTAAAATCAATGCCAAATTAACGTTTTACACGTAGATGTTTATTAACACATTGGTGCCCTTTCTACTTATGATTTTATGGAACAATGAATTTTGTGAGTTTGTGTGTGTAGTCAAATAATCAGTGCTGACTATTCCGTAATTTGTAAAACTGCTTCGTATTCGAAACCTGAAAGAATGACTTATGTATTCATATCAGATTGTTTACTATCTGCATTCTTTCTTTAGTGATGTGCTTGTGCAGGTTCTTAAAAAATTACTGGATTCCACAAATATGCTTAATTGTCTGCGGAAATTCCTTTCAGTTTAGCAGTAAACTATCCCAAGTTTGCAACTCTTGCAGGGCACAATTCAATTTTTTATTTTTTTTATTGGAAACTGTAGTGTTACCTTCTGAACAAAATTGCCTTTTTGATAAACATTGGGCTTCACATTGTAGACATAATCTTGTGGATACTTTTGTCAAGTATGTCGTTAGGTGCCAAGTGTTTTTATTCAGGTAATGATGATAAATCTGCCCAAGATTTCGACAAGTTAAAAAAGAAATTAACTAAACCTCAAAGGGAAGTTTGAAAATTATCATTCTTCCAGTACCAAAAATTCCATAACTTTAAAAGCACCCCAGAAGTTTATTTTCTGTTCTTTTTTTTTTTTTTTTTTTTTTTGCATTTTTTTTTAAAAGTCAAGTATTTGTACTTGCAATATATCAATAATTTAATTTTCACCTACAGCCTTGGTAAATGCTGGGTTACTTGCTAAATAATTGGTGTGTGGTTGGTGTTGTTTGATATCTGCATTTAGCACTAACATGACTAAATAAATTTAGGCTAAAGGCAATTTATGAAAAATGAGGACATGGATTGGAAAAATAATATTCCAAATTGATCATTCAACATGACTTTTATTTGAGGCAACAAAACGTGACTCCATGCAACTTCGTATTTACACAACAAACTGTGAGTTTGATTAAACAGGTGTTAGGAGAAAATGAACATAATAGCTGCCCACCTGTTGCCGTGGGGACGATTTATTGCACCAGTCTACAGCTGGGCACTGTAGGGGAGCTGTGAGTCGAGTCAGGGTTCATGACCCCCTGCTTGGCATTGTTGTCTGCAATTGTATGGCACGTTTTTGTGTGTGTGCTAGTGGAATGTGTATAGCGATCCTGTTATGTTGTTGACTGTGTTGTTGACTATTGATTCGGTGGGGTTTTCAAGCAAAGGCTTCTAGGATTAGAGTTGCCTTGTGTTTACACAAGTGTAGTCCACAACATTCTAAAGTGACAAAGAACCCCCACTTACCATTACTTTGTGGGTGCATAAAATGCAAACACATTACCAACATTACCAGCCTGGTATGTAGATTTCCACTTACTCCATTCCCAGGAGGTTTTGTGAATTTCAGAGCATATTATCAGACACTGCAGTGTTTGTTAAACAAACTTATAAGAGAATGTATTTTATCCTGGTTGGTTTTCATACAATATCCACTTGTATAAGTTTTTCAAAGGTTCACCATGTTGTGGGTTCAAGGCAGGGTCAATGGAATCACATGGTATTTTTTTTCCAATTCTATTTTTTTATTCCGAATTCAAAATAGGAATTATTTTCTTTCTTCTATTTTTAGCAGTACTAATTGTATTCACAGTGAAGATAATATATATTTGTACTTACTTTTTATTGTATGCTGTCCATTTATGCTGACATAAAATTATGTACATCATCAAAAAGAGTGCTTTCACCAGTTGGGGGGAAAATTGTACTTTTGCTAAATGAACTAACTTTATAGATCTTATTGATTATTTTAAGTTTAGTCTTTTAGTATTCCACCCATTATTGAGGATAAAGGGGTACATGTAAAGATGTATAATTGGTTTTAAAAAACTGTTCATTATCCGTCCTTAGTAAAAAAAAGCACTGTTTGTATATAGTTAAAAAACAAAAGAAACAAAACTCTGAATGAACAATTTTTGTTGAGAAGTTCTTGTACGTGTTTATTACATTGAGCATCAACTGCACAACAATTCTCAGTGCACTTACATTACAAACGTGTTTCTTTAGAGAGAATACACTAGGCGTTTTTTTAACTCTGTATTCAACCTGTTTGGACTTTGCAGTGAATGCCAAAAAAGAACCAAATAGCCTGATGTGTGACATTTTTTTTCAACTGGAAAATTAGAAACAATGACCACTTATTGTGTCCTCAAAATGTTACATGCAGTTTTCCACATTTGTGAGGGGTTCTAGCAAAATGAGACGGAATTGGGTACAGGCAGTATTCAAGAAAATGCCAAAAACTGACTGGGGGTGATTTTTTTTGTTTCAGATTTATTGATATTTGTAAACTTTGATGTCTACTACACATATTTTAAAGAAATAGTATAAAAATCGTGGAATGAAAGTGTTTTTAAGGAAAAACAATTGGCATATTTTGTTTTCACGAATACAAAACTTGAAACTTTAAAGGCCTTTTGCTCAGTGGCATGTCGATAAATGCAAATTTTAAACAGCCATAACTTGTCAACGGAATGTCTGATTCAAGTGCAACAAGCATTGTAAGGAGAGTTTTATTCTCTTTCCTAATACCCGCAAATCCTGGTTGTGACCTCTGCCCAGTTCTGTCTCATTTTGCAAGAACGCCCAACATTTTCATTATCAATTAGGTTTATCTGTTACTTATGGAGTTACACCGCATGCTGGTTAAAAATTAACAGTAAGCAAGAGTGACAATAAATACTGTGTAGCTTTTTTTTTTTAAACAATTGCCTATCTCGAGGTCCAGACTAACAAAAACTTGCACACTTTGCATAGAGATTCCCATTGTCGCATTCACAGGTTTTCTTAAGCAGAATTTGCTGTAGGGGTTTACTGTGTCGTTTGGTGTGTTTACTCTACAGGGTCTTGACATGGGTGGCAATCTCGGCAGAAAATCATGTATTTAAATCCGCAGATGTAAGTGTATGGGTGCCAATAAGTTATTTACAATTTGAAAAAAAAACCCTGAAATGCAGGAGGACTTGCATCTCTGTGAATCGTGTCATGAAAATGGGCCGTCGTAAATTTTGGATTGTCAGTGGTACTAAAAATCCGTCCAAATTAACAATGAAATATTATAACTAATTGTAACACTCTGTCCGTTTCCTAATTGAAATAATATGTATTATTCCAAAGAAATCTTAAAATAATCACAGTGAATGAAAATTAGTGATTTACCTTAAATAGCAGTCATGCTGAAAAAAGACAATTTTTTTTACTTTCATGTCTCTTTGTAACTCAAATGATACCATGGATACCATCTTAACATATTTTAAGATCTTATTTTGTATTCATATGTGTCATTAGAAAATTAAAAAAAAGGAACTGGTACATTTTCCTGGAGGTCTTGAATTTTTTTCATTATATGTGCAAGGCTGGGGACTGGAGGTAGAGCTCGATACTACTAGGATCATTTTGAAATACATCTAGGACATTTGCTTTCATGCATTTTATTTGTTTCCAAATAATAACACCACTCAAAATCCAAAGAAGAATGTTCAAAAACCTGATCTATCGAGGTTTCAGCTCAGTGGATATTGGACTTTTTGAGAAAACCGTAAAAAAAAACATGCACAACCTTTTGTTTACAACAAACAATTTTGTCAATAGTACTCCACATTTATTAGCAATCAGTCAATTGACTGATCGTTGGAAATCACCTACATTTCTTGATTTCTTCTAAATGACGGCAAGCCAGACGGAATAATTTCACGGGGTGTTTAGTACCAGTACAATCTTTAATCCAAGTAAGCTTATGAATAATAATTTGGTTAAGTTACTTGTGGGATAAATGCAAATGATGCTATATGCCTTTAAAAACACTTTGATAAAGACCCTGGTAGGGTCAAAATGTGTGTCCCTATTCCGGGTTTTAAGATGCAGTGGCCCGCAGACAAGTATACGGTCTGAGTAATTCTTAATTTCACTGATGTCTACGTTCCGTGATGATGAGGTTCTATCTTGTGAAGGATCGGCTGTGCCTTCCCTGGTTCTCCCTTGCCCCCATACGACCGCCACGCCCTGTTTTCGGTGTCTGTTGAAACCTAGAAAGAGTAATGAGAAAATAACAAAAAAATTGTTAATATATTGTTCTGTTTTTAGGTCATTTTTTTACGAGCATCTTGGATAGCATTCGGCTGTTTTATTATGCCAGGAATTTTAACTTATTTTTTTTAGGATCTATTTGCAATGGAATCTTTGTTCCTTCCTCTTGCTGGAGTCAATGTAGATTGCTGGGCATGGAAACGGTCATGCGAATCTTTGTTCCTTCCTCTTGCTGGAGTCAATGTAGATTGCTGGGCATGGAAACGGTCATGCGAATCTTTGTTCCTTCCTCTTGCTGGAGTCAATGTAGATTGCTGGGCATGGAAACGGTCATGGATCTCCACAAAAAAAATGCACAACCAAATTTCACAATGCATCTAAAAGCAACAATTTGCTCTGGACGCTTGTTTCGAATGCAGACTTAGCATGCAGACAAACGGTACATGAACAATTGAAACAATGGTTAACCAACATAAACCTGTGGCTCTTGGTTAAACTTGCTCCATGTTTCTCATGAAAATGAAATGGAACTTGCCATCACTTCAAGAGCTTGATCATATATAGACTCATTTGACAGGCCCAAGTAGGAACCATATTCTTAAACTTGAGGTGCGCGTGCATTTTAGTCGGAGGAACATGGAGTGTGTGTGTACGATCTGCACACCAACATGCTTCCAACTCGGTAATAGATTCCAAGTTAGATTGCCAAATTGGTCTATCAGGGAATCAAAGGCGCCTCACCTTGAGTACTGATCCTTGCCACCCTGTCCAGACCACCCACTGCCACCCCCTCCGCCCCTGCCACGCCCACCACCAGCACTCCCCGGCCTGAATCCCTGCCCAGGTCTCCTCATACTAGCTCCGCCCCTCTGCTGTCCACCACCGCCCCCGCTGCCGCCCCCTCTCATGCTGCCACCGCTACCCCGGGGATCGCCTCGCTGCATGTAGGACCCCTCCCGGCTGGCCCGGTTGTCCCCGCCCATACGGCCGTAGGCTTGCTGGCCTGAGGCGGGGCCACGCCCTTCCTGACGACTGTCCAGTCTGTTGTCGGGCCTAAGGAGTTGGCACCAAAAAAAAAGTTTCAAGTTTTTGGATCATTATGAGTCATGGATATGCGCATGAATGAAGCCAAAATGTGCATTAGCACCACTAAAACCATTGCTATGACGTCACACTATTGTTAAAAGTGTGGATTCGGAACTACAAATCTGTTACGCTGGTCACAAAGTGTGGATTCGGAACAACATATCTTTAGTAAAAGTGTGGATTCGGAATTACGAATCCACACTTCGATCATGTCGGACAATTGTTCTCCATAATGAGCATTAATAGGACCGTCTGCATGAAAACTTTCCTTCCGAAAATTACCAATGCATCTTCACTGTCAGATTCTCCGCCGTCACTGCAAAAACTACTTTGAGTCAGAAAGAAATTGTCATCTTAACTATCCATGTTGATGTATTAGGAGCCTACACACAAAATGACTTGGTTGTACGGGTGTGGCGATACACATGCTAAACACGCCACAATGCTTGATTACCTATAAGAGCCTCGATAAACTCCCTTGTAAATTACCCTAATGGCCACGACTTGACACGAGATATGCAAGTCTTTTCATCTCCACTCGCTTGACTGTTAAATGGTTTAAGTCCAAGAATACACTCGCAAGTGTGGATTCTTAAATTACGAATCCACACTTTCTTATGTATTCTCCTTAACCTATTAAACTGCTGGCTTGCCATTCGCAATGCCAAACGAGTGGTAGTGGCACACTTCATAAATGGACAAAAAGGTTTGAATAAAACCATTTCATTTCGCACACATTTTAAAGGTGTTATTTTTTTGTCCAAACACTAAGATTCCTACACGTAATCAAAAGCCCCAGCACTTAATTCCACTGATCCATATTGCATTTCAGTATACACAAAAAGAGTCAACTACAATACTGCCATGTAAAGTATCTGAAGCAGTTGGGTTATCTTTTTATTGAAAATTATGTTAAACATTGAATATTTAATTCGTTTTCACAGGTACTACAATATCTACACACGCAAATCAGATAAGATGGGGTCATGGACAATTTTCATTTTGCCAAGTGTACACATTCACATGATGAGTTTGACATTCACGCAGCAACACAAACATTGCTGACATTTCCCAACACTGAATACGCACAAAATGATTACGAGCGTTGCCAATGTCTCACGCCAAAGTCAAAGTCCAATGAACCCCTATCCACCACAGTATCCCTTTACCTGGACTGGTTCCCTTCCCATCGTCTCTGGCCAAAGTTCCTCTGTTGGTTGTTGCCTCCACCGGCACCACCCCCTCCGCCACCGCTACCGTAGCCGGGCCGTTGCTGTTGCCTGTTCCCCCACTGTCCCCCTCCGCCCCGCCCACCGCCACGTTGGGCACCACTCCCCATGTTGTTCCCACCTGAGAAAAACGTCATGGTCGTTTGAGGTTTGTTTTTTTAATATTGAGTGTAAAGGCCAAAAAAAAGGTAAGAAATTAAACACCAGATGTAAGCCACTTTAAAGACAAGCCTTGGTTTGACTAGTTGAGCTGGACTCGAACGTTTGACAGTTCAGGCACTAAGGGGCTGTGTTATAGTACTCATACTCATGTACATTTTTTAGTACTTGTACTCATGAGAATGTATTCATACTCGTACTCTTGCAAATGTTCTCCTGCAGGGATTTCAACATATTTTAAGAGGTACATGCTGGAAAAGAACCAATTTTCTTCTGTTTGGCAGGCTTTTGCATTTGCTTATAGCTTGACAGCAAAAAGCCCTTGAGAACACCTGTACCCATTGAAATTTGTTCCTACTTGAGGAAAGCACTCAAACATATACTCGTACTTGTACTCATACTCAACTTACTCGTACACACGGAAAAATTGCCTTGTACCCGTACTCATGACAACGTACTCGTACTCTACTCATAGCAAAGTATTCGTACTCATACTTGTACTCACTGGCAAAGTACTTGTACTCGATCTCATGCTCATGACAAAACACTCGAACTCATATTCGTACTCATGACAAAGTACTCGTACTCGAACTTGTGCTCATAAAAATGCACTTGACTACAACACTGGTTAGAGGCATTGTTTACACTCAGTGACTCCATCAGTCAGTCAATCAGTGACTCAGTTCCTTCTTACCTCCATCCCTCCTGCCGTAGTTGCCAGTGGGTCCGTTCCAGGGACCCCTCCCACCTTGGAAGCTGCCGCCCCCTCCTCCCCCTCTCTGGCCCCCACCGCCGCCACCCCCACCGCCCATGAAGTTGCCTCCTCTTCCACTGCGACCCTGTGGGGGTCCCTACAAGAATCAATGCGGGAAAACAAACTTGTAAAATTGTTCTGATAAACACTAGTAAAGATAACATGACTGTTGTATATTGGCAAGTATTGATTTAATGGTGGGGTAAGGCAACATGGCTGGGGGACAACGATGACAAATTATTTTGAAATTTGTTGCTTTCGTCCTCACACATTTTTAAAATTTAGTTTTCCTTTAGAAATCTCTAACAGTGATAGTGATATTGTAAGCATTTAAGACATAGTGACACTAAGTGCATAAGTGCAGTACATTGTATTTATTCAATGGAGAATTTTTAAAACCACTGAGTGCTTGGACAGTTTTGGGCTCTACAGGGAGTAATAGGCAGGGCGGTTTCAGGCACTACAGTGACTAATGGGGTAATGTTTAATACATTTAATCATTTGCACTTTTATACACTGTGTATACTCCTCCATGAATCCAATAAAAAGCATGGAGTCTCCAGGGCTCAATTTCACGGCGCTGCTAAGCACAAAAATTCACTAAGCACATAAAAAGGCTGGCTTATAAAAGCAGGTTACCAGCCAAAACTCCATGCGATGTACATTGCTCTTGATTAGTACTGAGCTGTTGTTTGCTATAGCATGAAAATCATGTGGAGTTTTGGCTGGTAAACTGCTTTTATAAGCCAGACTTTGTTGTGCTAAGCAAATTATTTTGCTTAGCAGCACCGTGAAATTGGGCCCAGGTGATTTGGGGCCCTGTAAGGAGTGACAGGCAGGGCGCTTTAGGGTCAAATTTCATCACGCTGGTTAGCATCACTTTTGGCTAAGAAAATATATAGTAACACACTGAGTATACAGTGTTTAAAAGTCGGTGAAGGGCAAAACCTTTAATTTGATTTATCACCCTGACGCAAAAATTCCATCTTATAATAGTTTATGCGGTACCCGCGGCTATGTACATCAGATTCGAACTAGCCAACCGATCCCGTTAGCTCGGTGGTCGAGTGGTAAGACATCTGCACTAGAAAGAAGGAGGTCGTGGGTTCGAGTCCCACCCGAGTGATTTGTTCCAACTTTCACTCGGGAGGTAACACACTGAGTATACAGTGTTTAAATGTCGGTGAAGGGCAAAACCTTTAATTTAAAATATATAGTAATTTGAAGTTTGCCAAGAGCCAATGTGGCCCATCAGGCCGGCGTTTATCTCTTGTTTCAGTAGCATGAAACAACTGAGAATATCTCTATTCCCCCTGGATGGGATGCCAGTCCATCGCAGGTTACTCCCCAGCTAATGCCGGTACCCATTTATATCCCTGGGTGGGGATAGGCAAGTGAGGTGAAGTGGCTTGCCCAAGGACACAACGTATGGCCATCAGCTGGACTCCTGACCCTCTGATCATGAGTCACAAACCCTAACCACTGGGCGACACTCCCTCAAGAAAGAAAATGTATAAGCTAAGTTAAAATCTGTGGGGTCCAGTCACTGGCAGTAAATATAACACAATCCGTTTGGTTGGTTGCGCGTTTCTACTGAGCAAGCTTTTTCCGTCCTTAGCACGATGCTGTTCCAATTGCTGAACCCTACCCTCTGCGGCTTCTTAGTGTCGGTACTCTCAATGGCCTGGGCTGCCAGGAAGTCATCGACGTGCATAGAAGGAGGCCGGCTGGTGTTCTGAGCTCGCTGGCGGAAGATGTCGTAACCCCGGCCGCTTCTACCCGACATGGGACGACCGTACTGGTTGAAGTTGCCACCTTGATCTGTGAGGAGGAGGGAGAAAACACAAGACAAAATGTAGTGATCAGATTATCACATGTTAGCACAAGTTATCATAAGTCAACCACAAGACATCACAAGCCAATCACAAGTCACTGCAAGACAATCACATGATGATCACAAGATTTATCAGGGGTCATCATAAGTCATTCAGTAGTCACATCCAAAGTCAAATCGCAAGACCAAAACATGGACAAATGAAAAATGACAGACAATGAAATCATTCAAGTGTGATATTCTTATTAATGCGATTGACAAACACTAGAGTCAACTAGAGTCCATAGTTAATAGATGTATAATTTATAATTAAAAAAGAGGAAGAATTGAGAAAGGGGAAGGATATTAAATGACAGGGCTACTTACTGTGTGCTCTCTTGATGCCATAGTTGAAGCGGTACTGAGACCGTGAGGTGAGGGACTCGTATCTTCTTTTGCCACTCCTGTAAGTTTGAATGCAACGACAGATATTCAACATGTATCAGAAGATGTAAACAAGTCCTTAAACATCAATCACAAGTCAGCAAGCCTCAAGTTTATATCAAGATACTCTAGTAAATAGTGACAGGGGTGTACTGAAAGAGCAATTGTGAATGTTTGTGGGGGGGGGGGGGATTGGCAAATTCTGACCTTTTCTTCTGGTCCTTTTCTCGAGGCAAGTTCTCGGCGCTGAGATCTTTCTCCAGCTCTGCCCTCAGGTCCAAATCTGGCAGGTAGGTGGACCGAAGATCCTCCAAATCGCACTGAACCTGAAAAATATGAACAATACCTCACTTTAGTCTGTTCATTGGTGTTACAGGGTAATCCTATTTAAACTAATGTCTTTTACAGAATTTTGTGAAGGAAACACAATGCGGTATGGGTAGCATACTGTTGTGATCAATGCAAGCATATTCCGGGTGCATGTTTTATGGACAGGTTAAATATCAATTAATTAAAGAAACTAAACGTCTCTACCACCCTTTGGTAGGGCAGTGGGTAAAAGCTGTGGTTTGTGCGCAGAGCAATTACCATATCAGGCTCGATGTCCCCGTCGTCGATACCCGGCGGTCCCAGCCAGAAGCCTGTGTTGAGTCGGTCGTCCTCCCCTTCCCCGATGTAGAACACCAGACGAGAGTTGAACTGCTCGGAGAAGCTGAGCGGGGCCGGTAGGAGTGTCAGCTCCTGGAGTAAGGCGGGGTTTGTTTTTGGTAGGGGCGGGGCTGAGGGTAGGGTGGTAGGGGTAGGCTCCTCGGGCGAGTCCAGGGTCTGGATTAGGCTGCTGATGCTGTCCAGGAGACTCTCCAGGATCTCATCCTCCTTGCAGCATTCCTGACATGGGAAATAGGGAGAGAGAGAAAAAAATAACAATGGCAATGCTCCTAGGTGAAGCTGAAATGCTCAAAAAAGCACCGAACAACCTTCCGTTTCAGACTGGTGTTCCAGAGTTTACCAAAGTACATAAAAAATTCGATATCTGAAACAGTTAAGAGCAACTAAGCGATGAAAGATTTATTTTTATTTTATTTATTTTATTTCTTTCTGGTAATGAAACCAAGGATTCCTCAAAAGTGCCCTAGGCACTGTAGCCCAAAAGCCTGACAAAACCTGTAGAGAGTAGACGAAGAGAAGATATTACAGTTTTAGAGGTGGGAGGAAAAATCCAGAAGGATATTTTGGGGAAAACCCACGGAATCAGGTAGGGACTGAAAACCCAATCCACAATTTAGAGTCTGAATAATTTTAAACGATCGCAGTACACCAGACATACGTCGCAATACCACACACGTGTTACGTATGTTGACAATGAACGTATAATACATATATCTGTGTAATGCGTAGATGTAGCAGCGCATGCACAATGATACAAGACTCACTCACCAGTACACATGAGCGATTACAAACAGCGTGCTACAAACTTTTCTATCGGCCAAATGACGACATGTAACTTGGTGTTTAAAAACAAAGTTCTTCATGCACACAAAACGAAGATTTCTTTCTGGCCTGTGAAGGGATGGAATGCCATCACGGCTGTAGCGGGAAAACTGGCATCCTGGCTTAAATTTAGACTCTAGACAATAGAAAATAGTTCACTGCTCCTGAATGAAAGTCTAATTGTGTCTACCTGAGTGGCTCCAAATACTTATTGGTTCGGCCTGACTATGGAAGGCCAGCCTGAAATGGTAGCAAGACTCACAATCAGTGTCTTCTCCAGCTGGTAGACCGGGTGTGCCTTGCCGCCCCACATCAGGTACTCCTTGAGCTGTCCCACGCTCAGCACCTTGGTCCGGTACGGCCCTCCCTCCTCCGGGCATGCCTCCTGGTCCAAGCCCTCGGTGGATGACGGACCCTCGACGGTCAGCAGCATCTGTAGGAGGTCCAGGGTCGTGGACAGGGTGGAGAGGTAGTCAGAGCTGTCTTTGTGGAAGGAGGTCTGGAGCCGGGTGAAGAGAGAGTGGAAGGCTGATGGGGTCTTGTCCAAGGCACTGCGGGCGGAAACAGGAGATGAACTGAGGTTATTTAGCCTGCCATCAGCAAGAAACACCAGCATGCTACTGTTGTTAGAGTGACAGAGGTGTGATTTGAAATATGTATCTTATACTCCCTAGCTTGATATTGATGATATATCCAGTGAGTTTATTACCATTTCACAAAGACAAAGCCATAGTCATAGTCCAGCAGCATAGACAGTGTCCTCAATGAGGGGAGGATGCTGGCGTAGGATTGGTCCGAGCTGGTCACGTGATCCAGTAGGGCGGAGCATATGATCTCCATGTGCTCCTTTCCTGGCAGGCTATTGGCCAGCTGCTCGCTGATTGACAGGTTGTCCGTGGGCAGGAGGGTGATCTCTGGGCCACAGATGGACTGCAACAGGGCCTGGAAGTTGGACGAGGGGGAAAAAAATCTCCATCACAAGAAAAAATTACCCGATCTCATACATGTATATAACGAAAAGTAGGACCCTCAAATCTTCTGCAATAGTATTGTTGCTCTGTGCTGCAAATATTCTACTTCTCCCAGTGCATGTATAAATATTTCAATTTGGTTGATCAAGAGTTAGAGGTTATAAGGACTAACAAACAATTGCTGTTGTCTGACTGAGAAATTTGATGATTTGGATTTTGGAAACCGGTGTTGAAATTACATCTTTCAATTTCGAGATGAAAACCACATATAGAGGTTTCACAAATATCATCTATAATAAAAGAATCACTGGAATTTTGTTTTTAAGTTATTTAAGGCTCCAAAAACAAGTGTTTAGTCCTAGGTCATTTTTTCTGTAGATTTTTGGCCTACCATGTACAAATGAAACAGAAAGAAATAATTTTTTGCCTAAATTCTGCCACTACTACATAACAGAGGATGACCATACAAATTTGTTAGAAGCTCATACCCCATTTGAAAACATCCCTTAAACACGTCAGTATAATATTGACTGCAAGCGGAAATCATTTCAGAGCAGAAAACGGCTAAAGCATAGGGTCTAATGTGAAGCCCCAAAGACGTGCACCACAATGAAAACTATCAACAAAATGATTTAATAACCAGGCAGACCCACCACTATGCATTCCTGCGCCTGGAGATGGAATGATGAGTCCGACACCACATTGAGGAGAGACAGTAACCATGGCAACAGCTCTGAGTACTTCTCATCTGACTTCAAACTGAAAGCAATGATAATAAACAAGTCTTCAATTATTTTATACTTATCTCCTTCAATCACAAATGTCATCACAAGTCAATCACAAATCATCAAGTCTCAAGTCCAATGACAAGCTATTGCAATGAACTCTTCATTGTTCATCCCCTGTTTATTTGTCATTTGACTTGTGATTGGCTTGTGATTTGATTTATGTTTTGACTTGTTATTCAACTTGTCATTTGACTTTTCATATGACTTGTCTGTTGAATTGTATTTTGACTTGTGATTTGACTTATTTGACTTGTGATTCAACTAGTGTTTTGACTTGTGATATGACATGTGATTTGACTTGTGATTGGAAATATGATTGACTCATGATTGACCTATGCTTAGACTTGTGATTTGAAATGCGAGTTGCAAATTTATGTATGATAGACCTTGAATTAAAGTTCAGAAATTTACCTAGATCTGAAGAGATGCAGCAACGGTGCCTTGATGGCCGGCTGAGAGACCAGATACACAACCAGCGTCAGGATGCGGGCTGAGTCACTGTTGCACGGCTGTGTCTTCTTCTGGATCTCCTCCCCCTCTCCAGCAGTCTCACCACTGGCTGGCTGTGCTTTCTTGCCTCCCTCCTCCCCCTGGGCCAGGTTCTCGATCAGGATGTCAAGCAGAGACCTGCATGTCAAGAGCATGAGGGGTTCAATGGTCTTTTCAGGTTTGAGCTCACATTTTTGCCAAATCTTCCTTGCAAAACTTACAACTAAGGAATGTCGTCAAGTCCATCACAAGTCCAGTCACAAGTCCATTCGCAAGTCCAGTCACAAGTAAAAGTGTATGAACAATAACAAAGCAATGCTTTTGTCAAAGCTCATTTGAATAGCTAGTGAATTGAGATGTGAATAGAACTGGAGGACTTTTGATGGACTAACAGGGACTTGTGATAGACTCGACTATATCCTTGCTTACAACCGTGCCAGACTTGCGATCCACAGTCGCGTTTGACAAAGTTATGAAAAGTTCAATATTTGAAACAGAGGGAGCAACTAAAACCAGACGTTGCAATCAAAACATCTCTCAAGTCTTGTCAAAGGATAATTAATACATGAAGGTTGCATGCCTAGAGCCAAAATCCGAAATGCCAGTCGGAAAACAGGCTGTAAATACGGGACAATCTCCACACATTGCTGGTTCACTTTCTTCTTTGAGTGATTTCTGGGCGTAATTTCATGTCACTGCTAAGCACATGATTTTCTGCTAACAGAGCCTTCGTCAATTTCATGGAGACCATAAGCAGTTAAGCACAGCAAAAGCATGCTTAACCCCAGAGCAAAAAGTTGCCTAAATTGGTGACGTAACAATAGAAATCTCCATGCGCATGCAACCGTTAGCACATCCACGCCATGAAATAGTGCTTAAGCTAAGCATAGTTTTATGCTTTAGTAAGCACTACTTTTTTGCTAACTGTTAAGCAGTGCCATGAAATTGGGCCCTGAAGGGGGAAACACCTGAATTATAATATATTCCTGTTCTAGCTGGGAGAAGACTTCAGTGCTGGGACAAAACGAAAACAGTTAGCAGTTTCATTGTCTTTTTGAGTGCTTACCTAACGACTGTCAAGGCTGTCGGTGCAGCTAGATCAGCAAGTTGCCAGCAGACACGGCGTAAGATCTGCTGCAATGGCGGACAGCTGCTACCTGTACACGACACAGAAAAATTAACTTGGGTAAAATTACACGACTGATCTATCGAAGTTCAAAATTATAGAGTCAGAAATTAGAAATAAATGTAGATATAAATTGGCCTTGTGCGGCCTAATTATGTATTGAGCCAATACTATAAAAAAAAAAATTTAAAAAAAAAATTATTTAGGAATGAAGAGTCTTCAAAATCATAAAGAAAATCCAATGAAATTAAAGAAAATCAGAGCTTGCTTATGTGCTCCTTCCATTCAAACTGTGCACTGATGACTGGTTAAAGAGATTAAAATTGCAGTTGCGATACAGATGTGCCGTTTTTATCAAATTCGTTGAAATTTAATTAAACAAAAAAAAAAGCAGATTTTGTGGAGTTAGGGCAAGAAATTTGAAGAAGTCGGCATTCCACTTAAGAACAAGGTCTTTTAGACTATTGAATTGTCTTTATGTTGGATGCCTACCTGCCAAGTCCTTGATGATCTGCTGTATGTGAACGCTCTCTGAGTGAAGATGAAGACTCCACAAGCGACGGAGGTTGAGAGCCTGCTGGACCTCCACGGCTGACAACGGCTGAGAAACAAAATGACAAAAACGACAGCCACCAAGTAAACAATGAGCAGCATCGTGTCAAACTCCGCTTATTGTACTCACTGGTGTTAATTTGCTGCATCAACTGATGAAATTAAAAACTCAGTTTTCAGAGATTGGGGCTCAGCTTTTATGTTCTTAAACATTATTTAGTACTTTCAGGCTAAAACTTGCCAAACATTGCAAGTCACAGTAAAGGTAGAATGGGCCATTTGCAGCTATCCAAAAAAGTAACCGACCAAATTATTGTTAAAAACATACTTAGTTTAAAGATAGTAATGACACTAAACCCCCTGGCATGCTGTCATTTTGAAGAAAACAATAAACGAAGGTAATTCTATAAACTGCTTCATTTTGTCTAAAGTAGGGTCAGGGAACCACACTACAAGAACAACACTTTTTTTCTCTAGGTTTTTCCAGCATCCATGAATACAAAACTTAAAACAAGTCAGTGTAACATTTGCTATAAACTACTAACCCCCAAATACATCATTTCTGGAAATACAGCAAAAGCAAATGTTGTATACTACCTTTAAAATTTTTTTAAAAGTATGATTGACTCCGCCCACTGGTACATTACCTCCTGTGCCTGCATGGGAAGTGGCAGTGGAAGCAACTCAGACAGCACAGTCAGGCCACCAATGTAGGCATACGCTGCTGATGGTATGAACTGCAACACTTCCTTTAGCATGACAGTCCAACTACTGCTTGCAATACCTGAAGAATCAGAAAGGTATGTAGAATCCATTCAGCAAAGGGAGAGATGGGAGATAATACTCATTTAACTAAATTGTAACTATTGCATCTCTACTAGAGGTTCAGGACGTATTCTTCAAGAAGTGGTATTTTTGTATCAAATACCTCATGAAATTATTCTGTCTGAAATGGTATCGTTTGGAAAAAAAAACCCAATAATTGAAGGCGGTTTAAAAAAGTGTTCGTGGGAACACTTTTTTAAACAATTGAATCCAGTTACGAGAACTGAAAACGTGTGCAAATGTTTTCTCTGTTATCTCAATATGTACAGGGTGGTACAAAAAGAAGGAAAACCACTTTTGACAGTTATTTTGACCTATTTATTTAACTTATTTGAACTTTTTTTATAATGTAGTGAAGTATAGCTCTTCAACCATACATGGTGAAAAATCTTTAAAAAAATATCACAAGAATAGTGTTCTTATGCTAATTTGAATACAAGTCACCAAAATCACTGTTGTCCACGTGTAAGTCTAGTGTAGTGTCTTTTGTCTTCAAATCAAGCTCCGGAGCTCAGTCAAGCGGATGGAATAAAGCCGTCCGTTGACAAACAGGTTTGGCACATGAAATATTTAAACTACCATATCTCAGAGATATAATATGCATTTGCAATCATTTTTTTGTAACTTATGTTCAAAGCTCAATATTTTAATACCATTAAATTGAATTTTTGAAAAATGCTCAACAAGTAGGTGAAAATTGCGGTCAAAAGTGGGTTTCCTTCTTTTTGCACCACCCTGTACAGTTGCCACTGAGCTAAAACTTCCACGGGTTAGTTGTCACGCAACCTACTTAAAGTTTTGAGCAATTTTGTAGCTTGAAACGAAAAACAAAAAATGCACAAAAAGTGAATAATCTTAAGGGATAAGGTTAGTAAAATAAAATAAATAAACAGATTAGAGATTAACAAATGCATTCAAAAGAAATCAAGAGTAGATTCTAAAAGAGAACGATTTCTATGTACCTTCTTCAGTATCCGGCTGAGTGCCAGGCATCATGGTGTAGCTCAACAGGATATCGATGATATCGGTCTGGATCCGCTGGGCATCTGAGGGTAACATGATGCTACTAGGCACTGAACACAGCACCGTGTGTAACGGTAGGAGGTAGGTTACTAGACGCTCATCTTTAAACTGGAAGGGAGTGATTTAAATGTGATTTATCTTCCTTTGGGCCTTATGCAAGAGTGGGCCATACTGTTGAGGGAACTCAACAAAAATGCCTACCTCCTGAAAGAGGTCCTTTATGAAATCTAAATTCAGTAGATTATACGAATCACTTCAACTACTCTAAATTCAGGCAAGTTATTCCACACACAAAGAGTTTAAAGTAAAACTAGTATTGTTATTCTGGTTGATTGTGAACCTAGATATGTGTTACATAAGCATTCCTAAATTGCCCTTTTTTAGTTTGGAGGCAAAGCAAACCTTTTTTAGTTTGGAGGCAAAGCTGACAAAAAACAGTCTAAAGCTTGCCTAGTTGAGTTGGACCCAAAAGCTTTAATTTAGGCCATATTTTATAACTCATTCAGTCACTCAAGATAGTGGCCCAGTCAGTCACAGGGCAACAGAGCATGCAAGTTGACCTCAAAAACCTGTGAGATTTTGCGGAAATACAGTACATAATCTTCTGTTTAATCAATCACGCAGATAAACTATTGGATCAATTATAACATGGGAGTTTTGTGACTAGACTAGTCAGTGTTTGGTACCAAGACATTCACATAGAAAGTGAACGCGAACTGGCGAGACTTGCACGCTCTATGGGCTCAGTGCACAAGTACCCCTTCAACAGCCAGAAAAGGAGAGTTGGGGGAGACCTAGACTGGTTCCCAAATCATCCACTGCATATTTCGAATGATCCAAAGTTATTGGGGGTGGGGATTAGTCTGGGAGACAATCGCAAGTTGCCTGACGCTCACGCAAAGACGCGGTGGTTAATAGCTTTTGCACATCAGGAAGTCACCGTGCGTACTTTGCGCGCGAACCAGTACAGTACAGTACGCTCACGCTGTAATTAGCTGTGTGTCCTGTCCACGAAGCTCTCAAAGTGGTAAAAACACGCCCTCTTTGTTGGCGCATGGAGCCCATAGGCTGACCCTTCTTGTCCAGCCAAGACTGACAACTGACCTGTACGGAGCCCGAGGAGAGAAGCTCCGACAACATGACCTTGACGAGTTGCAGCACGGGAGACACGAGGGCGTCCACCAGGTGGACCTGGGTGGTAGACAGAGAGTAGCCCTGCTGCCATGGTCGCAGGAGTCGATCGCCGAGTCTCTGTCAGGGGGAAGAACGAGGAATACGGTATATACAAGAAAACAGCCAAATGTGTATCAAGAATGGGCCAGATCTTAAGATTGTAGTTCTCTTGTAGTTATTTTCTTTAGCTTTTTTGTGAAAATACTAAAGAACAGAAAAAAAACACGATTAATTTAATACCTTGATGATGTTGATGAAAGCGTTCATTGAACTGGAGGAGTACAGTTGGATCACCGCCAGTTTGTACTTGAAATCCTTCTGGCAATCTATGAGGAAAAATAAAACAGAGTAGCACAAAAATGCATTGTTTGCTCAGAAGAAAGTTTGAAAGTGAGGGGGATTTAAAAAAAACTATTTGTGTATGGCAGTGTTTTAAAGGGTAGGTGTTTCAGCACCATTGACAGGTGATGGTGTATGGCCCCGCCTCCGGGTCACAATGGCACTAATGACCACCCCTTCCCCTCCCCCTGGACCTCAACTGCATATCCCAGGCAAGGTGTCTCAGGACCCTCAGGCAGGTGACGATACCTGGCCCCGTTCCCAGGAGATTATGACCCACCCATCACCTCCTACCCACTCCCTCTCCCCCCTACATTTGTCCCTCCCCCTCTCACCTCCTGTCTGCATATCCCGTGGGGCGCAGGCTAGGTGTCTAAGGACCCTCAGGCAGGTGACGATGCCCGGCCCCGCCCCCAGGAAATTATGGCCCACCCATCACCTCATATCCACTCCCTCTCCCCCTATATTTGTCCCTTCCCCTCTCACCTCCTGTCTGCATATCCCGTGGGGCACAGGCTAGGTGTCTCAGGACCCTCAGGCAGGTGACGATGCCCGGCCCTGTTCCCAAGAGATTATGACCCAGCTCGTCGCTCTCCTTGTTGATGTGCTCAATCATCTTGGGGATGCAATCGCCATCCAGCCTGACGCCTTGGATAGGAGTCAACCACTTGGATAAAGCTGCAGGCAATTAACAGCAAAAAAAATCCAATAGAACTTGGCGAAATGCAAACATCTTTGTTTATATGGTTTGGTCCTTCTCCGATAAGCACTGACCGCTGAAAACTATCAGAGAGTTTACAAGAAAGGCAGGGGAGTGGGGGGGGGGGGTGTTTGATCAGTCACAGACAGTCAACAATTTCTTCGACTTCCTCTGCTATGCATAAAAGAGGCCGAACCTGTGTTAACAGGGAACGGAGTGCCCATCTCTGTTTCGTTAGCGATTGGGCCAGACTCATATATGCTGCTGTGGGGGGATCGCCACACCTCCTCCACAGCGAGTCTGTTACCTTCCCAGCATTGAATAATGCCGGTACCCATTTCACACCTGGGTTGAGAGGAGTAATTGAGGTAAAACGCCTTACTCAAGGGCATAACACGCATGGCCACAACGGGGCTCGAACCCACAACCTCACGATCATGAATCCTGTGCTCCACCGCTAGAACACACGTGCCTTTACATGCCATGCATTTGTATACAGGCAAGTAAACAAACAGTCAGATCATATTTATGTAAACAACTACAGCTGGCATATCAATCACCTCCAGTCAAAGCATAGCGATATCCAATTAACATGGGAATTCTGAATTGTAATAATAGTCACTTGATTGATTTTGACCGCTGTGATGGCATAGCTGAACTTGCCAGCCAGAGAGGGAGGGATTCTATATTAATTGAAAAACAAAAACATGAGGTCATTTAAGGCTAGTGGTCAGACTGGTGTTGAAGACTACCCACACACCTGAATCTCCAACACAGCACAGCTCCAGACGCGCCTGGTATTTGGTCAACGTGGCAATGTTCTCATTATGTTGGATGATGCAAGACAAGACCTGCATGGCATAGCCGTGGGATGCCGTCTTCCTGGATCTGGTTGGGCTTCCACCTTGTTCTGTTGATTAAAAAGAGAAAAGGCAATACAGGATTTTGCTCTTCATCGGCGTAATTTATAAACACTGTATAGTCAGCGTTGTCCCGAGTCATCGTGAGAAACAAAATTCACAATCACTAGGGGCAACGCTGAGTACACAGTGTTAATAACATACGTTGGTGAAGAGCAAAACCCTATAGGTCTCTCTCAAATGACATCATTTCCTACAGACCAGCCACGTGCATCTTCATTTTGAGCGTCAACTTGCATAACACGCATCGGCTGCGTCGTATTTTGAACACATTTCAAGCAACAAGCGCGTGTGTTTGGAATATTTTCAACACTGCGCAATGCGTGTTTGATTGCGTGAAATACGCAGTTGTAGTTCTTCTACAGAGATGGCCGTCTTTGAGAGAGACCTATATTGAATTTACATCATCCTGACGCAAACTCCCTCTTATGAATTAAACAAGTCAAATCTGGTATAGCTGATCCCACCGCACAAAACAAATTTGTTCAATTATTCAAAATGGCTATTCACTAGAGGTTTTTTCATGCGTCCGGTCTGCACACTGGGCCGGATTAACCCCATTCATGTGGAACGCTGTGGTCCAATGGTTACGGTGTTCGACTCATGTGCTGTGGTACGTGGGTCGGAACCCGGACGGGGAACATGCTGCTTGTGTTCTTGGGCAAGATACTTTACTGCAATTGCCTCTCTCCACCCAGGAGTATAAATGGGTACCTGTGAAGGTAGGGACCAGAATGCGCTGATCTCGAGCTGCTGCAAAAACAGGTCTGATGGCTGATAGCCTGATGAACAGGGGTAATAATTGTGAAGCGCTTTGAGATCTGAGACCTGAATAAAGTGCTACATAAGCACCACATTGTTATTATTCTGCAGAATAGTCCAAAAGAAAATTCACTGACTGTGTCCATTTGCATGTAAGAATGTCAAAAACTCACCCCTGGGTTCAACAAAAGGCAAGAGACACTCCAGGTTGTCGTCCATGGCAAAGACGTGCGCCAGCGCCGTTCTCCCCACTGCAGTGAAGCTGACCGAACACAGCCAGCGCAGGACTTCAATGACCTCGTCGCGATCAGGGTCATGGGCGGTGGGCGAACCTTTAGCCACTGCCTGCTGTAGCTGGTCCACGTACTGCAGGACCGCCAGGCTGTGCAGGAGCTGTAAGCCGGCCTGCTGCGAGGGGCTCTCCTCTTGGGAGTCATCGTCCAGGTTGGCGGTCAGGCACTGGCAGAGGGATTTGGTAGCAGCTTGGTGGGCTGATAGGAACAGAAGGCCTGATGGGGAGGGGGTACAGAGGGTGTCATGAGACCAATAAGGGCAGTTAGGGAAGAATGCAATTAAACAAGCGAGGTTAAACCTCGAGGTACCCAGTAAAACCCCATAAAACCTTGTGGCACCAAGGTAAACCTAACCCTAAAGTTACCGCCAGAGGGTGCAGTGAAAACAGTCAAAGGTCAGTGAGGGAAGAGTGCAAAATTAAACAAGCCAGGTTGAAACCCAAGGTACCCAGTAAAACCTTACAAACCCTTGTAGCGCTTAGGTAAACCTATAAAACCTAAGTTACAGCCTGACCAGTTTTGCTTTCGCCCCAATGGTAGGAACCTGATTAATCATTATTTCTTACTTATTTTTGGCAAGGAGCCATCCTGAATGATCCACAACCTACAATTGTGCAGGAACCTTATGGCACATTCTTTGAAATATAATTTTCAAGGAATATCTGTAAATATCTTGCATGCTGGTGACAGCCCTATGTCCAAACACTCATATTTTAACTCATTCTCAATTAAAATAGCTATAGTCTTCAGGCTTGACTTGTACCTTTTAACGTTATGGTTCAGAACAGTGGTCACAGACTCCAAGACAAGGAGAACAATACTCTACCTTTAAGTGACTTCATAATAACTGTAAGTAGCTCCACAGCAGCACTCGTAATACTCTCATGACCCGAGGTCGAAGGGCAGGATACAAGAACAAGTAGACTCCCCAAAAGGTTCCTAAAATTAGGTAAAAAGAAACAATTCCAAAAGAATTAATAGTGGATTAATAATGGCTTCCTCCGTAAAACAGATTTTGTGTCATACATCAGAGACTGAAATACTCAATTGAATAACTTGCAATTGAATCGGGACTGGAGAACTTGTGGTGGACTTGACTAAATCCCTGGTCACCTGACAAACACTCATGATTTGATTGGCCAATGCGCACTGTTTGATTGACAGGCAGGTGGAGTCGATTACAACAAAGGCCTAAAGATTGATACATAAAGGTTGCATCTTGAACAAAGATTAATTCACTGCTTTGATCTGGCTTGTTTACCTCGTCTGGAACATGTGATAGAGCGCTGGGTAGGGATCGGCGGAGTTCGGGGGACCGGTGACTTTGGCTGTGGTGGGAAAGGCTTTGATAGGTGGTTGTACCTTCATAGATAGAAAATAAAAGTGCAGTGCAAATGAAAATTGAAATTTAAGAAATACAATGAGTGAAATGTCAATGACAGAAAATCACGTTTAGTGAGTTTCTGAAGTTCACTTGTAGCCTTTTGTTAGTAAAATTCAATAAACACAAGGTCAAATACCATTGGAGGCTAAAAATAATTCAATTAAAGGTATATGGGAACATTTGCTTTTTGAGCATTTTTTTTGCCCAAAAGTTGTAAGAGGGTTGCATAACATCTAAATTGATGAAGTTTCAGCTCAGTAGATAGGTCTCTCTCAAAGACGGCCATCTCTTTAGAAGAACTGCAACTGCGTATTCTAAGCAATCAGCACGCATTGCAGAGAAAGTGTTTAAATTGTTCCAAACACGCGCGCTTGTTGTTCGAAACGTGTTTGAAATCACGACGCAGCCGATGCGCATTATGCAAGTTGACGCTTAAAATGCTGATGCACATGGCTGGTCTTTAGGAAATGATGTCATTTGAAAAAGACCTATATTATACATTTTGATAAAACAGAGAAAACATATGCACAATTCTGGAGTCTTGTAAGTGCATTCCCTTGGCAAAATCTGTGTAAAATCAATGTAAAATCTGTGCCCGCGGGCACATTTTCTTAACCACCTTCAATGATCGTGCTCTACTGAACGAAACCATTTCGGAAGGAAATATTTCAAAAGGTATTTGGTACCAGTCCTTTGAGCAAGGATTATCTTGTTAATCAGAAGGTATGTTTCTGGGGAATTGCAAATGTCCCTATTTGCTTTTAAGGAGAGAGAGGGAAATGTGTTGATATTCCACTTGAAATAAGATAAAAGGAAGCAGGATTCTGGAAAAGGAATGCCAGTATGAAACAATACAAGTACACTTCTGCATACCAGCTCTTGGAACACAAGAGATGCCAAGCCCTTGTTGCCTTGTGAAAATTACCGTTTTGCAACATCTGATTTGGGCAGCTTCTATACACTGATGACTGGACGGACACTTACAAGCGAATAGGAAGCCGTCCTGAGCACGGCGCTTAACTCTTGCAGGCAGTCCACGACAGTCTCAATGTCGGCAGAGCTGACACCCCCACACTCCCCCATGACCTCCCCTTCCAGGGGCGTGCCTGGCCCCGAGGATTGCTGGGGGACGTCAGGGTCACTGGGGTCAAACTTTGAGGTCTGTTTGAGGGACGCTGCTGGGTACGAAGATGGTTCAGCATCCGTGTCTAAGATGCTTCAAAACAAAAACAAAAAATGCCAATTGCAATTGGTGATTTTTTCTTTTTAAGTATTTCTGTTCGCTAGATTATCTTCTGCTATAAGCGTATGACTTCTTATTTTATGCCAGTTGAAGGTATTAATCATCAAGTTAGTCACTGTAAACAGCAATACCACAAAGATTGCTTGACTCATTTATGGACAGAGACAAGGCACTATAAAGCAAGGTTTGTGATTCGTTGGTAAATGTGGCATGCTGTGAAACACACCAATCAAATTCATTTGTTTATGGCCAATGAGCAATACTACTGAAGTAATCGCTCAGTTTATGTATTTAAAACTCTTCCCAGTTACCTGTGCACAATTCAAACACTCCCTGTGTATACAGATGCACGCACGTCAATGTCCAAAAACATAAGACTTCCGAAATAATAACTTCTGGGGTGTAATTGGGTTATTCAATAAATTTAGGTTCCAAGGTGCGACATTTTATTCTGTCACCGTTACATCTTAGCTTTGTAATTTGCCATTCAAGTATCATTGAGAAGGACTTCAAACAATTTTGTATTCGTTAGGAAGTTAGTTCGCTATTCACTCAGGCAGGATGACTGCAACAAGGCGTGCATCCGGAAATATAAAATCATAGATGTCAGATGTAACAAGGAAACGAAAATGAGGACCCCAATTTTATGTAATGACCCATTTTAAAAATTTGTTTAATTTTGATAAGACTTGTACATTTTCCTGCAGCTAACTTCTTATATACTCTAACCCTTGTACAGAAACAATACCACAGTGTATTATGTGTTGTCCGTTTTGATAGGATCCAATGATATTGTACACCCGGGGGTGGGGGGATAGGAGGGGGCAAAGGCACCCTCGGGCATCAAAAAAGCCACAGAAGACTTCAAAGGACTTCAACCATTGTCTTATTTAAGTCAGCCATGTACATGCAAACCTAACCTCTCCACAGTGTCATGCAGCGTAGTCAGCACCTCGTAGACGTGAATCTTCTTCAGGAGCGCAGTAGTCGCCGTGACGACCCGGACAGTCTGCTCCGACAGCAGGAGCTTGACCAACCGCTGGTAGTAGGTCCTGGGGGCGTCGGCCAACACGCCCACCGAGGGGGAGGAGCCGAGGAGACGCTGGACACCCTCTTGCCAATTGGTGGCGCTGTCCAGGGCTGGAGGTGACAAAATATAATATGCCTCGTTTGTATCAACTTTGGTGCTGACTAACTTTAGGTGTTGTGGTTAACTCATTTTCAAAATCTTCCAAGAGCTTTGATTTTTGTTTACGATTTGAATTTTCAGAGACAAAGTATTTGACGAAAGGATACAGATATATATACTGACAGTAAATGAAAATGCTATGAAAATGCATCATGTAACAATGAAAATGACAATGCATCACATACAATGAACACGCATCCTTTACACATCAGGAAGCTTTATTGAAACCATAGGTTTCACTAAGAGCCTCCTGGAAAGGGCAGCCGGATTTTTACACCTTTCCAGTTTTGTCTGGGTTCTAAGCACTCTACTGCAGGTGAGATATGACACAGATGCAGGTAGTGAATGACATGTACCAGACTCAGTGATGCGTTTCCATCAGTATACATGTAAGTGATGCGTTTTCATTGAATTTTCATTGACTGTCCATACATGTATTTGAGGCAACATTCATATTCAGATAAAATGTAGGTTTTTTTAACATAAAATCTCAGTGAGTCCTTTTTGGAGACCTTATTGAGATCCTTTGTCCTAAATGAATGTCTTTTTTCAAACCCTTCTTTAATTTTAAAACTATCAAAGTGTTTTGTGCATATAAAATCAAAACAGTGGACTGTACAAATTGCATACCATTGAGAGCCATTAGTTTCAGGGACGATGCCACATGATCCCCAAAGAGAAGACTCATCAGGCCATCAAGCACACCAAGATTCTGTAGGATAAACCATTCATACAAAAAGTCATGTAATTTACGTTTATTTAAACATTCAGTTACGTTATCAAAGTCTATGAATAATTTTATTCCAAGACTTCCTGATGTGGTCCCCTCGCACATTTTCCAACTATTTACAATATTTTTCCCCACAAATCATATGTGGTCAGTCAAATTGGGTTCTTTAATTAGGTGTCTGACACTCAAAATGCGAAAGCTTCAAATCAATTGTTCTTGTTCATTTTGCCATGTACAGCAGATTTGTGTCAAATTTCAACCTGTGTACCCCAAACACGGAAGTGTGGCCTAGTGTTTAGGGTTTGTGACTCGTGATCAGAGGGTCAGGGGTTCACATCCAGATGATGGCCATATGTTGTGTCCTTGGGCAAGCCACTTCACCTCCACCAATGAGTATAAATGGGTACCAGCATTAGCTGGGCAGTAACCTGCGATGGACTGGCATCCCATCCAGGGGGAAGAGAAATAATCTCAGTCGTTTCATGCCAAGGAAACTGAGATAAATGCCGGCCTGATAGGCCATATTGGGGTGCGACAGATTTGAATTTTTGGACCAAACAGATACTTACCAAAAGCTTGGAGGCTACTCTCTGGCTGCAGTTGCACAGCGCTGACACCAGCCGCAGACCGGCCTTGAGCTGCCTCATGTTGACCCCTATGGGTTGACCCCTAGCCCTGTCCTGACTGAGTGCCTCCACTGACCATTCCGCCAGGGTGGACAGTGAGCGGTCATCCAGACCGGTCAGGGCCTGGGGGAGTAAGGCTGGTAGGGGCTCCAGGGCTGCAACCCACCTACAAGAAAGAGAGATTTTGGTATACTAAAGTGAGTACGACACAAAGCGTGATAACGGGGGCTAGTCCAGCAGGCAATGTTTCCATGATGTTTTTATATTGGGTTTGTGCAATTCGTCAACGTATTTTATAAACACTGTATACTCAGTATTGTCCTAGGGCTTGCGAGAATGAATTCAGCTCACTTGGGTGGGATTCGAACCCATGACCTCATGTTTACTAGTGCAGACCTCTTATCACTCCATGGTTATTATACAAATTCCACATAGTTTGAGGGAAAGTAGAGCAAAATTACAGAATGCATATTGTAACTGCACAGAATCAACAGAGTATTCTATCTGTTGTGAAGGTTTTAGTACGGTACCACAAACAACCTGACCTGTGACCAATACTGTGCACAGTTGGAAGTCTAGGAGATTGCATACTGCTAGTTGGGAGTTAGTGCTTGGAAAGAAGTATATTGAAAGAAGTACAATGGCTTAAAAGCATTTTGCCAAATACATTGCAAGGACTCAAAAACATGCAGTCGTATCTGGGGGTTAATCTGTAAGCTGTCAGACGGCACTAGGTATACAGTGTTTATTTTAAAAATGCCAGTGAAGGGCAGAACAGTGCACAATTCTACATTAACATGACATGAATTTCTATCAGTAGTTATTCTTGACTGCTCCTACCTCGGTCCATATCCCTTATCCCGATGTTCCTTCAACACGTCCAGTACAGTCTTAGAGTCAACGCTTGGGGCATCACGCTTGGCAGGTTTGGCCTGGTCCTGGGGACTGGGGTAGGGTGCCGGGAAGGTCTGCAACAAAGGGCATGGGAGACGAAAGCATAATCGAGAAAACAAAATCATGTATGGAAGGAGTTGGCTTAGCCACGTAGGATCATTTGTAATACCCAGAAAAGTACCAACCGATCTAATGACCGAATCATGCTCAACGTGAAGATAGGACTGGTATCAAATACCCTGTGAAACTAATTTGTCATGCACCCTACTCAAGATTTTCACCCTGTGAAACTAATTTGCCTGAAATGGCATCCATTGGAAGAAAACTAACATTGAAGACGGTTTCACAATAAAGACGGTTTCACAATAGGGTGCCAGCCAGCACACTTTTTTTTATGTGCGTCAATGGTTAAAACCAAAATAATTTGCATATTTGTTTTCTCTGTTTTCTCAAAATGTATAGAAGCCACCGAGTTAAAAAAAGTTCAATGGGCTAGTTGTCATGCACCCTACTCAAGATTTTGAGCACTTTTGTTGCTTCAAAAAAAAAGGAAAAAAAGAAAGTTATTTCATACATCTGGCCTGTAAAGTGTCAGAATGCACAGGGGTAGAATATGGACACAGTTGTGCAAGCTACTCCTCAACGGTGAAATTGACAACAATGGAGGACCAATTAACATCATTGCCAAACGCATAGAGCTAGCGAGCATGACAGCAAGTGCGAACCAGCAAAGCGTCCTTCACGTCCTGTCTTTATTGAGTAGCAAAGCTCCCTCATATGGTCAGGTACAGAGCTGATATAGACTTTATTCTCAGAGACCCATCCCTTGACACCAACTTACAGTGAGCGGCACGAGTTCCACTTGGAAGGGGTCAAAGGTCACAATGTCCGGCCAGGATTCTCCCTCCAGACCGTCCACTTCCAATCCTTCCTGTGGTCAACAACAGACAGAGAACAGTTTAAAAAAAATGCCTTATCTGATCCTAAATTGCTATAATGCTATTGAACCGATCGATGCCTACAAACTTTTATTTTCGAAAACAGATCTTGTGCAATTTTCTTTCCAGGGTATGTCTGAGTTTGTCTTACAGTCACTATGTGGACATGTGAACAAAAGATGTCCACATAATGCAGGTGGGGCGACATTATGTGGACTAAGCCCTGTCCACATAACGTTTCGCCCTCTCTGGAAAACAGGTTTAGAGGCATTTTCGGGTTATGGTTATCCGTCGCAGAATGAGGAGAAACATTCAAGGAAATCAAAAAACAAATTAGGGGTTGAAAGAGTTTTCACAGTTTAAGTTTTTTTTACCGAGTTTTCTTAACTACACGAAAACAAAGGAATGTCCACATAGCATATGTAAAACAAACATGGGTATGTTTTGGGGTGTATCATCCATAAAGTTTCAAATTGAATTGCCAACATTTGAAAGCAATGGACAACATGGACAAACATTTAAAAATAAAATATATACATATACTGCTCCCAACTGACTGGATTTAGTTTAGTTTGCAATCGGTAAAATATCCGTGAATGAGAATTCTTGTTCCGAGTGACAAACTGTGATCATACCACAAGTGGGTGCGAGTCAAGATGTATTGCTGAACATTTTGGAAGAGAGGACTGCAACAGGAACTTGTTATATGTTGTAAAAAAAAGATATCAGTTCTGAAAGGTTAGTTTTTCAATAAACCGTTTCAGATTTGTTGTAGTGTTGTACCTTGAATCGGCAAAAATAATTTTTTTTGTAAATGGTGTTTTTAACTTTAAGTATAGCTAGGTGCGCTTGGCCCTCCTGCTGTCTGAACAGTCACAGACAGTCAAAAAAATCAATCCTCTTCCCCTGCCATGCCTTTTACACAGGCTAGTCACCAACAGTCAGATCAAGTTTGGAGCAAGCACTGTGGCTACTCAAATTCAGTCAACACACAAAAGCAGGCAAGTGGTTGGCACAGCTGGCTTATCAGTCACCTACAGTCAAAGCATAGCTGTATCAAGTTACATAAACAGTCACAGCCAGTCAATCCTGCTTTATGTAAGCTTGGAGCTCTTAACTGTTAAAAAACAGTCACTGAACTGATTTTGAATGAAAGGACAACTTGGCACAGAATGTATGTTTGCATAGGAGGGTTAATATGCAAAACAACTGAATGGTCAAAAACAGGTATGGATGGCTAAATGTAGGCATATGTCTATCCATTCGCATGTAAAACCTCTCTATTATCAGTGTCAGACTTTGGAATGTGATGATTTCTCATTTACCGGATCCATCAGGCCGTCAAGACTTCCCACTTCATCCATGCCTTCCTCGTCGCTGATCTCTTCATAGGCCTGCCCAATGCTTTCCATCTCTGCCTCCTCCGTGGCTTCCCGGCTCCTGTCATCTAATCACAGACCAAATTCAAACCCCTTAAACTTAAACAAGGGAAACCAATCCTATTTCTATTGAAAACAATCATTTGAGAAGACCAACTACAGTCCAGAGTGTAGGAAGAGCTTTTCATTCAAACAATCAATTCTTTGAATAATGACTGATACAATCTTCCTTGTTACCTTCAATATTCTCTCGATCCGAATATTGATGACTGGGTGATGTTTCTGGTGTTAGGGGCTCAAAGAGTTCCTCTCCTACTTCAGCAGTTTCTTGCACTATCTCTCCCGGCTCAGTGGTGAGGGAAGGTTCCTCTGACTCCCTCCTACTCTCAGGGTCCCTCCTCACCTCTCCTTCCCGCCTGGACTCCTTGTCTCGCCTCACCTCCCGACGTGGGCTGTCGACGCCCCTCCTCCTTGAACCCTCCCTGTGTCTCCTGGAGTCCTGCGTGTACTGGTCGCCGGGCGGGGCGTAGTCGGGAGAGGTTGGAGAGCCCCGGGGCTCCCCGGGTGGAGTCCTGGGCCCCCGGTGCTTCCGGTGCTTTTTTTGTGTCCTCCCACTACTGCCACTGGATGCGGCAGGCACTCGGGCATGGTCTTCACGCCAAGGCTCAGGGTAAGGCTGTTTCTGATTGGGTGGTTCGACCGGAGTTGCTGGTTCGTCCCACTCAGGGGCATCACCTGGTTCCCAGGTGTCTGTGGTCTCCCAGGTGTCGCCGTGCTCCCAGTCCCTGCCCTGGCTAGGCTCTTCTGGTTCTACTCCAGCTTCCCAGGCCTCTTGGGTCTTCCAGGGGTCCTTGGGAGCAGCGTCGCCCGTGGGCCATGACTCCCCAGAGCGGGGTTGGGAGGGCTCCCACTGCTCTTGGGCAGGAGGGGGTGGGGAGGGCGTCCGTGGCCCCCGGCGACTGCTAGTGGTGCTGGGTATGGCGTGGGACACAGGTTGGGGAGGTTGGTGGTGCTCTGTCGGCTCGGGCGCCGGTTCGGCGTAACGAGCTCGTTTGGCAGCGGCAGACTGGTCATGTTCCTGCTGTTCCCAATCCCAGTTGTGATGTTGCTGCGGATGGAGCGGCTGCTTCTTCTGTGTCATCTCATGAGGCAGAAACTCTGTGGTGTCATCCACTGTGATCAGAAATAAATACAGTATCAGTTTTGTCTCGGCAAATCCACCAAAATCCAACTCCTAGTTTGTAGCTTTCAGGATTTCTGACCCTACAGCCCAGCTGGATGCATCATAAAGTTAGAGTTCAAAGAATAAGCCACTTGGTTGCTGGACCGTGGTGACTTTGGAAAGACTTAAGAAGCTTTTACGCAAAAATGGCCAAAGCGTTCACAATAAATGCCAATAAGGTTGAAAAAAATTAATCCTTAGTCCTCACACAAATCAGCTAGAAACCTTATTATGAATGCCCCAAATTCAATTCCTGTGCAAAAATGCGAGTAGCGTGTTCTTTTCATGACCCTGCATGAAGTAATGGAACACGTGCACAAGTATTCCCTTACTCAGTTATATAGAGTTAAGAGAGACTTGAACGCTACTTGCCGCTGTACGCCTGACAATCACGCAAAGACAATGCAAGCGTGTACAAAATAAGAATAAATGTGCATACTTTGTGGCATAAGAAATGTGTGCACTGAACAAAAGTGTTGAATAGCATCTTACCCGCTCTCTTGGCGCCGTGGATGCTCTGCTTAGGAGGAGGGGGAGGTGGCGGAGGCGAGACGGAGCGTTCCTCAGCCCTCTTCTTGTGAGATGCCAAGATGCCGTAGATGGCCACCGTCACCTTGTGGTACCAGCCTCTGAGAACCACCCCATCCGTGGGGGCCTGGGAAGGCACGAGATTCAAGAAGAAAATATCAGAAAGAACCTTGGTTGAAGGTTTTCAAGGTTTTCAGACCTCTCTGGTGTTGATGTCATATTCGGATTCAGAACCATTTAGAAGCTTTTACTCATAAGGATTTGTATGACATTATTTTACTTTATAATATAAGGCAAAGTGATTTTTACTCTATGGTCTCACAATAAACGTTTTTGCCGTTTCTGAAGCAAAACAGTGACTCATAATTTGCTAACTCAGGGCTGTAATTTTTATGTTTTATTTATTTTCCCCCAGTAAAATCGGCATTTTGTAATGCACAGTTTGGGCAGATTTGTTCTCCAAATTCTGTAGAAAAAAATTGTTTGGCAGCAAACTTTGCTCAGTTGTTCTCAGTGAACGTCCACTAAATGCCACACATGATGAAGTGGAAAACATGTTTTCTTGCATAGTTTTATTGTTGAAAAACAATTTACTTTTTTCCTGACAAAGAAAACAAACATTTTTGATATGGAAAATCAGTTGGTTAAGAAATTTTAAGGTGAGTCACACTACCGTGTTATTGGTGACCAGTTGTATCTTGGAGTTGTCCACATAGTCCAATGCTCCTAGCTGCTCAAAGACAGCAGAGCCAGGCTTGCTTAGGTTGTTGATGAAAAGCTCCAATTTGAAGGTAGAAGGGCTGGTCTCCCTGTAGTCATGAAAGATCTTCATCAAAATCTCAACAGCAAAGGTTGGGTTGATTTGGGTTGGGCTGGGTTCAGTTGGGTGGGTATAGATGGGTTGGGTTGGATTGGGTTGGGTTGGGTTGGGTTGGGTGGGTATGGGTGGATTGGGCTGGATTGGGTTGGGTTGGGTTGGGTTGGGTTGGGCGTGGTTGGGTTGAGTTGGGTTGGATTGGGTTGGGTTGGGCATGGTTGGATTGGGTTGGGTTGGGTTGAGTTGGGTTGGGTTGGGTTGAGTTGGGTTGGTTTGGGTTGGGATGGGTTAGGTTGGGTTGGGATGGTTTGGGTTGGGATGGGATGGGTTGGGTTGGGTTGGGCTGGGTTCAGTTGGGTGGGTATAGATGGGTTGGGTTGGATTGGGTTGGATTGGGTTGGGTTGGGTTGGGTGGGTATGGGTGGATTGGGCTGGATTGGGTTGGGTTGGGTTGGATTGGGTTGGGTTGGGCGTGGTTAGGTTGAGTTGGGTTGGGTTGGGTTGGGCATGGTTGGGTTGGGTTGGGTTGGGTTGGGTTGAGTTGGGTTGGGATGGGTTGGGACAGGTTACGTTGGGTTGGGATGGTTTGGGTTGGGATGGGATGGGTTGGGTTGGGCTGGGTTGGGTTGGGTTGGGCTGGATTGAGTTGGGTTGGTGTGGTTGGGTTGGGTTGGGCTGGATTTGGTTGAGTTGGGTTGGTGTGGTTGGGTTGGGTTGGGCTGGATTGGGTTGGTGTGAGTTGGGTTGGGTTGGGCTGGATTGGGTTGGTGTGAGTTGGGCTGGATTGGGTTGGGTTGGGTTGGTGTGAGTTGGGTTGGCTTGAGTTGGGTTGGTTTGGGTGATGAGTCCTGATGGACAGGACTCTACAAAAGTTACTATTTGCTGAATGATACTCACCCTAATCTTCCCTGATCCTGTAGCTCTGGGTGGGCCACAGTCGCCCTAGGAATGATCCTTACCTCACTGATACATACCGGCCATGGAAACTGCACCAGGTCAAGGTTCAATTCCTGGAGGTCAAAGGTCAGGGATTAAATAAGAACAAGGGGATAAATAAGAATAAGGCTACTCTGATGGTTGTGTAGAAAGTCGATGACCATTTAGGGATTCAGTCTCAGTTGGAGTAACTATATAGAATACAGTCTGACCTAGTGCTAGCCCGTGTGGGGAAAATCTGATTTTGAGGAAATCGAAATTGAGACTTATTTCACTTGATATTCACTGTGGAAGATACTTCCCATGTTAATAACCAGGAAAATGAAAAGGTCAAGCATACAATGACCCCAAAAAACATTCTGCAATCTTTTTTGGACAAAATCACTGCAAATTTCGCCTAAAGTGAAAATTACAGGATAAACAGGCACCTACAGAAACAGAATTTAACTAACAAGGTAAGTATCTTCCATGTTGAATATGAACTGAAAAAAGTCCAGATTTCAATTTCCTCAAAATCAACTTAGGCCTATTTTACAATAGTGCATGTAACATTGGATCTTACAAATCACTACGGCAGTTAAATCACTTCTGTGCATGCGTAGCTGCCGTAGTGAAATCTCCTGTATACCGTTAGATCTTACCACAATGGTATAAAACGTAGCCATACTATAGCACTGAAAACCTGTGTTATTTGGGGCGGGGATTAGTTTGGGAGACCATCGCAAGTTAAATGCGGATGCATTCGCGCTCTGACAATGCCTGACCCTCGCGCGAAGAAGCTGTGGTTAGCTTTGGCACAATCGTAGGCCGAGTATAGGCCCTCGTTAGAAAATGTTCTGGCGATCGTGTATCTATGGGCCCGGTAATAAGGGAACAAAATCCACTTATAAATTATTTGACCTAGATGGCGACATTAACATGCAGGTATGTCACAGATAAAGGGCAGGGTTTTTAATTTTTTAGAAAAATTTGGGGCCGGGGGTAAAATGATGATGACAACAACAGAACGCAACACCAACATGACAAAAATAAAGATGGCGATCACCGTGCGATGAACCGTGAACGCACAAGGCGGGCAGAATCGCACGGTCATGACGGTACCAACCATAAAAACCGCGTAGGAAAATCGTTATTTCTACCTCAAGAAACTGTTCAAATATTTCAAAAAAGTTGTCATTAACATTGCTTTATAAAAAGATCATTTTTGAGTAAATAAAAACACTCTTGACTCTAATTTGATCGAAACTATACAGGGGTCCTACACTGTATTACACGATCGCCAATGTTCTTGACTAGACTCTCCATCAGTCCATATATTTTGTACACAAGTTCACACAACCGCTGAAGAATTAGTGGCGTCTGGATAATGCATTCTTTCCCTTCATTGAGATAATACATGATGAAAATAGTGGCGTCAGGTTGTAAAATTCTTCCCGTGCTTTTTTCTTAGGCCTTTTTTGTTACGATCAGTAGGCTTACCTCTTTATTTTCGTGGCTGAAAGTATCACAAAACAACAACTCCAACATGTTTTCTTCCGCCATCTTTGGCATTGAGTCGCCAGAGGGCGCTCGCACGACAGGCCAGGCTAGACTTGGCTCAAGTCGGGTCCTGCCTGTATACAATCATCTATAATGTACTCCCCGAGTGCCCGTACCCGGGCCCACGTAGTCCGTTTGTGTTTTTAGCTGCGGACAGCAGCTCAACGTTTGTACTGAAAACACAACTCCTTCCAGAAATTACAGTGCACAATGACGTCACCCATGCGCATATGAACACAGATTTGTTGGCCCGCAGCTGCCGAGATCATTTCGAGCTTGTTCACAGTGCAAAAATGTGAAGGAAACGCAGACGTACGTCCGTGCGCGCAGAATGCGCGCAGAATTACCCAGGCCACCCACAATGTGTGCGAAGTCCACGAAGTGTGTGCGAAGATCCTTCCCAATGATCAAAGGGAGCTGTATGGTGACAGCTTATCCCTCACTGAATAATTATGATAATATAAACAACAGTTTTGTGGACACACAATGCGAACGTAGACTTTTTATTGTTGGTCATTCAAATAATTGGGTATAGAAAAGACACAAATTGTTCATTTACAGCTTAAGGGCCATGACCTAAAGCATCAACTTCGTTATTATGTACACCTTATTTATGATAATTGTGGATTGATTTCATTACGCATCATTAGAATACCACAGGCTTGTAATAAATATTAGATAAACATTATATTATAAAAGGTCGATCGCACTGCTAATGCATTAACAAATATCGCACTGCTACGTTTTTTTTTAGTTATTTTGCAAAATTTTGTTTTGTTGATTCGTATGAGTCAAATTTTACCTTACCAAAACTAAATAAAGCTAACATAGTATTACATCCAAATGTAGGAAAATACAGCACATAATGCGTCATATTGATCTATGCTTTTAACTAATTCACTCGCAAATTGCACGAAGAAAATAAAGAATATTCAGCTGGCATTGAAATACAGGGCATGGGCAGACTCATGGGGGGAGATACGAGGAATTAACGGCATCATTAAAATCATACGATCTCGACGGCCTAAAATCTCGGTCACGATGTAGACCCCTTGCATTTGACCTCGATCTAAGGACAGGTCTTTGTTCCTCCGTGATACCATGTAGACTTTGTACTTTCATTGTCCTGAATTTAAATGACAAAACATGTCCTCAGTGAGGGCGCCCTATGCAAGGGGTCTAAAGTGACTTTAATTTCTGTACAAAGTTTGCGTGTTTGTATTGAAACACTTTCGAATCCCCGCATCGACCTAGCCTTGAGTACGGTGTTCCATATGGAACACCACACTTGACATACAAGTATTATAATGTCCGACTATCCGTATTTTTAGGAATGCAATTTATTCACACTGACCTCTACATTCTTCTATTGCATTACTGATATTATCAATAACACAAATCACAGTGATCCCATTTTACAGGGGCCGTTAACAGCCAAATTACCATTTACAAATCAAAGAAACCTTTTTTTTTATGCGCATAGAAACTTTCACAGCAATTAGAGCAACAATTATGACAAAGTTAAGATAACTTATTAACAGTTGCTTAAGTCTATGATTAATAATTGCAACTTACGAATTTTCTGCTGAAGTAAATAGAAATCTATAAGGTATATTATACAAATATTGAATGCTTCGAGTGGTGTAGTAAAACTAGCCTCCCGAGGTGATCCATGGACATTCTATTTTTCCGAGAATGGTCCATGGATCACCGAGGGCTAGGGAGGCTAGTTTTACTTCACCACGAGATAAAGCATTCAATATCTGTTTTATAACACTTCACCCACAGATTCTGCGTGATTTTAATATTTTAAATTATTTAAATCTGAACACAGTTGAAATAAACTTCAATTTCAATACAAAATTGGAGGAAAATGTATATCTCTCTTCCAAACTACCCCTTCACGAAATGTTTGAACCCAAGTCTGCGGCGCGCTCTCTTTGGAACAAAACGCGCTACGCGCACACCAGCATGCATTTGCACACAAATACCGCGCCGTGGAAATAGTACTTTGGTTGCTAATGGTATAGTAATTTGGTTTCTACGGATATAGTACTTTTGGCCGTGCACAGAAATATAGCCAAATTAGAAAGTAACATGTGACTCGCTCTCGGCCAATCAAGACACCGTGAGGTGTTATGAAGCGCATCATACAACACCTGAATAAATCTCCGTCATCTGATTGGTGGATCGTTGATCACATGTCTTGAATTATTCGTACCAATGCACGGCGCGCGCGTGGCGCGCAACGCGCAGTGCAATGGTAGTACTATTGCACTGTGATGTGATTAGAAGTACCATTGCACTGTCACTGCACATGTTGCCGATGGTGGCGCTGTGGTGTTTAAATTGGCAATAAAAGTTCTAAACTTATGGAAAAGTTTTAAGGTGAGATAAATTGAATATTATAGTTCTCAACCTGTTGAACAGTTTGCATAATATGATAACTCTGAACTTGTCAAACTTGTAAACAATTTTTAACCTGAATAAATTGGCTATTAAAAGTCAACCAATCAGATGACAAGGATTTATTCAGGGGTTCTATAAAACAAATAATGAATGTTTTACGTTCGTGCAATAGAAAGAATAATTTCATTCGGTGACAGATGAAATGTTCCATTCCACTCGGCTTCGCCTCGTGAAATGGAACATTTCATCTGTCACCTCATGAAATTATTCTTTCCATTGCACTCACAAACATTCATTATTTGTATAATGTCAGCAATTACACAGTTATACACACATCGCATGTGCATGCGTGGTCTTTGGTGTTATTTTGGTCCAGGTAAAATCTAACCTCGAAATTCACCTTGAGTTCCACATAAAATCACCATCGTCAAAATTGATGGTTTAGAGTAAATTTGGATTGGTGTAAGAATTGAAGTATTGTTTGTGCCAACACAGAAAACAAAAACAGTTTATTTAAACTATACTTATAAGATATAACCATTATTCAATATAAGCGTCATCATTGCACAATGTACGGAATTAATTTCCGTAAAAAATTGATACATAGTTTATCAATATCACAGCATAATGTTCTTGGCATGTTTCGTGGCAGTGTAAAAACAATAAGAAATGCTTTTTCTTTTATAAACACCGACAAATATACCTTAAATAGAAATAAAATTAGCACTCCTATGATCCGGTACCTTAAATAAATTATGAACTCTCATCAACCTCGCCCGCCCCCTTGTATTATCTGTGCCGTGCTATATGCGCAAAACGGTATAGTTGAGTCCGTTTCATGCGAGTCCAAATTCGACGCTACACCAATGTCTGGATATGGACAGCTGTACCTACATTAAGGATACAGACAAGTAAATAAATTACAATAGAAAACCGTGATAAATACCGGCCCTCTCTTTGAAAAATCGTGGAAAATATGTAACTCCCCAGTAAGTTGATCAAATTCCAGTAAATTTTGGGTAATTTCTCTCAAAAGACGATCACCCCGAAAAGTATATAATCCATATCACCATCGCCCTTTTAAGGATCCCTCCAATCCTTTGCAACTATAGAGGAATTCTTATGAGCCCAATGTCACCCCCCCCCCCCCAAAAAAAAAACCCAACAAATCTCGGAAGCTTAAATTGGAAACCCTGAAGTGCTAGGGCCACAAAAACTCCCCAAAACAAAGTGAAGACCTACAAATCCTGAGGGGGTCGGCGTAGGCAAAACTTTTGGCCTACTTGTATCGGCTTGTAAACTAGGTTTTATCAGTAGGAGGCGTCATAGGCTGGAGGGTTGTCCCGTTGGTCGGTGTAGGTCCCCGTTGCACCCTCTGATTGCTGGGTCATCTGCCGGTTCAAGCGGTAGTCCTGTATAGCGAAGAACAGACTGGCCACGTACGCCAGGCACGCGAAGAAGCCAAGGGTCTGAAATGGAAAGTTTGAAACTGATCAAGGTTTGTACTCTCATCGCATGGTAATAATGTCAGGATAGTTAATTGAACGGTAAAATAACTATTTCTTACCATTCTAATAACAATGAAAAATACCTTACAACTTCGACATTTTCAAGAAAGTTATGCAGTTGGCCTTGTTATTCTTCTGATAGCCCTGGTGAGATTTGTTTTTAATTCAAGACGTCACGAATTTCTGTTATTTTCGGGATTTTTTTCTCGAGAAGCTAGTTCAAGAAAGAAATTTGAAAAGAGTGATGTCCTCTCAGAGCCACCATCCATCCTAGTCCGAACTCGGAATTCAGCTCTTACCGCTGCAGATCCGTGCAACGATGTCCAGGCATTAGCGGCGCCAAAGATGAATGCTATGAAGTAGATGAGTAACATTATGGCGTAGAGTGCTGCGAACTGTGTGGTAAAAGGGGAAGATAAGAGAGAACACAGTCTAAATAAAAACATAAACTATACGTTCTAAATCAAAACGCCAACTTCACGTTCGAAACAAAACGCCAACTAGGCTTCACGTTCGAAAATAAGACCATCGTTGTATTTTCGAGCGTGTAGTTAGCTATATCGAACGACAGGTGAACCGATTAAACATTGTACACAGTTGAGGCAGTCATGTGACCCAGTACAAGCAACATCCATCCCATGGCATAACTACTTTTATTTCAACAAACAAGAGGCTTATATGATCTTTGATCGAGCCGTCACTGTCTTCGACACTGTATAACCAGAGGGACGGGAACGTGACGTCGTGACGAGTAGACAGAAGGAACGTGTAAGACTAAAATCTCAGATGCACGAGAATGTATTACATGTAATAAGTTCTACTATGAAAGGGTGCATTGCTTCGAATCCGAGGTACTGGGAAGGGGCGCCTTAAGGTGCGAGGAGTGGAGAGTACATGGAGCAGAGAGGAAGTAATAGGCCACGAACTTCTGGTTTAATTACTACCGATTCTAAAATTGCAAAGGGCCCTCTTACCACGAGGTTCAATGGAAGGTTACATTGAGGAGCAGGGCCACGAATATAGGCCTGGAACCCTGTACACATCAGGACTTGACTACAACTTTTTTTCTATTTTGGGTTCCCTGCTTACCACGATGTTCCAGGGAAGGCGCACTTTGAGGTGCAGATGGGTCGATAGCAGAATGAGGCAGACAGCGGACACCAGTGTGGCTGCTAGAGCAACAAAGAGGAAGAAGTTGAGTCCGGCGTTGCGAGTGTGGGAGGGGGAGGACACCATCACGATGAAGGCAACCAGCGACAGCAGCTGAGATCAGAAAACAAGAATCATCAATTGGTTATTAAAATGCTTGGCCGGCTGAAAAGGGTGTGTGACTTTGCGAAGGATAAGTAGATGTGATGCTACGTTGGTATAAAGAGCCCAGATTCCCAAGACTGCATGTATGGCGCACTTTTTTCAAGCAGACTATACGGACTATTCGGCGCAGACTATACACACAATCGTTTTTAATATGAACGTTCACAGACCCGCAATTTATCATGATGAAGCAGCACAGTAATCCATATTACTATACAATACGTGTATTTGATAAATCTATTTATCATTCTAATTGACAATTGTTTAACCCTGACAAAATGATAAAACCTTTCGAGCTCAATGATTTTGTAAAATATTTGTATTTCCATTTTTTCCCCCCATGCCGTACAAAGTGCATTTACGCGCCCATCCATGCACTTTACCTTAAAAAACTGAAGATAAATATTTAATAATACAATAAATAATTATTATGGGGATTTATAAAGCGAACGTATCCACCAGGACTGGTGCTCAAGGCGCTACATCATTATTACTTCTGCTCATTGGGCCCATGAAACATTCCAAATACCATCTCAGCTCCCTGGGGAGTATACAGCTCGATGCAGCCTTTTAGGTGCAAGCAGGAAGCTAATTCAATCACAATAGGCCTTACCATTTCTGCCCTCACAGGTACGCATTTACTCCTGGATGGAGAGAAGCAATGAGTAACAAAGTGCCTTGCCCGGGGCACGCATGTTTGTTTTACATACCTAGTGGGGACATTCCTTTGTTTTCGTGTGGTTAAGAAAAACCTGTGAAAAACCTCATTTTTCTCAAACTGTGAAAACTCTTCCAACCCAATTTTTTTCTATGATTCCCTTTAGTGTTTCTCTTCATTTTGCCATGGATAAACCTAACCCAAAGATTGCATCTAAACCTGTTTTCCAGAGAGGGGAAAACCTTGTGTGGACGTGGGCAAGTCCACACAACGTCGCTACTACCTGGTTTATGTGGACATCTTTTGTTCGGAAGTCCACACAGTGAATGTAATGCTTGTCCACACGCACCATGACACCAGGCTGGACTCAAACCCACAACCTGCAGCTTTACCCGCAGACCACGAATCCAACACCCTTAACCACGTGGCCACAGCACTCCACAAAAGCATTGAGTTATTTTGGGTTGTGTTTAGTGAGGAATAATTATTTCCCTCTTTTGGTATATGTACAGCAGCACTCGTCGTGCAGGGAAAAAATAGACTGATACTATCATCAGGACAACAAGAATGGTCAAATTGGTAGACGATTTGCTGGGGATCCATTTCCAAAACGGCGGCTTCGTCTCCGGTTCGGCTCAATTCTCCCCTCATAAAGGAGCGTAATATGTGGATATAAAAGGCAAGCATGGACCTAAAAATGGCCTGGAATCCACCCTGAGCCCGAAGCCGGAACCGAACCCGAGGTTTGCGATAGTCGCGTGGCGCTGACGATAAAATGTGCTCTGCAGTCACCTTACTACGTGACTGGTGGGGATAACGAGGTACCGGATAATGCATTCTGCTGTCGCCAGTCGTGAATAATGCATGTTTTAGCTTGGACTGCGGCCGTACTTTGCAGTATTGGTACCCGCCTATACGAGGTTCACGGCCACCAGATGACAACCTCAGAATCAAGCGATCGATGTCGACATTGTTGCTTCAGGCGCCGTTGTATGTTACACACGAGAGGATTGTCGAACCTAGCTTGAGAGCTGGGCCCGGTTTCATAATTTCGTGCATCTAATTAAAAAATTGTTTTGTCGTCATGGATTGGGACTTTGGCACATGTAAATCTGATAATGTTTTTGCTGTGTTATTTCAATCATTTCTTATAAAAGCATGTCCTCTTCCGCACCAAACCCATAACAAAATTTAATTTGTTCCTTTACATGGCAAAAATGATCTGTAACATCGCAATACAGAATTGTTTCCGTCAAAATTAAATTATTCCCCTTTTTCAAATTCCCAGTCACAGCAAAGAGTGATTTGAGGGAATGGTAATGTGCCCTTGTTAAAAAAACTATGTCGCTATCTTCTTTCCAAAAAATGTTAAGGCCTGGTTCCCGCCCCTCCCATCCCAACCTTATCTCAAAATGTACTTGATTCATTCTCAACATAAATAATTAAGTTACCCTTTCACCTCTGACATTAGAAACGAACTTTCCATGTGAGGCGCGCAGAAAGAATAAATTAAACTGCTGGCTATTTCGTGCATTTACTGGTGAAATACAGGTGAATGTACTTCTTTCCGTTTCATTATAAATAGTGCAGGCGTTTTCACGTGTTTAAATGGGCCATGCAGAATGGATGGTTGAAGCCGGCGCTTTATAAATTTCATTATTAATGTTTCATTATTATACCATTGCTCACATTTAAGCTGTCATGAGATATACTCGCAGAGAAATAATAAAATTAATGAATAAATGCCATTATCAATCATTACATACGTTTAGCCTTTACGTCCACAGTCAGTATCTTGGTAACACGAAAAATATGATAATAATTCCACCCGGTTATTTTTTTTTATGATGCTGTGTTGTTTTTCCTTTATACTGTAGTAACAAACAATGCGATCCCCTTACCGTCTTGCTATATCGTCTTCAAAATTCATATTCAGTGCATATTAATAAGAAACTGAAAGCGCTATGGCAACACTCACGATTTCGACAATTTTGGTGATGCCCTGTAGTGAGCGCAGGTAGCCGACGTCGCAGGTGCAGCCGGACGCAGCGGGGCTGGGCCCGTGCAGGTTGGCCGTGGTGGTCGTCGATGCAGTCACCACGGTGTGCTGGCTCACTGTCGACACCTCTACCGTCTTGTCTGCCATCCTACCACTCCACAGTCACCATCAAAATATTACAAACACCAAGAAGATTCAACCAAAAACACCGTCCCCCAAGATGATGTTTGAAGTTTGCTCCTCCAGGAATGCACACGGTCTTACTAGGTTAATTTTCTTGCTGTTAATGTTCGGCTGTTACCTGAACCGGTGTTTTACTCACATTGCTAATGATGAATTTTAATTTTAGCTCCTAATACGTAATCCAGGCTGGCTCCGAAGTACGAAGTCCACACTCTGATAAGGGCCCGCCTAGTGTACTGCTCCGATGTTGCACTGTGCTCATCTCGGGTGCAGAACTAACACCCAACATAAACAGCATATGCAAAGAGTAAAGCAGAACCCATATGCAGTCAAACCTATGTGGTTGCCATAGCTATTCGTAACGCTCATCTAGAACCCAAGCTATCATCGTACAGACACAGTATCGTTATGGCGCCTTAGACAAAGGATCGCATCGTGCCATTGTGCTGGGTCACAATTATTATTACCCTTTTTGTTAATATCGATCCAACTCGTCATACTATAGCTCACCCTAGTATAATAGTGCACTCACGATGCATTATCATTGCCCACTGCAATAATCTTCACCGACATTGTGATTATTATATTACTCCCCGAGATGAGAACATGGGTAATTGGTTATTCCAGTCCATCCAGCTATCCTTCAGTTACTCAAGGCAGTATAGCGCCGGTCGATTTACCCGTCTTTTTGTTGTTGTTGTCATCTTCGAGAGTTCTGCCGCCGGCCATAGCTAGGGATACAACCGTCCAGACGGATCGCGAATGCACACGACTCCGGGTATTGAAATCCCTGAAATGTCTGGGAATAACACGAACCAAATGTCGGAATTGCGGATTTACCAGATCCCGCATCAGTGCTTAAATTAAAGGGAGTAAGTCTTTGCACGTAAAAAAAAATTGTCGAATATCGTTTCAATGGGCTATTTGTCACGTATACTATTCACATTATTATAAACAGAATGAAAGGCTGCAGGCTGTGAGCATGCTTCCAATTTATCATGGAATAGATACAAAAATTGGTTCATGATTCGCTTGTAGTCTTTTCATGCATGCATCTGGTCTACCATGCATACACCATGGGCTGGATTTAATAGCCCACTCATTGGTGTTAAATCCTATACAACAGCACTGCCCAGCTCACAAAGAACAGTGTGTCAGTCATCAGTCATTCATTCAGTTAGTCATTCAGTCGAGGAGTTAGTCAGTCAGTCAGATAGGCACAGAGGACTAAGCCAGCCCTCTGGGACGAGCACAATTTTTTTTTCATGAAAATAAGCGTTCACATAAAATATCGTTTCAGGCGCTACATAATTTTAGACTCCTGTAAGTATTTGAACGTACTCTCGATCACGCGAGCCTAAAGGGTACGGCGTGCCGAGTGCGCGACCAGTTTTGAATTCTGCGAAAAAAACCCCAATAGTTAGCATGGCGCTAAAACGTCCTTCAACAACAGTGATATATGATAATGCATTTTCGCACAGAGTGCATAAGCATAAGCATAAGTCTAAAACTGACTTACAATAATAGAGATGGATTTAATAGGTTTTGCGTTTATGGTGAGCCACAGACGAATTTAAATGTAGCAATCGATCCGAGGGCCTCAGTGCTATCCTATAGGTGTGAAAAGGTCTCCAGTGTCACACAATGGCAGAACACAGACAAACCTTAGCTTGGCTGCTGATATACTTTGCTATAGAATATTGAGTACAACTCCTGCCAACATATTCACCAAAAGATACTGCTTTAAAAGTGTAGTTAATTAAAGATGCAAGACGAGTCAAGAACGATCAGGTTCAGCTCTTGATTACCGTCCCACTCGTTATAGGGAAGCTACTGTAATCATCCCTGACGTGTTCCTCCTCGCTGGACCTGAGCGAAGCCCATACTGCCGTGAATTCATGATTATTCCCGAGGGTGGAAGTTAACAGAAAAAAATCTCCTCCGGCTTCTCTGTTGACGAGATTATTCCAACTCGATACCTCCTAATCACATTATTTCGGAGGTGGTGCGTTTTATCGCGCGCTCGCCGGAATATATTTGGGTGCATTTTCTTCGTTTGCGTAACACTTTCCAACTGCAAGTCCATGGGCTATGCATTGCATGTCACTATAGGGGAGAAAAATTTCTGCTTAAGAGCTTTGCTGTAATATGTGGCAAGGCATGGTGTCATGTTTCATGCATAAACCCTTCTATCCTATCAACGTAATCGGAATCAGTTTCCCACAAAATGGATTTATAAGGCGCCGAGATGTTTCCTTTGAAAGCAAGTGTTTTGTGATCGGTTGTAGTTTGTAAGTGTAATCTAAGATTTCGTGAAATTGAAAAAAAAATCTGCAATACTCTTGCACTCTTATATACTGGGTCTTCAGGCAGACAATTCCTACACTGGTTTCGGGTTACATAATCTTATGTGCCATCAGTGTTGTTTGCATGAAGGCCTAATACTGCGTGACGGAGTGGCCGTACATAATTGTTTTTCTTTGGGGAACCCTCATCAGTGGAGAAGATCATAAAATGTAGTCTTAGTTCCATTAGAAATGAGGCCATGGCTGAAGTTTCTAAAAACAAATTATGTTTTCGACAGATTATTTCTCCCGTGATAATTCGTGTTACTTCAAGATCATGTGCAATACGCATGCGTTTGGCGCCACTGAGTTGTATGACGTCACAATATTAACACAACGCGCGGAAAGTTTGGTAAACAAAAGTGACGCGTAGCTAGTTACGCTCTCACAATAAAATCTTTGGGCATGGCCTGACCGGTCGTTCACACAAAATCTCCAGCTTACCAAAGATGAAAAAAATGCTTACGGCTAAAAAAAAATGTAAACTCCTTGCAATAAGCCGAGCTTTCCAGAGAGTTTTGTAGTTGAACCTGTGTCAGCGGTCGGGGCCCGTACACTCTCTGGCCGGGCAAAGATGGATCCCGCTAACGAACACGACCCGACCATGGACGCCCACATTGTGCACGCTGTCAACGTCAACAACAAAAAGGAAATGGCCGAAATGAAATTTCTGACCAAGTGAGTTTTCGAATCCGCAAGTTACGAATTCGCGAATGACGGCATATAGTTATTCGTGTCATCAATGGCAGGAGAAGATTTCGTCTACTGATTGTGTTACGTTTAGGAGGTATATAGCTCTCAAAACCTTAAAACGATCTTACCAACATTTCTCGACAATTGAAAATAAACTTAAAAGATGAACCCTAAGTTTGTCGACTGTCATTATTAAAAACAATTTCCTCTCAGACTCAGTGGTGTATTCATCTAGAAAACGAAGATGTCTTGGTCAAAGAGAAGGAACTTTTACCCCTGTCTACCACTTAAAGCAATCCAACCTTTACACGACCCCCTTTTTTTTTAACGCAGATCATTGGCGAATGCTCGTCACGTGCAGCAGAGCATTTACCGTCAGGAGGAGAAAGACCTGATCAGACAGCTCTGGAAACTGCAGAAGGAGAAAGAGCGCCGCCACCCAGAAATAGACTATAACACCAGGCGTTCGGGACATGGGCTGCAACGCCTATCCAGCGAGCAGGTAAGTCGGGGTGGCTGGAGGCGGCATGGTTTGACAGTGAAAGCGTGGCTCTGCAATGCGAAACGGCAGGGCGATCGGAGTGGAGACTATACACAAACTTCGTCACTACTGAGCTCGGCGTGTACTTTGTAACGCCCGTTTCATACTTTACCTTTGTCGAGCCGAACCAAGAAGTTTCGGAGCGACTCTGGTCGGCCAAAATAGACTTTGGTTTCAGACATGCGAACTCCTAAGCCTGTCTTAATTTTCTGTTGACTAGTCGTTCCATGCTCTTTCAACGAAGTCTCTCCTATACTTCTGACCGTCCCCGGCCACGTTTCGCCCCTCATTTTTTTGAAGGAACGTGAAAGCGCCAGTACCTCACAACCGCTGCTAGTAGTAATGCCCTCCCTAGCTTTTATCGCCATTCATTGCAACAAACAAAAATTGGGGCCACCTTTGCTTGCCACTAGTTTGGCGCTACTGTCGAACACCAGTCTGAACCGGATGTTAAAGTGTGTAGTCATTATAATTGGGACAGTTTAACCATGTGCAGTGTTCCGACCTGACTCCTCCATTACATTTTGGTCAGTTTCCTTTTCACTCGGACTATATGCACCGCGTGTGAAATCAAACTTGCAGTATATTTAACCGATTGTCATTTTTTTCCCTGCAGATGGACGGTTCGCATTCCTCACGACGAGGATCGTACAACGTCTTGTACCGTGGGAGTGATCATCATTACCATCCTCATCCCCCATCCCCGTCTCATCATCAACGTGTACATGATGACAAGAACTCGTACATGGGTCGAGCGCCGGAGGTCTCTCACCCTACTACAGGTTACCATTACCATGCGCCTACAAAAGGAGACAAGCATTCGCACGATAGGGACCACGGTAAGATCTCAGTAAGATGTGATCGAGTCAGTCACAAGCCAATCGCAAACCATTCACAAGACAATCACAAGACAATCACAAGACAATCACAAGACAATCGTCAGTTGGAAATGGACAACTTGTATATGATTGACTTGAATTGACTTTCATTAACGAATTGTGATAACTTGGGTATGATGGCCCATTTTAACACGAGATTTAGATACTTTTAAAATACACTATAAAACAATTGCCTCATTTTAACTTTGAAGGATCACAAAGGAAGAATGGGAGCTTATGTTGTGTCGTGCAATTTTGAGGTTATCTTGTAACTTTCCAACGGTCCAAATTTATTGAATAAGTTTTAAGAACGGGGAACAAACAGTATGGTCATCCCCGTCTCCCACTATAGCCGACACGGATTTACGCCACTGCTCTTGTGTATCACAATGATCGTTATATTTCACCTATAGGCGCAAGCAGTCACCACCTTCCCTTTTCCAAGACCAGCAGTCACCATTTCAACCCTGAGCAGTTCGTTCACCACCATCGACCGGAGTACTACCCCATGCCCCCGGCCCACCGGCGACACTCCACCCCGGGCTACCATCCCACGGAAATACCCGGCGTGGTCTCGCAGTCATCACGGTTGAACGCTATCGTCCAGCCCGCCGGCTACGGTCACTCCATCGCTGAACACGCTGCCCATCTCGGAATGCACAGGCATTACCACAGAGGGTAAAGCAAAGTCTCTTGGTGAAACAATACAAGAGGTTAATTTTGTTTCAAGTTCTGAGAGGGAAGAACATTTCATGCTGCTTTTGGAACCACAGAAAATCTGCCAACATCAAACAAGTTTTGCTCAACGAAAAAGATACCGCCGAATGCCAATTCTTTTCGCTTGCGACTGGGCATCGGCTTAATTTTTCTAAGCACATGCAAAGAAATATGGCATGATTAGAATATCCACAAAATTGGGCCCTGAACTGTATGAAATTACTTGTATAAAAAAGAGAACCAAAATTGTGAAAGAAAACAACCCCGCCCCACACTAGACTTAAAAATGAGAACAGGCTAGACGCAAATTAGTTATGATTCCATGCAACAAAATATGAACATGGTGTCTCTTTCAGTATAGCCAAATTACAGCAGTTCTAGTGAAGTTAAAAGACTTTTTTGTCAGAGCATGGTGCTCTGATCAGCTTTGATGTAATTAGGTTGATCACATTCAGAAGCATTGAGGGCTTTAACCTTTGCACTAAACCTAAAAGATTCCTTCGTGCCCGCATTATACTGTCGAACTGTTGAATATAACCACAGGGTGCCGCACCATGCTTACCGCAACCCGTCTCACGGGCCAACCGGGCACCCGTCCCACCTGATGACGGACGACATCCACAACATCGGGAGCTACGAGAGCCTCACACGGTACATCAACCTCCTGGACTACCAGGCCAGCGAGGAGAGCAAGGCCGATAGGCGACATAAGAGGCCGCACCATCACAAGAACGACGACAAACAGGGACCGTCAGCTCACCCCGATGAGTTGGGAGAGGCAGGGGTTCATGGGAGAGAACAGAGCGTAGAGGAGGTCATCCAGGTAGTAGGGGATGCGTATTTGGCACCCGTGAGCGACAAGAAGGAGACTGAGGTGGATAGACCAAGTGGCCACGGCAAGGAAGTTGATGGGGGAGTTGTCCCCCAGGATGATTCAGAACCCAAGTCAAACGGGGGTACGTTATGTAGTTGTTGGTATGAGCCAACGTTTAATGGGAAATATCTGCGATTTGGGGATAAAAGCGTCATTAAACGCTCAGCTACTCTAGTACGTGACATTAATAAAGTCATAATTATTCCGTGTGAGATATGGCAAAACAAAAGTACATCCTTTCCCGCAATTTTGACATGCAGCAAAGCCCAAATCTATTGGATGTATCGGGGTCCCCTCGGCCACGCCGTCACCGACGACTCAGGGCACCAAGGGGACAACCGAAGGAGAAGACGCCGGGAAGGACACCAGCCATCCCCGCCCCGGAGTCGCGGAGGAGCCGGTTAGGTCATCAGACAAGGTAGATCCGAGCGTGACACCAATAGCTAAGCCACGCGGGAACGGGAAAGGAACGGCTGCTGTCGGTGTCGATGTTCCAGCGAAGAGAAGCAGCCGAAGGGGTCTGCATAAAGGCAGAGAGAGCGGGCTAGGTGAAAAGTTTGTTCCTTTATACCCACTTGCCTAGCGCTGGGGTACGTTCGACTCTTGCAACTGGCGTTAACGTTGCTCACACTGCAAACGTACTAACCCCAAGTTTGAACGAAAATGACCCCCAAAAACTGTTGTCAAAATGACAGCACCCACGTGCTACAAATAGCACTGTGTAGATAACAGCTTTTAAAATTTCAAAGTGAAATTTCAAAGTTTCTAATGTTTTCTAATGATTTTCAGCGGGCCGGTAATATCACTTTCGAGTTTCGACAGCGCGCGGCGCAATAATTTCAACCGGGACTGTTGTCGATTTCTATTGTGACATTGGGCCAACGAAATACACTGTACACTATGTATTAGGTGGTTTCAGAGTCTTCGTTTTTCTCATTTTGTGAAAAACAATCTTCCATGACAGATTCCCAAAGAAGCCGTGGAGAGGTGCTCCCACAAGGCTCAAGCCACCAACAGTACATTTCCAGGCAACCGTCCTTGAAAGCCTCGAAACACCACCCGCAACCACACCTCACCAGACAGATCCTGTCCGACCTGCATGCCATCGCCTCGCAACCGAGTCACCACAATCGCCACCCGTCCACTCACCACCGTGACCCTCCTCCTCACCACCACCACCACCACCCGGTCATGGCCCACGTTCACCCCCACCACTCTCACCACCAGAGGCCCCGGGAGCCGGTGACGGCGGCCGAACGCAAGCGGTTGGCTGTGGAGCTTTTGGCGCGGGAGTACCCCGTGCTCCTTCGGAACGCGCCCACCAAGTTCGACCCGATGGAAGCCCTCATGTGCCGCTACCTCAGACTGTCGTCCACCAATGTGGAGACCCTGGAGGAGATGTGCAGGGAAGCTGGGATCGAGGTTGGAGCGCATGCTCACCACCAAATTGAAAACGCCAATGAATATGTATTTGGAGGTGAAAAACCATAATTGCCGCGAACGGAAGCCAAAGCAACTACCGCAAATTTGATCATCAGTCTGTAGAACAGATTTCGTTACATTTTCAATATAGTATGAGACTTTTTATTTCATAACTTTAAGTTATATTAGGCCTGCATTATCAAACAATCTCCCTCAGGAATTTTATATATCGGATCTGAGCTCCACTGTCGCTTATAAACGTCAGCCATATATAGTAATTAAATCATTCACTCTTTGTACACAATTTTTCATAACAACATAATAAAGCGTTATCAACATCAAGTCAGGATAGGTTTATTTTATGATTTTTGTCGCGGTTCACACCAAATTGTCAAAAATAAAAACAGGTTTACGTTAGTATAAGTTGTGTACGTGTTGACTTTCCTTTGAGAAATTGCCCATCCCCGCGTCGCCTGTCTTTGGCGGCAGAGGCACGCATTACCATTCCTTGTAAACTATGTACAACATCATGCAAGTGTGACGACACAAGAATTATTTATGTCGGGTCATATAATGCAAAATTATATGGACAATTATTATTGTGAGGAAAGGACATATTTTACATGTATCCCTTTTTATTTATTAAATCGCGCCTACACATGTGTGCAAAAACATATATGCCTTTAAGTACGACGCAAATGAACACTACCATCCTTCGGTAGGATAAGCATACAACTGACCTAAGAACAATATACGGTACATGTACGTTAAGATGAAAAGTTCCACTTTGAGGGTTACGAACCCAGTCAGCCCCCCCCCCCCCAACCACACGGGTCCTCTTGTCTTGTCTTGTCTGGTACTGCACAAAACGCCCAGGTGGCTATCAACGTACAGTCCATCATGAGTTCTAATTTTTCAACTGCCCGTTGATCAGGCACTTCAATGCGACCACGATCCTTTGCTTCTTCGGTGTAAGGCGGGAGTGCAATCCAGAATAGTTCTTGGATACAGTGAATATCTATGGCAGTCTTTGTTTGACCGGATAACTTCATAATTGAATTCGCGTGTCCGACGAGTGGTTGTGTTGTTCATGGTGAGATGATGAATTTGATTGGGCGATGTGATGAGTCTCCCTGTAGATCATAAGCCGAGCCTAGTTTCCCTTCCGATTTGCAGTGATTTCCAGTTCAGGTCATGAAGCATGTCGGTGACGCTGCTAGTAGTAGTTATTCTCAACGAATCTTGTTGCCCTCCTTTGAACTTTTTCCAGATTTTCCAACTAGACTTTCTGGTGAGGGTCCCAGATTGGGGTGCAATATTCAAATCTTGGTCTGAGAAGTGTTTTGTAGGCGATGTCCTTGATGTTAGATGAGTAATATTCCAGAGTTCCGCTTTAAGAGTCTTAAGATGCTGTTTGCTTTGTTGACGACAGTTTAGGTGATTGTTCAACTCCACCACCAACCACCACCACTACCTCCACCACAAACAGGCCTTGAAGTAAAACTTATATATATTTTCAGCTCACTGAATTGGCGGAGTCAGATTTAAAATATGCGTTTATTTTGCACTTCTGAAACAAAACTTTGAGACAAAAGTTAAGATCACCATAGAGCCAGAGATAAAAGCCGATGCTGAAAACAAAGCCGATGTTTAGAAAATCCATTGTCTTCAGTAAAATGGTATACTGCCCTCTGTTGTTTATCGTGTACGTATATAATATGACGATGAAATCCACCAAAGCTGTGTTCACCAGCTGATCTTGTTTCAGAAAGGCTCTCCAAAACTTTGCAGTTGTGGTGTCATTTCGCCCTTCAGTGGGCAGTTTCTCCCTCGGAAAGAATGCGGTAAGACTGTTAATTCTATCGATATATCGTTAGTCGCTGGAACAGTTGTCTAAGTTGGAAAATTGTGACTCATTTTATTGTGCACTTTTGCTGTAAAGTGTAAGTTGTACTTTTTGTAGCCCCATATTGTGTGGCCAATTTACTAGACTACCTCCGTAATTAAAGGCCACACTTCCAGTTCCAACATGTCGAACTTGGTAAGTTTTTAGTTTATTTTTGCTTTAGAAGCATACTCCCCCTCGGTACAACTATAGAATGCAGGGCCACTTTACTCTACATCCGCGCCTCCGTACGGCTGCGTGGAGGCGTGGAGCCGCAGTGCAGTCGACCTACCTCCGAAAATCGATCGTGGAGTCGTGGAGCCGCAGTCGATATCTCCGAGAATTGCGCCCTCTATCGGTGCGCGTCTCTGCGACTCCGCGACTCCGCGCCTCCGCCACTCCAGTGCCCCGCGTCTCCGCGACTCTGCGACTCCCCGACTCCAGACAGTGCCCCGTCGCCCTTCTCCCTTCCTAATTTGCGAGCCCATTTAAAATGGATATGGATGCTTCGTTCTCAAAGAAATTCCGCCGAGAATTGCGCCTTCTATCGGCGCGCGTCTCTGCGACTCCGCGCCTCCGCGCCTCCGCCAATCCAGTGCCCCGCGACTCTGCGACTCCCCGACTCCGCGCCTCCGCCACTCCAGACAGTGCCCCGTCGCCCTACCCCGCGACTCTGCGACTCCCCGACTCTGCGCCTCCGCCACTCCAGACAGTGCCCCGTCGCCCTCCTCCCTTCCTAATTTGCGAGCCCATTTAAAATGGATATTATGGATGCTTCGTTCTCAAAGAAATTCCGCCGAGAATTGCGCCCTCTATCGGCATGCGTCTCTGCGACTCCGCGCCTCCGCCACTCCAGTGCCCCGCGACTCTGCGACTCCCCGCCTCCGCCACTCCGCGACTCCGATCCGTACCGTGCCCCCAACACATTTACAAGCACGCCCTCCCTTCCGATCCTTCATGAGAAGCTTAGAAGACAAGTCCATTCGCTGTACTTAGCACTTTTTGCAGGTTTGCATATCTATTACTCCTAAATCCTATCCATCCACGCCTCCAAGCAAAATAAAAAACCTTGCTCTGGCGTGGCCCTGCATTCTATAGTTGCTCCTCTTTATAGGCTAATCAGAAAGTGCTGCCTTTTTGAGATGTCTAATTTTCGACTTTCGTGAAATTTCATGTTGAAATTTTGGTATTTTGGGTAAAAATTTGGATACGCAAACGTGTGCAAACGAATCTGGGGTCGAGTACCGACTACCGAGTACCAAATCGTTGAGTCTGCGCAAAATTCGAGTCCGAAAAATCGAGTACGGGCCAAGTCCAAATTATTTTTGAGTACTGATAGTCGAGTACGGGCCTAGTAGTGTGTACTCGAGTTGTACTCGAGTTGTACTCGAGTACGAGTACGAGTACTCCAACACTGACTCTCACCTTCTCCTTTCCTTTAGTTTAGGCCTATTCCTATTTCTTAATCAGTCACTTTCTTCATCGAGATTTGAAACTCGGACTCTTCTTCGAAACACAACACTTTTACCACTAGGCCGCACACGGGTGCTTGTTGCAATTATCAATCTTTGGACATTATTTGAAGCATCCATTGAAATAAGACTAATGAATATTAAATAAACTTAATATTCATGAGAAATTAAATATTCATAATGATGTATTGGACTGTCATTGGCCGGCTCATGCATACCGCTATACTTCCAGACACTTCAATCACTATGGCCGGCTGCCTCCAACTTAGTTCTGCATAATGTGTGCATCCAAAATGTGCCCCAAAAAACAATTTTTTTTTAATGAAAATTATTCGCATTGCCGGAGCTTCCTGGATTCTTCTTGGATAAAATTACATGGTGAGGTGAAAATGGATGTGTTTGGCGGCAGGAAAGTGGAGGCCTATGGACAACTTCCCGGGTTGGGGTTGCTTAACGGGATACAGTTGGGCTTGGCTCGGCCGGGCCATTTTGATGGGGTCGGGGTTGCTGGATGAGATGATCTGGCTTGGCTCAGCTGGGGCTGGGATTTGCTGTGCATGGTGTGCCGCGCCACTGCGCCGTGCATGCCGCGCTGCTGTCGCATCTCTGCACCGCGCTGGGTCCCGGCAGCCACCGCCCCGCCCACCGCGCCGCCCACCATGCCGCCCACCGTGCATGCCGTGCCACCCTACAGCCGGCTGGAACCCCACGCATGGTCATGCCATAGATCCTGCGACTTACAGTACCTGCAACGCAACACACCCAAATGCTCAAACATTGACGAACAACCTGTGTGAAAAATACCATGCCCTATACGCTAGCTACATACAATGTACAACGCCTCTCACAGTCGAGTTGTTTCCATGTCAAAGTTGACTTGGTCAAGTTGTCACACTGGTCCAGTCGTCTCAATGGACGAGTTGTCCTGAGTCGAGTTGGCAAACGGTCATTGTCTGACATTCTATTAAATAATAGCAGATTCCTTAGGCATGGGGGGGGGGATGGGGCCATCACCCACAACCCCCCCCCACCTTTAAAAAAAACCAGACAAACAAAAAAGTTCTGTTGTTTTTCAATTTAGTAATGAAACCAGAAGAGGAGTCGAGACAATGATTTTCAAATCAATGCTACTCATCCCCTTCCCTAAGATTAAACAGAGTTTGCTCACTGTTTCATGACTCCTGACTCCTTGACATGTAAAATAGTAGGAACCGTGAAGGAGTCAGTGTACAGTTCGCAACCGTTGAGAAGTTTCCGCATGAGCCAGAATATGTTCACATCTACTTGAATTTTCCCTATACGCTGTTCTGCAAGAACCCTTGTACCAGTATCTAAATGAGTTGAAGGAATTAGAAAATTCTCCGCAAATCCAAATTCAAGGTAAAAAAGGGATGTGTTCTTCATTTATTCATTCTCCATCTTCTCCATCATAACAACATGGCCACAGCTGCCGCACAGCACAGAAACTGTACATTGTTACACAACTTGTCACATTTAATGCTGTGGTAGTGAACTTACTCTAAATCATCATGACGGTGCACTAAATTGTTGATTTAACGCAGCGTGAATGGACTTAGTACATGTATCTTGATAAGATTAGAAGTGCAGCAAGTGCCCCTTTCATTTTGTTGTTGTAATTTTCATGGTCATATATTTGTATACACACATGAGACTGTCCAATGCCTTACTGCATGTTCCACCTGTCAATACATTTAATTTGCATACATGTCAGACATCAATCAAGGCTGTGATTGGTTGAAATATCATGGGGAGTGCCTTCTTGAAATTATAAGCCAATGACATGTTAAACAGTTGCTAGTTATTATTTATTAATTTAATAAAAGTGTTAACCAATTCTTTAATGTGAATTTAAAGTGGTGATAACTTAGTCCAATTTTACCCCCTCCCACACCTCACCCCCCACAAAAAGTTAAGTACATGTATCGTGGAGAACTTGCATAATTTCCCTTGATTTGATATTTCAATTTTCAAAATGCACTTAAAAAAAAACTATAGAGAAACTTTTTTTCCTGTATAGAAAATACATGTATGACAGTTTGTTATACAAATTGTTTCCAAACAAAATGCTCTCTGCAATACAGGGACTTTATGCCCTGGTCATGGACTACTGGTGATGAAAGAACTAATCACAAACAAAGTTTTGCCCTTTTCCTTCATGCGTGAAAATCTAGGGCAGTACTTGCGTCATAGGGGGCCAGCCATTGTATCCACGGTTCCTGCGCCATTGGCTGGCTAGACACCTTTTACATGGTTTCCACATCAAACCCAGAAAGGTGTACACGAATTAGGCCAAAAAAAATAATAGTTCTGCTTCCGGTTTCCCTACCTACCCTATTCTGACAGCCCCTACCCTAATTTTTTTATGGGAAAAATGAGAAGAAAACACCCAAAACCATCAATTTCTACCTTTTACCCATAACTTCACGCAGACGCCTCCTCACAAAACAAATTGGCAAAAAAAAAATGTCCCTACCTACCTACCCTATTTTTCAAATGCCATGTAATCGGAAGCAGAACTATTTTTTTTGGGCCTTATGTACAGAGGTTTGTGTTGACACAATACTGCCAACAGCCAGCAAAACTATGACAAAGCAAAAATTGTTGCAGTGTACTTTGCCCAGCATACATGTACTTGCATGCTTTAAATGCTCTCATGAGACCTTGACACTGTCAAATCAGGCGCTGGATGCATGACAGTTCCTGTACGTGCATCAGTGTATGGTCTAGTCGGATCGTGAATTTCAGTATTGAAGTGGTATAATTTCCATGCATTTTGTAGTTGCTGTTCAAGTCACATACATGTACATGTGTTTTAGTAGTGGGTGAGTGCTTTTCATTTGATGTTTTCACTGATCATGAGGAGAAGAATACACTGCCAATATGTGTTGTGCATGTAGTTCAATAGCTGATCTATGTACATGTATAGTTTATGTACAGTGTGTATTTGTGACCCGCTCTGCAAAAATGAGTCTGATGTCGCATAATTTGAATTCAAGCTTTTGCCATTTTGAAATGGAAACAGTAAAGATTTGCTCAAAATTTGGATTTTTTTGTTTTTGTTTTATTTTGGTTGTTTGATAGTTTTAGTTCAAATATCTTACACAGAAATGTAAATATTGTAAGAAAAAGAAAAAAATTATGAATCTTTGGTGCTTTTCTTGGTTAGTTACAGTGTATTTGTCATTTTTCAAAGCCTTTTTTCTCCATTGAGACACTTCTAGCTTTGCAAAAACTTTACAGAATGAAACAAGCACAACAATGCAACCAAATGTCCTAGAGAGGTCCGTGATATACCAAATGAAAGCTTATTTCATTCCCATTTCATTAATGTAGTTAACTCAAAATGTCAGTTTTGCAACAACAGACTCATTTTGCGGAGCGGGTCACATTTAAGAAATGATACATTTAGAGAAAAAAATATTAAAAATATTAGCTCCTATTTTGTTTAAGAATAACTTATAGTTATATGCATTTAAAGAATGATTGTTTCTCAACACAATGCTGTTTTCCCCATCTCATGAAAGGATGATATATGTGGTCCAATTTGCGGCAAAGTGGATGAAAGGAGATTAACATGCCATTGCCAGCAATCTCTCTGTTGGTCAACTTACCTATTGTTCTTTGCCAATCAATAGTGAGTTGGAACAACCTAAACGTATGCTTCAATGATTATGTAAACGAGTTACATAATCAATGAATTTTAGGTTCCAACTAAGTATTGATTGGCAAAGAACAATAGGTAAGTTGGCCATTTAAGTTATTATTAAACAAAATGGGAGCTAGTATTTTTGATATTTTTTCTCTAAATGTGTCATTTTCTTTTATACACACTGTATATGCCAGCCAGGTAAATCCATGTTGTTGTATAAACCTTAGCTTGATATTGTGGAAGCCTTTTTAAAATGTTTGCCTAGAATGTAACACTGCACCAAGAATTCAGCAGGCTTTCCAAAGTGTCTGTGGATTTTTAAAGTATAAAATATACAACTACATGCAATTTTTTGTTTAATGTTGTATGGACAGCCTGTTTCAATTCAAATATGCCTCTGCAAAAAGTATTTTCATGTGTACAGCATACAAACTTACCATTGAGTTATTTGATTTTGACCTTTTTGTCCCTGATGTGTAATTATACTTTTCTGTACTTTTTCACAGACTGTGACTACTGTGCTGTAACTGTAGCACATTCGACTGGTGCCACTTAACAGAGATGTAATCTGGGCAGTAACACTTGAGTAGCATCATGTACAGGCTACCAGTTGTTATCCAGGGGCACCAGCGAGTGGTCAACAGGCTTCGCCCAGAAGACACAAAGAAGGTCCTCGAGAAGGTATTCCAACAACTCAAGAAACAACCGGATCCAAAAGCGCGTCACCTGGACAATCTCCGATCCGTCTCGCAAGGTGTTCAGCGAGAACTTTTCCACACCGGAGGGCGCTATCCGGCCAGTGGGAAGGCACTGTTTGGAGATGCCTACGAGGTCTGGTCGGAGGACATGGCCTGCATTCTGCAGGGTACTTGTCTACCAGGCAGTACCAAGTACTGCCGCACCAAGTCCATGTTTGGCAAGCTGGAACTGGGCGACATCATGCAGGGCTCCTCTGGCACCAAGACACATCTGATGTCTACCTATACCCTTGCTGCAGCACCCAAATATCGTGGGATCCACACTTTGGCTGCTTCAGGCCTCAAACCACAACAGCAAGCACCACCCCAAAAGAAAGTCTATCAAATAGACGGCACTCCCGTGAATGCACGTATGAAGTCTGGACTCCCCCAAGAGCTGTGGAATGAGGATATCGCCTGCGTCCTGCAAGGAACCTGCCTACCCGGCAGCACCCGTTACTGCCGTACTAAGTCCATGTTTGGCAGTCTGCAGTTAGCAGATGTGATGCAAGGGACGCCACATCGGGCCTACAGTACCCAGTCCTCCTCATCCGAGGGGAACCAGTCACCTGCCACTGGTACCCAGCTCACACAGCGAGAGAGGCTGAAGCGTGCTGTGAAGGACTACGGATCCACTGTCATCGTCTTTCACGTGTGCATCTCGCTGATGTCGCTTGGAGGATTTTATCTTGCAGTCTCCAGGTGAGTTTTAGGTACATTTGATAATGAGTCATTATGACTTTCATGGTAATTCCTCTGGAAAAGAGGAAGGAAAGTTTTTGCCCAGGATGATGTTTTCAAATATGCTTTATTGACTTTTTTTGTTGGTGATTGTGTCCCCTTTGTAGTGGACTAGATGTGCAGGCCCTCCTGACGACAATCGGATTCAGCTCCGACGTTGTCGCATCACGTCTTGCCACGGGAACCAGCACATTCCTGGTAGCCTACGGAGTTCACAAGCTGTTTGCCCCGGCAAGGATTGCCGTCACGCTGACCTGTACGCCGTTTATCGTGCGCTACCTTCGCGGTATTGGTTTCTTGAAGGTGAAACCAGTAGCCATACCTAAGTAGAGGAGAAACAACTTTGAACAATGTGAGCTGGAATAAAATTTATTTTTGTAGAAGGGTGTTTAGTGTTCAATCCATTGGTGCACTGTGCAGCTACATGTAGTTACTTGCATTTTTGAGTTGATTGTTTCAAAATCTTTCCTAAGTTGTACATTTGATCATGTGCCTTTGCAAGTTTGTAATCTTTACCCTTTTAAATCCAGAAGTATCCAACATGCGTCCATGTACCATTAGGATTGATAATTGGGGTGCGTCCCGTATAGATGGCTAAATTAAATGATGCCAAGTGCGTATTGTTTCTAGTTCAGTTTATTGCAATGATTTATCATGAGTTGATATCACTGAATAAAATGATAAACCCATATTTGGCAAGATGTAATTGACTTATTTATATATCTGCACCAAGCAGCTCACTAATGTTTTGGCCGTCGCGGCTGCCATGACATAGCAGTAAAAGCATACTATAGACACCTAATATGATGAGAGGCAACATCTTCCCATCTTCTGAGTTCCACTGGCTGTTATACGCCGAGCTTCACGTAAAAATCTGGTACTCATTTTTAATAGCTTTCAAATGTGTTACACAGCCTGATTGCCTGAATTTTGTATTCTTTTTCTTTTCATTTCATTTGTTAATTTTGTTGCTAAAGGGGTTCCAGACAGCGGGGTCGGAAGTAATAATCAAATTTTTTTTTCCTGGGTCGGGAGCCCAAAGTTAGTCAATGGGATATCCCCTTGCACAGCAAGAGTCTATGCGAGCAGATTCAGCGATTCATTACACAAAATTAAGACTGCGTCTTGACCTCCAGGTCTAATCATTCAGCGGGAGCCTATCAGGTCTTAGTAACTCGTATTACAAAAACATGGCAGCCAAATTGACCAATCAACAGCTTGGTCCACAAATTCCTGACCGAAACAACGTCACCGTTTCTAAAGTTGACTCCGATCGGCATAAAATTGACATTGCTTACATATCAGATGCTGGTTATGGAGAGGACACTGTTGGACAACGGATGATACTCAGACTAGCCCAAAATAGGGTCAGTCAGAAATGAGAACCAAAGAAATAAAAATGGATGCCCTAATACTAAAATAAAGGGAGCCAAAATTCTAGTTCAATCGTTAAAACTCAAAGCACCTTTATTACCATACAATATTACATCATGATATGTACAAAATAGCGTGAAATTGTGTGTATACATGTAATTAGTTATCAATTACATCGTAGTAATAAAAGTACCTATCAGTTTTTGCTTTGTTTTGTGTTTTTAAGCTCAGAATATAGGAAGTAACCAATGAGCTGTAAAGACAATGTATTTAAAAACTAAATGAATATGGACAGATTTGAACTAAGAGATATTAAAAAAGGATTCATGTTTAATCCCTTGTTCTTTACAATGTCTGTGGTTAAGGGTTCTTATTTACACGCTGTGAATATTTTGGTTTGTGTGCCATAACCTATTCAGTCCTCTACCAGTGCCAGTCATATTGTTATTTTGAAGAAAACTGTACAGCTATATGTATACACATCTTTTTCATTCAGAGAATAGGGTAACTCCCAAGTTTTTTGGCCCAATGGCCAACCAAAAAATGCAGCAGTCATTTAGCTTAGGAAATTTAAAGGACACCTATTTAATATTTATTCAACACAAAATTACACATACATACTAATTTAAAATTGACGTGATGTTACTAACGTAATTTTCACTTAAAATAATTTAGTCGTCAGTGATATCATAAACTGGATACACAACATTACATACACTGTCCCTGGGTACATCCTACCGTCTCAAAAGGGAAATATTTGAGTATTCAAATAATATGCATCAGTAATACCACTTTTCTTGATTTGAAAAGCTAGTGGGTTCAGTTTTTTCCCTTTATTTTTATATCAATTTGGTAAATTTTTGTGCTGCTTCAAGAGTCATTGGTACATGTATGTGTAAACATTTCAGCGAAATATGTTGTAAAGTATGGAAAAAGAAATAAATTGGAATGGAGTAAAAGATGTCAGAAACATTATCGCTTGCTTTCCTTCAGACAATTATCATTGTAAATGAGCTTAACTACGGTGAAAACGGTCAAAAGAGTGAAGAACAAAATCACCATCCAGTGCAAACACCATCATGACTTACTAAAAATGAAATTACTTGGACACACATTTAATTTATTAATTAGTCCTATAGACTGGATGTTCTACTAAAGGTATTTAAAAAATTGTAGAAAAAAAGAGAGGATTTGTAATTTTTAACAAGTAATTTCACACTCTGTCATTTCCAATGAGCACTTTCACAGTAATATGCGCCATGATCATGTTCATGGAAAAAAAACACCATGTGTTGCCTGCCGAGTATGTACGTCAATTGAAATCTTTTGCACTTCCAATATGCACTCGCATCTAGCAACGTTTTTTTTTTTTCCTGGAACAAAATGGTGCATCTTAACGTGAAAGTGCTAATTGCAATTAACCAAGGCACATGTGGATTAATTAATGTAAATAGCATTTATTTTGTTTCAGTCTGCATACTTGGAACAGGACTAAACAGTCCATGCTTACTTCAAATGTACAATATTTCTGACATTTAAGACAATTCACTTTCACCATAATGAAATAAGCTACATCCGAACAATATACAAGTACAACTCGCCCACGAGATTATTGCTGGTTTAAATTTGATGGAAACAAAATATATAGTTACTGTTGACCAAGCTCCTACTCAGTTCTGCTAGGATGCATCTTCCCAGTGAATATTCATTTCAATTCAAAGTTGCCATCTTGTAGTGCTAACTTTGGCTCACAAAGCAGCGCATGATTTTTTCCCTGCATTTTTTTCTGCAGACTTTGTACAGCAACAGCTAAATGTACATGTAAATGTGAGCCATTTGTGCACAACAATAGCGGCAAACCTGGCACTTGCAAATATACACATGAACATGTAACTTTATGTGCATGCTGATGAATCAAATGTTGATACCATTGAATATTCTGCACCCATAACTACATGGCTATCCATTCGCAGGCTTTCAAGCAGACTCGGGTCAAAAAGTAGCACAGTAAGATAACAATTTTCAAATTTAAGAAAAAAATAAATAGGATTTTGGAGGACAAAATCAGGATAAAAGAAGGACTTTTGCAGACTTTCAGGAGTAGTTTTCGTTGATACTCGCCCATGTCCAAAGCCTCATTTGGCATGTTCTGTACTCACAACACTTGTGCTCCGTCCTCAACTAAGCTCTTGGAAGTACAGTTGCAGTACTCCTACGCCCAAGCCCTTCATTGTGTGATTTACATATATGTGTAACACTGTTACAAAAAATATCCAATAAGAATTAATTTTTTTGGGGTCGTGGGACATAGAAATAGGAAAAAGTAGGAGAAAAAAAGTAGCAGCAAGTTAAAAAAAAAAAAAAATAGGAAAAAGTAGTTTAAGTAGGAATACTTGAAAGTAGGAATACTTGAAAGCCGTCATTCATCTAGGGAAACACAGTGGACAGATTACACTGTCCTAATCTGAGTATAGACCCTTTGCACGGAGCGCCCTCTCCGAGAACAGGTCTTGTCATTTCAAATTCAGTGACAAATGAAAGTACTCATGCGTATTCAGATGCAAGTGATCTATAGAGAACCGAAGTGTGATGTGGTCTCTATAGAGAACCGAAGTGTCATGTCATCTGACTTTGCCCTGGTTCACGCGCTGATGTCAACACACACTTAAGCTCTGTGCGTGAACCAGGAAAATATGTCGCTATTGTTGCAGAACATTGCCTTGGTCTATCCAATGAAATCTACATTCATGTACAATGGCCGCTCACTGGGGCTTAGCTGCATCTTGGGGGAGGTCATGACCTTTGGCTGATCTTCTCTTGGATCCACGCGTGGGCGATCACGCCCTCCAGAGACAGACGATGGGAAGGGTTGTGCTTCAAAAGCTATGCGGACAGGAACAGGGAAAAGGTTAGAAAAAATGCAGGCGCTGGTGTGACACTGCAAAATAATTATGTATGGTAATTAAAAACCAATCAGTCCGGACAATTTACTGTCCACGCCAAGAGGCCCTCGGTAATGATAAAAGCATGGTGCCAGCTATGGACTCCACACACAAGTACCGACGGTTACAGAGGGTTGGGGAGGCGACTGGGAGGGGCTCTTGGAAACATCCCCCATGCGAAGATGCTATGGGTTTGCGCACATTCAGAGTCAAAATAGTTGTGTGTACTTTGCACCATGCAAGATGTTGATGTAAATATGCCCTAAAGAATTATGTGAGAGTTTTTAAACTTCTGATATCAATGTTTTCCTAGATCAGTTATCGTGGAAGCTCAAAGGGCTATTAAGCTCATATTTTTTTTCTGATTTAATTAAGAATATTGACTACACACCTTGCATATCAGGTCTCGTGCTCCCTCAGAAACATGTTTTGGAAATGTGAATTCCACCTGTTATGGAAAAAATTAAGAAAAAAGATACTTATGAAAAATTATTAGAGTAAAAGCATTTGCCTAGGTTTGCTGGAAAAAGAAAGAACTACATGTAGGAATAATGCACTTTTTTTCTGGGGGATGTGTTAAAATCTTGAACCTGAAAATAAATCATGTTGTTTGGACACTATTATGTTTCTGCTGTATTTCATGAAAGTATGCTCTGACAAAGAATGTAATATGTGGTTTTGGGCTAGTAGTGAAATCAAAAATCCATTTTAATTGCTTATGTGGTTGAAAAAGGCAGTGTAGGGTATTAACCCTAACAATCCCCATCTAGTCAAACTCCAACACCAGGGTTTGTTGGAATCTGTTGGAGTGAGTACTGCACTAGTAAACTGATTATGCTTTACATGGGGTCAGGCATACCACCAATAATCAGAGGCCAATGGTTTTTGTGTACAGTTTACCATATGTTGTTAGAATTTGTAGGAGTGAGGAAGGTTCCAAGTAAATCACTCAAGGGGGTTAGGGTTAAGGAGCTGTAAGACCAATGGAATGGACTTGAATGAAATCGCAGGAACATCCATGGAGACAACTACCCACCTTTGTAATCTTCCTGTAGGTCTCCGTGTTCCCTTGCGACTCAAATGGTGGTTTGCCGACTAGAAACTCGTAGCACAGCACCCCTAGACTCCAGAGATCCACCTTTTCGTCGTGGGTCTTCCCTTCGATCATCTCTGGGGGCAGGTAGTCTAGGGTGCCGCACAGAGTGGCTCGTCTGTAAAAGCCACGGAAGAGGATTAAACAAAATGCATCTCCAAAGTTGCTATTTTATTTTTGACAAAATTACATCGTACTGACGGGCTGATTAAAACATTGTTTTGTGTGATCTTCGTGAAGTCTCTGAAAACAACTCACCTGGATGAAGGAGCGTGGACAGACCACCCAAAGTCGGCAATCTTTAGGTCTCCTTTCAGGTCCAGCAGCAGGTTTTCTGGTTTGATATCTCTGTGGATGACCTTCTTCTCGTGGCAGTAGAGCAGTGCTTTGGCTAGTTGGTAGATGTACTGTGTTCACAAGTCAATAATAATGAACCACAAATGTATCACAATTGCAGAACTAATTTTTTAAGACCTTAAAACCCCTCATTATGAATGAGTTTGTTAATTTTCAGAGGTGAAGTCTGTTTGTGTGTGGGTTAATAGGAGATGTGCATACTTATCAAGGAAAGAGGGGGGGGGGATTATATAGAAATGGCGACATGCGCTATCTTTGTGACATAATACAAAGTGGGTTTATGATCACCCAGCTTGTCTTACTCCCAACTGAACAATTAAGAAATTGCATTTGAAGGTTGCAATTTTGCATCACACCACTACAAAAACAGAAGCAACCGAGAACCCCATTCCACACAGACCATGACTGTTCACTCTATCAACCTTCAACTTACCACGGCCGACCGGTCTTCATCAAAGTGGCCCGCCTTCTGTGCCTGCATCTCCTTGTACAACTCACCCCTCGCCGCATACTCTAAGATCAGATAGACTCTGGTGTCGTCGTAAAAGTAACCGTATAGACGCAGGATGTGGTCATGTCTGCAAAGTTAGATGGTTGAACGAGGCCCATGAATACCATTTTGGCAATACGGATACACTTTTTTGAAACTTATCCTGGATATCTATTTACATGCAGCATAGGTTCTTCAATTGCATACATTGTATTGGAACAGTGAAAATGTGGAAATGTGGAAATAAAGAGTGAAAATGGTGCACTTAACACTGGTATACATGCATAGAGGAAGTACGGTAAACTGATATGACAACCCAAAGACTGCCACAGCCAAATGTTAGGTATTATACATATACAACATGGTTTGTGGGGAAATAGTGAAAGCTAATCTCCCGAGGCGAAGATAGTCCCAATCATCCAACACCTCGTGGTCAGGATTCCACAACATTTTGCTTGGAATATCAACTGTCTATGACTCCTTGTAAATTAACACAATTTCAAGACTTATCCATGAATTTCCAGGATAGCTTTAAATTCCAAGATTTGTCCATGACTGTGGGAACCCTGTATGATATTTGGTCCGGACGTTTGACAAAGCTGATAGTTTCAACTGTTACCTGAGATGTGACTGGATCTCAATCTCTCGTCTCAGCTGATGCTCCACCTTGGCCTTCTGAAGTTGGGATTTAAAGAGCACCTTGAGAGCCACGATGAATTTGGATTTCTTCTCCCGGGCCAGATACACATTGCCAAATTTGCCCTTGCCAAGGGGCCTGCCGATGTCAAAGTTGGCAAGGCTCCATTTGTTTCTGTGGATAAAGAGCAAACAACGTGAAAGGCCATATTTTACCTCGAAATAAATAAAAGTCAATCTTTGATTTAAATTGACAGCTGCAGAAGGTCTTTAAATAAAAACATTAACAGATGACGGTTGGCAATCAAGTGAAATGCCTATTCACAGAAACCTAATTGACGCTTGCACAATTTAAAGCAAAACTCAAACGTTACATCTTAGACTTAGAATTAAGTTTGCTTGCGATATCCCAGATTTGCCTACAATTAATTTATTTTCTATTTGAACAAAATGTTGGCCAGTCAGCCAGATGCTAATGTTGTCCACCATGAGTACGGTATGTTTGGAGAATGCTCATAATTTCTTTAACAGAGGAAGTGTTCTGGAGGGTGTAGTTAAGTAAAGGTTTAATTGTCTGTTTTGGTAAAAGAGCATGTGGGCTATATCTTCTTCAATCTTGCCAAATGTTCCAGAACCTCCGAGTTGATCACAAAGAATCTGGGGTCGAATATCACGAAACGCTAAGACGCGTCTTAGGAAGAGTGACTTGTCCTAGGATCGATTTCACCAAACCTAAGACGCGTTCAAACACATCCTTACTTCCTTAGCAACCCGGCTGAACTGGTCTTAAATTGAGTTCGGTCTAAAGGTTCATCTTATCTCATTAATGTGTGCGTTAATTTGCATACTGTCTACAAATTGTTGCCGTTAAAGACGAGTGTCGGCCTAGAGTGAAAGTTTCAAGGAAGAAAACTGCTGTAGAAACACATTTGAAAAGATTTCTGATACGTGGCCAGTTTTAACAAAAATAGCTATTTAGAAAATTTAATTATACGCCAACACCTGATCAACATGTTTAAATAGAGTGATGAAACGGGGAGCAAGAATGACTCTATCGTATCTTGTGTAGAACTACCTGGCGTGTGAATTTTTCTGGCAAAAGTTCGTGTTCTATGCATGCGCGCAGAAAGTTGGTTTTGCACGTTCCTCTTCAACGACTGTTTTGTCAAGCGGTAAAAACAAACATGAAACAGCCATCAAATTGGTAGCTTTGATGTGTCTTGCTTAAGATGGGTTTAGTGAAATTGATCGATCTTAGAGCGGGGACTCATCTTAAGATATGTCGCAAGATAAGACGAGTTCCGTGAAATCGGCCCCTGGAAAGGTTAGAGTCAGAGACAAAGGCATCTTACGCTTCTTTTGACTGAGTTGATGTCATTGTCGTCGTCGTAGAATTGCCTGCTTGGGACTCCTTGAGAACTCGATCGTGTCCTGTTGCCTTCTGCTGCTGTATCTGTTGTTGATGTTGGTGCTGGCGTGCTGCCGGGTCCGGCCTATTTTCGTTGCTGGGAGCGACTCGCGCAGCCGGCTTCTGCATTGCCGCAGGATGGGCAGAGGGCGGACCCTGTCTTTCTGCATGGGCTATTCTGTTATCGGCATTCTTGTTTGTCTATGTTTTCAAAACCAAAAGTGAAGAAATTTAAATTTGGATATATTTTTCTGTTTTTATTGGGAAAAATGTTGTTTAAATATCAACATAAAACCTTACAGGGATGAAAATAAAGGATGTAATTATTGTCGTCATGTGGGTTAATGGTTAATACCGGGGCCATACGACTATTACGCACAGAAATTTGCTATGCCAGGAAACTTTATGCTAAGCCAATATTTGCTATGAGCAAGAAAAAATTGCAAAATACGATCATTATGATGATCTGATAGATGGCACCATGGATTCATGCCCATGTGGCAATTTCATGGTACTGCTCAACATTTGTGCTTACTTTAGCAGGAAATTGTGCTAACCTTAAGCACTATATCACTGTGTGATTTACTGACAGTTGAAAACAAGTGGAGATTTTGATTGTTACGGCACTAATTTTCAAGCAATTTGTTTTCTTGTGAGGTTAGTGTGCGTTTTGCTTTACCTACTGCTTACGTTTCAGTGAATTTACTGAATAAAGACGGAGGCTCTGTTAGCAGAAATTTGTGTGCTTAGCATTACAATGAAATCAGGCCCTGGTCATTTTTACCATGACTGGTACACAGAATGCACCCAGGCTACTCTGAACTAAACCCTAGTTTCCATATCGAGGTAAGAAAAGCAGAGAGCTACGCAAACAAGACCCAAACTGCAACGCACTGAACGCAGACATATGGTAATATTTCATCCGACATCACCGACAACCCAGACAGAGGCAAACTATCTCGCAAAGTTAAACCAATTTGCCGATGGTTCCGCGCACTGTCTGCGTCAGCTCAACGTCGATATGGAAACTACGCTTAACAGAGGGAAACAAATTTCAGTGTGGTTTGTTCACCTTTGCATTCTGCAATAATCTCAATGCCTGTGACGATGTAGAGGCTGTGGTAGACGTAGTGGATGCACTACGTATGTTGCCATACATGTTGCTCTGTGATGCCGCTGGCAGTACTCGCTTCGGAGCCATGCTGTGGTGTGATGGACCGGTGGGCGTCATGAACTGCAACAAATCATTGGTAAGTTTTTACACAAAGTTCCAAGCATGCTTCAAAACTCAAGGAATATTCAGAACCCTCTTTGTTTTTTTCTCTAAAGCTCAAAGAAATCCATGGTGTTTATGTAGATTATCATGGTGGACCACATGTGGAACACTGAATGTAGATGTGCAAGACAACTTCAAACATGGAGAGGACAGCTCCCTGAATAAAAGAGCACCCTCATGCATCAACCCACGAATCCTCAAAGTGCCCAAGAGAACCTTGCCATAAACAGCGGACCATTAGGGTACTTCACTATCTCCACTCACCTTAGATTCTGGCTTGTAGGCCATGGTAGTTCAGGTCCTGTTTTGATACCAACGTAAAATTCTGCAGGATGAACTGGAACAGAGGGGAAAAAAGGTCAGTGCTTAATATGGCTTATGACATTCTGTATGCAAAAAAAGTTGCATTTATCCTGATGAAATAGCGCTTTCACGGTAACATGCGCCATCTTGCTTCTAAGAGACAAATTAACCCTAACCCTGCTGAATCCAACAGGATCCAACTATATCATAAACCTGTTGGAGCCTGTTGAATTGAGCAGTAAACCCCTTGTGCAAAAGTACATATTCAGAGTTGGATTCTGTTGGGTACTGATATTACGCCAAGTTGGACTCTGTTGGATCCAGCAGACAACTAAAACTTAGGCACAGTTGGATTGAGGAGTAACCGTTGCACTCTGTTGGATTAGCAGGGTATGTTGCTGCGTACATATTGTCAATCAAAAACTTTTACACTTCCAAATAAGTCATCATGTGTACCCTTTTAAATCATCAGATTAAAAAACAGTTTTGTGTAATGAAATTTGGTTTTGATGTCAGCAATCAGCAAAAATACCAGTTCCTCACTTCTTGTTAACTGTTAGAGATACAAATTACTTTCTTTCGTATTTATTTGTTACATGTAGTGTTCAAATATTTGTGACTCGAGCTAAATATTTGACTCGACTCGACCTTCTTGACCTAATGATTTGACTCGAGTCAATTCTTTAAAATGACTCAACTTGACTCGAGTCACAAAAATTAGTGACTTGTTCATTCATAACTGCCCTTCCATCCAGAGTACTTTCGTAGCTCTTAAATGTTGAACTACCATGCTGAAGGTCCTGGGATCAAATCCGTGCTGAAACTGTGAGAACTTTTTATTTCTTTTTTAGTTGTCTTTACTTTCATGTTTTTAATCAAATCCTACTTTTTATTGAAGTGGATTTCATATTTTTCTCAATTCATCCGTGGCTTTGGAGGATTTTTTTTAAAGGGAAATATTGTAAGTCTAAGTATTCGGTTGATAGTCTGGTTCCAAGAGCCAAAGCTCCTGACATTGAATATTGTCAAGTCAGGGAAACAGACAGTCCACTGCCGTAACTAATGGATGATAGCCACCTCATTTGATTTACGTGGTGGCTTACGGCAGACGTAACGCAATTTTCAACTGCTATCGTTAGGGTATTGCAAAATCACCATTGCGAATCTATATTCCAACCAGAACGCTTCGGTAGCTTGATTGGTTACATAATATAATTACTTATAGACATGACTACTGTGCCGGGATGCGGTTTTGAAACTGCTGCCGTGCCGCTCAATTGAAAAAAAAACAACACAATTTTTAGGACTAGGCCTAATACTTAGTTTTTTTACTTTCATATTTTTTCAAATTGTTCTTTTTATTTCAGTAGATTAAATTTTCTTCTTCGTAATCCGTGGCTTTGGAGGAGTCCGAGAACCAATTAGCCTGGTTATGCTGGTTCCAATCGTCCAACAGCAAAAGATCCTGACGTTGATAGCCTCAGAGAACCAGATGGTTCCGTGACGATATCAGTTGAAAATCGCGTTACGACTGCCGTAATGATAGCCACTGCATTTAATTTATGTTAAAGATAAAGAGTCAATGAATCAACTCAAAGTCAAAAGAACATGAAGAAAGCGCAAGTTTTTATACTAGTCATGACAGTCATTATTTTTTGTCAGTATTCTGTCACAAAACTAACAATCAATTTGACAATTTTCTTCATACTTTTTAAATTACATGATTTAGCCTACAATTTACAAACTATGAAAAAAAGTTTCTATGCCCATTAAGTTATGGCCCTAACAAAACAAACAAACAAACACAAAATTGACAAATGAACATTGAATTTTGAAAATGAAATGAAATTGAAAAAAAAAAAGAAAAAAAAATGTCTGCTGTGTGCTGAATCTTAACTTCTTAAGTTCTTCATAAATCATTCATACTCATAGCCTACATTTTTCCCTCCACTACTGCCCTCAAAGTTTTTTTCCTATATCCACGATTTACAAATCACGAACAGTACTTGCTGCTTCTTGACATCATTAATCAAGACGATCGACAAAACAATGCCCGATCTTTGGCACGACGCCAGATCAAATCTTTCGAACATGCCGAAGTCGAACCGGCTTTACACATATGAAGTTAAATGCACGTAAATCGACATTTCAAGAAACCTAACGGACATTATTTTCTCATTTTAATCACCATTCACATATGAAGTCAATAACAGGTTCAAACGAAATTCAATTCTTACCAACTAAAAGAAAAATTAAGCAATTTCTCGATGAAATACGGAGCTCAACTTAGACTCGCTTCGCTGTTCAGAAGTTTCCCTGTGTGCGCTGTGTACTTTTAAATTCGAAACCAAAATTACGAGCGCTGATTGGTCATTGGGACGCCGGCACTGTGATGAATATTCATTATCATACATTTCTGACTCTTTTTACATCAATAACACCAATTATTTCATAATAAATTTTGGGATAAATTTCTGCATGAAATAATAACATTTTTTTAGTTAAAACTTGTATATAAAGAGTTTGATTTTTAAATTATGGAACAATCTAGGGTGGGTGTCAGGTGATCTTGGTCACGTGAAGCCTTTTCATTTGCTATTTTTAAAATTTCGGTTTCGAATCAGCTTTGGATTCAACTCTGGGATACAGAATTTACAGGCCTGTAATATCTTAACCAACTGGCCATAATGTAGAGAAGAATTATATTTGTATGACTTAGTACTCTGGAAGCAGAACAAATACCCGAAATGAGGTGGTCCCTCCAATTAAATCAGGGGCATAAATATCTTACAAATTCAACGCCATGCCAGCCTCGCCTGGAGCTAGAGGGCGCGCGACCTTTGGCTAAAACTAAGTTGAGTGTCTTCTTTGGTGTGGAAGATGGCAAGATCTCTCGCAATAAAGTGTATTTTCCTAGCGTTTTTATTATTGTTTTGCAGCACACATTCAATATGTGCAAAGCCAAATATCATCATAATGATGATGGATGACGTAAGTATTTTTTTTTCAATGATCACATTCAGTTCGAGATGACTTGGACCGACTCCACGAGTTGGATCACCATTGACCACGCAGAGAAAGAACAGGCTCAGTCAGTGTAGTGTACAGGCGTACTGACTGTGCAACTAGCTTAATAATATTATGTGTTGTATTTTTTTGTGTTACCATAGATGCTAAGCGGGTTAGGTTTGGGCACTGCCTCCTCCATGGCTCCACTGCCATCTGTGGATTAACCCATCTATGAATAAAACCTGTCCTGGGAAAAAAGTTGTTTTGTTGACACCAATAACAAATGTAAATTGTCATGTTTGTAAATGTTTAATTAAACAACATTTAACATGTTATTGTTCATGTTGTTAAGTTCTTCATGTGCATTATCTTATTTATTAGCTTGAGTAACTCCAGCTATTATTTATATAAACAAAATAGTATATAAATATTTATATTATATTATAACGAAATAATATTTATATTATATTATAACAAAATAGTCATATATATACATTTTTATTGGTCATGTAGATATAATATAAAATACAATTATTTATATTATTTTTTCAGGTAATTTACATGATGTAAATTATGTAAATTTTTAAAAATGTTTATGGATGGGGGATAGGAAGGTGTTACCTGCATGCAACAGTTGTCAAATGGAATGGTTCTCGGAATTTTAATACTTCCCTTTAAAAAATGATCTTCCAGAGCCATGAAGCAGAAAGCATAATTGAGCTACCAAAGTACTTCAGTGGCTGTAAGAAATTGGCAATGTTATGTTGCACTTCCGTAACTAATGCGGTGCGGCTTTCATAAAAATAGCCACTGCGAATTTAATAACCTCTCATCAGCCCAATCAATGTGTCTCAAAAACTGGACTTCTCTGTATTGTGAGCCACACAGCAATGCATGCAATGCAATGCAAGTTCCCCACCTCTTTTCAGTGTGTGAGGGTCCTTTGAATATATGTTAACGTGGCAAAGTTCAAAATGCCCCCCCCCCCTTAGAAATCTGTCAAAAGGTCCTTCCACACTAACCAAAATCTCTGTGTTGCGCTAGCTTGGGTTGCACCATTAATTAGACAAGCTTCCAACTCGGTTCGTTCATGGGTCCGGTGCTCTTTATGCGTAAAATTCATCAACATTAACATAGGCATGATAGGTAGACAAGACAATTGGTGAGCAAGCAAACAGACTTACTCATTGCTGGGCCATTTTGATCGTGTTTTAGATGGGCTGGGGTGATCTGGGTGTCCTTGGGCAGCCAGCTAAGGAGACCCCTAATCTTGACCAGATGGCAGCCGAAGGGGTGCTGATGCCAGACTTCTACTCTGCCAATCCGCTCTGCTCACCTGGTGAGTCATGCTCCTCCCCCAACTCTTGTCCATCCCCCTGCCCGTCCCACTGCACCTCCCCCTGCCAAAACCCTGGCTTTAGGGTTGTGACCAACTGACAATCCTAGATCCATATATGTACCTAACTACTTGTATGTGATATGAGCTTCATCTTTAGATTGTATTTTGTGTTACAGCAAAAGTCAGTCTTCAGTACACAGGTTTTACGTGTGTAATGAATTTGCATTTGCTATACACCTTGGTTGTTGTGACCATGGCAAACATGCCAACACATTCCACCAATTCCCATTTGGAATGAATCAGATTTCATCCTTAGACTTCATTCAACTTGAACTTAAAGAATAATTGTATTGTCTCATGCTCCAACCCTGTGAACAGTTAAATATATTAAAGTAAAACTGGCTTTCAGACAAAGTAGCTTTTTAGAAATAGTCAAATCTGGAACACTTTCTTCCCTCTTTTTTCCCACAGCACGGGCAGCTCTTTTGACTGGCAGACTGCCGATCCGCAACGGCATCTACACAACCAATGAGCATGCCCGCAATGCCTACATCCCCCAATTTGTGGTTGGCGGCATCCAAGACAATGAAATCCTCCTCCCTGAACTCCTGAAGACAGCCGGCTACAAGAGCAAGATCATTGGGAAATGGTAATAGATGCCTCTCGAAAAGATACATTTTGTTTTTGCATAGCCAAAGTGAAGATAAACTCCCTAGGCATTTTTGCTAGGATGTAACGTCAATCCTGCAAAGTCCGCCAACTGCCTCCATGTACAAATAGCATACAGCCTCAATCCTGCAAAATCCTCCATTATTTCTTCAATGTGGTCCTTGGAGGGGTGACTACTGCCTCAATCCTGCAAAATCCTCCAGCAATCACTGCCAATATGTTCAGGCAGAGCCAGTGACATCCTGGAGCTGTGCAGAGGATTTCAAGTATAATAAGGCCTAAATTTATGCACGGCTGAGCGTAAACAACACAAGGTCTGGCCTAAGACCAGTGCTTCCTCTGAAATCAACTACATTTTTGCCACAAAGCCTCAATCCTCCATTTTGCTAAAAGGATATTGGAGGATTTGGGAAGGTTTAGGTTTAAACCTTACATGCAAACCTTCTCAGTGTTGTTTTTCATGGTTGTCCATGGCATACATTCCATGTTCCTTTTTAAACACTGAATCTTTTGAATTTGATTGGCACAAGGTTTCCAATCGACCTTGTTTTCCACAGTTCTCATAGATTGTCACAGTTCATTTACAAGTCATCAAGCTACAAGTCAAGCGACGAACCATTCAAATGCATTACCTTGTCATTGTTAAAGAGACCATGACATGAATTGTCCTGAAGAACATATTTTGTGTAACTGTCTGCTCCTCTTAAATGTATAAAAACTATTTGACATATATTCCTTTTTGGTTAATTTTATTGAAAAGTGACTTCTGTAAACATTAACAAAATTTCCCATGCTTTTACCTGACAACTGAGAGTGCTGTTGCTGTGATGTCATTTTAGGAAGACACTGCTCAGTTTAGGGGATTTCTGTTCAAATTTTAAATCCAGAAATGTGCCCATTTCCAATCTCTGCCAGGCATTTGGGCCACCAGCCTCAGTATCTGCCGCTTCAGCACGGCTTCGACGAGTTCTTCGGCTCGCCCAATTGCCACTTCGGCCCGTACAACGATAAAGGAACACCCAACATACCCGTATACCGCGACGGGGAGATGGCCGGCCGATACTATGAAGACTTTATCATCACACCAACGGGAGAGTCCAATTTGACCCAGCTCTATATTCAGGTAATAAACCCCAAATCAAGCATTTGTTTTCTGTCGTAGTGTTCGTGTACATATGAGCAAACCATTTAAATTTGCCATTCCCCGAGCTCTTCAAAAAATTCAATTTTTTTTTTCTAATCATGAATTTTCAACTTGTATGTTTTATTCCAAACAAAAAAAAACCTCCTTTTTTATCCCCCTGGCTGTAAGCCCGAGGGGGATATTGCGATGGCGTATTCCTTCTGTGTGTCTGTCTGTGCGTACGTGTTCTACATAACCCCCGAGGACCGACACACAAATGGAGAACAACAGATCCTTTTAGTCCTTGGGCCTTGCGTCTTTTGTTGAAAACGGTCCTCGATCGTATGGTTATGTGCTTAGTCTATGGGAGAGTGTTATATTACAGGGACAAAGGGAAACCCAAAGGATTGTCCTCGAGAGTGTAGTAAAACACTGTCTGTGTGCATGTGTGACTTTGTTTCTGCATTCAGTAGGGGACGTTGACCAATAGAGGACAATAGGGTCCCCAATTCCCGAGAGGTCCCCAATTTGGATTCGTGACAAAACATATGGGAGGTCTTCCTAAAAAGTTAAAGTACAAACAAAAGCTAGGGACAATAGGACAAATACACACGTGTATGTGCGATTGTTTATGGTGTAAATCGAGGACAGGAACCAAATTGAGGACGACCTCGATTAGAAAACGTGTACAAAACCAATGAGAGCTGTTGCGAAAAAAGTTAAACAAAGGAAAAGGGAAGAGGAACACAAGAAAATCCTCGATTACACCATAAACAAACGTGCTAGCGTCTGTATGTGTGTTACGTTTTAGTTGGGTTAACTCTTGTCAGAACAATAACTTGAGAAATGCTTTACTTACGAACTTGAAATTTGGTTTGTGGGTTGTTCTTGATAGTCTTAAAAAGCCTATTGCTTTTGGGGCCGACAGGTCAAGGGTCAAGGTCACTATTGCTAAAACAAAAAAATTGTCAATAAGATAACTTGAGAAATACTTTATTTAGGAACTTGAAATTTGGTTTGTGGGTTCTTGGTAGTCTTAAAAAGCCTATTGCATTTGGGCGACAGGTCAAAGGTCAAGGTCACTATTTTGCTAAAACAGGAAATCTTGTCAACATGGTACCTTCAGAAATACTTTACTTAGGAACTTGAAATTTGGTTTGTGGGTTGTTCTTGATAGTCTTAAGAAGCCTGTTGCTTTTGGGGCCAACAGGTCAAAGGTCAAGGTCACGTTTGCTAAAATATAGTTGACTCTATTTGTAACATCAAACTTTTGAAGTTTGTTAATTTTCTTTTTGGGTTTTTTTTTTCTTAATTTTTTTTCTTAATTCTAAATTCCTTCCAAAAAAATAAGCAAGAGAACAGTTGTTCACCAAGTTTGCATTGCACACTCTGAATGTCAAATGGAATGTATTTTCGATGTCCTAATGCTTGAACAGAACTTAGGATTTATCAAATTGAAATTGAAAAATTAATGGGCTCAACTGCTTTCCTCATTGCATGGTGGTGAACAAAAAATCCAAGCTTGGGTGTGTGTGTGTGATGTGACCAAACTATTCACTGCGGTTTCAAACATGTTTTGTTTACTGCCATAGTGACCGTTTTAGCCGATTTTTTTGCTAACTTTGACAGATTTTTTGTTAAAAAACGAGTTTGACAGAAAATTTGACACAATGGATTTTTTTGGCAGTTTTCTGGCAGAATTCTGCAAAAATGGTTTATTTGACAGAAAAAAACATTTGTTTTAAAAAGCTTCAATCTTTTCAAACAAACCCATGTGACAAGTTGGGTCACTGGGAACCGGACTACGTCGTGACGCAAATTAACCGCATTTTGCCTGAAATTTACGCAATTTCATTACATCTTTATGTGACTATAGATTAATTACAATGTAATTTGAACCTTAATTAATGCAACACTACAACATCTGCATGTGATTTTAGTTGTTTACAGTGTACATGTTTTTCGAGTAGTTCTGGGGAATTTGGCAGATTTGTGATAAATTTGTCAGATTTTTGAAGTGCATTTAGCAGAATTTAGCCATGATCTTACGGTCACCCTGTTTACTGCTCAGATCAACTTACTAACAAAATTGCTGCTGGAGGTTGTTGGCGCAGTAGGGGTAATGTGAGTTCTGTTGATAAAAAACACTGTGAAAGCATTAAAATGAATGAAGTTTTATTTTAGGCAAGAGGTCCTCCCTCCCACCAAAAAAGAAAAGAAAAAAAAAGAAAAGAAAACTTAGTAGATTTCCAAGTAACAAGTTGACATACTTGTAAGAATGTACATCAGTGCTTTTTCATTCGAGAATTTGTATTTTTCTTTTTTTACTGTTTGCATGTACTGTTTACACATACATGAAAGTAAAAAACAGCTATCAACTTTCAAAATGAAAAAAAATCAACCTTATTTACAACCATAAGTGTAACATATTTTTTTTTATCAGCTGATCTAAAGGTCTTAGGTCTTTTAGCAGTTAGTTTATGTACCATGTGCTTTTTTAACCGTCTGCCATCACCTTACGTGTAGGAAGCCCTAACCTTCATTGACAATCAGCACAAAGCCAACACCCCATTCCTCCTGTACTGGGTACCAGACGCCGTCCACCAACCCCTGTATGCGTCTAAGGCATACCTGGGTACCAGTCAGCGGGGTCTGTATGGCGACGCAGTCCGAGAGCTGGACGACGGGGTGGGCCAAATTCTGGACAGGGTCACTCAGCTGGGAATCGCGAAGAACACTTTTGCGTTTTTCACGTCTGACAATGGGGGCGCCACATATGCCCGAGTGCAGGGTGAGGCTTAGATAGCGTCTAGCGTGGGTTTTTTTTTTTGGTTGCAGTTATGGAGTCAGTTTCTTGACATTGACATGGTGGACTCTGTGCACACATTGCATGTGCATAAGTTCGCGTGAGTATTGCGCAAAGTACGCATGATGAATTTCATTTTGAATCATTTGAATGCGAGTGCCGCACGTTTGATTGCAATGCATTCAAGTCCCTCCCTACTCTCTCTCTGTAGCCAAGCGAGGGGGTACTTGTGCACGGAGTCTATAGTGTTCCTGAGTGTGTTTGTATTGAACTGGTTCTAACCAGCATCACAGTGGAATCCCACAAGCACACTATACTAATATCCTATCTTTTCACACCTCGCACTAATTTCCCACCTCATTCTGTCAATCACACTATGTCTTTAGGAGGCAATAGCTTTCATTGAGAACCAGACAAGATCCAACAACCCGTTCCTGCTGTACTGGGTACCAGACGCGACACACACGCCATTATACGCCTCGCGTGCCTACCGCGGCACCAGCCAGCGTGGTCTCTATGGCGACGCGGTCAGAGAACTGGACGACGGAGTTGGTCTGATTCTCGGAAAACTGAAGGAGCTCGGAATCACGAAGAACACGTTTGCATTTTTCACGTCGGACAATGGCGGTGCCTTGGTATCAAAATATCACGGTGAGGCTACACACCTTACGTGTTTGGTTTTGCAATGCATGCAGATTAACTATTGCTACATGCGCTGAAATGCTTAAATCACTTTTCATCCAATGCTGCTGTCAAAAACACACAAATATTCGTAAACTGTTGTGAACTCCGAACCCCACCCCACCCCCATTCCAAACCCCTCCATTCCAACCCCTCCCCCTCCCAAGCTTCAGTGATTTAAAATTCCTGAAATGGTACAAAAATTATTAAATTTCTTTCCATTTCCAATTTTCCAATAATCTTTCATTCAAAAAATTTAAGTTTCATCATATTTACAACACTAAATTTGAAAAAACAAAAACAAAAAATGTGCACGTGTTATTCCATTCATACTTCACACACTTCACATTTTACTATACCCCCGAGGACAATGCTTTGTGTTTCCCTTTGTCCCTAAAATATAACACATACAATCGAGGACCATTTTCAAGAAAAGACGCAACGCCCGGGGACTGAAAGATCTGTTGTTCTCCTTTTGTGTGTCAGTCCTCAGGGAGTATGTAGTACATGTACACAAAAACAAATCAAATCTAATTAAAAAAAAATGTGTGCAATGTTCACAACTTTGCAGCTGTATACCGGTTCTTCCCATTATGTCATGAACATGCATTTGTGTTAACTTTCATGTGGAGTGCCAAACAGGTGTTTATGAGGGAACATGCAGTGTGGCATTGCAGATGGGCACCTGTTGTCACCTACGTACCCAGATAGCCAGACCTAATGGATCGGTATGTTTGGACAGAGAGAACTAATAGGGACACTAAAAGTGCCATTGCTACAATATGCTTCGTGCCAACACGAAGACACAGTTTGTCGTGCGTACTTCACGCCATAGTGTGTGCAAATTAGTACGGCTTCCACGAGTGGTTCCTGTGATGATGCCACAGAACTCCGTCTACTGTTCCTACATGGTTTCTATAAGTGGTCATTGGTAATATGTATTTCGATGCAACATCTTCACCAAGATCTTTCGGCAGTCTGCAACCTCAAGAAATATCTGCTCAGTGATGTTGGGTCAATCTTTGAATTCTGTTAAATAATCCCTGGCATGCTGTCATCGTCTTTGGGCATTGTTCTTACCAAGATGTTATCATTGAATTCAATTGCGCCTTCCTTTATCTTAGAAGTACCATGTGCATTGACTATGGGCTCAATGCGCCAACAAAAGAGGGCGCACTTTTACCACTTCTGAGAGCCCCTTGGACGGGACACCGCGTGTGCACGCTGTAATTCGTGCGCGAAGTAGGCACGACTTGTTTTTATCCTAAATGCGCACAAAGCTAAGCTACAGCGCCTTTGCGCGTGAGCGTCAGGCGTCGTCGGATACGTTCATATACGTTCAAATTAAACTTGCGATGGTCTCCCAGACTAATCCCCGACCCCAATAACTTTGGATACATTACAAGTCTGCAGTGGATGGACCGGGAACCAGTCTAGGTCACCCCCAACTCTCCTTTTCTTGCCGTTGATGGAGTACTTGTGCACGGAGCCCATACAGTGATGTCTTGCCCTTGAGCCAAGTCCATATTCACGTCAGTTCTGGAATGCTGTTAAATGTCAAGTTGTGTTGTGATTTTGATTAGGGTAAGGATCAGATAGTAATATGAAAGAATTTTCTCATGTTAGCCAGCCATGGCCTTAGAAAGTCGGTTAGGAATTAAGCCTAATTCATCCATCTTATGAATAGTTAATGCGGTACCCGCTGCTATGTACATCAGATTCGAACCAGCCAACCGATCCTGTAAGCTCAGTGGCCAAGTGGTAAGACATCTGCACTAGAAAGCAGGAGGTCGTGGGTTCGAGTCCCACCCAAGTGACTTTTTCCAACTTTCACTCGGGAGGCAACACACTGAGTATACAGTGTTTATACGTCGGTGAAGGGCAAAACCTAATTTGAATTGAGCCTAGTTTACATTTTAGTCCGCTAGTGAATAAGACTGTTTTCTACAATTTGCTTTTGGCATTCCGATTAGCACCTGCCATTGACTTCTGTGAGCCTCATTCATATTCACCAGGACAGAAATAAGGGTTAAGAATTGTGGATTTGGTTTTCCCTTCAGAAGTCTTCATCATCAGGTGTTTTCCTGTATCTCAACATTTTCTCCACAGGTTTTTCTTGAAGCTTGTGACTTTAAGTGATCTTGGTGAAAATTGAAGAACGATTTCTGCGAATTTATAAGAGTCCTGATGTATTTTCCACTTATTAAACTCATGATGTGTAACTCATACCTTCTTCATCATCCAGTTTTAATCAGTACTGAGTATTTTTGGTGCCGCCTACAAGTTGAATTACTTTGTTTCATCCAATAGGAAGCACTAGACTTCATAACGACACAAGCCCAAGCGACAAGACCCTTTTTCTTGTACTGGGTTCCTGACTCTGCCCACAGACCCCACTATGCCTCCAAGCAATTCCTAGGTACTAGCCAGCGTGGCCTGTACGGTGACGTGGTTCGGGAGCTAGACCACGGCGTCGGCCGGATCCTTTCCCTTCTACGGAATCTCGGGGTCGACAAAAACTCATTCGTATTTTTCACGTCAGACAACGGAGCACCGCTTAATCCTAGAACTGACTGTAAGTGTTGATCGGGCTAGCAACGGTATGCCTAATGTTTGAGTTCATGCGGTCTGAACGTTTTTAAAACCGACTCTCACGTTTTGTTCCTTTTCGCTTATCTCAGAAGTTTGCCTGTTTTGTAGGAACACTGCAAGTTAACTGTGAACTTGTAAAAATCCAGATATATATTTCACCTGAAAGTGGCAGAACAATGCATGTTTTCAGTTCTTGCATGCGTGTGCGTAAACCTATATCCCAATGTGCAGTGCTACTCAACAAGATACTTGCAGACAGCCTTTCCTTTTTCATCCTAATTGAGTGTTAAAGCTACAGTCCATCATTTGCAGCTATCCAAAAAGTAACTGACGTAATTATTGTTGAAAAACATACTTGGTTGAAACATAGTAAGGGGACTAAATTCCCTCTGTAATTATATTTTATGGCATGCTGTCATTTTGAAGAAATCAACCAAAAAAGTTGTGTCTTAAGACGCACCGTTGGAAATTTCATATTCATATTCGCAACATCAGCAAAATCAGAAAATATCTCAACCGCAACTCGACTGAACAAATCATACATTCTTTTGTTACGTCGAGGCTAGACATGGGGAATTCCCTTTTGTTTGGTCTTCCGCAAGAACAACTCACCAGGCTCCAACGTATTCAGAACACTGCTGCACGTGTGGTCACATTAACCAGAAAATCTTCCCACATCACCCCAATCCTGAAAAATCTACACTGGTTACCAGTCTCCTCTCGGATAATCTATAAAATGATGTTGTTGGTTTACAAAGCTCTAAATGGCAAAGCCCCCTCGTACATCATGGACATGCTTTCCACTTACAGACCCTCCCGCACTCTCCGATCCAGTAACAAGCATCTACTACATGAGCCAAAATCACACCGTATTTGGGGAGACAGGTCATTCTCTGTAGCAGCACCTCGTCTGTGGAATCGGCTACCTATTCACATCAAAACCTCAGAAACCATCCAGTCCTTCAAAACAGCTCTCAAAACTCACCTCATGTCGTTAGCTTTCAATTAATCCCTTGCATTTATGTTTATTTTGTTTTTCTGCTCTTCCGTTGCTTACCTTACTTTGTTTAGTTTGTTGATTAATTCATATTGATTTTGTTTACCTACTTTTGCTGCTGTTTTGCTTGTATACAATTATGTATAGCGCCTTGAGCACCTCACGGTGGATATGTTTGCGCTTTATAAATGTCCAATATTATTATTATTATTATTATTAAATTTCCGTTAGTAGTTAATTTTATTCGGCAAAGCGCGCACAAGCGTTGACACGATGGACGCGCGCACGAAGTTGCTATAATTCCTTGGATCAGTGTGCGACATCGCATAGCTGCAATCGGCTCAGTGAGAACGTGTCTCGGACGCTGAATTCAGGCCCAATTCAAAACATGTTTCAGCAACTTTTGATTTGAAATTGAGATCCTAGATCGTTGTTTTTCTCGGAATATACAGCTGAAGCTGAGCTGAAACTTCATCAGGTTAGTTGTTCAGCACCCTGTTTTAGGTGTCGAGCACTTTTGTTGCTTCAAACGAACAAAATGCACCAATTACAAATGATTACTTTCGTTACTTTCAAACAAAACCTACAAAATTTACCAAACTTTACAAAAATGCAATTTTGGGAGGGACAGAAAATTAACAACTTCACTGATGAATTTGTCTCAATCCTTGGGAGATTCTCTGACAAACAATCATGTAATACATGATTATGATCTTTATATGTGATACATACAAAATACCCTTCAAACATATTACAATCTTTATATGTATTACACACAAAATACCCTTCATACAATGAAGACCTGAACTTTTTTTCACTGGCCAGCCGGGCTACTAAAAATACCCATGGGCATGTTCACTAGCCCGCATGTTTTTATTTGTTTTCTTTTTGTAGAATGCCCGATTTCAAGTTGATGCCCTGTCAATCCATGCAGTTTTGTACCTCATGGTACCGGTACATGGCAGTCTTTGTTTTCGTGTTGCGTATTGTCATCCTCATCATCATTTTAACTCAAAAATTTCCCCCAAAATTGCAAACCCTTCCCTCTTTCCATGGAATTCGTGCTCTTTTTTAACATCACTAACTAGGTGGATGAGTCGAATAACCTAAAAGTGGATCTTTGTTCTGTTATAGGGAAAAGGCCTGTAACTTCACAATCGCCACCTCATCTTCCTTTATTTCACCGTCATCTTGAATTCTCTTCTGCTTCTTCCAAGACCATCTCGTTTCATGACATGTATCTCCCACTTCAACATGCTTGGCACTTAGTTATTAACCCTTCTTTACATAACTGTAAAAACTGCATGTATTTTAGGCAACAATTCAGTTTGCACATTTTGCTTTTTAAATATCTGAGTCAAACCTCATTTTGCAAAACACTTTCCTAATTTTTGAATAACGGGATCCAATTTCTGAATTTGTAAATTTATTCAGCGGGTTGCAATTTATATACAGACTGAATTGTTCCCTACCTCAGATTTATCTGTAGATTTAATAACAAGCCCATCTGTTGCACTGGGTGTGGTACTTGTATTGACACTGCTAGAATATGCTGATTGTGCTTATTAACCCTTGCAAGCTGTTTTGATTGTACAGAAAAATCAGGTGTCACCCCAAAAAACCCGAACCCTCAAAGCGCCCTCTTTTTCACAGCTTTTAAAAAATTTATCGCAAATATCGATACACATTTGGAGAGTATAGTTCATTAGCTTTTCAACAACAACAAAATATTTTGAATCAGGTAAATATTTATTGAGTTATGGCCAATTGAAAACAAGTGCCGCTTTTTCATTTTGTCCATGGCGACTGATATTCGACTGTCGCATTAAGACGGGCCGAAACTTGTATCCGTGAAAGAGGCTACCAAGTAGAGGGCAGAGCAGAACAGTAGACAACTAAAAAGTTAACCAAACAGTCCTTTTCAGGACTACTATTTCTCCCAAAAGGAGAAATGACCATTGTTGCAAACAAGGAAAAATAAAAAAGAAACAAATAAAGAAAGAGAGATTAAAAAATGAAAGAAAGCAAAATACCCTCACCCCTGATCTATTACATTCCCAATAACTGACAATTAAGGCTATTTACGAAATGAAAAATCCGCACTTTTTTTTTAATTTGCCATATTAAACTCAATAAATATTTACCTGATTGGAAAGATATTTTCATTGTTGAAAGCTAATGAACTATACTCTCCAAATATGTTTCGATATTTGCGATGTATTTTTTAAGAGCTGTTAAAGAGGGCGTTTTCAGGGTTCGAGTATTTTGGGACAAGTATAACCTGGACCTGTATAAGTGGTATCAAGGGATTTGTGTAAAAAAAAAACCAAATACAGCTTTGTATGCTAATGCTTTGATTCAAAATGACGACATATACCCCCATTTAAATCAAAGTAATGTTAAGTCTCAAAAAAGAAAATGCTGCCGAAACCAAGAGTTCAAGTTTGGCAACTTTCAGTAGGCTAGAGTTAAGATCCTCCCAAAAAACAATTAATACAATTCATATTTTTGTTTTGCCATAAAGTAAGTTACTATAATTAGCAAAAAATGAAATGGCTCTGAAATCACAGAGATTCTTTGGGTCTGTTGAAAGAAATTTTTAGACTATAGAAATGCCAATATGCTAACGAAAACCTGCTGCATGGCAAACATATACATGTAAAATGGGGTGGCTGTATTTTATTGGCTCAAAATACTAATAATGTCCAACAAATTGAAGCTGAACTGTGTTGAAGTACATGAAGTATTAGATAATTATAATACATGTGTTTTTGATGCTAAAGTATCCTTTTAATTTTCGTCAACCAGGTGGCAGCAATGGGCCTTTCCTTTGTGGTAAAGAGACAACCTTTGAAGGGGGCATGCGGGAACCAGCTATCGCATGGTGGCCGGGTACCATCAAACCAGGCCAGGTAATCTGCAAATTGATACGCCAGGAAGCTTTAAAAAATAATGTTAACAGGGGCACTCTTCACTGCTATCATGTATAGTATACAAATGTTGAGTGGATCAGCGTGGAATGGGAGGAATATTATCGCAACCAGATTTTACCGAGCGATAATATTCCCCTATTTCACAATTTAAAGCCACTCAATATTTGTTTTATATAACTGACATATAGATCCTTGTCATTTGATATATTTGAAATGTATTTCTCTCTTCCAAACCACCCCTTCACAAAATATTTGAACCAAACGCTGGCTCTTTGGAACAATACGCGCTACGCGCAATGCAGAACACGCACACACCGCGTCATGGACCAAGAATGATCCTAACTGTTCAATAGTATTTCCCATTCCCCATGGGCGGATAGTACTTTTTGAGCCCCGGCGTGAATGGCAGTAATAATGAATGACACGTGATGCGAGTTCCACCAATCAAATGACAAGGATCTGTATGTCGGTTATATCATAACAAACATTGTATGCTGGGTGTTTTCAAAGAATTTGTGAAAAAAAAAACTGACTCGGGTTGGGATCATGCCCATTACTTCTTGGTTATGTCCTGCCAGTGGTCACCCCAACTCTCCATTTGTAACCGTTGAGGGGGGGGGGGTACTTGTACACGAAGTCTATAAAGTAATAGTGGCTAAGCTTTACAGACCTAACAAAGCATTTGACAAAGCCAAGCAAGCAACTGTGTTTTGGATTTGGTTTGAAATCAGTGGACTCCTTGAGCACATTAAGAGAGTGCATGGACATGAAATGGCAACCAATAGGCAATGAGCAAAGATATTGGCTTGAAATTAGTAACATTTTTTTTAATCTGACTAATTCATGCAATTCATTGTCAAAGAGTTAAAAATGTGGAATTTAAAATAAAGGACAGAAATTTAACAAAGTTCAATGTCCGTGCCCTACAAGAATCTTTATTCATCAAAGTAGCTGCTTTTCTCTGTCATCCTCACAGATTTCCCACCAGCTAGGCAGTATTATGGATCTGTTCACCACGGCTCTCAACATAGCCGGTATCAAGCCGCCCTCGGATCGCATCATTGACGGCACAGACCTGCTCCCAAATCTCATCAACGGCACCGTCAACATCAACAAGCCTATCTTCTATTACCGTGGCAACGAGATGATGGCGATACGCATCGGCTTGTATAAGGCCCACTACTGGACTTGGACAAACTCTATAAAAGAATTTGACAAGGTAAAAACACAAATCATCACAAGTCATTCACAAGTCGTTCAATCTCAGTTTCAGTAGTAAGCACCATGTTGATAAGCACTTCAAATGATATATGATGCAAGTGTTCCGTTGTCCTTGATTAGATTCATCTGATTGTGGATGATGTAAAATTCAAGAACTCTTGAAAACAAATATTAAAATTCTACCCAGTTCAAAACAAAAATATTGTAATTTTACTCACATTACATGCATTGTTGAGTTAAGCAGTGGTCTGTTTGTTCTAGGCAAAATTCCTGTCAAGTAGGTACAACAACAAATGTCACATCATTATCGACAATGGTAAAACTCAGATTCAGTTCAAATTAAATGTATTTCAATAGAAGGGATTTAAAGCCATACAAAAATTTGCCAAGAATGCCGAGGATCACATAATAGGGCAGTTCAATACAGTTCAACAAATCCTGATCAAGATCACCAATGTCCACATTTTGTAATTTCGTTTAATTCTTCTCTGACAACTCCCAACAGGGTGTGGATTTCTGTAGAGGGGAGAATGTAGTTGGAGTGATGACCCACGAACAAATGAACCACACCGACTCGCCACTGCTGTTCCATCTTGGGCGGGACCCTGGTGAGAAGTACCTGATTGGGTAAGCACATGTGTGACTCTGTATCAAAATGAGTCACACATTTTGATACAGAGTTTTATATGGCTTATGACCCTCAGTTGTGATTTGTAACTGTCCTTTTTATCTTCACTAAGGCATACGCAATCCAACCAATAAGTCTGTATTTCATAGGACCCAAATTTCACACAACACCAGAAAAAACTTTACTGGGCTTTACCAACTGAGTTTTCTAGCCCTACGTTGGCCATCTCCCAATTTGACTTAAAGGGAAGATACAACATTTGCAAACATCAAAAAATGAAATGATCAAACTATCACGAAATACCTTTCTGAATTGTAAGGGGAATGACAGTCTAAAGCATTCTGTAAAATCGTGGCTCCTGGTGTGCTGACATTTTCAAGAAAAACTGTATTTTTCCAACGCTGGTCGGCCGACCAGCATTGGAGAAAACTGGCTTTTTTCAAAAACTTTTCGTAATTTTTCATATTTAGTTATTCTGACTTTTCTTCTTGCAACTGATTACACACCTGTGAAGGGGTTTACAAGCCTGCAATACTGATTCTCTGACCTTACTATTCCCCAAAGTGTATTAATTGCTCCGTTTCATCTTAAGTGGGGTCAGGGAACCAGACTACAAGAACATGATTGGTTTTCTTGGTTTTTCTCAGCATCTACAAGCCCAAAACGTGAATCAAGTCATTCTAACAATATTTGCTATAACATACTAATCCTCCAAATCCATTTATTTCTGAAAATTGCAGCAAAAGCAAATGTTGTACCTTCCCTTTAAATCAAGGGGTCCCCAAATGGCTCTTGACTATATTTCTTACTACACTGGTAAAACGCTGGTAAACTCTGTCGCTAATCCAAGAGTTTTTTTCACAGCAAAGTCAGCACAAATCCACACAAAATTGGCCCAGATTCTTGAGAGCTATGGGATTTTCAGGAACACATCAGTAAGTGTTTTATTTAATTTTTCTAACTCAGAAACACCACTGAGGAATACAAGGGGGTGATGCCGGGCATCATGGCAGTGGTCAGCGATCACAAGAAGAAGCTCATACCAGGCGAGCCGCAGCTCAATATGTGTGATGGGTCAGTGCAGGTAGGTAGTCATCAGCAGACTGTTTGGAATCTTATATATATATACGACTTGAAACTTTGCATGGCGGAAGACATAAAATAGGAAAAAAACTCTTCTTGGAAGAAGTGTGGTTCTCAAAAGAACCGGTTGGTTGAGTGTAGAACTCGTGCTCTGTCCGCGCTCACCCTCCTGAGGACGGACAGAGCACATTTGTCCAAAACATCGAGTTCTACACTCAAACAGCCGGTTCTTTTCAGAACCACACTTCTTCCCAGAAGAGATTTCTTTCCACATGGTGTTACCCGCAATGTTGTCCATTGTATTGAATCTTGCCTGTCTTTAACCTTACCCCCTAGGCCCTTTTTGCTAGGAACCATCCTCAATTCTCCAAAATCCTCCAAAATTGTGCATTTATGTTCAAGTGAAGGATACCCACAATCTTCCAAAATCCTGCAACAGCCCTGCCTCTCAAAAAGCATTCAGCTTCAATCCTCCAAAATCAACCGATATTGAATGTCCATGTGCCCTCAAATCTCCACAGTCCTCCAAATTGCATGTTGCATTCAGCCTCAATCCTCCAAAATCCTCCAAAAACGCTCGGAGGACTTTAGAGGATTGAGAAGGGTTAGAATTAACCCTTTCCTTACCATGGATGACGTTTGTCGACCAGGAAACCACACACAGAACACCCTCAACACAGATTTATTCACTGCTATTTACCAAGCTGGCATGTTGATATGTTTTGAGGCCCATACATCATCCATATACCAGCTGAAAGAGTGTTTTGGATCCTTCTAACAATGTAGTTTATTCATAGTGTTACCGTTACGAAAATTTAAGTTAAATGCTTCAGAAGTATCAACTCACAATTTGAAGTATGGAGTGCCATTTGGTCATGTGACGAAATGGCCTGCAGTTTGATAACTGGGACCAGATCAACAAACGGGCAAAACTTTCGTATTTTTGCACATGTCAGGTTCACAGCACAAACTTTACCAACAACACCTTTGATTTTAATCACTCCTTGGCAGTGAAAATCTGGGTTGAAAAAAGTGAGTTTTCAACTTCTTGTCCATTATTTATGCTCTAGTGATATCCGCATGACTGAGCAAACAATTTGGTTTGGGGAGAGCCAAGTCAATAAACAATGTGGCGAGGAAAGGGTTTAATGGAATAGTTCGACAATATTCATATCGGTTTTTTGCTTGACCTAGAAAGGGTTCCTTATTACCACATTTGAAGGTACGGGACACACCATGTGTACGTACTTCTGCGCACACTTATATCGTGAAGTACTTATTTTCTTCTGAATGTGCACAAAGCCATAGCGTTTTTGCGTGAGCGTTGGGCGACGTCGGCAATGTGTTCGATTGTCTCTCCCAGTGGTCTCCCCCAACTCTCCCTTTCTTAACATTGAGGGGGTACTTGTGCTCAGAGTCCATAGTCCTCTTTATACCTGACTGACTGACTGACAAGCAACTTGTGAATTAGACTTGCTTCAGTCTCACTTTGGCACAAAAAAGTTTGAAATTCGATCTGCCCATTGTATAGGCAACATGCATGAAAAGATTGAATAGCATTTTGTGTGCTCAGGGACCAGCTTTACTGGGCTTGCCTTGTCGTGTCTTGTTTTCATAGATAAAGAGGAAAATGGTAACATCCACATTAAAGGGGCATTACAGCTAGTCTGAGTATCACCCGTTATCCACGGAGCCCATTCTCCTGTCTAACGTCTGATATATCTAAGCATGCGTGACATCATTTCATTCCGAAATCAGGACTAAGGTTGTGATTGGTACATTTCGATGCCGCATTTTTGTAATACAACAACCTGTACAAAAATGCTACTCATCGTGGGGGGGGGGGGATGTTTACTGCATGGTGAAATGCTCCTCTAAATATGACGCTTACATATGTGTAAACAAGGAAATAATCAAAATTTTCTACAAAAATTGTATATATTAGTCAATTTTTTTTAATTATTAAAAAATAGATTGAGGCACTAATTTTTGTGCCCTATATTTTTGTTTAGTTTCCACAATCTCGTTTCAATTTATTAACCTATTAGCACTTTTCTAACTTTGGGCAATTCTACCATCACATTACATTTACATGCCATGAAATAACTTTGACCTCTCACTGCTTCAAAAGTATTTGATCAAGCTGAATCAAACCAGCCATACAACATCCTTGGGGAAGGGGTACTCAAAAATGGAAAGAAAAATTCAATCCATTCTTTCACTTTTTGAAAACATGTGTTTTGTTGGTCGTCACTCACGTTACAAAAAAAGAACATGGAAAATTGTCCTTCAATTTTGTTGTTTCAGTCTCCTCAAACTGTAGTCTTCAACCTAGTAGTAAGATTATTTTACCTTTCATTCAACCCATAGCTAGATATAAAAACCCATTTTGAATCAAATAAGTGTGTAATTTAGATGCAAGGGACATTAGATTACAGGGAGGTACCGTCACTCACGTTACGTCACGTCACTCACGTTACGTTTCTTCATGGTTTCTAAAACTGCATAAAATCTGAATGTGATGAACTGCAACATAATGAAACTCCTTTCTTATAATATATGAGCCTTTCTCTCTGCCTTCAACACAAAAACAGTCACATTTTGCATGTTAAAACAGGTGCAAAATGACTACCAAAAGTCCATGATTCTCGATGAATCTATAAAGCCATATGGTACTGTATATTGAATTTACAGGCAGAGTGCTGGGTGTACCGGGACAAGTGGGTTAACATGAATTTCTGAAATTGCTGGTAGCACTTTCTGGCAAGTTACCAAGAAATGTATACATCGGGTTCCCTACAGATAGATAAAAATTCAATCCATCATGGTTCTGTTAAGACACTCCAAGCCTGTCCCATCAACTCCAGTTTCCCTCCATGGAATGCCACATGGCACACTAAACCTTACCTATAAACACAGTTTCTGGTCATTTGTCAGGCTCGGGGAAGATATTTTTTCTTCTAGCCGAGGCAGGTGATGTCATTGAAAGTACTATCGGGCATTACTGAAATTATTTCTCAAGTCCCTCTGGTCTTATTCGTTTACACTTTCATCCGGATCTTTTTCCTCCTCGAAATGCTTTGAGCATTTTTCCCCACCTGTCAGATGTTCCACATTTATCAAAATGAAAAAAAAAAAGGCCTGACGTTTTGCTTTCAGCTCCTAACTTAGTCAGGAATTTGTGGCGAGACCAACTTCTAGATTAACATGCTTGTGGCAGCTCATTTATTTTGCTGAAGAGTACTGGGTGAAAGCTATGTACAAAGTCTTCAGTGAAACACTCTTTCCTGTTCTATTTTTTTGCATGTATCCATAGAGCTATATTAAAGGGAATGTACAACATTTGCTTTTGCTGCAATTTTTAGAAATAAATGGATTTGGAGGATTAATTAGTATGTTATAGCAAATATTGTTACACTGACTTGTTTCACGTTTAGGGTTCGTACATGCTGGAAAAATGAAGAAAACCAATCATATTCTTGTAGTCTGGTTCCCTGACCCCACTTACGATGAAACGGAGCAATTTATAGACTTTGGGGAATTGTAAGATAAGAGAATCAGTCTAACAGGTTTGTACCTCTTCACAGGTGTGTAATCAATTGCAAAGAAAATGCAGACGAACTAAATATGAAAAATTAGGAGCTCTTTTTGAGAAAAAAAAAGCCAGTTTTCTCCAACGTTAATTGGCCGACCAGCATTGGAAAAACACAATTGTTCTTGAAAATGTCAGCACACCAGGAGCCACAACTTTACAGGATGCTTTAGACTGTCATTCCCTAATAATCCAGTAAGGTATTTCATGATAATTTGATCATGTCGTTTTTTGATGTTTGCAAATGTTGTATCTTCCCTTTAAATTACTATCTAGAGCGCTAACTCATTAATTCTTGTAAATTACTTCTGTAAGTGTCCTAGGCACAGACATTTTTAATTAATGTGCGTGTTCATATAACATATGGAATTGAGATGGAACAGAATTTCATGAAGTGCTCTAAAAGCAACGTGGGAGTGTAACAAACACAGCCAGCATAGGCGGGCTATAAACAAAAAATATTCAGGACAGCGCATACGTGCAACATGTGCGTCGTTGTCGGTGCAGTGCAAAGTAAAATGCTCATTTAGTAACTGAGCATTTCAATTTTGGGCGTTTTGGTTAAACATAATGCACTTTTGTAGAATATATTATATTTGAAAATTTATTTCCTCTTCATGTCAAAATGAAACTGTAAAAATAAAAGGGAATATTAACAGCATGTTCAGGCCCCCCCCCCCAAAAAAATTGTGCTTCTTATTACATGGCATTTTAACATAGGGTAGGTAGGTAGGGATTTTTTTTTTGGGGGGGGGCAAATTTTTTGTGTACGATCATATGGAGGTGTTTGCATGTAGTCAACGGTAAAAGGTAGTCATTTATGGTTTTCAGGGTTTTCTCCTCATTCTCCCCCCCCCCCCCCCTCCCCAAAAAAAATTAGGGTAGGGGCTGTCAAAGTAGGGTAGGTAGGGTAACCAGAAGCAGAACTATTATGTTTTTTGGGCCTTATGAATAAAGGCTAGACGAAGTGGAAAAACCAAAAAATCTTATCCAAAAAAAGTAAAGCTTGTGTGTGGCTTGCCGAAATGAAACATACTCATAAACAGGTGCAAATAGCCTTGTATTTTGATTTGATTTGATTTCTCAAACATGACAATATTGATTAAATAATGAAAACTGGAGGGGGATATATTATTAAGTATAGGTGATGAATGGCGAATGGGGATTTCTGATCGGAAGCCAAAGCTTGTAGGTGGCGCTGATGCATGACATTTGGTCATTCAAGGGTAAAAAATGAAATACGTCAGGCTGTTTTTTATTTTATAGCTTCTAAAAATAGCACATGAATGCCTGTTGCCTTTAGGCAGGTTGAAAAGGGCTCCACTATGTGCGTGTACGTGCTCTATGGGAAATCAATGATAAGTGAAGTGCATTTATACCCGTACATATGTAGTATGGATGTGGGGGCATGAATTCAACCAAACTCGTCGCCTCCCTCTATTTTGACTGCGACTCAATCTGGGTCGAGAGCTAATTGACTTGGTTATTCACCGACCAATCTTATTGAGCGTGAATACTGAAGCTGGTCGTCCAATTCTGTTTTGGTGTACTAGCCGAATGCACAATGTCTTCACACAGTGGAGGGTGAATTGAACACAAACAAGTGTGGGTGCACAATAAGCTCTGGCCGTGTTGCAAGAAGTCTTGCATGAAATCGATCAAAACGATCCCTGCCAAAGCTTATAAATGCGACGCTGAAAAGTGCGACGCCGATCACGTATGGAACACCATACTATTTGGTCAATTGTTTGGTCATTTTTTAGGGACAGACAGACAGACCGCAAAGTGACATGTAGAGGCTCCTGCCAGAACTTAAAAACCCTGCTCGCACAGAATGTAGTCAGAGATAACACACACAAGTACATCTCGGGTGCCAAATGTCTTTACTAACTCGGGAGGCACTCAAAGTACAAAATTAGACAGAACGTTTGTTATTGAACGGACAAATAAAGCAGCATTGAAGTGAAGTCCATCACAAGTCCTCCAGTCCCAAGTCAAGTCACAATGATTTCAAATAAACTGCGACAAAGGTGTTCTGTCGTCATTGTTCATCCACTGTTTTTTGTGACTGACTGGAATTGTAAATTGACTTGTGACCCGAATTGCAATAATTTCAAGTGGTTGATGGTTAACTGTAAAACGAATCAGTGTTGTTAATTTTTAATTTTTTAATTTATAACTGGGTCCTACCCAGATGTGAGCAGTTAGAAGAATGCCTTCTCATTCCCCCCATCTCGCCCTTTACAGACTTACGAGCTGACCTTTGATTTACATATGACCTTTGATTTACATATGATTTACATATGACCAGAGTTCACTCTTTATGTATATTTTCTCCCAGAACTGGGCCCCACCCGGATGTGAGAAGCTAGGAGAATGCCTACCCATTCCCCCGTCTCGCCCTTACAAGTGTCACTGATCAGACTTGTGAACTGACTTGTGATAAATACATGTACATATGACCAGACTTGACTACATAGCTGCCCAACCATACTTGCAAGCGATTAGTGGTGCGCTTTTAAGTAAGTCACTCTTTTTTTGTATATCTTCTAACAGAACTGGGCCCCACCCGGATGTGAGAAGTTAGGAGATTGCCTACCCGTTCCCCCATCTCACCCTCACAAGTGTGTATGGAACCACTAAACCCAGAATACTGGGTAAGCTCATTTAAAGGTAGTGTACATCATTTGTCATTTGTGCCTTGTTTTTGTTTGAAACAACAAAAGTGCTCCTAATCTCAAGAAGGGTGCTTAACGACTAACCTGATGAAGTTTTAGCTCAGTGAATGCTGTATATTCCAAGAAAACAATATCCTAGGTTCTCAATATCAACTCAAAAGTTCTCGAGGCATGTTTTGAATCGGCCCCAAAATCAGCGTCCGAGATACTTTCTTAATGGACTGATTGAGCTATGCAATGTCACGTACTTGTGCAGTCTCATGCATTTCGTACCATACTTTCGATGGGGGCGCTGTTCAAATCCGACAATTGTGCACTGGCGTATATTATTGCCAGTATAATTGTTTTGGGTGTCAGAGCAGGGGGGGGGGGGGTTGCATTATTTTTATTGAATTTCTATGAAAAAAAATGACAGAGCTGGGGTTGGGGGTTGGGTTTGACCCCCACAACCGCTCTGGATCCGCGCCTGATTTCGTCAGTTACTTTTTGGATAGCTGCAAATGATGTACTCTACCTTTAATGCATTGGTCCTCCAAGAGTGATTATGATTAGCAAACAAAAGTATGTGAAAACTTCAGTGAGCCAGTATTGAAATGCAAATTACAACCTTACAAATTTCCTTGCCATGCCACACACAGGCGTTAACAAAAGAAGACCACACCTAGATTTGCATAAAATGTACATATATAAGGTAATTAGGGCAAAGTCATCAGCATGCAGTTGGAAATACTAAATGAACGTACACTTGGCGTAAAATAATCACTCTGACTTGTGACAACTACCCAACAGATAAAAATCGTTTGATTAGTCATTCGTAATGATACTTGAACGGCAAATTACAAAGTACCAAGGTAACAGGGACGGGAAAGATGTCCCACTTCGGACCCTTAATTTATAGAATGACCCATATCGCTCATTGCTACTAAGTCTCGTCTGTCTTTTTTCCCTTAGCAATGAATTCAATAAGCAATCCATATTTGCTCACCAGCCTTATAATATTGGGCCCTGATCTCACTTGAGTTGTCATATGTTAACTCTGTCTGTCATGGTTATTTCAAGTGGAAAAATACTTAATTCTTGTGTACATGTTTTTGAAAAAAACTGACACTTTCTTGGTTGAGCACAGTGATTTATGGAACTATGAATGAGATCAATCATATTTTATTTACATACTTTCATGATATATCAGGTCGAGGCCTGATTTTATTTTTACACCTACGTACTTAAGATTCAGTTTCATAGACGGAATATACCTGTATATGTGGGGTTTTTTTAACTTTAATCTTGTAAAATTCCTACTTTTGTGTACACTATTGTGTCCTAGGGATAAAATTCTATTTTTTCATTGATACACTTTTTGAAGGAACTTCATGTATTTTTGAGCAACTTATTTCAAAATGTCATTTTGCTTTTAAAGCAGGTCACAGTAGTAAAATGTTTGTAAAAGTGAAATGCCCTTTGTTGAATTATGAATGAATAACTTTGTTGTCCACTGGCAAAAAACTGTTTAAAAAAATCATATTGTTTGAACTGATTGTAAATGAACAATGATTAAAATCACCATTTCCCCAAAAATGTGCCTTAACATCATCCCCTTAATAATGCCATGTATTAAAGCCACACAATTTTGGATGTCATTTTACACTTTGACAGTTTTGAGAGAATTTAAATATTCATGTAGTAGTCGAAGCATAACGTTAAGGCAACTCACCAGAATTTTCAGTCAGTGTGGCAGAGATTCAAAATGGCAGCTTAAACGGGTCATAAGATTCATTTTTCTCAGGAACAACTTCTTAGCAATGTTCTACTCTTCTTAAATGTATGAAATTATTTGACATCCCTTTTTTTGATAATTCTGTTGAAAAGTGCACTTCGTTTTTCATGATTTCCCAGACAATTGAGGGCGCTAATGCCTCTATGATGTCATTTCAAAAAGGCACTGTTCAGTTTTAGTGGTTTTCTGTTCAAATTGTGAATCCAAACATTTTGCTCGTTGGAAAATATTTGTGACAACAAATTTGCTCATTGGCTTACAGCCATGCACTGACACGACGACGAATTGCCAAAGAAAAGAAACTTTACAACAGCAAAATCTCCAAATCAAGTTTGAATATTCAAATACTAAACTATTCAAAAGTGCACAGCCCTAGGGAGCACTGTACCATACATTGATTTACATGACTTGGAGCTTTGCATAGGGGATGAGATCAATTATAAATTATAACACCATGTGGAAAGAAATATCTTCTTGGAAGAAGTGTGGTTCTGAAAAGAACCAGTTGGTTGAGTGTAGAACTCAATGTTTCAGACAGTGTGCTCTGTCCGTATCAGGAGGTTGAGTGATGAGATGTGGAAGATGCTGCATCCAGTCACGCCCCACTCCACACACACAGCTATAAAACCTCCAGCATCTTCCACATCTCATCACTCAACCTCCCGAGGACGGTCAGAGCATACTGTCCAAAACGTCAAGTTCTACACTCAATCAACCAGTTCTTTTCTTTTCACATGGTGTTACCCGCAAACTTTATAATTCATACCTTGATTGTTGCTTACCCATGGAGGTGAAGGGACTACTGGTGGTACGTAGATTATGTATTTCAAGTACGTTCTGTGTGAGATGTCATTTTGTCACAGTGAGTAGGCTGCCCTGCCAGTGTCATTAATCTTGGTACTCCATACATGGGGTCATTTTAATTGGTCTTGGCACTGCTACGATTTATGTATGTTTCTCAGTGCAATAAATTCAAATTGAAAAATGTCTTCTATCATAAGCATGCATTATACAAATTTTAAAAAAATCATTCCTAAATTGTTTCTTTCCATTTTTGTTTGTTTGGTTTTTTTCTTTTGTTAGAAACTGGTTGCAGTTTTAAGAATTCAGTAGTTTTCTTGCAAATTTTCTTGTAGCTTGCTTTAAGTAAAGAAAAAAAGGACATCATTTGTCAAACATTTGTACATGTAAGGAGTACTGTAGTGTATAGCAGAAAAAGAAAGTAAAACTACACCAGCATTTTCTGTACTTTATAAAACTTTAATCATAATTGTAAAGATCTCTTAGTCTTCCAAGTACAATCCTAAATAAAAGGTTTGGTGTGATAAACACACATGAAGTGGAGTACTCTGTGTCTCTAAACTACTAGTATTCATTTCAATAACATGGCCATCAATTTTGTTTGATGTTATGTAATGGCTATATCTAAATATCTACAGTAATGTGGCCTTTCTTCATCGTGTACCATACGTGTATATTTTCACCAAAGCTCGAGACCTATTAATGTTAAGTTGTTTGCAAAACCAAATGCATACACTTGTATGGTGCTACATGTATACAGCACTGTAGTAGGGTTTATGTACAAAATGTACGTGTGTAATCAACAAATCTGCCACAGAGTACATTACCATGGACATTTATTGCCCTTTTTTTTCACGAGCCATATTTTCTCCTGTTTCTTGGGAACTGTAATGAAGCTACTGAAGACCTTTTACTTAGCGGAGCCATCTTGAAAGGGTTTTGTGATTTGAATTCGGTAACAATAAATGCTCAAAAGGTCTCATCGTGCATATATCCATACAAAACAAAGCACGGTACTTTAAAGATGGCTGCCATGCAAAGGGTCTATGTAGGATATAAATATAGAACCTGACTCCAGAAATCCAGGGCTTGCCTGTTAATACATATCTAGTCCTCCTAGCTAATCTTCTATACCTCACAACCCTTCAAGTTTTGCAAAACCACTTTTGCCCATAGAGTTAGCACCCACACTTCAAGTTCCTTTGGGTAATCTTCTGTTGAGTATGGATAACCATGACACTTGAAATCCCTGCACAATTCTTTTGTGTGGTTAAGCTCAGGGCAAGCAGGCAGATTCAGTCACGCTTCACTGCTCTCCACAGTGCTGGTTTTTTGTGTGTGCAGTGACTGTCTGTTGGACCTCATATCCCTTCACCTTAAACTGACCTGCAGGGTTTTGAAGGGTTTTACATATTGCTGTGAATACTGACTTCCTACTAGGATGGTTAATGGTGGTGGGGGGGGGGGGGGGGGACAGATAGTCCTAATATTCTACTTTCCACAAGAAAGTGGATGATCAATGATCAGTTATTAAAGATGTGTACACTGAAATGTGAGCAATTTTATACAGTTTGATTCAGCCCACCACTCAAATACAAAACTTGCATTTCCAGAAGAAAAAAAACATTCCAGGTGGGCTAAAACTTATACATTACTATTGTTCAAATATCATGGTAAAAAAGTTTACTTGTAAGACCACTTACTACTGGAGTTGAATAGATGTCTAGATAAATTTCTAGCACTGGTTACTCTAGACAAGTGTACCTCAAGTGCTACTTGGAAAATGTTCACAGTAAACATGGATTAAGTTTTTGGTTTTCGGAGAAATCACTCTGGGATTTTGTCACAAAAATATAACTATTCGCCCATCGTCATCCACGTAACGTCATCACTACAAAAGCATTCCCATCCAGGATCTACATGTTTCTCAAAAACCAATTGTAAAGACTAGTTATAAATCTCTGTGACCACAATTTCAAAATATCGACCTTTGGAAAAGACTTTGGCGGAGACTATCTTAAAAATTACAGGAAAGTTTTTGTGCAGAAGATGAACAGATCCCAAAACTGTCAGAAAACAGTCATGAATATTAAGTAATCTTAAAAAAAACTAAATTTAAAAACTAAAATCTGGATAAACTAAACCATGCTGAGGATATATTAACTCAGTTTTTTTTTAAATTACAGTGAAAAGACTTGAAAATAATAATTTTTTTAATAAAAAAATGGTACGCTGTCAATTTCAAACATGTCAATTTCTACGTTTTTTTCCACTGTTACAAACCTGGTCCTGAGTTTTTCCAAAGTTCTCAATGAATGTTTGTACATGACATTAACTATGAACATGAATATAAAATATGAACATGTCAATAAAAGCCAGTAAAACGAATGCATTTTACATACATGTTTTTGCTTCATCACCCCACTATTCGTAATATTTACACTAGCTATTAAGAATTATTACTTCTTACACGTACCTTATTTTGTTTTTATAAAAAAAGGAAAAGAGAAGGGTAGTTACTACTAGTAATCTGCAAATATCAAAATGACACTTCCATCATCTTTTCAATAAAATAAAATATGTAATTTGCACATCTTCTTTCAAGAACTTTCATAAGTTACTCTACAAGTCAGTTATGCTTCGCGTAAATGCAAAAGGCAGAGTTATATCAACTTATATATGTACACTGAATATTATGGAAGCTCGTTGGAGATGTACTAATCAAATTATAATGCATATTTATGTTCTTTGTTATCATAAATGGTATTAAGCTCGCTATATTACTACCATTATCTAAGCTTGGATGATGTGGCCTTGGCCACATACCCGCCTGCATTAATTACTATACGCCATATTCATACAGTTACTATTGTGCAGAGCAGTTTTTGGCACATACACATTAATTAACACAGTAGACAGATTTTGTTTTTGGTAGAGGTTTTTGGAAGTTTAAGATTTTACAGTGGATGGAGTAAAAGCTTTTGCAGTGCATATCCCAGTTATAATTACAAACGTGGTAATTTGTGCACAGCCGCCTAAAGTTTATATAAACCTTTCTTTTGTCACAGCCATAGTTTGCAAACCATAGTGGTCGGCAAACTAGTGGCTTTTCAAGTTTTACAATCATACAGTTTTTTGTATTAATTTGTAATAAACATTACAACGGGCGTACATGTGCCATTTGCGGCAAAACAACTTCTCAACCACAGTTCAATGTCTGTTTACAAAAGAGAGGTCTGTGAAGTCTGTCTGAGAACACGTAGTTGGAGCACCATCTGCTAAGTGCATTGCATGCCCCATTTCACAAGATCTGCTACCTTTCAACTGCGTGTAAATCGAGAGCACACTCGCTGTGAATGCTGTCACATATGGAAAGATGCTGTCTGCAGAGCTAGGGTGCACTTGAATAATTTTCCCCCGCTAAACAGTGTCGCAAGACTGAGTGGGGCCCTTGACCAAAATGTGTGTGGGTTGAAAACGTACTGCACCTTACACCTTTGAAGTCTTTATCCCGTTTTACATGGTCCAGGAAAAAACAAGGCCCACATTGTCATTCTTAGGTGCACAAATGAATGTTTAAAATTAGGATGAGCAGTAACCTTAACTAAATGGGAATCAGTGAAAAATTCAGAGGTGTGGTGTGCGTTATATTCCCCCCTGACAGGTGTAGCCGTGAAAATACATCTGAAAACTGAAATAAAATTTCCTAATGAACCCAAATTCCCTTAATTTTTTTCATCTTTCATTTCAAGTGTTTCAGTTGCACAGAAATTGATTATGGTATTGAATAAACTGTAACTGAGCCTGGCCTGGAGACTAGTATCCGTGGTCAGCGCCTTGAACTCAGACTAATCATCATCTGCCCCTTGTATCAAGGCTAATCCTAGCCAGGCTTGTTTAGATTAGTCCAGTTTCAACAAGGTGAGCATGTCTGAAATGTGACAGTTCTTGTTATGTGATGTTATGAAGACATGACAATATTGCGGACTATGTAATGTGAGTAATTCACAAACGTTCACTAGCCAATATTCCACGTTTACCAAATTCTGTAGATTGTTGGACAAATTGTTTGATTCAAAGTTGGACAGACACTTAAAGGTAATATGCAACATTTGAAAACATCAACAACAACAAAAACTACCAAATTATTATTTAAAAAAAAGCTTACTTGACTGTAAGTGAATAATAGTCTCAAGCATCCTGTGAAATCATGGTACCTAGTGTGCTGTCATTTTTCAAAAAAAGTGGAATTTTTGTATCAATTTCCAACGATGGTCAGCCGACAATGGTTGGGAAAAAACTGATTTTTTTCAAATACTGCCCTCAATTTACCAAAATTAGTGAGACACATTTTGTTTGTAATCGGTTACACATCCGTGAACGGGTGCAAACCAGCTAGTCTGGTTCCCTGACCTGACAATTCCCTGATGTCTACAAATTGCTCCATTTCGTCTTAAGCAGGGTCAGTGAACCAGACTACAAGAACAGCATTTTGTTCTTGGTTTTTCCAACATCCATTAACAAAACAAAACGTTTAAACAGGTCAGTGTGACAATATTTGCTATAAAATGCTAACCCCCAAAATCCATCCATTTCCGAAAATTACAGAAAAAACAAATGTTGTATATTGCCTTTAAATAGGACAGTGGTACACCCATTCATGCAGCTTCAGAAAGAGTTGTGAAATAAGATCTAAGATCTGAGAAAAAGGTTTCAAAGGTAATCAAAAATAATTTCAGTTAACTTAAAAAAAAAATTAAAAAAATTGAAAACTTTACTTAATTGATATAATTTATTATTCAAAATTCTGTGAAAAATCTGATTTGGAAGCTTGAGTTCAGTACCAATTTATAATTAAGTGACATTCCAGAAAATAACCGATTTTTTTCCCTCAAAAACCTGCCTTCACGAAAAGTATGTTGAGCCTACATTTATAATGGTTATCCCACTTGTCTTAGTCTATACACTATACTTTTTATTTTTTTTAAATATTTTTTACGCTTTTTCCATTGCTACTAGATTGTACATGTTTTATGCATGTATTGCAATTGTGCCGGATTCACCTTCATAAATTTCATCAATGTTCCCCATTATATTTTTATATCATATATGAGTACAGAAGGAACACCCAGTTGCAACAAGTTTGTTTCAAATACTTTAATTATAACATTGTATTGTTTTAGTTTACATTATGTGTATGGCATACTTGCGCTTTGCCAAAACAGATATCTTACATGTTATCACATTGAGGTGGGTCATATCATTATGTAACAAACCGTATACTGGAAACTCGAAAGGAGGTTTCAGATAAAAGCAAAATAATGAATTGTACATCAGTGTAGGTAACATTTTTACCCCAATATAAACACACCAAAGGTATACCACACACAAGTCTTCCTTGCTATAGAGCCTGTGCATTAACAGTAGACGGTACCATGTGATCACTCATGAGTAGGGCACATCTGGGCACGCACTGATTGGTTCGACTTGGAGTATGACTCGGAGTATACACAACCAATGTCCATCTGCATGTGCTGTAAACCAAATCGACTTCACAGAAGAATGCACTTAAGTGTGGGCGCACATGGTGCAGCGTCATTCATTTGTATCTCCCTCTTGCAACAGCATGCACTTTTCCCTCAGATATAGTTGTTTCGTCATTTTGTTTTGACTTGACTCTTTTATGGGCTCCGTGCGCCAACAAAAGAGGGCGTGCTTTTACCACTTTTGAGAGCCCCGAGGATGGGACACACAGCGTGTGCGTACTGTACTGTACTGGTTCGCGCGCGAAGTAGGCACGACTTCCTGAATGTGCCAAAGCTATTATCCACAGCGTCTTCTTGTGAGCGTCAGGCGTCGTTGGCGCATGAATGCTTTCAAATTAAACTTGCGATGGACTCGCAGACTAATCCCCGCCCTCAACAACTTTGGATCATTCTAAATACGCAGTTGGTGGACCAGGAACCAGTCTAGGTCTCCCTCAACTCTCCCTTTCTGGCCATCGAAGGAGTACTTGTGTACTGAGCTCATACCATCACAAATTGAAAAACACAGCAGAGAGTCTTGTGATGCTTGGATTGTCCTCCCTTCGTGTGACCTCCCAGTTGCACACCTGCTTGCATCATTGAGGGGGTACTTCTGCACAGAGCTCATGTTCATGCAGCCCCAATCTTGACATCTTCCTGCAGGATCTACTGATGTCAAAAGTGCACCTGGACATCGTTACTAGGATGCAAAGGGTTAGCCGCACTCCTCCTAAAAGACTCATTGTACTGGTTGGCCCGTACCCAGGGCGAGTCAGGCTCCATCAGACTAGTCCTTTTATTCTGTCTGAGCTCGTAGCCCAGCTCGCTGTCCATAATGCGCTCGTATTCCTTGAGTTGCGTCGTTGTCATGGGGAAGTCGTGGCTGGCGTTGGACAGCCTCGCGCTGCGGGGGGCCCCGTCCCCAATACTACTTGTTCGGGACGCTGGGAATTTCCCGTTGATGCTGTTGTGCTGCTTACCCCCCAAAGAGTTCATCTCGACGTTCTCCCCATCCATTAGGATCTGCACCTGCTGGTCCAGCCTAATGCGTCGGGTGGCCATTGTCTTGGCCTTCTCGCGCGTCCGGAGGCAGGAATGTCGGCATGTCACCAAGACGGTGATCACAGTGACAGTTAAGATGATTGACATGAAAACGACCAGTGCAATGTTCACATCTTTTAAGATGCTCGTATCAGGTTCAGCTTCTGCAATAAATACATAGTGCATTACCATCAATTACAGGAACTGTTCCTCTTTAAGGTACTTTAAAGGTTAGAAAATCGTAGCGCTGCTCAGCACATGATTTTATGTAAACAAAGCCTTCATGCATTCCATAAAATCATTTAATCGGTAAGCACAGCAGAGAGCATGCCAACGTGATTCATTGTTGATATCATGAGCAAGGGTTAACTTTACTCCGGATGTCTAATGTTAGAAGTACTGCACTCAGAAACATGAAGTATGTGAGTCAGCATCAGTCATTCTTATCTCCGCATTATTCTTTAAACAGGAACTTCTGGTAAGCAAAACACCAGTGGGGAACATGTCAATTGCAAAATCTGTGAGATTCCATGAATTGTGTGATCATGTCGATCTTACGTCAATCACAAGTCGTCCAGCCTCAAGTAAAAAGCTATTTCGACTGAACCATGACAAAGCCTTTCCTTTGTCGTTGTTCATCTACTAACACTTGTGACCTAACTCTTGCATGACATGATGGGTTTGTCATGGACTTTGCAACTTTGTTTTGGCCGCCAATGTGTTTTAGCCTTTGAAATGTCTTCTGTGATGAACAAGTAGTACAAGTCGTAGCAGTACTTACGGCATCTGTCTTTGTCTTCATCAAAAGGGTAATTCAAGCAGTTTTGTCTACCGTTGCATACCAGTGACATATTCAAGCACATGTGTGGACCACAAGGGAATATCCGTTCTTCGATGCAGGGCACTGGGCATTCAAAAAGGAGAGAGAGAGAGAGAAAAAACCCAAAGTTCAGAGAGTTAGGCAGGGACGTCTTCATTGTCAGATCCTGGAGGGGGATGCAGCCCCCTCCTCCTGGACTGGATTTGGTCACAAGGCCTGCCCACCTTAGGTTTGTTGTACATGTCCATATCTTACAGTGCCTTTCACCAAATGTGATCAAGCTATCGTGGCCACCTAACCAAAAGTCATGATGTAATTGGTCAAAGTTCAGGCCCCTCCCATCTGATCTCTCTTTCCGTCCCTGGCCCATTAATAATAATAAATGTTACCGAAAACAAGTCCCCAACGTATGGTTCAAGTTTGCAAACTCATTTCCTGTGGTTTCTGTAGCGTTATGCTGACACCTCAACCACTGTCACTGATGCCCCGCCCCTTTGAAAAATCTTGGACTTCAACAATGCAGTCCCCCTTTGAAAAATCCCCGATCAGCCACTGACAAGCTTGATGAGAAATCATCAAGTCTCTGTTGTCATCTGAAAGTTGGAAAGGAGGGAGCACGCGCGGGAGCAAAGCATGAGAAGGTAACTCACTATCTGTGTATGCCGTATACATCATCTCGACCTCGTTGTACGCGCTGCGATTGGATGCCACAAAGCGTATGTACATGCGGTTGCTGAGGGTCATGGCGGCTGGCGCCGTGGTGCTACAGTACTCCCGTATCATCCACTCGTAGGAGCTGTACTTGTCGTAAATCATGATGCGATTTCTGTCGCAGTCGTTGATGTTGTTCATTGCAAATTTATCAAATCTTACCATAATCTGTACAAATAGAAGTGAGACACACTCACACCAATTTATAAGCAAGCAAGGCCACATGTTTAAAACAGGAACGATAGATGAGAATGCCTACCTTTTTACCTAACATCTCCTATTACTTTTTTGACCTGGCAAACATTTATGAAAAGTCTCTAAAATTGTTGAGACAACATTCCAAAACAAATTAGTTTGCACTTCCCCAACAACCTCTTGTTCAAGTAGAACAACTGTTGAGGGTAAAGAGCCATTGTCTTTGGGAAGGAGAAAGGAGACATTGTTAGGAACCATCCCTGGAGTACACCCAAGGAGGGATTTGTTCTTATCTGTCCGGCCCCTCCCCTTTTTTTCGTAGCCTGTTACCTCCAGAATGGGACCTTGAGTGCAGAAAAACATGCAGAACAAATTCAGGCCAACTTTACTAACCCCCTAGCAGACAAAATTCTCCACAATTTTCTTGAGGCAAAGACAAGGTTCTCAGTATTTCACCAGCCAAGTTAAGTCTCAATTCAATTTAAAGGCGACGTTTCTTCACAGTGGGCAGGGCTATCTCCATTAGGTTTCTATGCCCAAACTGGTTCTCCTTTTAAAATTCCCTATATTTTCCTGCACTCTCCCCCAGTGTCTTTAAAAAGGTATCCCCAAACTGTGTAACCCTCCAAAAAAAACATTATGTCCCATCCATTTTTGGGGCCTACAGGAAAATTTTAAAAGGAAAACATGAGTCCTAGTTGAGAAACTACTCCCAAACAATGAGTTACAGGAAAAGGGTTGTTGTCACCTTGTTGACTTCGGGCATGTCAATCTGCCAGGTGCAGTCAATTGGGGCGTGATTGTCCTCCCTTCGTACCAGGTCAGTAGCCATCTTGACTGAAAACTCTCCGTCGTACGAACCATAGAAATGGAAGAAGCACTCTGTAACGGTTCAAAATGAAGGGCATGCATTCTGATATTCAGTTCCAGAAAACCATAACGATAGTACTTATTCTACAAAATGCTCATCTTTTATATTTCAGATTACCAAGGATCCCCAGTGTAATCAATGCAATCAAAATCATTTTCCCCAAATGTTCTAAGGTCAATCCTGCCCCCATAACTAAGTATCCCATAACAATACCCTTCTAATACAACTGATATAATGATCACCCCACCCCTTATGAAAAAAGTTTTTAAAGGGCCATGCAATGTAATTTGTTTAATGCAATCCTTGAATATTCACCTTTTTGTCCAATTAAACCTTATTTTCAATTTTCGTTTTTGCCATTTTGAAGTGTATTTTGGTGCCTTTCTGGTTTTTATGGTAATACGAATTTGCATATTCATGAACAAAACTGTAATGTCATTGCAGGCAGAAACCTCAATGTTACAGCTATTTCAGCACTAGTTGCTAGAATTTTGAATATTTTGCTGTCATAAATTGTCTATTCTTTGGTGATTCGTTGTTGTGTAAGTACATGGCAGTAAGCCAATGAGCAACCCTATTTCATATTACTGTTTTCAATAAGCACATTTTGGGTGAACAATGTGAACAGGAAACCCCCTAAACTGAACTTTGTCTTCCTGAAATGACATCACAGCAAAGCGCCCTCAAGCGCACCCAGGATTTGGCTGGGGGGGGGGGGCTCAAAAACAAAATTCCAAATGTTTTGAAGTTTGAATTTAAAAAAAAAAATGTTGCCCAAAATTTTTGGCCGCAGAAAATATATATTTGGTGTTTTTTTTTTTGGGGGGGGGGCGCAATTTACATCCTTATTATACTAATCGAAAATAGGTCACATACTTATCACCACGGTCAAATCGTGGAACTAAAAAAAAAATTACCAAAAAGAAATAACAAAAATTGACAACCACTTGGCGGGGGCTCAAGCCCCCCGAGCGCTCCCCCCCTCCCCTTGGGTGCACCACTGAGCGCCCTCAGTTGTCCGGAAAAGAATGGACAATTTTAAATGTTTAAAGACCCTTTAAAAATTAATGCTAGCTGGAACAACTGCTCAAGAAACAGCAATCATTTTAACCAAAGAAAGAAAAAAACAGTCTGGAGATTAAACTCACCTTCTGGTCTTGGCTCTATCACACGTGGAGCTGGGAAAGAGGAAAGAAAAAACCAATAATGTTTGCTAATCCAAACACTGACCCGTTTTGGTTTTATTGTTTTTTCTCCAGTATGTCTTCTTGGGTTTGAAAAGAACTAAAATTTGATTTGGTAATAAGCGCTAGCATAATATGCACATTTGCATTATATTCCCTGGTTTAATCTTTTTTTTTTAATCAGACAAAAAGTGTACTTGTTACCTGGAATAAATCTGAAGAAAGCCTCGAACCCGGCATATTCCAGATCCTCGTCTGTCACAAACAGGATCCACAGGTAACGGCCGCTGGAGGTTATATTACCGGGGGACTGGTCGCCGCACACCCGGCCGATTAGCGGCGAGAAACCGAAGCGTCCGTCTCGTATCTCCAGGTAATCGTACTTGCAACCATTGCTGGGCTCGATCGAGAAGAACGGACTGAACATGACTTCCACTACCTCGTTCTCTCCCGCTGGGAATTTGGAGAGAAAAACATGTCACAGAAAATGATCCTGGTGCTCCAAAAGCTATTGAAAACTGATGGGTCAAATTTCTTCAGGAATTTTCATTTTTATTGTAAACATTTTGCACTCCATACAGGCTTACATCCCCGGTCAAGTACGTCAATGCGCTATGAATATGGCGGGAATTTCAAAAAGGAAGGTTCTAGCACGTGTTCGTTTTGCTGAGGTATCGAGTCTTCTGCAGAGTCATTAAAAGGAAAGGCAAACTGCCTGAAAAGCTGAAGTGGTGGCGGAGCGTTTTAGAGCATCGTTCGTTCGTCTCTGTCAATTTCTATTGCCGGGGATGTAGAAGAACAGAGAGGAGATTTCTCAACTTTCAGAAAGTGAGGAGAATGCACGCCTCGCACCTTCTTTCTCTGGCATCTTCTATTGGCTTTGAGGCACTAATGGGTGATTAAAACAAACGCCCAAAACTCAAAATATCTCCAAAGAATTCTGACGTATTAGATGGCTATTTACCGGGGAAAAATGTTAAATCTAAGCATGGATTGTGATACTGACACATGACGGACAGGGAGAACTTTTGCGCACTTGTCCTAAAAAGTGTCCCGAAATTTAGGAGGAAAAACACCATCAAGATTGAATTTTCAAGTGTGTTAAATGTATTAAGCATTATGGACGACGATCGTCAAGAGAGCCGTCGAGAAATCTGTCTGTGAAAATCGAAGAATAATTCAACCACGCAAACCAAAAAAAAACCCACGTGTGTGGATTGTCATTCAAACCCACTTCACTGTATCCAAGGGCGCCGGTGATGTCAAATTTCTTTGAGCTCCCATTGGATAGATTTTAATTGACCCGGTGTCAATTCTTCCGCATGCGCTTTACAGAATGGTGATAGGGTAAGGATATGCACAAAACTTTGAGTTTCCTTCTCCATATTCTCCAGAATTAGGCTACCCTTGGATAAGGCTTCATACAAGCGCAATTGGAACGGACCCGAAGACGCGTACGTCGAGATTTAAGGCCATGTCTGAATTACTTGGGTACGGCTGGAAATAACACACGGGTCTATGTGAAGTTGCTGCAGCCGCATCCATAGTCGCACGTGTAGTTTCCAGCCGTATAGAACCAATTACCTTCGAAAAAGAAGAGACATTGAATGTACGGCGTATATACGACCGGGTAGTTGGGGTCGCTGCTGAAGTAGTTGCCGTAGTACCAGTTGGAATCGAAGATCCACTCACACGCCGTGGCTGAGTCGTACAGGCCAGGATCGGGAAAGACTTGGCGGGGACCATCATCCGCTGTAGGAGAATATTGAGGCATAAACTTAATTTTGGCATGCTAAAAAAAATTAGATCCATTAAACGTGTTTCCCTTGCTCACGAATTATTGGGAATCATTGGTTTTGAACGAAATAGCACATAATGAGAGTTCCGGAGTGCGGAAAACCAAAGGGTTGGATAATATTATATAAGGCACGTTTTCAGCCGCGCAGTAGCAGAAAAGTACTGAACACATTTATTGTTGTATGTAATTATTGGTAAACTTTGTTCACAAGAACGCATGTACCTAACACATGCAAAAGTCAAAGAAGTGAAAAATTCCAAGGGCATTATGACCAACAACTAAGAGACTTACCGCCATCCTGTCCACAGCACGTGAGAACTAGCACCAACAGGAACACTGCATTAAAAACACGAAAATAAGAAGATTATTTTTGTAAAAAAACAATTAGTCCCTACACCAATTAAAGTAATAATCATGGACATAATTATCCTGTTGATTTAAGGTTTCATGGGCATAGGCAGGTCTTTTTTCATTCTAAACCTTTTTTTTAATTTATAAAAAGTGAAGCTAACTTCATTCCTCAGACCTAAACCAACTGATGCTTCTATAGGCTATTATTATAGCTGATGGTTGACTCGAAGCTGTGTCATTCTATACTGCAACTGAACAGCGGCGTATATAGGTCAAACTTCTAGAGGCACCTGGGGTGCATGCTTTAATATTTCAAGGGGCATTGAAAGCAAATCAAAAGTTTCATTCCAACAGTGAAGTATAATTTGTTCAATTCAAGATTTCAAATGGGGATGTGGACGCCCCCCCCCCCGTGCGCCCCTCCCAATAGTTACCCCTACGCACTTACAATTTCAGATTAAAATACTATCTATATGTATACGACTTCAATTTTTGAAATCTATAAGCATCGTAGGAAGCCTTTAAGATAAATTCTGGGAGATCCTCGAGGTTACTCTTTAGCTTTGTCATCATCCTATGATGCCCTTTAGGGAGTCTTAGACAAGACTATATGTCAAGGACCTCACATCACAGATAGCGGAAAACCTATCAGGATCGTATAAAATTATAGGATGAAGGTTTTCAGTAAGGCCTTGCCCATGCACCTTCAATGAAACAATCGAAGTGAAATTTGCTCTCTGTTTTATTTGGCAAGACAAGCCTCGTTTTCTTTCCAATAATGGAGATTTCATGCAAAGAAGGAACGATTTTCATCTGTAAATCTCGTCTTCCATGTGCATGTGTACATATGTAGATCATTAGCAACTGTTCATTCCAATGCAATAGGTCACTGTGCTCCCGTGCCATCCATCTGCTATGATCAGGGCGAACGATGCCGCTGACACGATGTAATTTTAGCAGTAAATGTGCTGTGGCTTTAAGTCTATCTTTAAGAGGTTATACGCCACGAGGCAATCAAAGAAATCGCGCTGGGAGAAAAATGACCTCGTGCCAGTATCCTGGAGGAGCCGCATGCGTTTAACAAGTACTTCTCCAGCTGGCACGAGTCGAAGAGGCAAGCGCCACAGATTCCCCAAGACCTTTAATTGCAGCGTGCAGCGACTGAAAATAAACACGTGATATTAAACATGTTCCCTCACCAGGGGCGGACCCAGGTTTGGATCAAGAGGTGGCGTTTAGCCACCAAGAAGGGGTTTAGCAGGCATTGGATGCGTGCACCATTTTCCTAATTTTTTTGCGGCCCAAGTAACGCCCCTCGTAGTATAATGCCAGTGTATGCATCAATATACATTTCCCCCTTCTTTATTGTTTGTAACTGTACATGAGATGTCGTTCTTTCAATTTTTGTAAAGGCATGTTGAAAAATGCTAGAGAATGAATGTTATTTACCAAAATCTTGCTTGAGTTAAACTTTGGGCAAAATATCTAATAGGCCTACTCGTTCACTCTAATACAATTGCTATTTGGTATATCCGTACTGAGCCAGTGTTTCAGTGAAGATACTCCTTGTAGTATCACTTTATAATGAAAATGTTGATGATTTTTTTTCTGCCTGCATGACATCCCATCCCACCACCACACCAAAACAAGAAGAAAATTTCTACATTTCAAACGCAACCAAAGACTATCAAATAAGACATCGAAATAAAATAAAATTGGTACCCGTAGGATTTATTTCAACTTTTAACATCGTGAATTAGGAACGTCCACTTCTATAATTTCGTTTAAACATAATAACGAAAACACTGTTTTGCACTCATGGAAGACCACATAGTGTGCTGTGTGAAAAAAATATCTGTTTTCCGTAAAAGATAATACCATTAGCTTTAATCGTTTATAATTAGAGAAATAAATTAGGATTTTTTTCGAGGACATCAAAGATTTAAGACGGCATTTAATACATTGCAAGAAGACAGTCTATATCGGAGATTTTCAAAATCATAGATTTGTTTGTTCAAAATCATAATTTTTTTACAACAAACTAGACTTGGTAAAAAGATGTGGCTTGACAAGAAATCGTAAACATTCTGGACGGGAAAGGACGTTGCGGGACTGAAGACGTCTACAGAATAAAGTAACGGTCCATCTTCATCGCGGAAGTGTGATAATGCTAAAGGCATCAGTCAAAAACATTAGAATCTTGTAAATTCGTAAAGCAGCCGCTGGCGAGTTCAATGACCGCTGAGAGTAGCCAGAGAGATGTAGTGATAAAACCTTTTCATTTTTTTTTGGGGGGGGGGGGGTTCAAGAGATTAACAAAGATAAAGTCCTTCATGTTGTTTTCGATGATGATGTTAATTTCATCATCAGATGAGCCAAAACAATTGATTAACGTCATCAGACTTATTAGAAGGGGCCAAATTTCTTTTTAGACAGACGCTTAATGGAATTTGGATTGCTGCGTGATAACCGAATCAGGCACATGCAGCTAGTCAGGTGAATGACCGGGTTTTGATTTTATCAACTAAATGCGGCATAGGAAATCATTCATTACAACAAATACCTTTTGGGGGTTGGGGAGGCATTTTACACTGGTTTGCTGTTTCACTTACTGTACATTAATGTGCTCTCTCAAAAGATTCTCCCCAAAATTGAATGGGACAGGTTTACCTTGATTAACAGTTGTTAAAATGAAATAAACATTGTCTCCTATCAAACACGCACGGCAAAATGTTATGTTGACGTTCATTTGAACGACATATTTGAATCCATCTTTCATGCATGAACGTGTATAGGCTGCGTCATAGGAATAATGATCGCGGCACATTGCCTGCACAGACATGATGCACTTGTTTACAGTAAAGATATACGGTGACATAATCGCATTAATGATCGACTGCAGAATAATCAAGTAGACATAATTTATATACCAGATCATATGCACATTCATTAGTCTCAAAAGTATTCACAAACCGCCTGGGTTTCCTTATGCATAATGTAGTGAATTCAACAGCAGTTTGTCATAACTGGAATTTCATCCATTTTAATTAAGTCGGTATGATGCTTTCGGCGTACCGATACCAAAGTTAGAAGTTGGTATAATGTTGAAGAAGAGTTGACGTTTCAGAAATAAAATAAGCTTATTCAAATGTCTTTGCCGATTAATTCCATCTGAAGGTCCTTGAAGTGATTGCAATAGGATATCAATGTTTAATGAAACAATTAAAGTCGCGCCTCAACAAATAGAGCTCCATTAGCGGTTCGAATCTACACGCCGCGGGGTGTCGTTGGTAACGTGTTCTCAGCGCTGCTATAAATCATCCTACCTCCATGATCTAAAACGTGGATAGCCCGCACACTGCATCATTAGGCCGGATGGATATTAATATTATGGTCTATAGATACAGTTAAATCACGCGTGACTGATTTATTATTCTTCGCAGACAGGCAGGCGATGATACAGAGTGTTGCGTGGCCGTCCACATCACCGCACGGTGTTTTAATTCAGTCTAAACAGCCCCGTGGGATAGTGGCTTTGGGTTGGTTCATCTACGCAGTCTGCTGCACGCTCCACGTTAGCCTTGGTTCAAGGGGGCTTCCATTATTTTTATTCCAATAGTCACATCACAGGGCACTGTCAAATAACTTCACGTCTCGAACTAAGACTATAGCTTGGCATGTAACAATGCACGGGTTTGTCGATCTTTTTCGTCGTCTGCGCTGCTTCATTTTCCAACCGAATGAACGATGTAGACCGTATGTGAAGGCGCAATATCTGCAGTTGTGCGGCTAGTGTTTCACGTTATTATCTCGAAGCCAATTTCCATCGCACGTTTCTGGACGTGATTTTACACCTGTGAGCTAAGGGGTACTTTTATATCTCATAAGAAAACGTTAGGCGCTTGGAAAAATAACCTTAACGTGTCTTGTTCACAACACTGCAGAAATCTGATATATTATGACATTCAACTTGCGCAACTGCGCTTACCCTATAAAGACAAACAGGTTTTTTTTTAGGGGTCCGTAGCAGACACAGAAACCTCTTTACGCAATTAATGTCTGCATGCGTTTGAACTGCATGAAAATCAGACAGCAGGCATCATCTTTTAGGTTAAATTATTTCAAACGTGACTTGTTTTCGTAATTCATACAGTGGGTCATGTTATTTTGTGACACCTGAGCGTGCAGTTACTATGATGTCACGCTTACTTAGGTGGGCTTACCCATTTTACCATTTTTTTTTAACTTAAAAGTATCTTTTAAGAATGCGCGTGAGGTCTGCCTATTCGACTTGGTGCCTAAGTTAATTTAACAAAGAAACACGAAAGGAGAGACCTGACGCACCACATACCAAAGTTCTGGAATATTTTTTTCGCGCCCAAGGAGCTAGGCCTATATGGATCTGCCTACGGCATCACTGTTTTGCTCATTAGTATGGAACTTCGTAACAACCTAAAGAAAGAACGAAAAGAGGCAATGGGACACTAAAGGGTAAATTCGAGGGTATAATTTGGTATCGACTATTTCGTGGGGCTCTGTCGTCTACGGGTTCGTTAGTGTGAAAATTGTGTTGGACTCACACTCTTCGCCGCGCTTTTGACATTTCACCCGCCGTCCTTCACAAGTTCACAGTCATTATCTTGGCTTCATTACCACAAGTGTTTGTGGGATTTATGCTTCTACTCAAGCACCGAATGCCACCAACCTCCCCCGGCTTCCTCAGACTCTACCGTTCACTTTCAACGCTCGTCCCAGTCAGGTTAAGGCTAAAATCATGTTCCCACTTAACATCTCCAAACCACTCGCGAAGCGTCGTTCTTTTAGCGCGTGCCCCATTAATCTTTGAGTCGTTGAGGAGCGGACGGTCTTCTCTCTATCTCACTCTTAACAGGAGGCCCACTCCAAGAAAACGCTCCGGCCTGCCGCACACTTATCATTGACGGTCGTATAATTAAGACAAAGTACCATCACGTGCGTACGAGGTT